CCAGCTCACATCATGCGCATTGTGGACCTCTTCGGGGGTTCTACTTGTGAAGTTGGAGCTGGTGGCGTGGACGGTGAGTTCTTGGCTGCGAGTGCCAGCACCAAGGAGAAGGCGAAGCAGTATTTTGACGACTTCAAGAAGGTTCTGGGTGACACCTACAAGGAGTACAAAAGTGACGCAGACACTGCCTTAGCTGCGCGGGAGAACTTGTTGCGACAGCAGAAGATGGCTGACCGTCTTAAAAAGAAGACTGGTGATTTTCAGTCGAGTGGATTTGAGAAGGAGGCTCAACTACAAGCAGGTGGCGCCAATCCTCCGCGCCCGTCTGCTACGAGTTCTAACGTTTCGATGAAGAGCAGCCAGGTGATATCTATTCTAGTGCAAGCCACAACTTTTATTGTAGCACTTCAAGTTTGAATCCATTTGAGAGTCAGAGTCTTTGTCTCCACGATGAAAGAGTGACATTCTCACAGAACTAAACTGAAATAGATCAGATCTCGGCAAGACGTTTTACACCTTGATCCACCAATATCTGGCTGTAAGGCAGTAATTAGTGACGACGGAAATACCGTTTGACCTTCAGTAGAAGCACTATCTTAAGGAATCACAGCAATAAACTTAAAAGGAATCACGATCCATCCTTCGCACCCAATCCATATTAGTTTGCAGGGGTAGTATTACTTCTGAGCATTCGCAACCATCTCCGTTGGGTCTGTGGTTCTAAGTCGATAACGCATTAGCGTCTATTTGTATCAATCTAGGCTCTTCTAGTGTAAGAACAAGAACCCAAGGCAAGATGTGCATGCTAATTGTACAAAGGGCCTGCGTCGCCATGTTTATCGGGATGTTGAGTCTCTATGGAAGAGCAGAGCTCCGGGGACAAAGGGTTTCGCAGTGCGCCATCTTTACATCCCACTATTAAGAGGGACGTAAAGATGGTGCGCCACTCTGTTGCCCACGGTCTCCACGTGGCGGCGTTTCGATAAGACCTTGCGCCACGCCTTGCGGCACGCCGCGACATTTTTCGTCGCAAATAAGAAAAAAGCCAAAGCATATAACAACGAAAAAGGCGCGAAATTTTTCGCAAAAAACCTGCCAGGTTGTTGACCGTTTTGCGAGTCCCTTAACCGTTTCGAACTCGCGAAATGTCGTCCCTTAATGGTTTCGACTTTCATGCGGGTACCGGTTTCGAGGGGATCCCCGCGAAACTCTTAGGCGAAACCGCTAAGGGACAGCGCTGCTTCGGTTCCCTTGTCGATTTCTCTGCCCCCTTTTTCCCCCGTTTGCCTCCCCCGGTCTTGCTCAAGGCGTGGCCGCGTTTTGCTCTTGGGCCGTCCGCTTTTTTACCGGTTTCGCGTGTTGCCTTCTCTTCTTTTCTGTGCTTTTCTGGCGTCTGCTTATCGGTTTCGCTACGGCTGGGCAGCGATCCCGGGACACAGAGCGGGCGTCTCTTGTCGCCTCGGTCCTGCGTGTGGCTCACTGCATCGCGAAGGCCTTGGGCAGAGGTGACATCACAAGCAATCTTCGCAGCGTCGCGCGTGAGGTCTGTGATATGTCTCCCAAATTATCCACACGGAGGCGAGCTCTGGCCACGTTGCCGCGCTCCATTTTTCCGCGCACTTTCTGCAGCGGGAAGCCCGTGGGTGAGACGGCTAAGGGATGGGCGAGGCAGCACGAGCGAACGAGCGGGCGCGGGCTTGTCAGGTTCTTCGTGAAATCGTTGCCCGGGTTGAGTAGTTTTCTCTACTGTGTACCGCATCCCCCGGCGAAGTTCTATCGCTACAAAAAATAATAAGCGCAGACTTCTTCTTTTTTTTCTCAAAGACAGCACACCGCCGGGGAATGCGGTACACAGTGGAGGGGCCTGCTCAGTTTTGGGCACCGTTTTAAGCAGAAGACAATGGGAGAGCCGAAAGCAAGCAAGGAAGCACCGACAGGCGGGCGACCTTCGACGAGGCCAGCCCCGTCCCTTAACCGTCTCACCCATCAGCTTCGCGCCGTGGAAAGTGCGCGGAAAAATTCCGCGCGGCAACGTGGCCAAAAACCACTCCCCCGGGAGACGTTTCACCGGCTTCATTTGTGACGCTGCGAAGGCTGGTCTTGGTGAAGCTCCTCGTGGCTTTCTCTTGTGCTTCAGCACTGGGGGGCGCCACACTTGGCCCGTGCGTCCTCGCGCCTCTCCAGAACCTCAGAGGCATCACAGTAATGCCAAACGCGCCGGGGGATTCCGGATGGGCGCGGGGACCTGGCGGCCGCTATTAGCAAGGCGCCAGCTTGCGCCGTAACGCGGGCGCACTGCTTTGGCAGCCGGTGGCGCCTCTGGCTGGCGTTGGAGTATGAGGCAGCGAGCTAGCGCAGGCTCGTCAGGTTCTTCCTGGAATCGCTCACCAAATTGAGTAGGCCCCTCTACTAGATGCTGCATTGCCACCCGCGAGGCCATTTCCAAGGAAAAAACTGAAGCAGAAGCCCCCTGATTTTTCTCAAAAAAAGGCCTTGCGGGTGGCAATGTGATGCACAGCGGAGGGGTCTACTCAATTTTGGGACCCCTTTCGGGAAGGAACTGGAAAGCGCCCAGCAAATATCCGCTCAAAGTGTGGAAAGAGTTGCGCCGACTGGGACCCCTTATCTGCCTTAGTTAACTGCCGCAGGGTGTACAGCTTGAGGCATTTAACTGCGGCAGATACGGGGGCCCAATTCTTGCATGTTTTTGCGGACTTCTCTCGGAGACTTGGTGGGCGCTTTTCCAGTTCCTTCCTGAGATGGTTCCCGGGACTGAATGGACCCCGCTACGGTGCACCGATTTCCCCGGCGCGAGGCTGTTGCTGATGAAATAACGAAACGCGAGGCCTCCCGCTTTTTCTGACAAACGGGCTTGCGCCGGAAAAAGCGGCACGCAGCAGCGGGGCCTTTTTAATTTTGGAGACCATTCCAAGAGCAGGCTCGTTAATACTCCAACGCCAACCGAAGGGGGCCACCTGCCGTCACGGCTGCGCGCCCGCCCGCTTTTCAGTGGGTTCCCATGCAAGGACGGAGGCCGGCGAGGGCTACCACGCTGCCGCGCCAGCTGGTGCTTTGCCAATAGCCGTCGCCAGGTCCCCGCGCCCCTCCAGAATCTCCGGGCGCGTCGGCCACTCGTGTGCGTTGTGCTTGTGGGATTCTGGAGAGGCGCGTGGGCTAAGTGCGGTCTTCCCAAGAGCAAATGGACAAGAGAAAGCCCAAGACCGTCCAAAGGCGGCGCGCACTGGCGGCAAAGAAAGTTCGCCGGGGAAGCTTGCGGTCGATGCGTCACCGCGCCCCTCCAGCGTCCGGCACAGAACGAGCGGCGAACGCGCCGGGGGACTCCTGGGGGGCGGGGACGCAGCGGAGGACAATAGCGCGGGCGAGGGCGACCGGGCGCGGCAGCGTGGTCGCCTCCGTTCCTCCTCCTGTGCAAACAAAACGCCACGCGTGCACCCGTGCGTCTGCGGCGGTCTTTAAGGCGGCCCCCCTCGGCTAGGGTTAGAAAATTAGGAAGCGAGCCCGCGCGGGCTCGCCGGTTTCTTCTTGGGTGGGCTTCTGCAATGGGGTAGACGCCTTGTCCGTGTCTCGTGTTCTTGTGCGATGTGCTTTGCAGAAAAGTGGAGGAGGTTTATTTTTCCAGAAAAAGCGTAGCTGGAGAAGTGGCGACTCAATTTCGGAAACCATTTCGCGGAGAAGATGGCGGCAGCCGAAGAAGGGGCCCCACAGGAAACGCCAGCCGAACAGCATCGAACAGCGAACCGGGGCCGGGATGGCTTCGTCCCTTGGAGGTTTCGCCTCACCGTTTCGCGCGCGGGAAAGTGCGCGGAAAAATTCGACGCGGCAACTTGGCGCAAGCAGTTCGCTTGCGTTGCTATAGTTTGGGAGACGCTTCGCGGGCTTCGCTCCCTCGTGACATTGCGCCGGGCCCCTCCCCGCGCACCCATTGCCATGAACCCTGCCCAAATCCCGTTCCCGTTACCGCACGCCCCAACCCGCGGGCGCTGCCCCGCGGACCCCTTCTCCAAGGTCCCTTCCCGCGAGCCCGTCCGGCCCTTAACGCCGGAGTCCGGCCCTGCCTGTCCGACTCCCCAGGCGCCCGGGTTCAAGCCTAGAGACGCGCGCTATGCATAAGTAGGCACGCGCGGGGCGCGCCCGCCTTTTTCAAGTTGCGTTTCTCTCAGCTATGATTTGTTCGGGTTGGACGTAGGCGAACAGCTGTACAAGCCCATCGCGTCTGATAGATTCAAGATCGTAATTGCAGTACGGTGTTTTGAATAGAATACGCTTCCTTCGTCTCTGAACTGTGGAGTGTCCATGCCGGCAGCACTCGGTGATTGAGTTTTAATTTATTTGCAAGTCGACGAAGAAGAATGAAAAAAAATACTGATGAAATCTACAATGTTTTGAAGAAATCGTAAAATCACAGTGTTCAAAAATTCTAAAAAGCCGGAATACTTCCATGATCTCGGAATAACACTGCGTCCTTCTGTGGCGTAACCCGCAAGAAAGAAAACCCTATGAGATCTATTGCGATTACCCGAAATGGATCAGTCCTCGCTGCTTACCACAAAGGTCTATGATTACTGGCGGGAAGGATAGAAGGAGCTTATCGACGTAGTTATAGTCGATCCAAATTCTACAAAAATCCAGATAATCAAATCGCATGCTGTGGAATCGAGAATCTTGTGATAGATGTTGTAGTCGTAATAGATAGGATGATTTTTTTCTATCATCCCGCACCTAGATCTGTGCTCGCTCATCTCATGATGTGTGGTTTGCTGGACCTTCCGTTTGCCTTTTTTTATTTGCAATAGTCGATCCAAATTCTACAAAAATCCGGATAATCAAATCGCATGCTGTGGAATCGAGAATCTTGTGCTAGATGTTGTAGTCGTACTAGATAAGATGATTTTTTTCTGTCATCCCGCACCTAGATCTGTGCTCGCTCATCTCATGATGTGTGGTTTTCTGGACCTTCTGTTTGCCTTTTTTTATTTGCAGTTTGCATCTCCCAAAGAACGACATCAGCAGCAGCTTTTCGTATGCGTTTATGTTTGGCGCTGGATCTAAATAAGTTTGCTTTGTGAGTCTTGGCTAATAGTTACCTTGTCGCAAGCATGAAACAATGCTAAGACTAGAAGAATTGTTCCACCCTCTTGCGCTGACACGCTTTCGTTTTCCTAAGAAGCATTTCAGCCCTGGCCACGTCCTAGAGGTCTTCGTCATAATTAGAGTAGGCGGACGAGAAAGTAGTTTGTTTGATTCCGAGTAAACAAATTACTATTTCTCTGTAGAGCCGGTATTTTTTGTGGTCATCAAGTAGAATTGTCTTCGCGCTGTTCAGATCATTAGTAGTAGTACGAAAAAATGAGAAAGACACAGCCGCAGCCAGACGGCCACCATGGCCAGCATGGAGGCTCTTCGTCGAGCTCTTTCAAACCGGGTTTTCGAGGCGGCGGTAAAAAGAAGTCGGGCCCCAAGCACAAAGGCGGGGATCGTCATCGCGCACGCAGACGAGACCAGGCAGGAGGAGGAGGAGGGGCATCCTCAAGTGCGGCAGCCGGTGGCGCGAACGATCATTCTGCGGCGAATATTTTCGCGGGAACATCGGCAGCGACAAGCTCGAGTTCTGGAACGAACAAGAAGTTAAGGAAAAAGCGATAAATTCAAATTCATTTCCACGGCAAATTATTGTGACTCTCTCAAGAACGAAAAGCAAAGAACTTCAATTTGATCGTCCATTGCTCTCTTTATAAAGAACTGTTATATAATCACAATAACAAACTTCTGAGATAGAGACTGACAGTACTTAACTTGTTCTCGAAAAAAATCGCTTCTAAGAAACGCGGAGAAAGCACCGAAGCTAGAAAGCGTCATATTCTTCCAGCTAGTTGTCGAGAACCACCGCGACCGAATAGAGTTTGACGGGACGCAAATGCTAGCCGAAAATCTGCGGAATCTCATCGCTGAAAAAAAGAAACTCGATCCGCTTGATATCGAATTACTGCACAGAGAAACCCGGACACCGTAAGAACCACTATTCTCTATTCTAAAATTCATGACACACATTTACATACGGGGAGTAAGTAAAGAAAAAGTTTATCAGCACGTCATGCAATGGATACTCTGATTAATTTGAGGTGCGCACCTCTCTTCCAGTATGGCTATATTCCATACAAGAAAGCGACCCGAAGCGCTTTGTTTACTCGCCGTCTCTTGACGCTGAAAGCAGGGTTCAGCAGAGACGCAGCAACCACTTTGTCGGCCGATATTCGACTTCAATAAGTCGCCTGCAGGAAATATAGAACCGTAGCTCGTGGAATCAATTACCATGATCTCTGAATCAGCTGGTTCGCGCAATATTCTATATCAGCTACATCATATTGATTGCTTGATGTTTTTAGTTTTGTACTATCTTGTACGTTGCTTAGCTCCATAAAGTTCTGATGACCATTTTATTTTCAATCGGAAAAATTCATACCTCTTGTACTGCCAGGAGACTTCTGTCATGATTGTAGGTAGCGACTTCATCACCGCTAGAAATTCACTCTTTATAAAATTCGTTACTGCTTGTTTATTTTGGTTCATTCATGATTTTTGAGGTGTTGACACGCTTAGATATTTTAGACTAGTTAGTTACGTCGCCGACTCTGTGGAGGACAAGACATTTCTGGTTTGTTTGTCATCACGAAGTTGAAAGTAAGTCACTAATTAAGTTGAGAAAAACATTTCGTGCTGGGCACTGTGCAGACATGACTTGATTTGAAGGCTTCTCTCGTTTCTGCCGTTTTCGAGAGTTGTTCTTTCAGATGGAGTCTGTGGCCGCTCATTGGGGTTTGTGCGCAAAGAACCGATCGCAAGATCTGACTCTGCTGATGTGATTGTGGAGCCGTGAGAGAAGATGAAGAAAGGCAGTGGTCGTACTCTCTACTTCTACGCGGGTCGCTTGTTAATAATCATGACCAAAGAAGAGATGATGAAGCCGTCCGTGGGGTAGGGGAGGTCCCCTGAACAAGGGCATCTTCAAGAGTTTTGTGTAAAGATTTAGAATTGAAGATTTTGATGAAGATGGGCTTTTTTAATACAACAGCTCGTGAGTGACGCACTTGATGGTGAGAATCATCTGTGGTGTTGCAACATTTTTTTACCAAAACCAAGATCAATGTGAATCAATGTGTGGATCTTGAAGATGCAGCCTTCTCGGTTTGGCAGACAAAAAAGAAAGAGAACTTGACTTGCCGCAAGCATCCACATAGCGGAAAAGTTTCTACCAGATTAATCAATCACCCTCACCCACCCTCTCTTAAATGATCTCGAGCCCCGCTAAACAAGCTCGTGATTCTTACCTAGTGTATTATGGCTAGAGTTACTTAGGTAACCGGCAGTGACGACACTATGCCAGTCCTGATTGTTATGTCTCGTTTCTTTGGACTCTTCGTTTCTTGTCTGTTGTACTTCACAAGAAAACAAGTTTCATGGATCTGAATTCTGTGGGTTTGCATTGCAATGGTATTGTATTGAAGTCGTGAGGCAAATAAACCATGGCTATACCGTAAAGCGGGTATGAATGAGTTCCAGCCAACAGCTTTCTACAATTTTCTCTCCTCTTCAATTCATATCGATTTTTTCTATTTCATTTCTTCCAAAATTTCCGACTGCTGAAAAGGTGGATCCCCCCGTCCGACGAGTATGGATCAGCCGGCTTTCAGCTCAGAAAAATATACATGATTGTTTCCCTGGTTCGTGGTGCGATGAACTCCGGGGACGTGCGGTGTGGGCAGTCTTGAAAAGAAGGCAGATAAAGATGATGATGATGATGATGATCGACCCCCAGCCTTCCCGTCACTATGCGCCGGGGGTCTATCTTAATATCGCCGCGCCCGGGAGAGCGCGAGGTAAGTGACTGTAGAAAGCGTAACCGTAGCTTTAGAGAATTAGTATTCGGCGGAATGGTCAAAGTATCATAGCAGAACTCGGCCTTTCGTTTCGTCGCCTACGCCGATGCAGACCACATCAAGTCTGCAGAATAACAAAAAGCCGTTTGCCGCGGACCCTTATTGGCTACGAGCCTGCGCTTGCGGATCCGGTCTGTCTTTGTAGCACATCGGCTTTGCCGACCGTCTGCGCCTGCCGCTGGTGCACCGCAACTCCCGTGTCACACGAAACCTCAGATGCCTGCTGATACTGGATAACCTTGGAAAGAGGTGGAAAGCTCGGGAGAAGGAAGTATCCTTTCTCGTGCTGGCGAGCTGACGCGGCGGTTTGTTTCAGCATAGGCAGCTCTGGTTTATAACGAATCTGAGCCGCCTGAACGACGACATTTGAGCTCTGGTTTGCGATGAATCGGAGCTCTGGTCTCGGACGAAACTGCTAACACTACCGCCGCGTCGGGCACGAGACCTGCTGCTCGCTTGAGCGGCGCATTGCCGCTCCGGTTCTACTGGTACCAAGAATGGAAAATGGCCATGGATATTGCAACATCTTGGTGCGCGTGCCCCTGTGCCTGCGCGCGTGTGCTTCGTGCGCGTTCGCATCTCGGAATAATCTTTGCGGATGATGATTGCACGCAAATGTTTGCGGAAGTCAAGCACGGAGCGCGCGGTGTTTGCGTAAGACGAAACGCAAACAGCACGTAAGCAAACGCGAAGATCCCGGCGTACCGCTCAATGGATGCTGAACATACGACTTTTCACCCCTCGTTCGACTGCCTTTCTCTAAATAGCACAAAGACAGGGAAATAAGGTGCGGGTTAATCTCCTGATGGCCGAAGAGCGGATGCGTGATGCTACGTGTTTATGCTGCTGGGTCGTGATAGTTCACTATCGGCTTCATAAGCTTATCGAATATCCAATCCACTTGAGAGACTTGGGAATTGGTCACACACACGACGATCGGCATCGAACGCAGGGTTAGATTGGTTGCTCACCGGAAGCTGCAGCACAAGGACTGGAGTTCATTCATGGCATAGACAGAAAAGCTTCAGCCAGAAGTAGTTATTGATTAAATAGTCGTGTTTGAAGTTGTTAACGTTTTGATCTCCAATGCGCACTACAGGTATCCTGCCGACGCTGGTCTACCAAGCAAGACATTTGTGTGGGTGCGGAGACGACCGGCGCTCAAAAATAGGATACAGAAAATCGAAATAGAAGCGGTGTCACGGGACTACCGACCAACCCCAGCCTCTCCGGATTCAGATGTCGAAGTTACCAACTCAAGGCACCAGATAATGCCAGAGCAGTGGCCCTCCGAATTCATCTGCCCTGTTTGTACAAACTATTAAGTGTCAGGAAACTTACTAACGCCCTTGTGTGGTCATGGCGATTGATTTGTCGAGCTTCTCAAGTTTTACTTCGAAAATAGTAGTTGTCTTCCCCAGAGGATAGAAAATGTAGAAGCGCTCTACATAAAATCTTGAAGTTTCCTCTTGTTTACTTTCCATTCCATCATGACGAAGGCAATCGTTAATGTTCTCAGGTAAAAATCCTCTCGACAAGGCAGTGTATGTAAGATGTTGCGGGGCAGTCACATGCGAGCATTGCATTAACGAGAACGAGGAAGGCGAATGTCCATTATGCGAAGACATCTGGGAAGGAACACTTCCGGACCAGCTGATGAGGGCAGTGGTACTTACTTGTTTTTACAGAATGAGATTTTCTGCTAGATGATTTGGAGCACCTTTGCTGCGTACATACAGACCCCCTAACGTAGGCATGAAGTGAAAATGGTTCTTTCGCTGAGAACAAACTATTTTTGTGTCCCAGCCGATTGATAGTCCTCAGTTACGAACCAAGATTTGTTTCACGTCAAAAGTTAATAGTATCTGAAAACTGGTTACAGACTCGCGTATGATTGCTCTCGGGCTATTTCGTAGCCGTACGAGAAAATTGAATACAAAGTTCGAATTTCGAAAAAACAGCTCTTGTCGATTCAGCGTGATTGGTTTTACCTCGAGCAAGACGGACCGCCGCTGATGAAGGAACTGACTATGAGTCCTATAGACGAGGAAGAGGATGCTTCTCCTTTGAAAGCACTACCAGCACCACCACTAGCAGACTTACCGCTGGAGAAAATCGCCGGAGATGATGCGGACGAAAATTCCGGTGCGGACGCAGGAGGTTCTTCAGAGAGCCCCGAAGCTGGAGCCGGAGGCTTACTTGGAATTCCTGACCCTATCAGTGGTTTCAGCCCAGAAAATCGGACTGGGCCTGGAATAAATACGGCGAGACTTCTTGGAGGGATTAAAGACGACTCTGGGGTTACTTCGCCAGAGCAGCCGAGAGTAAAGGCAGCACCGCCAAAGACGCAGTTTCTGTCTGCTTCGGCAGCCTTGGCAGCGCGCTATGCCGCTGAGAATGCGAAAAAGAAGATGAAAAAGAAGCAGCTTAAAGCAAATGCGTCGACTGCGTCGACTACGGCACAACAAGGTGGAACGACTAGCGCTTCCACAGCGAACACAGAAAATGTTGCTGGAATCGGCGATGAGATTGCGACGACGGAACCAAAGCGACCAGAGAACCAAGAGGCTTTTCCCCTCATCGACGAGACTGCTAGCACAGAAGCCTCAAAAGCAGTCAAAGCCGGAGAAACTGATGTCAGCCCTCAAAACTCAGCAGAAAAAACTACCGTGCAAAACGCTGCGAGTAGTACTAGTGCTGTGCCAATGCATCAGCAGAGTGCACCATTAGTTGATAAAAATGATCCTCCTGTTGCGGCTGCGTCATCAAGCAGTTCCATAGCAGTTCCGAAAATACAAGTTGTGGGTAGCGTCGTCGGTGCAGCTACTGCGCTTGGGAAAACGCCGTCCCCGGTTTCCAGTCCACCACCAGTCATCATTCCTGGCGCCTGTGTCGTTCCAGTAGCATCGCTGGTAGGCTTCAGCCCAGCGGCAGCATCGTCGAGTACGAGCAGTGCTGCTGACAACAGTGCTGTGGCTTCAGTCACGAAGGCTATCCCACTTGTTCTAGGAGGAGTCAGCACATGCACTAGTATAACAGCTGGCGGCGCTAGTATTTCTTCTGCTAAAACACTGTCAGGCCCCTCCAAGATGAACAAGGATCCGTCCGCGAAGTCTGCCGAAGGTACGGCTGGAGTAGTTGTGGCAGGTAATACTTCTAGCGCAAGCAGTAGTTCCGGAAGCCATGCTGCGATTGCGACCAGAAGTGCCAGCTCTATACCAACGACAGCGGCAACATCTTCATCGTCATCAACTGGAGCAGCAACCAGAGGAGCAGTAATCGCTGACAGCGGTGCAGGAGCGGCATCAAGTTCAAATGCGGTGACATCATCATCAGCCCCAGGAGACCAAGGAGCAGCCAAGAAGAAGAGTAGTAAAATTCAAATAATTGACGGCGTGGAGTACCTGAAAACCAAGTCCGGACTGGTTCCACGATCTGTGTATGAGCAGGCGTGGGCAAAGCACGGCGGGCCACCTAAGAAGAAGCAAAAACGCGGAGAGCAGGATGGGCCACCCGTCGAGCGGAAGTGAGTTTTCGTCTAGCACGTCCTCATCCTCAACATGAACAACACACCCTGCACAACCTAGAGGCACTAAGCGCCCCTTCTTCCACGGTGCTTTCTCTTTGCCTGCTTAAGCTCTACCCTGCATGAAAAATTAAGGTCGTCTTGTATGAAACAATTGTCAGTGTCCTCTCATCATGCCAGAAGGTGGCTTGGGCGCTCTTTTCCCCCTTCTTTTTCATTACCCCTGCATGCGACTAGACTACACACAACTAATGGCACTTTTGGGTATTTTCGCTCTTTTCCTCTACAGAGCGCAAAATCTTTCACCGCAATCACAGTAACGAAATACTCCTCAGACGGATCGTCTGCATCCGTCTTAGCACCCTCCTCTCTCATGCATACTCAATTCAACATCCACATGACACAAATTCATCGCTTCGCAGAAAATTCACAGGATGTACATACTTATTTTCTCAGTGCCTCAAGACGGTCGCGGCAGTGGTGAACCTTGGCTTTTTAATTTCTATTTTGACTCTCTTAGCTTTTGCTTTTCGAGGGATTTACTGGTAAGAGCGCGATTGAAGAAAGTGCAAACATGGAGAACCATCTCGCAATCTTTTCTTGGACGGAAAGTGTCGTCTGTGTTCAGTACTACAGATGAAATTTCATGATTATATCTCTCGTTGTCAAGTTCCAATCAAGGCAAGTATCTTTCCAAGCCTAAAGAATGAAAAATTCGAATCATCAACCTTAAAAATCCGTAAGCAAAGCGAAATGAATGCTGTACTACTACCGAATGATATGAAACAAAGCATTAGATGAAGGATGGCGTCTGTAATGCTGAAACTGGGAAAAATGGACTGCAAAAAGATCTCTCTGGAAATTTGGACCATCTCCCGCGATCTTCTTGATTTATCCGAGCTCCGCAGTCATGATGTGATGAATTGAATCTTCATAGCACCAAGATCCTTCTCAAATTTCAGAGCCTTGATCTTAAAATTGTGCAAAGGGTGAGACGGGCAACGCCCTGGGTGGCAGGTACTAGGTATGTAATTTTCCCTGCCTTTGCTCCTAGTTTTTGATCATATTAAAAGCGTAGGGGCATTAGCGTAGTTGTTAAGAAGATTAAGAACTCCCCCCTACGCCGGTAGCTACGCGGAAAATATGCAGGCAGGTGCTTCACGGAACTCGCTCGCGATACAAAAAAAAAGGGTAACCGATTGCCTTTAGTTGAACGGCAAGATGGTGGAGATGTAGTACAATTCGTGTCTAAAAGGAGTGCAGTTCTTCTTTTGTCTAAGATCTGAGGCCAACTGGGGAGCAACTTTATATATAATTTTATTGTCTAAGATCTACGACCAGCTTTCAATTGGATCAGTTGAGATCGGAGTGGTGGTGATCTCAAATTTGCAGCCACTTGCTCACTTCAAGTCTTTTCACCGCAGATTGGGTTCACGTAAGCAAGCTTGTAATCGCGCGTATGAAATTGGCACCCATCCACCACAATAAACGCTGACAACTTGATCTATGACGCAGGTGTGGGCTTTTCTTTTTTAGGTATAGTGTTAAAGTTGTACGTTGTCCTTAATTATTTCCGGATTCGTAGTCTCGCTCCTGAGAGACCTTCGGCAGAATACTTCTTGGAAGAGGGGAACCCTCCGCACTAGTGCCGGCAGGTCCGGGCCAGGGGGCCGCCCTCCCCAGATCGGGGGGGGTTTCTCCCTCTCTCTCTCTCTCACTTCTTGGAAGGGGGTCTCTGTTCTTTTTTCAAGGGTTACGATAGACAGTGCGCATTAGTTACAAGTGGTTCATCGGTACTACAAAAGCAAGTCTTTTCTACTTCGATGAGAATATATATGAAATCTAAATGGGAATTCAAAATGACGGTTGGTTGATTTGCGGTTCTTCGTCCGCAATCGTCTTGCCCGGTGTTGCGACGAATGTTTCTGACCGCGACAACCCGGTGTGGAAAATTATCGTAAAAAAATCATTTAAGTCTCAGAAAATAGCTTGAGAATTTTACCCGGTTTGCTTTCCCGCGATCATTTCCTCCCATCACGTAATTTGAGCAAATCTTTGATGCGGCTTCGATTGTCATAGTCAATCGTAATATGGTGTTAAAAATGAAATGCACTCCTCACAACTCGTGTAGCGTTTTCTACCAGCCCTATCAGTATTAATAAATGACCTTTTATCAAGAAAGCCATGGCACTCCTCTGACTGACTCACAGACGAGGATTTTCACTAGTCCCTGTTATCACTCTCCCTCGGACATAAACTCGAGATCAACACTGTAGGAATGAGGAAGATTTTGTCATTGATGATGTAAAAGCACTATTACCTCTAGGTACCTTTGGCATTTTCTTTCCAAAACTTATTTGGTGACTCGAATATTAGCTCGCTCGGATGCTCAACCAGCGGGGCAGCATAAGTTGGTTGGATATACTGAATCACTGAACAAGTGATACAGGTTCACCCTGTGGAAGGTGGATAGACTCCTATTCTATCCTATATTTTTTACACGTTGTGCGAAAAAAAAGTAGCGATTATACTAAGAATTGCGTCTTCGCGTTTAACCAACAAGTACCTTCACACGAATAAAACTACAAGTGATGCTGAACTACAGCAGCACCATGGACGGCCTTGCGCCTCGCTCGACGAGGCAACAGACAGCGGAAGTAAGTGCGAGCAGCCATCAAGTAGAAGCTAGTTCGGGTAATGTCAGTCTTCACGATTTTTACTCCGGAAGACGAGAAGATCAACAATTGGTGGTGGTCTTCTTCTTCAACAACTCTACAGCATGAACAGAACAGTAGATTACAGCATTCATGGCACATCCATGAGTTTCAGAACTTCTCAGGATTAGCAACAGCACACTAGTGAAGAACAACAGGTTATGAAGATGAACTACGACAAGCATATGACCGACATGTTGCACACCTACATGGATGAACTGGCTGTACGCCATGATCAACAAGTTGTACAGGAGGAACAGCTGCAGCAAGCTGAAAAACACGATCATGAAGAATGCTGGGCTGAAGCTGTTGCAGCCGCCAACGCCGCAGCCGCAGAAGCAACCGCGCACGCATACCACATGCAGGCACAATACATAGAACTGCTGACTAGAAGAGCAGCGGTCTCCTCGCAACAAGCAGGGATGCCAACATCCTCAAACTCAAAGTTGTCAAGTATTCAGTCATCAAAAACAAGCACAACGTCGCAAGTTATTTCTTCATCCCACTTGTACGATGTTGAGGACGAACAAGGGCAACAGAAGCAGATGCTATCTTTACACCAACCAGCACTCCCCGCATCGAAAGATCTTACCTCTTCGAACTGTGGGAACTTTAACTTAACCTTTCATCGAGATGTGCGACATGATGTTGATCCAAGAACAGAAGTCAGATCAGAAATTAGAACGAAAGCAAAAACTGAAGTAGACTCGAACCAGACCGATTATCAAGCAGTCAACATGGAGAATTGTGGTGGTCGTGGTGAAGAACTGGCACCACAACACCATGAAGAAGGGCTCTCTGAATTCCTATCGTATCATAGCAGCCCGATTCTACACCATACTGGTCAACTGGCACTTGTCGCCCATGATACCCTTTCAGCGACGCATGAGCAGCATGATTACCATGAGATGAACCGTCGGCGCAACTACATGTCTCACGACCAGCGCCATCATCTGTTTTTGTCGATGAAAAACGAGAACCAGCAAAAGGATCAACTTGATGCACGGATGAGTGGAGCAGGCCCAGTGCACAAAGGTCGTGGTGCCACGAGTATTGTCCGGAGCCGCGACGATCCAACTGGTGGAGGAGTTCAAGGACTAACTAAAGACGGTGCTTCACATACTGGAGGAAAAGAAGTTATATTATAACATTGACAAAAGTATTAAGGGTACTGTTGGAGGTTTTTCTAGTCCTGTCACTTATAATGATGAGAAGGGTGCTCGTGGGGGCGCAACTACTAGCTGCCCTTTAAGGCCTCTTCTAAGGCAGGTGCGCCAGCAAAGAATCAGCTGCTAAAAAAATCATTATCGCACGCGACAAAGAACTCCAAAGGTGGATCGTCCCACAAGGAGGAAAAAACCAAGGGCCCAGGTGGTGGCGGACAAAAGGAAGAGGAGAAAGAATATCCTCGAGCGGTGGCTGAGAGAATATTTGACTTACTCCAAATTATGTACCTTTATAGTCGTCATCTCATTTGGGGCCTTACTTGCTAGTCTTAGGCACATTCCCCTATACACAAGTGTCCCTCCACTGCTCGCACAGCCCGGCCGCAAATCAAGATTGGCTACCTTAGTGTGTACACATTGAGGTGGCTTAGGTCCAGCGACGCTTAAGGCCATGCTGGAGGAGACGGGTGGCTCCTCTCCTCTGCCGGTAGTGGTTTGACTCATTGTAGTAGATTCTTCGTGGGAGGGTCGATTGTGTTTCACAGGCAACTTTTTCTGTTTGGGTTTTTCCTTCCTCCCCCACTCCTCTTCTTGTACATGATTTCTATTATTGTGTTTCTCATGATCTTTTTTCTCTAGGTGATTCCTTTTCTTCTGTTGAATGTTATGTCCTCTCCTTTCGTCCGTTGTTGTTCTCGTCCTCGTTGTTCGTTTGTCAGAAATGAGGCTCCTTGATAATTTCTCTGACCTTTATATTCCTAACTAATAGTAACCCTTGTGTCTTTTTTGTTTTCAATGGGCAGAAGTTAAAAGCCGCGAATAACCTCAACAAGAAGAAGAAGTCCTCCGTCAACAATAGCGCTTTAGCAAGAGGAGGAGGAGGAGGAGGCGCTGAGGATGGAGGAAAGAACCGTACTGGAGATGGTGATAACGCCTTAACGGGAGGAGGCGCCGAGGGAGGAAAGAATCGTACCGGTGGTGGAGGTGGTAAGACTGTAATGCATCTAACGCAAAAGTAGCCATGCCGACAACTTCTGCGGCTACGATGGATCATGTTGACGCAAAACCCTTGAGCAAAGGCGATTCTTGTGATAAAATTGATAATTCTGCTTTTTCCACAACCGCCGGCGCGAAGACGGTGTCATCGAAGACTGCTTCTTCGGGGGGGAGAATGACCTCTAAGAAAAAGAAGAAATGGGAGAAGAAAGATCCAGCACACCCAACACCACCTCGAAGCGCTTCCCCTCCTGATCCTGTAGTACTTCAACCCGGGTATCTTCAGGCCTCCTCTCGCGGGCACGTGGCTCACCACCAACAACATCGTGTCCCTGTGCTGCGGCCCTTCTTACTAGCTCCCGAGCATGTCATGCATTTCAACAACATGCAACAAGCACATCACGCTGCTGAACAGCAACTGGTGCCCGCTAGAGCAACGCCTCTGCCTTCTTCCACAATGCTGCCAGAAAGTGGACCCACTGCAGCGATGGGCCCTCATAGTCATGGTAGTGCAATGCGTATGCCTCTACTAGGCTATCATCCCGCGAATCCATAGTTGCCTTTCCCTCAAGGATTCTTAAGCCTGCAGCACCACGCGCACGCAGAGGCTTTGATTTCGCAATATGCCGCTTCGCAGTATCATGTATCCACTAGCATTCCTCAGGCGGACCAACATCACGGGAAGTAGAAAGATTTTTGATTATGATTTTTCAGGATTGAAGTTCTGCCGTGACAAGACAGATGCGACCGTGGTGCATGTGTCTCTGATAAGGGCGATAGAGCTTTCAAGCTTTTTTTGAATACTGTGACGACAGACTCGTCGCGGAGCTTGACCAAACTTTAGGTACTGAAATATAAAAAACAAGAGGACGTCGACATCGAGAAGCAACAGGCTAAGACAAATACGTCAACAAGAAGGTCGCCAGGATGATCCCTGCATTGAGCATATATGAGTGCCATATCGTGTGACCAAGACTGTTGGCAGAGACGGAGATGTTGTCTTCATCATATCTAGAATTTAGACTTCATTATTGTTTCTCGTGCCTACATCATGATGTAGGAGCGAACTTCGCTGATGGAGTTCCACTAATAGGGGTTCAGCCATTTACAAGTGCCGCTGAAGCTCGAAAGAACGTGCGAGGCCGAACCAAAGAATGCAGAAGAAGTCGACACGAATGAAAGAGAGGCGATTTTCAATGTGCCAGCAATTCTGTAGATGCAGCGAGAGGTCAGAGACATTCATTGCTGGTGTATTGCTATTATGACGTTTTAGGCAGGTATGTGAGCGATCTAGTGAATTGATTATGAGCGACGCGCGAACAGCATGATTTTGATGGAGCCTTGAGGTGTGGTAGGTTTCTGAAGAAAGTAGGATAGAGAGCCATGGTTTACGTTGAGAGACAAAATTTTGGATGTAAAACCGTCTCACTGATATCGTGAAGTTGAATGCGATCGCAGTTCGTGAGTGTCTACGTTTTTTTCATTTACCAAACCCCCACTAGGGTATAATTTTTAAGACGAAAATAAGTCGTTTTCATCGTCGACGATCCTGAAGTTAGTGGTCGTCAACCGGCACAGAGAATGTAAGACGAGGATGTTTCTCGTCAACAATAAACATCAGCATAGTCAGAATGGGCGGCGTTGCGAAGGATGCCCAGGTAAACGACCGCTCTGTAAGCGGATGGACAAAATCAGAGATCGGTTGGAGCACCGGAGAGGAGGAGCATGCAAGTTCTATCCATTGGATTCGGCAAGAACCATGGGATATCACCGCTCAACAGGAATACGTTCGACAGCAGCTCGCGCCGCCCCTGAAGTCGGAAGCGCCGTTCTTCTACTGCTTTCCGCTCTTGCTCGCAGGCAGTCTTTTTATGCTGCTTCACCGACTGCTGGCGCCACGAGGAGAGGAAACGAACTCCGAGCAAACACAGCGACAGCAGCGATATGAAAATATTATCGCGCCTCGTGGCGGAGTTCCTCGTCATAGGAATAGCGATGGACGAAGTAGAGGACGCTCCTCCCCAGTAGATGACGAGGAAGCTTCTAGAGTTGTTCTTCCCTTTTCTACCTCACCCTCCGATACTGGAGAAAGCAGTAGTAGTGAAATACTGGTCGTCACCTGGTTGAGAAATGCGATTTTTAACGTTTTTATTCCTGCGCTGTTTTTACGGCATCTCTGGATTCTGGACGTAACTGGTGAGATTGTCCGAAAATATACATGGTTTTAAGGCTACTTGAGAAAATCCAAATCCATCTTTGCCGCCAACATCTGCTAGGCCTTATTTTCAAGGTAAATAAAACTGGGAACAATAGAAGATGCTCACCGAAAAGATGGATTTATAGCAGTTCCAATGGTTGTCTCCAACCGTACACATCTGGTGGCTGCTCCTCTCTTTTCTTCTGGTCCGCAAGTGCTGTTTTGTGCCGAAGAAGTCGAGAAGCGCCGCTGCGGATCATGGGAACAGGAGCGAAGATCCTACTGGCTACAATTTCGGGATAACGTGCTCGAGAGGGCAGTTTCGTACTGGCGCTCCTTTGTGGCCACGTCGGGGAACAGGTTTTCGACCGGATGGCGAGTTTTACATTGACGTCTCTGACGAAGAAGCTGAGGACCAAGAAGGTCTAGACGTGAACACCAACAACTTCTCTAGTCCAAGTGACGACGAAGCTCCACAAGATGGAGAGAGGAACAATTATCTTTACGAGAAGTCGCACCAGTTCTATCATCCTATAAAAAAAGTAGGTAGGACCACCACATCTTCATCTAGATCTACTACAGCAACACCAGACGACGAACGAGAGGGGTTCTTTGAACGAGATGACGACGGAAGGCACTCTCCTGATGACGACGAATGCGAATTCTTCCACGGACAGAGGGAAGACCCCGTGCTGAAAACCGAAGCAGGAGACATTCACATGACCGGTGATACGACACCACCCCCGCTGAAGAGCGCAGGATCGGGGCCAAGCCTTCACAACTTCATGCTGTCGTCTGCTGGAACGACAAGAGCGTCTACCAAGGCATCAACGCAAATATCGACTCCCTCGGATCAGGAGGTGCATCAAGATAACACCAACAATTATTTGAAAACACCATGATTTAGACTTAGAGTTTATCGGGATTATCAGATTTACATTGTGATTGTTGTATTTCTTTGCTGCTTGGCAGATTCTTCTATTTGATTCTAGTACACTTTCGCATTAGCTCTTTGAGGTCCGTTGGTTTTTCTGAAAGATGGTAAGCGCACTTGTCAAATCTAGGTCGAAAGTGCATCGAGTGCAGACAATGGACGAGAAAGCGGCAGCCTTTCGCAACTCGACGAGTGTGATTTGATCTCATCCGGCTTGGAGAAACAGGAGGATGTTGGAAGAGGAATCGAGACGTGGAGGATGCCTCAGGCCTCAATGTCGGCGCTCAGTGTTAAGGCAAACATTATATTATTGTAGCGATGGTGCACGTCTAGGTGAACGTGGAGATGGATAGTAGGATAACAGAATTTGAATATATGACTCAACCACGTGGGGAAAAGGGGACGCGTAACGCATATGCAAGGCAAGACGTGCTAGGCGGAGACTGCTCCGCAGGGGTCAAGAATCGCCGTTACCCCTCTGCTGTTCTAACACGGGCGACGCCGCGGAAGGATGGTTACTACTGGTTTGTAATGGCTGCATGATGTCCTTTCTCTATCCTGTGGTCGCCGATGCACTTGGTGCGGAAGCAGTTCAAAACTTGATTTGGTGGGATATAGTCGGAAACGCCCCAGTGTGCCAATTCGCTTTGTTTTTGATTGCAGCACGCTATGGAAACGCCTACGGAAACTCTGCTGGAGCAGCCTCCTCCTCTCAACATAAGCAAGGAGACTATAGAAGTCCATCATTGAAGATGTTCCACGAAGATCATAGTAAGAGAATTGAACAACGAGATCGAGATAGAAGGGAGAATGGTCGTTCTAGTTCGGAAGGTCGGAGCGGATCTTGGAGCAGAAGAAGTGGTCGCACTAGTTCAGGAGAGCGGCGCGCGCTGTTCGGAGATCTTAACTCATTGCCTTCAAGCCGGAGCTCCTCGCGCGAGACAGTCCTTACGATGTCTCGGATGGATGCCCGCTGGTTCCCGTCAAATGGAAAACTTCACCGGAATGCGAGAAACGAACGCTCGTCTAGTACGGAAACGAAAGACGTGAAGACTTACCAGAACACCGGGAAAGTCCTGAACACGAAAAATGGACAAAAGCAGGCACTGTTGAACACCTCGATGAATGGACATCACGCGAGCTATGGGGCAACGCCAAGTAGTGGAAATTCAGAGTTATCGCCGATTGGCTGGTCGTCGCGCTCACGAAGGCAGTCGCGCAGCGCATCGCAAGGTCGACGACCTTCTGAAGGTAGCGAGGACACGCTCGACACTGAGTCAGACTGCGGCGAGCCTGGTGACTATCATAACGTCCGAAAGTGGAATCGAGAAGGAGGTTCGTCTTCGTTCAGGATATGGCTCAAAAAGGTTTTCTTGGTAGCACTATGTATAATAAAGCTCGGTTTCTACATCTTTCGGATAGGGCAGTACCATAAAAGTACACATATGACAACTTTTACTTGAACTGATTGTGCCTTTCTCGTCTTCTACATCTAAGAAGAAGCACGCACGATCGACGGCGCGAAGTCTATGCTGGCATGCCTCTGGAGGAGCTGCTTGCCGCTTCAGAGGGAATGCGTTCCTCCACCATGCTCCGATCACGGTCAGCAAGGGACTCGTCTTCTTAAGGCTTCCACAAAAATCCATCTTGTTCTTGAGAAGCATCTCTACTTGATGCGGAAACCCCTGATGGAAGTGAAAACATGTCTTTGTTTGGTGTAGTCCCTGAAAGCATGTCTCTTTTTGGTGTAGTCCCTGAGCGGGAAAAACCGGTCGGTAATTTAGGGTGTGGTGTGTCAAGATGGATTGATTCAGGGAATTTCTAAAGTTCTGCTGTAGGGGGCTTCATTCCACGGGACGGCTTTCTTTCATGGTGGTCTCGGATGGGTGGACCTCAGGACGTGCCGACTCAGTATTTTGATTCCATTAATCCTCGACCCTCGAAAAGAGTTCCGTCGGTGGGAGTGCCGAGCAAGCGCCTGTGGTCGCAAGAGCAACGAACGCAGCCAGACGTGGTTCTGGGGTAATATAAGATCGATTTCGTTTGTATATTACCTAAACTCGCTAGGCACAATTCTATATTGCTTTTCTTGTAGTAATACGTGTTGTTTTTCTATGCTTCCACGTACTCCCATGAAAGGATGTGATGATAGTGTGCGTTGACCATAACAAGAGCGCCTCAGCAGGTTCGCACAGCACGCGCGGATTACGCCAGAGAACGTGCTTTATGGGTGGGTTGGTTTTCAGGCACGGCAATTTGGCGTCTTCTGTTGTAATGCTTACCAGGCAACATTGGGACGTGTAGTTCAGGCAGTCTCGGTAAGTGAGGTTCCCACGAGGATGCGATCGCAATGTGTCGAGATTGTACTTCTTCAACCAATTTTGCTCGCCATTGTCCTCGGGGTAGTTTTCAATGCCTGCAGCATCAAAATGCCACCGGCGCTCGACCGCGGTTTAGAGTATAATCTGGTTAGTAAGTTTTGTCTAAAATAACCAGGTACTAGACGTGTAGACATGTCACAGAACTTGGCAAGAAAGACACCAGAAAAGCAAATCCAGGCAAGACGTAGGTGACACGCGACGCGTTCACTAAAACTCAGAATTACATGTCGATTACTGGCGAACTTCGCGTTTGAATATGTCTAGCCTCAAACGGACCACTACAACGTTACAACAGGTTACTGGCGTCACCGTTTCAGGTGTGTTTGTATTTTTTTGCGGGTACCAAAGCTGACCTCTTTTCCATGAGCGTGCGCGATCGCCTTGCTTCGCGCGAGGTGCTGCAACTACTCGGTAGGGCGCTTCTAGTCCGTCTTGTCGTTGTGGGCACTATTATTGGTGCTCTTTTCGCGGGTTTCGAGCGTTCTCGCCTGCGAGCACTGGCGGTCCTCGCGGTTCTCTCGCCGCCTTCGAGCTTTCCGGTACTTCTCGTAGACCTTTTTCGCTTTCCAGGTGTGTTTTCGCCGCTGACGGTCTTCCTGTGGTCATTGGAGATGCTTCTGTGCTTCGGACTTCAGAACTTCGCGCTCTTCTGGATCAAAGCGTCTCATCAATACCCTGACGAAATTGTGAAAAAGAACCCTGACAAGAAAATGGCCGCACCATCATCATCAACCTACATCGAGAACAACGAACTTGCAGATCATCATGGAGAGCTTCAACACGGCAGAGAGGAGGACACATTGATGTTGTCAACAGGAAATCACTTAACAGTAGACCGAGAAGTAGAAATGGACATAAGGCCACCAACAACATCCTCAGAGAAATTAAGGTCAGCTTTTACCCATCTTTCTCGGCATCTTGGTACCCTTTTCCCTTGGATTTCATAGGAAAGGGGGGTGTGGGAGATGGATAAAAGCTGAAGCTAAAGAAAAGCCCTCCCTCACTTGCATTAGTTCAGCAGCACGAAACCCTACTAGGCGGCGGAAACGCTCTAGAAAAATTGGCCGGGCTTGCATCGTCGCCAACAGGACACGCGGCGGCGACCGCGCTTATGGCGTTAGGGCGCCGCGCCTTCGCGCGCCCGAGGCTCCCCGCAGCACGAAGGCAGAAGAAATTGAGACGGGCTCGAACGTTAAAAAGCGAAGTTGATCAGAGCGCTACGACTCGCCAAGTATCTCCCGCCAAACCAGACACCGCAACGAGAGGTTCGAAGATCGGGCCACGAAAAGCGGCCTTGGGAAGCCAAGGAAGAACGATAGATCGCCATAATGAGAGGGAGCAGATGAATTTTCCGGATCGGGCAGAGAACTCGAATCTTTTGAGTGATTCGGTCGCGCAGAGGGAAGCAACGCCGACCGAAATCAACACAAGAAGTCATACCATTCGAACAAGGAATGTGGGCTCCGAAGTTTCGCTGCTACAACAATGGAGTGGAGGGGAGGTCTCAACCAAGCTGACGGTTTCTGAAAAGCGAAACGAGAAACCCGCTCGCGACTACTCCACAATGCTTGCTGCTATTCACGCGGGCTCATTAGACTATAGAACTGTGTTGAGATGATTTGATTTTTTTGATTGCAGTACCACCTGGTACCATCGTAAGTTTTGTTTTATGTAGGTGAATAATATATACTTTCGATTTCCTAGAACTGATGAAAAGTTGTTGAAGGTACTTGTATGATTAGATTCAGACTACCACGAACATGGAAATGAAAATTTTGTTTCTTATTTGCGGCCGCGGCACTTGCATGCCCAACATGAATACTGACTATAGAAGAGAATTAGAAGATGCGAGACGAAGAGGTCGGAGGTGCTCTGACGGGTACTTCTAACTGTATCGTGACTCAAGCAAGAAAGCCTTGATCGATTAAAGATTCCCATAAGTCTTGTAGTTTCACCCGGTCAGTCCTAAGCGCACAAATTTAATGATTCATGGGGAAGAGGAAGTGAAGGACATCTTGATTTCTCAAATTGAATACTGGATAGTTCGTTGACCTTCACTGGATGAAATATAATGACTACAACCACAACGATAAAAATCGTATTGGACGTAAAATTCTGAAGTTTATTTTTGCTAACGTACTGCGGGGCTTCACCTCTGGGGTCCCGCCTTTCATCATAAACGTAGACGTAGATGTAAAAGCTGTCAGTCAGCTTCTGACTCATTTTCCAGCGATCTCGATACCTGAGATGCGATGATGATGAACGTATTTTTGGTAACTATAATGAATTGAATGATTCGAATTTTTGGTATAGAGTGGGTAGTCCGGAAACATCGTTGATTCGAATGAATCTTTTGCCTGCCGCAAACCGCTTTTAAGGCGAGCAGCATGCTGCTTCTGTGAACTTGTACTACAAATTACTTTTTACGATTTCTGTGTCGTACATGTTTTCGAAGGTAGACGCAAAAGCATCAACAAAGTGACTGCAAGAAGTGGAGATAGAAGTTACCTTAGATCTAAGATCGCCAGGACGTTTATGCCCTCTGTCATCATCGTTGCCACCAACGATCTTCCAGAAATCGTGGGTGACCAGATAGATTAAGCCGAAAAGGTAATATTCGAAAAAGTTTGTATCGCAATCTACTCCAGATGACATTTATCGGTTGCTGCCACATATTTATCGGATAGTATCCCCATCGTCGTAATCACAGGTCATTCAGTTATTAGCATCGGGGGCTAGCGGCGCGTCGGGAAAGAGTTCTGATCTGTCAAATGTCGTTTCATTCTGTGTCAACATTGCAATATTTCGGTTCTACATTTGACCTCTGCAAAGTGCATGCTGATCAGGGAAGTCGGTAAAGCCAATTGATATGTTTGACGATGACCCAGAGTACACACACGCACACACAATTTCTTGGATCAGGAACAATATAGAACAAGGAAATTGTAGGAGCCTCCCATGGCAACTGAAGAATAGCAGTGTGCTTTAGCAATTTTTTGTGAATCCATCGTGGCTTGTATTGTGGACCCTGCAGTAAACCCTGAAACAAGCCGTTTGCATGACATCCAGAGATATTCTGTTGCTGATTTTCATCAAAAACAATGTGGCAAAGATTTTTTGGAAACTCAGGTCCGGAGGAGGGAGGCACAAACGCCCTCACTGCGAGTATAAACGAGTTGTTTCAGAGTCGGCCAGAAGGTACTTGTCTACATATGTCATTTCCACTTGGAACTGATTGAATCTTCCGTTTTGTGTATTGTAACCTTGAACTGCAGCGCATTGTTTCCTCTTCCGCTTCTGTGCAGATTTCCTCGTCTCCAGCGGTCTTGATGTGTGCGATGGCGAGTCTGGCGCGCAGGAGCATCCGAAGACCTGCAGACAACTGCCGGGCGCAACGGGGCGCGAGAGGAGTAGACAAGCAAGTGGAGGAAACCATTTACAGCATGACATGGAGCGAGGGGAAGGACAACCGGGTTTTATGGCACACACCAAGCAAAGTCGGCGTGCCGCGTCAGCAGCGCCGGCTTCTCCGAGAGACTGGCAGACAACACTGCGACCGTCCGCCAAAAGTTCGCGTACTATTAGCGGTAGCGGTTCCAGCGCAGGCTTGAGCAACCGGCGGTCGTGTGGAGGACCTTCGCGAAAGGACTTCCCGAAGGGGTTAGCGTCAGAGATTACCGGATCCGCGGGTCAAGCTCATCCTGGTGCTGCTGGTGGTGAAAAGACTTTGGCTGGTACAAGCAGTGCTAGCGTGCGGGAATCGATGAAAAGCAGGGGAGCAAGCACAGGAGCAACAGTGTCATCGGCCAGCACGTCTGCAGTTGAAAGGACTAGAACAACGACCACGTCGCCTCCAGTTACATTGCGGAATTGTCCTAGTGGCCAAACAATGCCAAGAGCGCCACCGGTGCTGGCTTGTAGCCCAGGAGGCGGGTACGTGGGCGCCAGCAGGTCGAGCCGCAAGAACGTGTATGGCATCACTGCTGGAGCTGGGGAGAGCCCGCCGTCGCTTGCGGAGTGTGGCGCGGCTGTCTTCGGTTTGGATCGCTTTGAGGGTCTCGACGCATCTTCTGGCAGAGGTAGAGTTTTTCATACTGTAACTGAATATAGTGCTGGTGGTAGTGGAACGTTGTTCGAAAATTCCTCCGCCAGTTCGGCCTCGGCTTCTTCTATGCGGGGACGTCGCGGCGCTCCGCGCTCCGCCTGTCTCTCGGCCTGCGTGTCGGCCCAAGACGGCATGGGAGCCAATTCGCCGCTGCGGCGACGAGGAGTGAGCCCCAGTTGTGTGGCGCCAGTAGAAAGTCCGGATATTCTTGGACCCACAAAAAGAATTGGACCACCACCCCCTCCATGCTCAGCAGAAGCGCAAAACAGGCAGCTACTCGGTTTTTCAAGCGCGGCCACCGACCACTCGTGGCCAACGTCGTATGGTCAAAGGGGAGCAGTTGGCAGTGGTGATGAAGTGATGCCAAGCACAGCGGGGGGCTTCTTTGGGCAACCTCTGGTAGATTCGGCTCGTGAACGTGGCCGGTCGCTGCAAGAGTCGCGTGTCTTTGGAGGGCAGATGATCGGGCTGATGATGCCGAGAATATCCCTCGGCACCAGAATCGGTAGTCGCAGCAGTACGCCGCGGTGTGCGAGTGGGCTGAACAACATTTTTAATCCGACGTCCGCTAACGGTGACGCTGGAAGAAGCCTGCATCTGTTCCCAACGCCGCGGTCTGCTGCATCGAGCGTTTCACCAAGAAAACGTGGTATCGAGGCGATTTCGCGAATCGGTTTCAGGACGTGTTCTCTTTCATCTGCAAGGCACTACGGTGTTCCAGAGGACATACGGAAGCAGCAGGAGGCCATCGATGCCCAAACAGCAACGGCGAATAGAGACTATTCGGAGCAGGAGCAAAGGGTTGTGCTCACGCCGTCCCTTGGAGGAAAGCGCAGGGAGCCAGGTGTGCTGGAGGACGATGGTCCATCGCGGGTGGATTCGCTCGCGTGCTCGCGCCAGGTGTCGTTTGATGCTGTCGTGCTTGGATCCGCAGAAGCGTCATCGAAATCGACGTGTCGCGAGGAGGATTCTTCTAGTCATGGTGCAAAAGAGACTTCTAGGAGTCGGAGTTTGACTCCTTTGCTGCAAGATAGTGCAGCTGATAATAGTTGCACTAGCTCCGGTGCTCCTGCACTGAAAAAGAGAAGGCACAAGGACAAAGCGCGTGCTTTTCGTGCAGAAGTGAACGAGACGCGGCCACACCAAGAGGCGATTAAGGATGACACACATGCTATGGATACTCGGTTGCGCAGCCTTTTCCGTGGTGATGCGCAGGCAAGCGAGACGTCGCTCAAGGCAACCGAATCCGTGAGGCTTACTTCCACGGCTAGCTGGGCTCCCGCGAGCCGAGCCGGCAGTTCGGCGCCTGCGAGTCGGACGGTCTCCAGCGCGCATGCAGCTCGAGCAGTCTTGTGTGATATTGAAGATACCTCACGTGCGGAGTCGTCCGGAAGCACCACTGTTCCACAGCTCATCAATCTGGCAGCTACAGCGCCAACCTTTTCTGGGAAAGAAGATTTGCAGCCTGAGAACAAAGGCGCGTGCGTCGCTAACAAAGATGTCGGCTCCGCTGTGAAAGTAGCAAGCACAACGACAGTCGAAAGGGGCGGTCCGCACGGACGGAAGCGATTACATCACCACAACCTCATTCCCCCTGATGCGGAAGTCAAGCCGTCTTCTCTCGCGGACGACGCAAGCAACTGTGCGACAAAGAGTGTGAGCGAATGCGCGGAAGCTCCAAGTCTAACCCGTAGCTCGAGAAACGGAGCTGCTACCACGACAAGGAGTCGCTCACCGACTCCACCTGCCTACAAAGCTTTGCCTGAAAAGCGTGCGCGGCCCTTTATTCCTGGTATTAGTAATCGGAAAGTGACATATCATCATGGATGCGCTATCGGAGCGTCTTCTTCGGAAGGTAGTCAATCCATCAGTGTCGATGTGCTCTCGAGACTGCAGCAGTTTCAACAACAGAACCGCACCGATATCAACGTGCATGTGAACACAGTAGGGTCGGCTTCATCACGTGATAACGCTGCTCGTGCACTATTATCCGAAAAAAATCTGCAATATCCTGTGATAAAAATTTCCAGTGATTTCTTGTCGCCAAAAGAGCCGGCCGCTGATGCAGACCAAGCTGCGGCAGGTGGGGTGACGAGACACTCGCCACGCGCTCAGAGGCTCGGACCACCTGGTGTTATCACCCGCATCGCGAACGGCCGCATCTGCGCTGCGACTGAGAGTGAGAACGAGCCGGCGGTTTATCCTCCAAACTCGGATCGAAAGGGCTATGCGCGCGAGCTGAAGCTGCAGTCGCTACAAAGCCGCCGAGCCGAGAAAAAGCGGCGGCAGGGGCTCGAAGAACAAGGCGGCAGCAGCTCCTCGACGTCGGTTGCTGCGCGACCACGCGATCCCCCCTCATGCTGGGAAGGTTCCGCCTCAGCTACGGCAGATCGGACGCGAGAAAATCACAGGAGAACGGAAGCGGCGACTCAAGGTGGAGGATCACGTCGACACGACGAGGAATCCGTGATTTCGAAACATAGTGGCTGCTCGGGGACAACGAGGACAGGCGCCGAAGAGACAGGCAAGGCATCCAAGGTGTCAATACTACTGCCACAGAACTTCAAAGTCGAAGACGGAAAAAGTGCAGGCTTTCTTCACCGCATTGTTGCAAAGACGGGTGAGGGTATTTCAGGAGATGCAACAAAGTACCGATTTTCGCGTGGGATGCTAGTGCCACCGAATGTGAATGCTCACGTGGCGGGTACAGGAAATTCGCAACCGATTTCTTCTCCGTATCGGGCTCGATTGTCGACCGGTCGAAAGATACTACTGTCTCCAGAGAAGGACGGCGTCGACATCTTAAGTCTGGACTCCGCAAGTTCTTGTTCTCCCTCGACATCTCTCAAAGACAACACCACGATTAGGCAGCAAGGCCATGCGGGCACGCAGGGAAATGGTTTTGGCGGTCCATCATCTCGAGGAGACGTCAGCAGAAGCACAAGTAAGGACGTGACTACGCGGGATTTTGTGGAATTGGCTTCTAAACAGACGAGTCCAACTGAAGTTGTGGCGCCTCCATCATCAAGCAGCCTCATGTTCTATCCAAGCCGTTTCAGTGACGAGGAGTCAGACAACAACTTTATTGTCATGACCTCAGTGGTTGGGGCTGCGGAGTTGCACAGCATGCATCCAGAGCGAAAGAACTATTCTACAACACCCGCACTTCATCACCAGAAGCAAATAGTGGGCACGTCAGTGGAAACCGCAAGAGGCGTCGGCTCTAGCATGCGAGCGACTGGCGGTACTGATCAGAACACCATTACTGTCGCATACGAGCCCACTCGCAGTAGTGGCGAATGCGAAGGTGTCGAACACAGGCAGGTTATTGATCCTGTAATACGAACACCGCTAGAAGACGATCGACACGCCGTAGAGACTGAAGTTGTCTACGCACCACTGCACCAAGGGGAAAGAGCAATCGTATCGAGTGTTGAAAATTCTAGTCTTCCGAAGACAGCCGCTGGCTTGTCGGGTTTGCTGAGCAGGGAGCGAGAGGGTTCGACGCCAGCAGAGCGGCGAGGAGAGTCCATGCATCTCCTGCCTTCGGCGGGTAGTAGAGGCAGCACTCCAGTTGCCTTCCAAAGTGTAGAAGTGTTACCACAGGAAGGAGACCGTTTCTTCCCGGAAGGTTCAACAGGATCGCATCCGGAGAGACAAAACAAGATTATTTCTAATATGCGAGCTTCCTTCGAGGCTAGTAAGGAGCCTAGCACAAGTGAGTGCGTCGTTTTCAGACCAAGCGATAATAGTGCTGGTTCATCGTCTGAGCACGAACACCACATCTCCATGAAGCCTGGTACAGATGGTAGTTTCGAAGAACAGGCTGCCGCAAAAGATCGGAAACAAGACGGCTTTGCGCATCTGCTAAGGGAGTTCGATCGCGAAAAGATTCTGGTCGTTTTGAATGAGAAGCTAGTGTCTCACGGACCAGCAAAAAGCTCTCCTGTCTATCCTGAGGACTCCTCCGTTGCGGGTATGTTCAACTCGCTCTTGCCATCACATGTCAATAGTGCCAGTCAGAACCACGCGAACCACGGTGCAATATTTGTTCCTCCAGGTCATGTGGAGCCTGTAGTAGATGTTCTACAGCAGGAACTAGACGAGAAGACCTCTGAACAAGGGATAGCAGAAGTCGTTGCAGGTCAACATCCGCACATGCAAATAGCGTCATCGCCAGCTGAGAATGAAGACAGTGCATCAGTTGATAGTCTGGTGCCCATCACTTCTGGCGTTGGACTCTGGAACAGAGGAAGTCATTTGATGACTCGTCGTGTAGTTGAGCCGTCTTCTCATCTACTAGTACGCGCAGCAGAGAAGTTAGTACCTGTACCTCGACCTGAGACTCCAGACCATGCAGCAGAGATCGTAGTACCTCCTGTACCCCCAGCTGAGACTCGAGACCACTCACCGAGTTGTACTAGTCAGTTCAGTGGAAAGCAAGTGGTTCCAGCATCAGCCGCTTTGCGAACCTTTCGCGGTCTCTCACGGGATCGACAGAGGCGGAAGATGCCTACTGACACTGGACTGGACACACTGCGTCGTGACGCATCAAGATCTCGGGCAGACGCAGTAGCTGGTCGGGCGTTTTCGAAGAGCGAGGTATCATGTAGTCCTCTTTTTCGACAGTCAGGATATGGTAGTAGTGTAGCGAGGCACTTTCTCATTGGGATTGGTTTTTCCGATAGTCTTGTTCGGCTTGATCTTCTATCAGAAGTCCGTATCATGACTTACAAACAGGAAAACAGCACTAGCACTTCCGGTTGGGGCAAGCCAGAAAATCCTTTCGCAAACCTGGACCCTAACGCGGTCTCGGTCGCTGTTTCTCCTTCCGACGGTTCGGTTGTCGTCGACGGATCAAGTGGTGGAAACGTTGGCTTCGTTCTGCGAGGTTCCTCTCCAGGAGAGGCCCCCGAGTTTGCGTTGGATGAGATTCAGAAAAATGCTGAGGTAGAGGAGGATCCCTTTCTGGTGTCTTTTTCTGCCGCGGAGAAGAGCACAGCAGTTTTGTGGCCAGAAGTCCAACTCGGGGTCGAAGAGGCAGTACAGCCCGACTGCGGTTCTCTGCAAGAAGATGAACTAGAGTCGGCGCCGCAGGATATGTCAGTAGAGAAGAGGAGTGATCATGATGCGAGTAAGCCGAATATTAAAATGAAGATAGAACAACAGCAACAAAATGAGAATTCGTCAAGGGAAGGGTCGCGATCCCCGCGATTTGGAAAGAGCACACCAGACGAGCACAGCGACGCTGCAGATTCTTCGAAAGATTTTATCGGGCTCCCACGTGCATTTGTTTCAGACGAGATTCAGCTGGAATCGCGACCACGGACACCTGAGGCAATGTTGCGGGGTGTGCGAGAAGCAGAATCGCGGCAACTACCCGAGAATACTGCTATGTATCGAGAAGTCGGAGGAGAGAGGACGGCTCTGATGATGCTTGACCACAGCGTGAGTAGCGGTAGCGAGCAAAGGAAAGTTGTCTCATTGGAGGAAATCGAAGCAATGTATCTGAGCCGCCGACAGGGAGTGGATACGAAGATAGATACCGGTGTTTCCCCAGGACCAGGCGAATCACTGCGGTCTCTGTCAGGTGCGCCGCCGCCACCAGTTTTGCACATCAATCATCCAGATCGATCTCTTCCGCACGGGGAACCTACAACTAGAACAGGCCACCAGGATCGACCCCAAAGAGCAGTTATCGGGGACTCGCCTGCGGCATCCCTTCTGTCGTCTTCAAGCAATCAGGAATTTAGCATTGCGGGAAGCTATGATGACGGTGCGGGCGGAGGCTCTTCTATGGGCGATGCAGGCGTTGACAGCTATGTCGCGACTCTGAACGAACCCGAATCGCTGCAGGATGCTTTCGCGCGAAAATTTGCGGATCGTTTTGCGAAGAACAAGGCTCGCGCAGAAGCGCGGGCGCAGCGGATTGCCCTTCGGCGGGAACAGCAGGGTGGGAAGCTTGAGGGTCGGATCAGGGATAAGCATGACCACAGTACCAGATTGCGTGGTCCTGCTGGTGGTGGAAGCAGCAACCATCTGCAGAGACAGTCTGCGTTGACCCGGGCAACATCGAGGAGGCATCCTCTGGGTAATCTCAGCTCGACTTCGAGTACACCGTCGGAAGACCATAAAAATGCGGCTACTGAGTACTTGCTTCATGTTCCGTCTGGAGGACGTGAGAGTAAGGCTCGTCCACGGAGCATGAGCGCCAATCTCTACGGAAGTAAAAGTAAACCGAAATTATATTCAGAGAGGCAGCACCAACAAGCGCAAGAAGGTACAACTGTACTGAAAGCAGGAGGTCAACGCACCAGAAAGGAACAGCATCGACATTGTTCATCAAAGCAGTTAGATTCGATCGGAAGCGTGGACTCGATTGATTTCGGTGGTGGCGTTCTGAGCATTCCGTTTCCTAAGCGCAATGGGCGAGCGTCCTCTTCACCGACTGCGGCGTCGCGACGACAGCAGCAGATGCAGATCGCGAAAATGAATGGAGCTGCAACAAATGTGCAAGTCGACCAGAGAACTTCAGGTCGCAAAATAACTAGCACAGAGCAGCCTCCTGGTGCAAGCACTGTGAGAAACCACGCGAAAACGCCTGCTGAGCGAGTTTCGAGCCGGACAGCAACACCCGCTTCACTGACCTCTGGAAAAAACCTAGGGAGTGGTCACGATACCCAAAAAGATAGAGACGGCGATGATGCAAGGGCGACTGCTTCTCCGACGCTGTCCGCGTACAAGCGGGGCCGTGATTACGGTGAGGCAGTGCGAAAAGCTCAGAAGGCACGCTCGGAATCTCGAAGTGCAAGTCCACCTCCCAGACGAGACCTTATACCGCCGAAGCTGCCAAGAGATGACGCGTTAACTACAGGAGTTCCCTCAACTAATACTACTTATGTGGATACACCGCAACTACAACTACAAGCTGGCAATCGTTACAATTTTTTTGAGGGGCTTGTGTCGGCTTCGCCATCTGACGGAGAGGACATGATAGAAGAGGAAAGGCATGGCGGAGGTTCCGCAGCAGTGTCGAGGCAGAACCCGAAATCTTCACGAGTATCTTGTGCTGGACCAAACAAGAACAAAGCCACGAATAGCACAACTCCTCCAACCGGCGTGAGAGCACAGGCAGAGGACCATGTAGGTGGAGTGAATGAGCAGAATTGTCAGGAGGCGGCGAGTACTGGAGCGTGGGTGGAGCAACAGAGCCGGCGAACGGGAGGAACTGGCGATGCAGGTGGTCGACTTGATTTTTCTCCAGGCCGGCGATTTGCTCGAAGAAGTGAAGGAATAGTAGATGAGACGCCTGTCGAATCCGCTGCTCCTGATTTTGGGGCGCGAAAATTGACAACGACATCAAATAGCAACCGCAAAGCAGAAGGATTGGACAAAGTGGCAGAAGAAGAGCTGGAACAGCAAGTACCAGGTGTCGTATCCTCTTCTGGTCGCAGGGCTATTGCGAAGCAAGAGGATGCAAAGGCACACGACAGCTCTGCTACAGAGTCGGTCTCGGAGGAGTGTTTGATGTGCAACCAGCGTGGGGAAGAAATGGGAGAGCATTTTTGCAAGCCTTGCGAACGCAAGATGTACGCTGATATCAAGAACAACTTTGTCGCGGAAATGACCGATCTTTTCCAGAAGGGAAAGCTCAATAGCACGTCGCTGGCCCCTTCTTCTACTCGTGCATTGTAGTGAGTCGTGCACCGGCTGGTAGCTCCGTCTAGTACCTTCTGGTTGTATCCAGTGGAAATAATGAACGCTGCATTTTTACGACAGAAGCACACATGTTGGTTTTCTTCACTTGATTTTTCTCGTGCAGTGAATAGACGTGTCATGATGATTGCGTTCATAAAGTTGAAGGAACTTGCATGAAAATCGGGCTTGAGCACAGAATTGCACAGATAAGAGGGCTGCATGGTAGAGTAGTGTTGCGCTCGAACACATTGTCTAGATCTGAAAATGTTTGCCTCATGATAAAAGTAAGCTAGAAATAATGTCATTTTCTGTTTCTCTGTCTGGCTGCACACAGGGTCACACAACTTTAACGCACAATTATTTGTTTGTTTTGATTCCTTGTTCAACTTGTTTATTCATACGACTTAGACCACAGTCACATCGTTCAACATTGGGCTATTTTTCAAATAGAGCACACTACCTCGAGCAAAAGAATGAGCCTTATATCTCGTTTTTTCGATCATTCTTTTACGCAGCTTTGTCAAAGTATCTTGAACATTCTTGCAGACGGAAGAACGGGGCTTGTGACTGTAGTTTGACCGGGGGAGAAGAGAATCGTAGCCACTCGTACTACATCACCAACAGGATTTCTATCGAAAAGGTATGGTAATTCGGACCGGAGATCGGGAAAGTCGACCGTTCGCGCATGTCAGAGCCGGTGCAGAGGTTTTCCTAGGAATCTTTTCTTTCCGTCCAGGTGCATTCCATGAAGGAGAACCGAGGGTGAGGAGTCGATTGATCCACTCGGAGACGATAAGGTGGTAGATAAAAGTTGATAATTTTTGGGGACTTCTTTCGGGAAACTCGGTTTTTTGGGGTTTTCGAATACTTCTTCTCGACAAGGAACTCTCGAAAACCGTAATCGTGTGGAGCTAGGGCGGAGAGATGTTAATGGGACAGAAGTTCTTTGAGAAGAAGGAATAAAAGAATATCCGGAGCGTTTCCCCGCCCACTCTTTTTTCACGTAACGTGACAGACATAGTTCACTGAAGAATCATTCAAGTTCTAGAGTAGAAATAGTAGCAATAATAGAATAACACTATCGGGAACGAACTGTCTACCTGAGTTTTCTCTGCTGTCTTCGAGATGAATTATCCGCGCTTCCACAGCATCCGCAAGGATGTGGCTCCTGGAGGTCATATTCCTGGTATGGCAGCCACTGCGTCTGGATTTGCGAAGGCAGGTAGCTACAAGCGAGGGGGCTCGCTCGGTGGCGCCGGAATAGCGTCTTCGAGTAGCGGTGCGGGTGGTGCTCGAGGACAGATGAAGATGATGGGAAGCAATCAGCCTGGCGGTTATGGAGGCGGAGGCGCCTCAACACTAGCTCAACAGCAAGTGATGAACACTAGCAGTAGTAGAGGCTTCGCGAGCCGCGCAGGAGGTGGCGGCTCACATTTGTCAAGAAGCGGTAGTCTAGGATCGATGCTCCTGACAAAGCCCGAAGCGGATCCCAGAAATTGGTTCCTCAGTAGTCAGCGCAAAGAATATAATCTGACGGGAAAAACAAGGAAAGAAAAAGAATCCTTCCAGAGTATACCAGCATTGCCGACACTACAGTTCACTCCGGAAAGCACATGTACCGCATATATGTTTGTTGTCAACGTTGTCTTACAGTGGTCTTTTTAGTCCGTCTTCGTCCTATACTTTCCTTTGTAACTACTGCCCTGTCTGGGCGTCGTCCATAGGTTTTTTCTACATCTGATTTAGTGCATGATTTGGCAAACAAATGAACTTTCAGTTGGTGCAGATCCGCAGGCGAAGGTGAAGGCACAAATGTCAGGCTTGGACGCCTGCTTCTCGGATACTGTCAGGCATATCAACGACTTCTACTTCCGACCCTATGTGCGACCGGATTACACCCGCAGTGCTCTGGTATCATCTTGTTCGAGCAGACGAACGTGTTTTCACTTGTTCTCTGCGTGTCAGTGTCCATCAGTCCGTATGTATCAGGCAAAAAATTATGAGCCTATGTGCTGGATGGAAGTTGTTGTAACTTCATACTTGGATTTTTCATCGTCTGATACTTTTTTGGGTTTCATCACATGTTTGTTTCGCTCTTGCCCAATACTCAGGTACCAGATCACGAGGCAAAGCGGCAACAGCAGTATGGGGCAAAGAGGTAGGGATCTTCGTGGCGTGAGCCAGTCATGAAGTTCTGGCTGCGTATGAACTGCGGCGCGGTGCTTCAAAAAAATTTCTGTGCATAGTTCTAGGTATCCATCGCATTGATTTAGACGTTTATCGCATTGTTTAATTTTTGTTGCTGCAAGTACCGGTAGTACCATGACGATTTAACCAAAGAAACCTTGTTCATTGAGAAATTGAAGCGCCGCAGCACAGATTGAAAATAGAGATCTTTCCCCAGTAAAACCACGGATAAAAAGTAAGACACGTCACAAGAACATGGAAATCGTCCTCGTACTGCAATCCAAGTTTCTGAATGTCATGTCTCTGCAATTGGCATGGAGAATAGAGAAAGACATATCTCGTTCACGTTGATGTGGTCACAAACGCAAATTGTTGGACCCCCCTCGCTGATTATGTTCCTTCAGCAAGAATCCTGTCACCTATCTAGATCAATCTTCTAGCTGAGGTCGCACTGCGTTGCGTCATAAAACTAAAAGTCTGATACATTAAACAGTAGTAGTACAACACTCGTGCTACTGCGGAGAAGATGCATGGAGGATAAGCGGGAGTAAGTCCCACGGCGCTGGTTGCGCAATGTTGTTTCCCTTTGTTGTTTAGAGCGATAAGATCTGAATATAATCCTGTCTTGATTTCTCGCGGCAACAGAAAGCATTTCGAGAGTCATGAAAGAAAGCAAGAGGTGATTGATAGAAACTACCTAGAAGTAAACCATCACGCAGTGTGCAAGAGAAATCACAATCGAAAAAAGCTGTATCTATCGAGAAGGTTTCATTGTTATTGTACCTTTGCTTGGTCTTGAATAATATGACAGAGAAAAGAGGCATTCCACTTTTTTGCGAGTTTTAGATTCAAACGAGCCTTGGTAAAAAGGGCGACAAGAAGAACCAACTTTCTAGTAGCTAGCAGATTTTTTATATGTACTAGTAGTCAAAAGGTTCTTCCTACTTTTCTTCGCTGAATTTTTCATAAGATAGAAATTGCAAAAATGACGACCGCGCAGCCGCAGACGATTGTGGAGTTCCGCGCAGGTACTTGGTTCTCCGTGGTTTTTGCTTGTATACGAAGAAGCGCTACGAATCTTATACAGGTGAATGGAGGTTATGAAAGAAATCTTCAATTATTTTCAAGCTCCCATATTATGACGATAGGAATATATGTATGAACAAGAAGTTGAAGACTCTTGTTCGTTTTCTGAAATTTTTCAGGTAAAATGGACTGGGACGGGAAAATGGTAACACCAGATAAGAGGAAAGGGAAATTACAGCTTATCAAGGATGCTGAAGGTTTGCACCATGTATTGTGGTGGGATAGGGAGAAAAACGAAAAAATAGACGACTACGTAGTTGTCGAGGATGCTTACCTCCAAAAAGTGAACAAGTGCACAACCGGCAGAGTGTATTTCGTTTTCCTATCTTCTCATGATTTTTGATCTTGAAAAGATTGATGATATTCTCTATCTATGTGGACAACAGTTCTTGTTTAATCATCTTTTTTTAGTAAGTAGGTTAAAGACGCGGCTTTGAATAAAACTTTCGAAAATCTTTCCAGATATATTCTGAAGTACACGAGTAGTTCTGTCCGGGTTTTCTTCTGGATGCAGGAACCAAAAGACGACAAGGATGTGGACATGATCAAGAGATTTAATGATGCCATAGGTGCAGATATACCTGCTCCCCCACCGGCTGCCGCGGCCTCAGCAATTGCTGGTAGTGGTAGCGCGGCGTCGTCCTCAGCAGCAGCTGCTGGCGGGAACGCTGCTCTTCAGGCACAGCTCTTGGCGCTTTTGCAGAATGCAAACCTGCAGGGTCTTCCAAGCAGAGGGCCAAGAGTAATGTTGTTTTGATAGAAATTGCAATGTACTAATCGTTAGTGTTTAAGCAAGCACGACTAGTTTATTACCTCGGATATACTTCTCGCTCACTCGTTAGCCGCATCAACCTCGTCATCATCCGCTTCGCTTCTAGGTGAGCCTCTCAAATATTTTGAAGCCGGACGTGCTCTTAACGCTTGCGGAAGACGCGGAAGCGCTCAGAGAACTAAAAACGCATATGCCGAGTTCGCAGCAAGAAGACCAGGACGTCGTAGGTACTGACCCAGATTCACTCCAGCAGTAGAATGAACATGTTCAGTATAAAGAACAGAAATGATCTTGATGTTATTAAAGGTTGCCTACGTCCAACTAGAATTTGCACAAATACTAGATGGGTAGTGCTTACTTATCTCACGGTGTATACCTGTAACACCAGTTTTTTGAAAAGGAAGATTCTGACTTTATTGTTCAATTTCAATCTAATTCAAATTTTTGCGCTTACCACGACACCACAGATACGCTTCATTCTCCGCAGCTCAAAGAAAATATGAAAGTGTTGTCAGAAGCCATCTACAGTGATCAGCTTCCAACGCTGATGACTATGATGGGATTACCCGGCGGTGGCAACGGTTCTGAGGATCCTATGGAAGTGTTGGCGAAAGCGCTCGAACAAAAACATAAGCCATGAGGAAGGAGGATGGAAGATTGATTACCCCAAGGAATTCCACAACTGACTTCCCTCGTCACATTGTCGTCTTCCAAGTCCCCTCATCGCGGCCATCATATCGAAGTCCCCTCTTCATCGCGGTCATGAGCTAGAAGTGGTCCATCTTGCGTCGAGTTGACAGGAGAAGTGTCCCTGTCGTGATAAAGGAAACGACACAGCGGCACTTCTGAATTCGAGTGCGTCTGGTTGTTGATTGACCAGTTGATGGTTGTCCATCAACATGACAAGTTTTTGTCCCACTTCCCATCGTGGACTGATCATCCAGGAGACCCTTCTCCATTTTCGCCCAACACACATATTTTTTGATAGCCTCTTCCTCGGTGCACCTACTGCGCTGTGTTACCCACGTGTATAGAAAAAAGCTATGGGAGAAAAGCTGGTGGTCGATGGCGAAGGCTTTTGTGCTGTAGACAATAGTATGGATGCTTGGCATATTTGTTCCACTTTCGAGCGCAAACGAACGCATTGGGACGAATGAAGATCTACTCTGTCTAGTAGCGTATGAATGAAGTTCTCTGGTTAATATCTGACTGAATGCGTCTCTATGGCTTTGATGTTCTGGCGTGTAATTGCATTAGATGATGACCGGTGAATGCTACGGCGATAGAAGTCGGTACTTCCAGGTTCTGTATTTTGAGGAAATGCTTTTTCTTGGTCGGTTCTAAACGCGTTTCTGGTACATCTTCCTGCTAATTTCTATCGTCGGTCGGTCCAACGTCTGGAACATCTACGTTAGACTGGAGCTATATTCTCTAGAAAGAGGATAATACCAACCTTCTCCACTTTCTTCCCTTCCCATGCTGTGCCTCCGTGCGTTGGTGCAAGATGCTTTCGGCTTCGATTCCTGGACTATCTTCTACACCTATCCATAATTGAGTTTATTACCCATTGATATTGTCGATCTCTGTAGTACGATGGATTAATTGATGTATGTCCTTAGTGTCACTCAGGTAGACCACGCAGACGCCACGAGGTTCAGTCGCATCCGAGATGGATTGCCATTACACCATTGTTATCATCATTGATTCACATCAATACTTTGCAGAGGCGCGATATAGGTAAATGCTTTCGCGTGGATCTTCCGACTTGTAGCGAGGAAGCAATCAAAATGTCGGACAAGCCTCAGAGCGTAGAGGTAAATGGGGGCACACACATGGCAGCTCTGACTCAGCAGCCTGGAGTGATGCAGCAGCAGCCGGGAGTGATGCAGCAGCCGCCTGGAGTGATGCAGCAGCAGCCTGGAATGTTGCAGCAGCAGCCTGGAGTGATGCAGCAGCAGCCTGGAATGATGCAGCAGCAGCCTGGAGTGATGCAGCAGCAGCCTGAAATGATGCAGCAGCAGCCTGGAATGGTGCAGCAGCAGCCGGGAGTGATGCAGCAGCAGCAGACTGTGGTGCAGCAGCAGACGGTGGTGGTGCAGCAGCAGCCTGCCCCCGTGGTGATGATGCAGCAGCCAGCGCCAGTGATAATGATGCAGCCAGTGGTAGTACAAGAACAGCCAGCCATGGTCGTTCAGGAGAAAATGGGAGGGTTCGGCCCGAACCTGGTAATGAGGCAGCAGGTCGGGGTGGCGGAAGTGGCCGAGGCACTAATCTTATGCTACAGGGAAGAACGCTAAAGCTATAAAGGTTAGAGTTCTCTTCCGCGACACAGTGCTATTCTTTGTCTATGCAGAAATATTATTTTCCAAAATAACCAGTACGAGTTGCAAGTGTTCGAGCAGAATGTGATTGGACCTAGCACTAGGATCGTCTTCAACTCCACAAAGGCCGCGCGCTCTCAATGGTGGTACGAAATACTTGAAGAACAACCGCGGTTTTCAAGAAACCATAGTCTTTGATGTCTTATAACTTACTTCAAGGACAAGGACAACGGTCTAGTAGTTTACCTAACTTGGATCTTCTAACATTCGGTGTGGAAATGGGCAATACGTATTCGATTTTTTCTTTCGGGGCTGATGGAATGCAGATTGGCGATTATGAAATGTCGGAAGACAGCTCCTTGGCCGAGCGTTGTTTCTGCGAAGCGTGCAGGGAAATCAATTTGGACGTAGTGACGAGTGATCACTCGTCGGCACCCATGATGCAGCAGTTGAATAGCAACAAGATACCGGTCGTCTCATACCACAAGCCCTTCAAATGCACGTGCTGCGCTTGTCCCTGTCTCTGCACAGATGCGTGCATGCCGCAAATCGAGGTAATTCTAATTCATCGACTTGATCTTTGCTGCATTCGTTTTATCGAGGTTTTTAGTTCCGGAACTCAGATACAAATGACAAGATTACCGAGAATCAGGTCAATATTTAAATTTGATTAGCAAAATTATCGACGCTTAGAGCACGTAGAAAAATAACAGTAACCGCCAGTTGCTCGTCATATTTCCTTTAACTAATATCTTCCTTCAATGTTCATCCAACCTCCGTCGATGGAGAAACGCATCAAACTTCCATGTTGATTTGTTCCGAACCTCAGCGATTTTTCTGTCGAAAGCATTCAAAATAGAATCAATAATTTCAGGTTCACGATGGGGTTGACCGTAGGAGGCTAGGCCACGTTCAGGATCACTGCCGGTGGTGCTCATCCATGCAAGTTGTCCACGGCCCCGATGGCCTTGCCAAATATCGTGTGAAAGGTTCACATTGTCAGTTTGGAGCCTGTTGCAGGTGCGGGGATGCTGAATATTATGGTGTAAACTGAGACTGTACAAGTGGAAAATCATCATGAGCTTCCGGTGGCCTTCATCCTGTCTTCGTATTACCTGCAATAAGTATGTATCTTGTCAGTCTTGTTCTATCGGATTCACAATCTAAGAAAATGAAGTCATGGACCTGGCGAATGAAGCACCAATCGGGAAACTTACGAAGCAGTCTCCTCAGGACCTGGCAGGCTTCGCGAGATCCTTGCTAGCAGATGCGGAGACCTTCTCCATTCGCATGCCCAGCACTACTCCGGAACTCGACATGAAGTTGCTCCTTGGTACCGAAGAGACAAAGTTGTTGAATAGTGCTGCATCGGGTAGCTGCTCCTGTAATACCAATGCATAAACATATCTCACTTTTCCTCATTATTTTTTCGACATTGACGTCGTTATTTCTGGTTCTCGTGTGGTTCACGTCTTTCCCTTTGTCGCGTAGATCACTAGCTTAGCTCCATTAATTCAAGCGTGCTGTTTGCAACTGGACCGATTGACAGCACGAAGTCCATCATAACCGAATTTTTTGAATTCAGGCGCTGCTATAATGGTCGACTTTCGGCATTATCAAAACCGAGCTCGAGAGAGGCACCGCCAGCAACGCGAGCGGGTTGGTAATGCTTTTGGTTTTGCTAATAGCCGTAATCTCTTTTATCCGGCCGACTCTGAAGATGCTGCGGAAGATTAAGGCTCCCGATAATTCACCCTCAAACCATTTGAATCAACACCGATCATGACCGGCGGGAGTTTTCGACCTTCTTCATCTGTCTATCGTCTAGTTTTTACTTACACCATCCTCGACGTAGAGTCATGTGCGGGAGGGGAACTCGGCAAGAAGGGTCCCCTGCTCAATCTAACCTGGAGACATAGCCATTTTTACTCTGTTTTTTTTATCATCTATATACATCGCTGTTGCTACACGAATTGAATTGTGATTTTTAATTTCTCTAAGAAATAAGCGAGTTGGAACGCGAGGCGCTTTTTGCAGGTAGCGATAGCACAACCTTTGGCGCAACTGCTGCTACGGGAGGTGATTCCGTCACTGCTCGCAGAAAGTCCAAGGGCTTGGAAGAGGTCTAGGAAAAAACGGATGTGTCTATGACGAAGCTGTTGTCTAGAAGCTTTGTGGGAGTGAATCTCCACCCGAGCAGCTGGTAACTTCCTGCTATTGCGCCTCTACGGTGGCCATTTTAATGAACAATTCCTACTGTTCCGTTCAATCATAGTTCATAGCTAATGCATACTGCCTAAATGACATGAGATAACGACATGAATCCCATATGATACAGCAACGTCGTTGGTACGAAGGTTTTGCGTCATGACATACTCACACACAAATTTAACATTTTTCTAGTCCTACATGCAGCGCCAACCCCGACATCAAGTTATCGCTTTACATTCTTAGGTAGAACCATCTATGATACAGGTGTAATTTAAAATGCTAGTTCAAAGAAATCATGTTTATTTCCCACATTCAGCACATCCCCCTGGAAGTCACTCATTTGTAACCATGTTCATCATTCATGTTATTCATTCTGCGGGAAAGCAGTACACTGCATGCTCATAGAATTGATTTTACACCATCGAATTCGATTGTATATTAACAAGACTGCTTCTACATTCTCGGTGATGACTCCGTAGTAAACTTTTGCTTTTGATTTATTCTTATAAGTGCTAGAAGATAGCAGGAAGCTTCAGGATACTGGTTGATACTTATCCTTTTCTCTTTTCTATCTTCCTCTGGTCTTTCTTTTTTCTAGTTAGGTCGGCTCCACCACAGCTTATATGTGCTAGAATATATGGAGTAATTGATCGGATGGGGAGATTGGTGCCATCTTCTGTGTTGGTCGATTTCTTGACTATTGCAATTCGATACGTGCGACTCTTCTTGTGTCAATTTAGGGCATGATTTTGTTTCGTGCGATTCTGCATTTACGGTGATTACGAAGTCGGGTCGAGCCGACTCTCGAGCAATAAAGTTGTATAAGCGCCTTCGGCGGGAGAAAATGCACAGGTTGGGTTGAAGACAGCAATTTTGGTTTTAGGCAATGAATGTGCTTAAGGTCTTGGTGTATGAGCCAGGGACTATGGTGAAAAGGGGGTCTACGCCTCGTCTTTACTGCTGACCCTGAAAAAAACAAAAGAAGGAAAATGGCCGAATGGACTGCGGGATTGTGCGGTCTTGCACAGGCTATAGCTCAGAAAGGCGCTCTTTCTTACACAGGAGCGAGTAGTTAGAGTTGCCGGCGTCGCACTTACCGGTCCGTGTCAATCCTGTGCCAGGTATCAAAGATCGGCTGAGCTTACGTTTCGGTACATTCAGTCAAGAAATGAACTTCGTTTCGATAGATGAGCAGCATCTACTTCTGGATCCAAGGAACGATCGACAGTGAGTGGATGAAGATATGCAAGCGTTGGTGGCCTCGGAGACGTCTAGATCATTCTGTCACTCGCTCCTCATGGTGTGTGGAGAGGCACAAAAAGAAGATGCTACCGAAATTCGGTGTTTTCGTGGCAGATCAAGTCGGTTGATTGCTGTCTCCTTCTCATACGTAGTACGGCATGATACCTTGTCCTAGGTGATCTTTATCGGTCCGTCTTCATCGGTGATTAATACGCCTTTACTAGGAGTAGAGCTTTTTGTACTCCCTCGATGAAAAACAAAATGTCTACTAACGTCCGCATATCCGATTCGACGTTATTTTGACGTGTCTATTGCATGTACAGAAGCTCCTAGAATGCCTGTTGTACCTAGATTCTAAGAAGATCACTAGTTGCTAATCAATTTTTTTGTTCGTGCATCAATCTACGTTCAACTGCTCTGACGACAGAGTAGCATCATGGCAGCCTTCGCAAACACGCAGATTAGGGCGTTGCCCAGCTCTTGTGGCACCATAGCCGTAACCGATCCGGTTTTGAAGCGGCCGTCTAGTACGTCGACGACGTACCAGAATCCAAATATGCCTGCATGGATGCAACAAGAACTGGGTTTGGTGGAGCAGGAACGTATGGACGAAGAAAAAATTGGGCCCACCCTTTTCATGAAGCAGAAGGTTGGAATCCGCGACTTTGTGGAAGGAACGTTGTTATGCGCAGGACTTTGTCAGCTGATGTTAGAGGTTGATGGCTAGATGGACGGATAGTGCTGGGATAGATTTATAGATGGATACATAGCTAGATAGATACATAGAGAGATGGATGATGCAGGGATAGATAAATAAGCACGTACATAATGAGGATAGCATCAGAAGGCCTTTACCTCATGCTTGCAGAGGAGCAAAAATCTCAAAGTTGACAAGTAGAAAACATGTACTGACTCCGAAGCTTTCGCTTCGTTTTTCTCGCACAAGCTGACAGCTTTCTAATGAACGGCGTCGAGATGGGAAATGCATACGTCGTGAAGTCTTTCAGAGAAGACGGCACGATGCTAGCAGAGTTTCAAATGGAAGAAGACAGTACCTGGCTACAGAAATGTTGTTGTCCTAGCTGCCGCGAATTGAGTCTGGACCTCGTTGAAATTACGAGTAGCTCCTAAATATTAATATTAATTTTATAGTTTCATCTTGATCGTCCACGACACCCTGCAACAACCTTGAAGCATCTTGGTCTTTTGGAACCTTCAGAATCTTAAGGGGAACAAAAGATCTTGAGAAGATGCTCAGTAGGATGGGAGGACGACGATAGCTCTAATGAAAAAAGGAGTGAGACGGCAGCGATTAGATTAAACGCAGAAGGCCAGATGGAAGAAGAGCAAGGACGAACGCACGCGCGTTATAGAAAACAATTTAATTACGATCGATTGAGAAATAGTTCACGCATATCACCATGGGTTTTCACCCTGTACACGAGAAGAGGAAGATCCAACTCAAAAATAATAAGTACTAAGTATTCGTATTCCGAGTCTGACCTCTTTTTAACTTACTACCTATCACAATTATTACATGCACGTTGTCACAAGGACAAGACTTCGTCCTGTCAGCTGTTCTCGCTCGGACATGCTACTCGGTTAATAATTGATGGCTTATTCGTCATTGTCTCCAAAGTGAACTTGATAAGCAGCTCTAATATGACTGCGCGTGCTGTTCGTGTCCCTGCTTTTGCACGGCGCTTTGCCAGCCGAGGATAGAGGTACTATTGGATGCATAATCACTTTGCGAACTACATGAAGAAGGATCGTGTCAACGAACCACTTGACTGTCTTTGGCTGTTTATTGTGCTATCAATATATGCAGGATTTGGTCGTCTCCAAGGATTACTTCTACAACGAACCACATCAATGTTCTATACAAGTTCCGGTCGCTGAAGAGATTTGTAACAAACACTCGTATGCTTCAAACAGGTGAATTTGATAGTATTCGAGTACTACACCAGTGCTTTGGAGCACTCAGGTGTTCTTGTATTCTAGTCTATCGGATTTCCGAGGATATCATCTTACGATGACTCCCACTACTCCAGCGCCGATTCTCTGCATCAAGAATATTGAAACTGGGATGGTTCTTCCTGTAGGTTGCTGCAGTGCAGTAGTCACCTGCCTTATTTACTTCGGTAGATGAGGTGGTAGTGGCGGCTGATGCTTCTAAAATTTTGTGCTGCTAGCGTCTTGGCCCCTGGCCTAGCTCCCTATCAGAAAAATCGGAGTCAGCCCTCCAATTTTTTGCTTTTCTTTTTGTTCTTATTTTTTTTTCTGGCGAACAACACGATTGCAACATCTGCGGAGCAGAGCATGGGGGCGACGACAGAGCGCTTTAGGGTGAGGAGGAACGAGGAAAGAAGTGAAAGTAGGTAGCGGTAGGCTTTACCGATATGACTTCCTAGTACTTATCCGCCTTGGTACTTTCTGCCTAGCACTTTCTTCCACCAGGCCGCCTCACTCATGATTTTAGCGCCGCGCTGTAGATGACTGGCGAGGCGTGTGACTTCGCCGGTCGCGATCTCAATAGTACTAGTTACGTCCGATCTCTGCGCTTATTCTTAGCACAGGCCTGCCTCACTGATTTCGGGTTTGCTAGTCGTAGTTAATTTTTTACCTGGCAGTGCATGCTTTAGATGGTTCATCAGTAAATCAGTCATCAGTGTTGCGGCGTGTCATACCCCTGCAGGTGTGCTGACTTGCTCACGGGGCTCCGCTGCGTCGGGTTGCGCCTTAGTTTTTCTACAGGGGTCGAATGTGCGGCTTCTCCGATAGATGTAGACTTGTGGCCGAATGTACGGTCTTATGCGCCCCCAGTATGTAACTTGTATGAGAAAAAATTAGTTGAACGAGTTAATTGATTGTTTGAAAGGGCGGTGGGATATAGTCCTAACGCAAAAAAAACACTCTACGGGTGCTACGGACAGCACTATCAGAGACGTACACATGACATTCAAACAGGTGAATGATGGCAATGATGCGGCATTGGGCCACGTGCAGGATCACTGCCTCTGCTGCAGCTCGAAGCAGGTGGTGCACGATGCTGAGGGCAATGAGCGGTTCAAGGTAGTAGGTTCGCATCTACAGTGTGGAGCCTGTTGTCTTAAGGAATTCACCGTAAATACATCCTTGTTTTTGGGCAAGAGCATCCTCGCTGGAAGACCTTTTTATGTGTATAGTTGAATAAAGAAGTTGCTCATTTTGTTGTTAAATTATGAGGAGAAGACGACCGCTTAATTTTCCCTCGTCTTGCTCCCCTAAAGACGTTGAATTAAGAGGAAAACATGATTGATAGTCGCGCGAGGATTCTGCTATGAATTCTCTTTCTGTTAAAGAGGGCGCGCACGACTATGCTTCTAATTTTGCCTGCGGGAAGGCAGAGTACGAAATCACGGATTTGCAGACAGGAAACACAATTGGAAAACTTGCCAAAGAACGACCAGAAGGGATGATGGATGTGATGAAACAGCACTTTGCAGACGCGGAGATGTTCTCTGTGCGGCTGCCCGCAGAAAGCACAGACTCTGACAGAAAACTCTTGCTCGGTATATGCTTAATTATTGTTTGTCAGAAAATTTGCGGTTTGCCTTGTGATGTAATTGTAAGTGGAAATCAATTTGGGTTACATTCAGAAGTGCTTTCATGGTATGAGGCACATAGTAATAATTCATCTAAATAAAAAAACTGGAGAGTTAGCGAATCGATAGGGGATAAAATACGGCCTTTTCTTGTGTTGAATAAGGATGATGCGAGAATGACTAAATGCTTATACATTTAGGTGCAGCGATTATGGTCGAGTACCAGTATTACGAGGGTGACAACGACAAGACAGGTGGAGGTGAAGTGGGGGAAGCTCTAGGTGCTGGGATGTTGTACTATCCGGAGAATTCGCCTACAGATAATGAGCGAGCGCAGCTCTACCGTGGAGCGGCCTACACTTATGAAGACCACAACAATTTGATCACCTCGTTTCCCGGAAAAAGTATTGTCATCATCTTGAAAAGATACAGCAACGTGGATGGGAAGATGAATCGATTTACAATGAATAACTACACTTCTAGTACCTTCACATAGACAGCAAACTGATGCTCTTCTTAATTTTTCTAAGGCATTGCAGAAGGGGATATTTCGCTTTGTGAGGCTAGTGCGACGCCGCGCTTCGGCGCAATCAGTGGGGGTTCTTCGGCTCCGAGACGGGATGTTAGCCAAAGGCCACGAGCTTCATACCTCGATCGCTGGTCTGTCATGCCTCCCTTCGGCAGTTTCTTCCATTTGCCACAGTTTTCAAAAAAATTGTTTTTCGGAACGGAAAAAATACCTCAGCTGCAAAAACCAAAACAGAATTTCATGCGCCCAAGTCCAGATGTAGATGAGGAGGAAGATGATTTTATACTCTGATTCTGATGCTGCACATGTACCTCCGACGCAGGACATACATGATAAGACAAGGGAGACGCATCAAGTGACCTTCATCGCAGCTTAGAACTTTCACCCAATCTAGTGCTAAAAAGAAAGATGCTGTAGTTCCAAAAATAAGTACTAGAATGAGGTCCGTCGTGTAATTTACTACCGTTCGACGTAGATCGTAGTACAACTTCGTCTCTTTACACCCCCCTTCTGAGCATATCCTTCATTCTCCTTTGCATATTCATGAATTTTCTCCCCATAAGAATGAACACAGTGTGAAGCCCTATTGCATCGGCGAGCCCCATAATGTCGCCATCTGTCACATACAAGGTACCCTGTCATACACACACTTGTCCCGATTATCAATCAAATCTCGTGAAATCTCATGAAATCATGGCCACTACCCCTCCTCGACTTTAGTCCTCAAGGAAACTTTACAAAATATATCGCATGAAGTATTGCATGTTTGTGCGCTTTTGACAGGTTTGTGCATTCTTTCGTATTTGTTAGATCTTATGTTGATTCCTTCCACATTACGATGATAGAAATCCCCCACGGCACGCGCATGAGCATAGTTAATGTTCATAAAATCCAGCGACCACTTAGTTTTTGATCCGTACGCCAAATGAAGCTGCTAGTTAATGTCATGTTAGTTCATAACGCCATGTTGATTCTTTGCAGCGTCGAGGACGAGCATGGTCGTCGTGGTGACACAGTATATTAGAATAGCCCTTCGTAGTTTTTGTTGCAAATGCAAAAAGTAAAATGATGGACACCTAATGTCTAATCATTAACAGATGTACAGCGACGAACGTAGACTGCACATAAACCAAGTATGGGATTTCTTGGAGCTTTCATCTCATTAGCAACCCCTCTATCACAGGCTATCCATAAATGAAACACAAATAGTTGCTGAATATCGTCAGGGCGCTACCCCAATCGAAGTATGTCTCTGTGACCCTGGCACACATCGAAGCAGGCAGAGGATTGGTTACAGCAAGCACAGAGCTTGGTGGTAAGTGTACCTCACGAGGGCGAGCGAACCGAAAGCACGAGAAGAGAGTCTGAAAAACTCTGTTCGTTTCCAAAACCGTAAAATTTTATATCATGTGCGTCGTCCAGGTCCATGTGGCAGTGATTTGCCGCGTGGTTAGCAGGTTGCGATACTAGAGATGAGATGTTGTGCCGCAGCAGTAGCGGAGGATGCAAAGGTTGAACTGAGAAACAGCGTGTTCAGGCCTTAATGCGCGGCAAAAATTGTTATCCATGATCCCCAACGAAAACTAGCGCGACTTCCTAAGCCAGAACCTAACGGAACAATAAAGGATGCTGGAGTTCACGTTTTATTAGATAGAACTCTCTCCTGATCATGAGGCGAAGGGAGGATGCGCGCTGCTTCCTCGAGTACCGAAGGGAGCGCCGAGCGAGAAATCAGAGCAGCGCTTGCGCCACTAGGGCTCGAGACCGCCGGCGTCCCACCTCAGCGTCGCGTCTTCGTCGTCAAGGTGCTAGAGAAAACATGGGCGGAGCGGACCAACATTGTTCCGGGCATGGAGATCCTGGGCGTGAACGGCGAACAGCTGGCGAGGATGCGGGCTCACACGGACTTCTTGTCGGCGGTGGCGAAAAGGTGGAGCGGCAAAGGCGAAGATTCACTGGAGCTGAATTTAGCGCTGCACGAGGGGGCGGTGACACGCGAGCCAGCAGCGGGAGGCGTCGGGACAAGTATGCGCGAGCCTTTTTCAGGTATCTTTGCCGCAGAGCAGAGCGGGAGCGCGGGATGCCCTGGTGTTCTAGAGGTGGCAGGAAGCGAACACCAAGCCGGGTCAAAGCAGGGACTTGGTTTCATCTACAGTGTTGTGCTAGACTACCTGTTGCCCCAAAGTCGTCAGCGGTCCCTTCCGACTTTCGGAGGAGATGCGCGGGCATTCTTAGAAGCGTCACTCGGCATTGTCATGCGTGAGGACGGCGACCAGTCGACAAGAGACTCGATTAAGAGGACTGGAACAGCAAGACGAGGCACAGCACCAAGTGGCTCGACATATCTTCATCAGTTCGTTGTTGCAACTGTACTTCCGAATTCTTGGGCGTATCACGAAGGCGTGCATGCGGGCGACGAGTTCATTCAGGTTGGAGACTTATGCCTTCCGGATGGCGCGCCACTGACGTTGCATGCTTTCTCAGAGTTTTTCGACTCTTCATTGCGACCCGTGGTTCTGCAGATAAAGCGGCGCGTTGACATCGGTGCCGAAGACGATGCGCGGCACTTCGCTGGGGATACAAACTCCATAATGTCACCAGATGTTCCGACCTCTCTCGTCGAAAGTTCTTCTCCAGACAAGCGCGTCAATCCCCGCAGCTCGCCTCTTAACGAAGACGTGGTGGACCTAGAGGGCGGCAACGCAGGAGGCTTGTTTCTCAATCCAGCTGCGCGAACACTTGTTGGCCGGCCTGAGGAATACGCTTCCGCATCGTCGTCGAGTGCAACGTCAAGTGCCAGCGAACAGGAGGACGACAGGTGTCTGCTGGACACCTTAGCAGAGAATGCAGCAGCTCGAAACGATCAGTTCGAGGGGAAAGTCGCAGTTTTCGGGTCGAGAAAGTCGTCTGATGTCACTGCCAGTAACGATCAACGAGCTGCAGGTACGACTTTAGCAGGAGAGAGGAGCACTGCTGTTTTAAATGTAGATCCGCGAGATGCGAATGCTGGTGAGAAATCGAAGAGTGCAATGATGTCACAGATCGAAGCTCCGCCGGTTGATATCAAACTTGTCGGTTCAAAAGAAGAAAACAAGTTACCGAAGCTGGAACTTGACCAGGGTCGGCAGGCGAGAACGGCAGAGCTCAAATCTAGTCCTGCTGACGACTTTGTTGATGAACTACATCTTTCCGCTCGCCAGCCTTTCGCCGAACGCGTGAGTGCTGCAAGGAAACAAGCGGCGAATGTGATTCAACGGTCGTCCTCCTATGATGCTGCGCGAGAAGATCTAGGAGGATCCTTTTCTGGCATTGGGGCGTCTAGGCGAGTGAGATGGGTACGTTTTTCCTGTCGGAAGCTTATTGTGGATGGCGCAGCGTCGGATGACGAAGGCACCAAAATCGGACTTCGCATGAAACGTGCGCCGCCAGTGAGTAGGTTTGACGAGGTGAGAGTGATCAAGGTAATGCCAGGCACGTGGGGTGCCTTAGATACGTGCGTCGATGTGGACGATGTTCTCTATCAGGTGAATGGACGGGAGGTAATGCGTCTAGATCGCGAAACTTTCTCCAATATGCTGATGGACGCCTATCGAGGACGTAACTTCACAGAGCTGACGTTTCTGCGGGAGATGCGTCCGGGAAAACGAATGCCAGGTGGAGCGAATTGTAGAATTCGTGACGACGACTTCTTCGCGGACGGAGGCTGTCCTCCCGTGGACGAGCGTGATAATCCACCAGCGTTACAGCCGTCTAATGCGATTGTGACCACGAGGCCCGGAGCTGCGGGGGTTTCTATGAGTGGCACCCAAGGGAGATCAGAGCGAGTGGTCGTCCTGACGCAAAGCTTGCGCACCGACAGTATTTCGCAACTGGGCTTAAAATTGCAAAGGGCGGACGTCGCTGGTGATCGCGTGTTCGTGACTCATGTCGAGGATTCGTCCTGGGCTTCTAGGAATGGCATTCTCTTCGGTGCTGAGCTTCTCGCTGTGAGCGATTTTACCATACGCGATCTCTATGCTGGCGCAATGCAGTCTATGGCCGGAGGCTTGGGGGTGGCGCAGATGGCGGGTGCTTTGGGAGCAGTTGCTTCGCCGGGTTTCCCGTCTGAGAATGGGGCGAGCGCGACAACCGGCGCTTTCACACAAGTAGACCTGTTTCTGTCAGCTCAGATACTGAGGCGACGTCCCGCGACGCTTAGATTTCTGCTGCCGCCAATGCGCAGGGTCGCTGCCAAAGAGTCCGATGGCGCACTTGGTTTTGTACCCCAGAATATACCGCCCGCGCCCATGATCGCCGTGGAAATCGAACCTGGTTCGTTTGCTATGCTCGAAGACGTGCAGGTTGGAGACGAACTCGTGCGCGCGGGTGATCAGGCGGTGAAGCACGTCTCTAAGCCCGAAAGCTTGCATGAGCTGCTGACTCAGCGCCCGCTGGCGCTTAGTTTTTTGCGGCACGAGCCGGCTTTCGTAGCCATGGTGCTGGCAGAGCGCTCGGCCGGTTCTGCGCAGGGTGCTGCAGGCGGTGGCGCTTCAATTCTGACGACTGAAAGTCAAAGCACACCAACATTTGACATCTTCGGTAAAGCAGGTTTGTCGTCTACAGCTGCTCCTGCAAAGATAGACGAACAAGCATTTCCGGTTCTAGAGGTCCCGGCTGCCCTCGCTGCTGCGGCAGTATCTGGAGCCAGTAAGCTGGAGCAAGCTCTGGCGAAAGCTGGAGCTGCAGCAGTGGACCCGACAAAAGTCGTCCAAGCGCAAACTCAGAAATCACAAAAGAAGGGGGTGCACGAAGGCGAAGAGATGCCGGTTGTACTGGAGTCGGGTATAACTACTGCTGAGAGCAGCAGCGCTGCAGCAGAAACAAGAAAAGACGATAAGAACAACGTGCAAGTTGCAGACCCGCGACAGAGGGCCCCGAAAGTCGTCCCCCCCTTGCCGTCGGTCGCCGACGCAGATGCGAAGACTGCAGGAACGAACGAAACAGAACAGACTGCGATGGATAAGGGCGTTAAAGAATCAACGGATGCAGACTCCGCGCCGACCACGTATCCTGCCGAGCGTGTCTACGGCACAACAGGAAAGGGTGATACAGATACACAACAGGATAAACCAGAGGGGGACAAGAGTACCACAAAGTTCGCACCTGTCGACCCAGCGTCTCTGGTAGCACAAACTGCTGGAAAATCAACAGCATCAGCTGCGTCAGTGAAGAGCGAGAGCGCGTCAGCCGAAAAGATACCTGCAGTAGAACGGGAGTACACGGTATTGATCGAACAGAAGGGGAGTCTTGGCTGTGCTATGAATCCGAAAAGTTACGTTTTGACGCGCGTTATCGAAGATGGAATAGCGGAGAGGCAGGGTGCACGCGTAGGAGATGCTGTCATAGCAGTAAACGGCGTACCTGTTTCAGAAGCGGAGCGTACTGCGTGGGCGCAGCGACCCCTGCAGCTGGCAATGCGGCGAAGTGACGCCAACTTGAAAGCTATGCATGCGCCTGACTCTATGTTGTCACCCGACGAAAAGTCCGCAGATCGTATTGCCGTGCCGGCTGAGTTGACAGCGGAAACGAAGCCAGTGTCAGCACCTGCGCCCGCTTCGAGCATCGAAAAAGACGCTAAGGAAAACAAGGGGGCAAAGATAATAAGCTTAGTCTGCGACGAGAAGGACATGCTGTGCGGCATTGATCCCAAGGAAAACTTTCTCGTTGTCGGTGTCGAGGACACGGGACCAGCGGGACGCGCAGGCGTCAGGGTCGGCGACCATGTTCACCGCATCGCAAAGAAATCACCTGAGAAAGCTGAGGCGGGTGACTGGGTGCGTAGACCTTTGGAAATCGAGTTCATACGTAAGGGGGCTCTCCCAGAGGGTGGCGCGATCTCTCTCGTTGAGAAACAGACTCCTAAGAAAGGTGTGGATGCAGCAAAACCGCCATTTGAGGACGCAGAAGACAAGCGCACACTTTCCGTCACAGATATCGATATGGGCTGCGCAATAACGCCGAGCGATTTCACGGTGACGAGAGTTACGGAGGGCATGGCTGCGGCGCTTGGGGAGATCCATGTAGGCGACGTTGTCGTATCGATTGACGGCGTGCCTCCGCAAGAGGCGCCGGTGCACTCGTGGACAAAGCGGCCAGTAGACATCGTCTTTGCGAGACCTGTGGCCCTCTCACCGCTCTCGGGCACCGCTAAAAAAACGGCTGCGAGCCCACTGGAGATTGGAGAGACACCAGATGGTTACGGGAGACCAGCTGCAGTGCAAAATGAGATTCATCTTGTGATAACACAACCAGACATGGGATGCGGCATTGATCCGGAGGACAATTATCGAGTTGTCAGTGTCACACCAAAGTCTGTGACCGACCGAGCGGGGGTGCGAGTCGGCGACACTCTTAGTCTAGCAGGCGGCGTGCCACCCGAAGAGTTGGCTGACGACGGGTGGGTGAAGCGACCAATAGAAGTTGTCTTTGCGGTCACGTCAAGATCGGCTGGTCCCGACTCGAAAGATGACCCCAGGAAAAAGAAGGCAAGGGAGGTCGCCGACGTCGACGATGATAGCAGAGAGGAAGACAGCGTCGAGCCTTCTACTTCAACGTCGAAATCTGATATAACGAAGAAGAAGAAGCGCATCGACGAGAAACGCACAGGGGGACACGGAAGTCCTCTTCGACGGCCCGAGTACGAGGCAGCTTTCGAAGATGACGAAGTCGGATGCGGCATCGATCCGTCGAGCGGCTTTGTTGTCACGAGCGTCGATCCCAATGGTCCAGCTGCCATTTTGCGCGTGCTTCCTGGCGACAAGGTCTTACGCGTGAATGCTATGCCAGTAGGGAAAACACCAGAAAGCGAGTGGGGTGAACGTCCGCTGGTTTTGACCTTGGAGCGCGGCCGGGAAGGAGAAACTCCGCTGGCTGGCGATGTAGACGCGACGCGGGAATTCGTTGAACAGATGCGAGCTCAGCGAGAAGAGATGAAAAAACGGTCGCAGGAGGCCTTGGAGGGTAGTGAGGACACAGTCGACGAAAAGGATGAAGAGGAAACCCGACGAGGAAAGAAGAAAGATAGCGGTGCGAGTGATAGCAAAGGACGCAGTAAAAACAAAGAACGGTCGAGTTCCAAGGAGAAAATGCGGGGTGTGAGCAAAGAAGACACGGGATCTGCAAGGGGCGACGCAGCGGAAGCCGACGCTGAAGAGAGAATACGAATTCTAGAGAAGGAGAAAGCCGAACTGCAGGCAGCAATCGACAAGAAATCCTCCGAGAAGTCCTCAAAGCGTGGGGCCGGCCTGTTGGGTCGTCTCGGCCTGACCAGATCCCCAGAAACGAAAGAGGAGAAGGAGGCTGCCGAGCGAAAAAAAGCAGACGAAGAGCAGCGCCGGAAGGATGATGCCGAAATCGCCGTCATTGCAGCGCAGCAGCACAAGAAAGAGATTGCGGTCGGGGCGCGCCTAACGAAAGAAGACATCAAGCTGCGCACAGAAGCCCTGGAAGACACCCTGGAGAGTTTGGATGACCAGTACGCCGTGGAACTGTCACCGCGTGTAAATGGCGCTACGTTGGGCTTCGATCTTGATTATCGCAAGTTCCCGCACGTTGTTAGGCGCGTCGTTGAGGGGTCGTGGGCGGATGAGGAAGGCATTCAGACTGGGGACATCTTCGTGGAGATGCACAAGGAGAAGAAGAATGAACAACACCTGCAGGAAGGGGAAAAGCGCTTGCAAAAAAAGTCAGAGCGGTTGAGTGCGCGGGCTGCCGCAGCGGCAAAAGCTGTTGTGCCGTCCGCAGTGCGCCGCAACGTTGGTCGGGCCGTCACCGCGCCCATGGCGGCTGCCGGGGTCGTCGGACGTGCCGCCGGTAGCGCAGTGAAAGCGGTGGCAAACAGAGGATCGTCAGCAGGACCGGATAGCCCGGCCAAGGGTAAGGGCCGAAAAGGCAAAACCGGAGTCAAAGGCACGAGCGTTATCACTTCCTCCGGCGAAGGTCGCAGAGCGCCGCCAAGAAAACCGAGGCGGCGGCCTCTGATGAAAATCGACTACGGCGTGGACGAAGATGTACAGGAAGCCAAGGACGAGCGTGACGACCTCGAGAAACAGACAGCGGTGCCGCGCACGCTGCCGCAGGTTTTTTCCAGTGCGGAACTGACAGAACGCGATATTCGGGAGTTGTTATTGCGAGAGCGACCGCTGACGATTTTGTTTGCGCGTCCTCCAGTCGACGAGGTCCTAAAGGGGCGGCGTGGCGTGCGACGTGGAGAAGAAGGCGAAGCGCTGTCTGCAGGGGATGAGTCCGGTGCTGATGAAGGGGGTCGACGGAGAAAGAAACCGAGGGACCGAACAAAAACTCTCCGTGTGGTCGCGTCAAAACTTGACAGCTCGTTGGGCTTTGTCCCCTTCGTCATGTCTCCGCCACAGCCGATTGTCATAAAGCGGATCGCGCCAGCGACGTGGGCCGAGAAAGTAGGACTACAGCCTGGCGACGTGATTGTGAGTCTCAACGGAAAGACCGTGGCGCAGTATGACACACGGGATGAGCTCGCAGAGGACCTGAAGTCTACCCGACCGCTGACTTTTGTGGTGCAGCGAGAGCGCGATGAAGATGACGAGGGTACAGATGAGTCGGAAGATGAACAAGAGGAGAAAGGCGGTTTGGCTGGCATGGCGGGAACGGGGGATGCCAGTGGGGGAGATTCCATGCCCGAGGATGATGAACCGACAGACGAGGAAGGCAGTGAGGAGGAGTCAGAGCTCGACCCGAGATCACCAGATGCATTAACAGATACGGCTGTGATTTTCCTTCACACATAAATAATTGCTCACAATGTTTCCACTTTTCGTTTTGAACACCAGCTTCCAGTGAAGCCACGTATCTTGCACTTCTAAAATCAGAAGACGTGGTGCTTTGCCTAAGGCGCGCCCGTTGCTAACCGAGCTACCTGGACCACCAAAGGCACCCCCTGGCGTTCCACGGGGGGCGGCGGATCGCCCTGTTAGAGCAGGACCATTGAATCCGCGTCTGCGCCAGGTCCGAGACGACAATGTCCTTACATTACGGCGATTTCTCTCTAGGAAGCAGAAGTATTGTAATAGTGCAGTCAGATGCATCCTACAGGTAAGAATCTTTTTGTTCTCCTAGGAGAAACAGTGATACGGAACACATAGCTCTAATGACGCGAGCCGCTGATGCAGTCACGAATCGGATTGCGCCACCGAATACCAAGAAGACACACAAGAAAGCGAGCCGTCATTTCAAAGCCGCACAAGCGGAGCGTAAGGTGCAAATGCTCACGAGCCCTTTTGGGGCTGCTGGAGCGACTTTCCGAAACAGTCCGGTCTTCCAGAATGTCATAGACGCGTCGAACACTGGAGGTGAAGGTCAAGACCCAAGTTCAATAGGAGACTTGAGTACTAAAGCCATGCTGGCATCCACTGCATTGTCAATGGCGGTATTCACGGAAGCAGCCCCTCAGCGCTTCTCACTGACAATTCCGGTGCGTGGTCTCAAGTCAGCCAAGAGTTTCGGTGTGGCAAGCTGGAGAGTGGACCGCAAGCATGGCGTCTTCGTGAAAAGGCTGGATCCGCAACTGCTGGAGAGCACCTCCGGGATGTCGAAATCCGACAAAAGTAAGAAATTTCATCCCACTACGCTTGAGCATTTCGCTCTGGCGGAAGGTCTGCACGTACACGACCGCATAGTGCACATTGGTAGAGAGGAAGTTCCGTCACCGGAGTTTTTCAGAAATTTGAAAATGCGCGCCGAGGGCCATGTTTCACAGTACGTCTGGCAAATGTGCCAAACCACGAATTTGAAGCTAGACATCGAGCGCCCAGCCGAGACGGTAGCCGAGGTATCCTATGTGGAGGTCTTTCTGCCAAAGGGACTGGACAAGAAGAAGATGTTTGATGTCGATTTCGGCTTAAAACTCAAAACGGGCTTTCCGCTTTTCAAGCTTACGGACTATGCGACAGAAGAACTTCATTTGCGTGCGGGTGACATTTTACGAGGGTTTGTTAAAAATGAACGAACAAAAAGCGCGGACCTCAAAACTGCGAAGCCCCATTGCCATCCATGCAGCTATAAAGATGTACTTCTTTCTAGTTTATTAGCCATCGATCTACTCTTCATCAAGTTCAGGATGAGGTTTTTTCTCTCATAAAACAAGCTAGTACAACTTTATGCAGTTGATAGAGCCTGTAGTCATATTTTTGTCGAAAAAAACATGCAGATCGTCGACTTTTCTCGGTAGTCAATAATTACTAAAACAGGCTACAGGAAATTTTGAGTTCGTTTCGGACATGGAAACGGCGTCGAAGAAACTGGTAAGCGGCAAGCCACTCCGGGTTTTGATCCAGTGTTTTCGACGAAGAAAAATCGTGCATCTTCCCCATGCTGGCAATCTGGATCATTTAGTTATGACTGAGTCCGTATTGACTTGAGTGCATCCTCAAGCTCAGCGGCATTGTTCTTTTGAGTCTTTTTCTGCTTGATGTATCATGAAAAAGGGCCCTTGATTAATAACACGGATGATGCCAGGAAGATGGAAGGATGCAGATGAGGATTAGCTCTAATGTACGCTTGCGGCTCGGGGAAACTAGTACACGGCTTTTTATTCTGGGAGTGCAACCGGAGAGCTTTGGGGCGAAAGTGGGATTAAAGGCTGGGATGGAAATTGTGGGCATGAACGGACGTGCACTTGTGCGGTACGGTGATCATTTGCATGATGCTCTATCTGTTGGGCCACATCATAAAGACGTAGGAAGTAGTCCGGCGCAATCGCCACTGCAGATCACAATCGACGGAAAGGGAGTGGTTCTGAAAAATCAATTTGAGGGCCGACACCAGAGCGCTCTTTCTGCGGTTTCGTTGTCGGCGGGTGAAAGCTCGGATAGTGAGACGCGTTTGCAACCTGCCGTCGAGGAAGTGTCAATTGGCAGCGAAACAGACGTTCTGGCAACCACAGTGCCTGAAGATGAAGCACCGCTGACGCGAGCCTCGGAAAGCTTGCTGGTGTCAGGGAGAAGATGGGCCGGTCTCACTAGCGACCAGATGATTGAGGGACGTCACGCGATGGATCCTGGTTTTGAGAGTGATATCTCTGATCCAGAGTCGGATGAAGAAGACGATGGAACCGGACACGACCATGACGCGGAGATGCGACACCGTCAGCATAAAGCTGATTTTTACGGCACTCCGAGTCATGCCGAGGGCCATCTGCAGTCACCGCGAGCGCACAGCGAGAGGCAGAAAAGCAAGCGTGGAAGAAACACTAGTGAGAAGAGTCGCACTAAAAGAGCGGACGTGGTCGATCACGATCTGCATTTGCAGAAAAAAAAGTTCTATCATATGGACCAGCATCAAAGTGCCGTGGCGCGCAAGGAAGCACACACGACTCAGCGGCCGCCACCAGATGAGGACGCGGCGACACTGCAGCACCGACTAATGAAACGCGATTTCTACGGGGATCCGCACGCAGTGGAGACCGACGAGGAGGACCGGCAAGAACGCGCGGAGCGGGCTCAGTTCTACCACGGTGATCATCCGAGTACCAAAAAGGAAGGAGGAGGAGGGTTCGTACCATTTCAAAATCGTGCAAATGCAGAAAACGCAGGCCCTCTGCGAGGATTTGGGAGTGGAAAGAAAAATGACCCAACTGTTGGGCGTCCTTTTGGAGCTGTCACCGGTGGACCATTCGGGAGTAATGTCTTCACGAATAAGCTAAAAGCTGCTGGTGCTAAAGAAGCTACTATCCAAGAAGAAAAAGATGAACAGCAAACGAGGAATGTTACCTTCGCGTCAGACGTCGTGGGTGGGTCATCATCCTCGTCTGCCGGACCACCCAAGTTTGCACCCTTCGGTACGGATGTAGGCACACTTGCAGCTACAAACGCGAAATTCGAAGCTATACCGTCTTTCGCCGGTGGCATACCTAGCAGTGGCACGGCAGAAACCGCTGCTCCGACACTTGCTTCGACATCAAAGGCAGCTCCGAAGCTTTTTCAAGACCCTCCTAAAAGCAAATTTGCACCTCTTGTTATGGAAGTTGCTCTTGCGGCTAAAACGAATCATGCCGGGGAAGGGTATGATGAGGCAGAAGGCTATAACTACGACGACATTGGATATTACGATGCCGGCGGTTACGACGACGGTGGATACGATGACGGCGGATACGATCGGTATGAGTATGACGAGGAAACCTATGGTGCTGGTGATTACCACGATCCTCAAGCGGACGGAGGAGCAAGGCGACTTCAGAAAATAGTAGTTACCCAAGCTGCTAAGAAGAATACTCCCAAAAGCAACGACGCGTCTCCCAGTCGTTCGTCTCCCAGTAGGTCTCGTGCTGACAACAAGGACGCGAGCAAGAAGTTCAGCGCTGGACGCATGCCAGCAAAGGCGGTTGATCAGGGCAAGGCGAGGGCAGCTCGCGAGGCTGAAGTAGCTGACAATGCGCGGATTCCGCTTCGGACAATGAGGTCAGAGAAGAAGCGAACACGCCCAGGACTGATAGGTCGCGCTCAAGACTTCGTCGGCGGGCTCAGCGTGCCAGGTACAAATCTTCTAACAGATAATAGCGACAAAAGTGCAGTAGATGATAAGAATCAAACTGGAGCAGGAGCTGCCAAAAGAAAAGCTGCAGGAAAAACATCAGCCATAAGCGGAACCGGTACTAGTAGGCGGGAAACGCTATCTCCATCGAGAAACGCTGACAACTACATGGGTGCGGCTGATGGCGCAGGCGACGCTTTAGCACTCGCAATGCAGGGCGTGTCTGGTGCAGTCGCTGGTGTACAGGATGTTGCAGCACGGACCTTGGCGGGTCAGCCGGTGAAATCTCAGGACGAAATGCTTCATGAACTAGAGCGGGAGTTCGGCGGACACTTGGACGAAGAAGAAGAAGAAGAGGTGGATGATCCGAACTACGACCCGTATTGGAGCGGACAGGGCTACGATGCTGCACAGGACATGTTGGGCTACAAAGGTGGGAAGAACGGGATCAATTACACCTCTAGTGAAAAAAATAGAGATGATCAAACTTATAGTTCTGCTCCCTATGCGCAGCAGTTCGGTAGAGGACCATGTCGTCAACCAAGAGAAGCTGCAGTTGTGGAATCCAACACAGCTGAGGGCGGCTATGAAGATTACAACACCTCCGAAAATGGAGAGAGAGAATTTGGAGATGGATACTATAACGACGGTGGGGAGTATGAGTACCACGATTACGAGGAAGGCGCTCAAGATGACGCCGAACGTGAGTACGACGATTATGATGCTGAGGGCGGCGATAACGATTTCGTTCCGAAGATCTCGTTTACGCGCAGACGAGACCAGGCTGAAATGTTGGGCGGACAGGAAGAGTTCGAACACACCCACGATGAACACGAGGAATTGCATAGCTTGGAGCTTGAGAAAATCGCACCCATGATTCCGGAACACTACGGCGACTTCGATTTCGAGAACTACGGCTTTTTCCTTGTCGCGCTCGACGTCGGAGTGGGCACGGTAGGCCCAGATAGAAGGTTAGAGTTACGGAAAGATTCGGGATTGAAGAGATAGCCTCCTGTGAGTGCAGACGAAAGAAGTGCAGCATTATCATACATGCTAAAGAAGGACGGCATCAGTCAATCATTTACATCTGGGTCACAACTTAATATTATACATAAAAATCGTCCTCCAAAGTGTTAGATGAATTTTTCAGACTCATCCTCCACGTTTTTTTTAGTTCGAATGACCTAGCGCTAGTGTTCTAATTTCAGCGAACGAAAACGATAGGAAAATCGAAGACTTGGGGTTTCGTGTCGCGCGCTCCCGAAACGCTAAGCCCGGCACCTTGGAGCATCAGTGTCCTAAAGTGCGCAGTCTCGTGGAACACGGATGGGGATACAATCATCTACTTGAAAAGGGTGATCTAATAGTATGGATCGGGCACTTTTTGGCTCGGCATCTGAGGCAGAGGGAAATACGGGAAAAACTGGCAAAGGAGCGTCCGCTCCAGATCATTTTTGCGAGACGTGTTGCAGCAGTATGGGAGGCGTGATTGCTTATCCTCGAAAATGAACTCGAGATTCAAGCAGAAGTTCTTCTTCGTTTTCACAATTCATTGGGTGGTATAAATATCGTTAGGTTTTGCGAACTGTTTGTGTTGTGTCTCCGTATGTTTTTAAACACTAAATTACCGATCAGGACGAGACATTTTTGCAGCGACAATTTACCGAATCGAAATCGATCTACTAGATTCTATTGCTTTTTTCCAGAGCAAAAGTACTGGTCTCGTGTTGTCTTATTTCCTAGAAAACGCTGATTTGATTTCGCTGTCTGATACATTTGATGCGGCTGATTTTCACATACAAGGCATTGGCAATAAGGCTGAATTGAGATTAGGTTTGAAGAGGTGTTGTAGACTGACACAACAAAAGATGTTGAGCCGTTCAAGGCAGAAGACATAGCCCTATGGCAGGCTGATGTGTGAGACGAGAGAGAGAAAAGATCTTGCAAGAGTTACGGCGTGCTGTTGAAGACAGCAGCGGAAACGATTTAAATGAAGATCAAATCTGTGTTCTGATCAGAAAATGAACAATGAAGTAATGCAAATTCTTTGTTGCAAAAATGTTCGACTTTTAATCAATGATGTTCTTCCACATATGGTAGTAGCTTAAAAAACGAGAGATATCACAACGTTAGGGACACTCATTGGCAAATTAGTTTGAAAGAAAACAGATTTAATCGTTCTTGTTGATCTTGGGGCATCGCTCGTTCCGACAATTGATCTTCGATCTTCTATGGCTCGTTCTTCATCGATACTTCACTACAATCATATATGACCCACGAAAAGTCGATGGAGAACGGCGACGAGAAGGATCTATATTTTTGCTCCAATGTAATTGGTCTTCACCGCGATCTAGTTCTGACCTTGCCTTAAATTTCCTTCGCTCTTTGTTTTGTTCGTTCTCCTAGATGATTGTCAAGAACCTAACACGAAGATTGACTAATTCCGGCTCTTATCGAATTGCAGTGAAGTAGTGGGAAAAGAGAAGGATCGAATTGCATTCAACTTTGAACCAAGAAGGGCTAGAGAAAGAGACGGTTCTCATGCTTACTAGCTCCGTTTAGCTAGGTTGCAGTTCTTCTAATTATCTTGCGTTCTTTCATCTGTAATATTGCGCAGTTTTGCATTAGAAATCTTTGCCGTCATTGATTGACATAGAAACACCTCATTTTCTTGATAATCATTTATTTCGACATTTAGAGCCGTCTTACTTTTTTGATTTATCTACTTTTACTTCGCAACTAAGTAGAGTAAAGGAGAAAAAATGTCAGACGAAGAGTGGGACGAACCCACAACTGCGAAGCCACCCGCGGGTGGTGACGACGACGACAGTGATGACTGGGATAAAAGTGACGACGAGCAGAACGCTTGGAAGGCTGGTGCCGATGACGACGATGACTGGGACGAGGACACGACAAAACCTCCACCGGAAGAGGAGGTGGCGGCAGAGACTGCCGCAGCGCCGGCCGCCGCCTCGGAGTCCGCATCTAAAGCATCTGCGGGAGCCTCGTCAACGGGATCACACAGGCAGCGCGCTGGAGATGAGGTATTGCGATAAACTGCTTATGCAAGAATAAATGACGACGATCTTAATCGTCTACGAAGTATTGACTTATGGAGATAATCCTTTTTTGCGCTGTGCCTGTGATGTGATGCTGAACGAATTTTTCTTCTGATTGAATTTGATACATAGCCGTTGAATTACTTAAGTATGATTTCACCATGCATGAAACGAGGGAATTGAGTCTTCCTTTCTACACAACCATGTGCAGATATACGTAGCGCTCGACGACCCAAAGGCAGAGAAAGCACGACGGCTGAAGATGCAGATGGAAGCTGATGGGCGGTTAGCGGACGATTTATTTGATGGTTTCCTTGCGGACGACGGCAAAGAGCGGGATGCTCTTAGTGCGGGCGAGCACACACCCGCAGCAAAGTCCACGTCCTCTGCAGTAAGTCCGTCGAAGGCGGCTGCGAGTGCGGCGAAGAGTCCATTAAAGGGTGGGGCGAAGGCTACCGCAGGTGGATCTTCCCCCAGCAAATTGAAGGCAGCCAAGAAGGCGGCGGATGTTACCGACTTGTGGGACGAGTTTAAACTCGATACGCAGCAGCAATGCACATTACTCATGAAAGAGGCAATGGAGAAGCTGGCGAAAGTCGAGAACAAATCGCATATGAAGGGAGCCGTGAATCAATTCCTCTCCAAGTTACTGCACGCTGTGGGGGAAAATTTAACGCTCAAGGAAGTGCAAGACATGGAGAAAAAGGTCAAGGAAATTATACGCGTGAAGGTACTTCTACCAGCTTCTGTTGTACTTCCTCTTTTTTGTCTGGACCAAATAACAATAGCACAACATGTTGACTCTTGTAGTTCTAAATGTAAAGTAAAGTGATTGTGGTCGCATAATTGGAGTCAGTGATGTGATCTTTGTTTTTCGTTCCGAAAATAAACAGAAAGTGGAAACGACACAAGCACAAGCGGCAAAGACAAAAATTAATGCTGTACACAAGCATATGAAAGTGGATGTTGCCGGTGCGCTCGACGAGATGTATAACAACGACGACGACTGGTACTTTTTTATGGAGTCATTTAAGCACATAATTGTAAGAATCACCCTTGTCGTCGATTTGCATGAGGAATTTGTCCAGCTAGAAACTGGAGCTTAATATGCTCGTTCCTTCTTCGCGATGTCGCACTCGAATGCTTACTATACTGTATGTTTTCCAAAAACCACAGGGACGAGGATGAGTGGGACGGTGATTGGGGCGAGGGTGACTGGAGCCAGGGCGACTGGAGCCAAGGTCAATGGAAATAAGAAGATGTCTGCGACCTGTCCAGGAGCATCAAAGGATGGAAGACAGCGATGAGAGAAAGATCACTGAATCCCCGTGCTACTATCGCAGTCGTGCTGACAACTGTAGTGGTAGACATAATGATATCTTCCGCGTGTATTTATCGATGCAAAATATTGATATCACTTTTGCTATCGTTCCCCTTTCCGCTGCTCAGGCGTCTATTGGCTGCAACGAACAGGATTCATTTATCGGGGTTCTTCCCACATTCTTCATGCGACTGGTTTAGGCCGTGTTTCAAGAAATCGAGACAGAAGCATACTACTAACCACGGATGAAACATAGTAAAAGCCTTCTTTGTAGTTACGGATATCCTAAATGTTGCTGAAGATGACGAGGCAACCAAACAACTACAAGGAGGTCTTTGATTACACTAGCAAATACTAGGGATGACACACCCCGCCACTTCATCATAAGACAAATTGATTCTTACATGTACAACTTGTTCACACAAGAACGCTTGCGCATTTTCGCAAATTCCAATATTCTTGACGAGTAATCCACAAATATAATGTATGCCTATGCCTCGTATATGGAATATACAAATTTCTTCAGAAATCAATAGAATTTGTATATTCTGAATCCCTCTACTGAGATAGCAGAAGTAGCTACTCACTCTCTCTGAATCTTCGATCTTGAACTGAGATTGTCTTTATCATCGACGGCGCACAGTGTTGTGTCAAGAGTATGATGGGGAGTGTCTTGGATACACTTCGTCATAGGAGAAGCGCCTCACTGCTCTGGTGAAGGTGATTCGACGCGGATTCTAACGGGATCCACATTTTTCCTCGTGTAACCCGTATGCTGATCTGGGTCTTATCTCAACAAGAAAAAACAACTAGTGAATCCCCAATGGTCTTGAGTATACTTAAGCAAGAAATGTATCCTTGTTACGACCTCTTCGCCTGTGTAGGTCGCAAAAGCTTCCGTCAAGCTCCTTAGAGATGCTGAAATGTGAATCCGAATTCATATCAGGTGTACGTTACGGTTTCGGAGAACCCATAAGTTTTCCGCTTCCACCATCGTAAGAATCGGATGACTTTTTGCAATCCACTCTGAAGGTTTCGCTTGGCAGTTTTTCATGAGGGTCTGTTTTCCGGCGGGTGAAGGAAAAATCGGTTTCTCATGATTATACGAATACTTTCCCTCTGAGTTCTTGTATCTACTCCTCTCTTCTCCCACCCCCGAACAAAACGTCTCTCGAAGCGCAGTGTTTGTGCTCTCCTCTCTCATTAATACACTTTCCTGCAGATGGAACATACTAGTAACAACTTGTTGAGTATAATGTGCGATTTTTTCAACTCGTCCAATAGTTTCGTCCCTTGATAACCTGAAAATTAAAATTCGAATCTTTAGTGCGTAATTGGAAAAGATCGTCCTGCTTTTGGCTCCTCAGTAGCCACTGAAGTCTGCTGGTTTATCTAGTGGACCAACACCTAACCTAACCATATCCTGCGGAGTGATTTGATACTTGATTCACAGACGGAGTCGAAGAGACAGTTGTGTTGTTTTTTAGCATAGTCTGAAGAGATGCCGGACGCGGCTGCGACAGTTACGTTCGATGTCGCTGAAGAGGCTCAGGAGCACGAAGAAGGTGCTCCAGCAGACATCCGACCGAAATTCGTCCCACGCGGATACGAAAAGCTGAACAAGCACATCTACAGTACTACGTCTAGATCCCTTTTGATTTTTGGGCATGATTATTTTCCGCAAATGAACATACAAGAACCAAGAGCGAATAGAGTGAGTCGAGTTAATTTATCTATGCCGATCAGAATCAATTTATTACGCCCTCTCCCACCATGATCAGGAAATCTGTTTTATTCAACGTCGAGTGCGGACTCTTTCCGAGACCCAAAGGATTTCGCGAAGAGTGCCCCGGATCTGCACAGATATTGCCAAGGTACCAATGTTCAGGGCATCCATGATATCAACAGATCGGGAAAATTCAAGCCCTCCGTTGCACCCCTCTACCAGCGAACGATGTGTGCCTACACGCAACAGTACTCTCTTTTCTACAGTATTCTAGAGTACTAGGTTACTCTCTCCTCTGTTTTTCTTGATGAAAGGCAGTCTGAGGACTCAGAGTGGATCACATTCGAAGATCTTCAACGATTGACGACGATGAATTATCACACAGCAGCACTGCTCTACTCACGATAAAAATATGCAAATCGCATTCCAACTACGACTTTCATCCAGATTCGTTCCACGACCTCTAGACGGCGTACAAATCAACAAGGAATGCTACGATCTCTTTAAAGAGAAGTGTGAGACGCCTTCAACTTCAAGTGGAGGCAAGGGCGCAATTTTCTACAGCGAAACAACCACCGCGACATCGTATCCAAAATACTCTCGCGTACAAAGCGAAAAGGCGATCGCGCCAAACTTCAAGCCAGCACAGGTAGTCAAAGAGACTTTTTATTTTGCTCAGGAGTTGGAGTAGCTAGTAATTCAAAAAAGACTTCTTGATATGATCTCTTTCGCACAAGAGAGACATAATTCAATTTTCTGACTCAACATGTTCGTTCCTGATTAGCTTTGAAGTTAAGATTTTTCTTATAGATTGTTGTTTTCATACTAAACACTGGCTTCTAAACTCAATTTTTACAGTCAAAGCACGTCAGCGATGAGAATAAGATGCTCGTTACGCAGAGCTTTCAGCATAAGGAGTATCCCTGCCCGTCACCGCAAGCGACAAAGAATGCTCGGCCGGCTGCATTCAGACCAGCGTAAATATAATTTCTTCATCTCCCACGCATTTTCAAACAAGACTATGTGCACAATCAATGAGCAATGAGACAGCCAAGGGTCAAGTGTCAGCGCCCAAGCCTCTGTGGACAACATCAACTACGTGCTGATGATCTCTCTCTATCTATGCGTGCCGTCGTTCTACCACTCTTAGGTACAAGACACACAAGGCGGTAGGCAGTATGTCTGGGTCGTCGTCGTATAGCCGCGAATTCAACCCAGATAAATACAACTCGGTATGGCCCGTCAGATTCGCTAGACAGGCTGGCCCTCCACCGCCCGCGACCGGCTACACAGGTACTCTGATTAGTATCATGAACATCTCGTTTATAACAGACTGCATCGATGCATCGACAAAATAGATGATAGGATTTTGATCATTGGTAGATTTCTTATGGTTCACTTTCTACAACTTCGGATGCGTGGCGAGAAGTTCGAAAGTGCTACTTACTGTTAAGTATTCTCTCAGGTGTATCCCTTCTGTTCTTAGGTGTATCCCTTCATGCAATATTGTTATCGATCTTCAGGAAAAGTGCGATTGGATCCTAGCAGCCCGCGCAAGTTGCAGCCTGAGGAATTCCATATTGGCGATGTGGTCACGTTCGGTCCAGTGTAGCGCTGTTTGGATTGTTTCTAGAGGAGAATGGCCAACATTTATGATTCGCATAGAGGGAGTACTATTAAAGTGCTTCTTCCACCTATATGTTGGCCTATATGATCATTATGTGATGAGATAGAGATTTCGCAGTAATAAGTGTTTTCTGCTGACATTATCTATCGAAGCAGTTCAAAAAAACAGAAAGTTTGAAAGGGGAGTTGAAAGAGACGAAAACATATTGAAAATGGGGAATGCGAATTGATATGTCTAGAGAACAAGAAATCTAAAGAAATTATCAGCTTATATTTCAAACGCGAATCAAAAACCACTGAGAATATAGCAGGTTGCTGAAAAATGATTAGTATGAAGATGTTATATTCAAAGCTACTATAACACTAACTTCTCTTACACTTCTCTTACACTTGATAATAGAAATATCAGAATTCGTTAAGCAGATAGTAGTTCTGCTAAAGGAAATTATTGATTACAGATGTTCTTGTGTGAAAACTTGTCATTACCGTCGCAGAACTATGATGGGACCATATCTGATTTTGACGCTAGAACTAGATACAGATACAACAAATGCATCAAATTATCCGTGTGGGTAATTAGTTTTAGTCACTAATTTCAACCTAAACGAAAGTAATACAGATTGGTTTCAGTGAACAGGTTCCAAGATTCTCATTGTAAAGCTACGAGAACCGCAGAAAACGATGAATTTCTCGCCGGGCTTCAATCTTCTGCCATATTTTCTAAGTATACCTTGTACACGACGAAGATTTCATTGGATTAGCAATCTTAACAAGTCCACGGCGATAGAATGTTTGCATTTCAGCATCGAACGAAAAGAAAATGTCATGCATAACCTAACAAGATTAAAAAACATAGTTTGAAAGATTGTCGACAACATGAACAACTATATTTATATGGGTCGGTGTAGTAGTTTTGAATAATCATTGTAGAAAAAGTTTGTGCATCAACGACATCGACGATGGGTGGCGCAGGGCCGCAGAATCTTACCTACAGAAAGACGCGTGTTCCATTTTAATATTTTGATCCGGCGAATTCGACGATCGCAGAGTACGCTTTTTGACGTCAGATTAAGTAGACCGAGTGAGTCGTGCGAATATAGAATCTGTAAAACAACTAATCTTGTGAGATGAAGATGTATAGGTAATGAAAATAACATATTGATGAAATTTCAAGGTACAACGAGAAACAAGCATAATAAGTGTGATGAAGAAGAGTGCCCATAATCGCATCGTCGCAGTCCAATCTCTTTTTTTGGCCGCCCTCCAAGCCTTTAAATGGTAACTTCTACTGGCTTTGCAAACTACGCCCTGTAGGGAATCTTACTATGATTGCAGGGTCTTTAGTCCCCTCGTTTTCCTGTTTGCAGTGAGTTGCAAGATGTGGTATCGCGCTTGTTGATTTTTGCCGCTGCTGCTTCTTCAGAGGAAAAAAGGCATGAAAATAAGAAATACAGCTGAGGCACAGCGCCAGTTGTAAGAGAATTTGGTAGAAGGTGGACCAGGAGCATCCGTTTTTTTCACAAGAAGAAAGTACCAGACCGCCGTCATGCATGGGAGCAAAGAGCGAAGCCTGGCTGCGGGCCGCGAGCCTTTACTCAGCGACGCGATTCAACAACATCGCGCAGTTGCGGTGGGAGGTGGGTCTTCGTCATCCTCCTCATCGTCATCTTTTTCACGGCGCCCGAAAGGCGTTGTTCAGCAAGTTCCGAATTATCTTCCTCCAGATTCTAATAATCAAGGACTGGGTGATCCTGAATCAAGCAGCAGCCGGGATGCCCATAAGCGTGGACTGCGTCATGGCAGTGAACGCATCTCTCGACTACAAGAACAGCACATGCTCTTCGGGGGAGCGCGATATCATGATAACCATTCGACGCGAATGGTTGAGGACGATCCAAACCACACATTTTTCGACGAGGAGGATGGTAGCGACACGTATCATAGCGAGGCTGATGATGAATTGCTCGCGAGCAACGAAGGTGTATCTGAAGTTAATCTTAACCAGGGAATGAACAACAGCGGATACGAGGACCACCATAATCGTAGTACCAGGGGAGGTTTGGCCACCTCTTCTACAGGGAGACAGTGCGGCACAACAGCAAGCAATCAACAGCAGAGCGAGAGGGAGGCTAGCAGACTCGGAGAAGCTGAATATCAGTCGACTCTTCACAAACAGGAGAAACGGACATGGAAGTCCCTTTTTTGTGGTAGGCAAACCAAAGCGGCACATCAAGACAACAAGCGCCATCGTCTGTCAGGCAGGATAGGTGCTGGTGGAGGTCACAAGCTGCATCTGAGTCACGACCTGAATGGTGAACTTCGGCGCGAAAGGGATCTGCCCGACCGCACTGGCAACATGACCTCCTTGTCAGCGTTGAACAGTGACGACTTAGACGACAACGATCATGTGAACAATTTCGAGAATGTTAGTGCAAAAAGTAGGCGAGATCATCAGCTTCAGAAGGACGGCACTAGCGGTCATAATATGCCAGGCGAGGGACAACAAGAACAAGGAGGACGCGACTCCGGAGGTGCAATTGTATCTGCGATGCCTCTGGTCCCAAAAGCGGGAGCCTCCGGCACGAGTATTGCAGGCAAGGACCCGAGAAGTAGTAAAAATCGTGCTCGAAGTCGCATTCCAACCATAAAGCAGAAGAAGTACTTTTTCAGTTGCCGTTCAGTGCTTCGTCTCACCTGCTTCTGCCTGTACCATGCCATAGACTACTGGAGCAACATTCTACTCACCTTGTTGTGTTTTTTCTGGCATTACATCACGGGAGAAGTCATGTGGGCTTTTAGCGGAATATGTGGTTGCGTGTGCGTCATCGCGGCGGGAAGTTTTTCCTGTTATCTGGCACTCGGCGACAAGTACTTTATGCGCTTTGGCTTCTACACTTATGGTGAACAAGATGCCAGTTGCAACTACGCGCCGATAACCAAGTACTAACAGGAAACTACTTTCAAGAATGGAACAATCACATTGAAAATCAAAATCAATTGTGGAAGAAGATTGCCTGTACAATATCTGTCCTTTTCTTCGATATTTGAATTGTCTAAGTTGTTCGCTTATTTCTTTGTGTTTTTCCGCTCGGTTTCGGGCAGGGCATGATCTACAAGCTTGCGTACCATCGCTACATTCGCAGAAAACATGTCACTGGAGACTATGCGGCATCTTGCGAGGGATCTCCATATGAGGTTGTCAACTCGTCCGCTCCGGGTTGGAGATTTCATACCAAATCTTTCGTTGGGCTCTACGAAAGTACTTCTTATTTTGCATTCTTAGACTGATGATGGGGCAGAGTCCTATATATTCGGCAAGGATTGCCAAAAGATAGAATACGCTTCACATTGATAATGAAGCGATCTTCTATACTCATTCCTTAGTCTTAAAATCGACGTCGTCTTTTCTAGGTACTTTCTACGCTGGACTCGCAGCGTTCATGATCACGCACGATTTGACCGGAGTTTCCTTGCTTCTATCAAGTGCTTCGAGCATCTACTCCCGCGAACCTTCGGGGACGCTTCCTCCACAAGAGCCTGAAGAGAAAAAATTTCTCGTCCCAGACACTAAGAATTTCGTAGCGGATGGTCCTGCAGGTGGACTGCAACCTGGTACGCACAATCAGTTCAACACCGCGGGTAATATGAACCACGTAGGAGCACGGCCGGGACCGGCCTCTCATAGCGGGCTGCACGGCAATCTCGTGCATGCTGCGAGTGCCGGAGTCGGTAATGCAGTATCGACGAGTAGCACACCGATGGACACAAGCCCTCCATTGCATCAGCCCCCTCCGCTCTTTGTGATGTGGTCGATGTTGCCAAGTTGGTTCTTCATCGAGTGCGTGGTGATGTATGTACGGCTTTTGTTTTTATTTTCTTCTTTCTGTAAATAAAATAGGTTTCTGCAAGCCTTGTTATCCTGCTTACTTGATTAACCGCAATGGATGATCTACTCCATCAAACACAAACACGCTCTTTCAGAAAGACGTACACTGTATCAATAGGCGACTCATATAGAGACGATATTCACGTCGTTAGATAACGTCCCTCGCGTACAACATTTCAGTTCTAAGAGTCTAATTTGTGGCGCCTTCTTGAGCTCCGCGTGGACCCTAGCACATGTTGCGGTCGAAATCGATTATAGGGTGTCAGCCTACATCAAGGAGCGAACAGACCACTCGAGATGGTTTTCGACCTGTTGCATTGCTGGCCGGGTGATAGAAGTTGTCTCGACAGTGATGACACTAGGTTTCGTTATGCAACAAGCACTTCTTTCCAAGATAATTAGTTTGCTGCAAGAAGCCTACAATCAATTTCAACCTGAGTTGTGAATACTGTGGTTGATATTAAAAGTAACGTATCTGTTTCACGAACGATGCTGGAGATGTGAGCCTTCATGTTCTAATGGTTTCGTGCGCATCATATCTTTGATGGTGGGTAATGCAGCGGCTATTTGCTCTTTCCTCTTCGTCACGAGCTACTACCTTGTGGGCGTCGCCCAGCTGTGGATCGCGTCTCCCCAGGAAAAAAGTTTTTTATTATGCTGGGATGAAGATAAAAGTAAAGATCCATGAATATCACGACGGATGATTAATGTATGATAGTAAAGTACGTGGACCTAGTGGGATTTCGGGTAAACTGCGTCCTGATAGTTACTGGACGATTGGAATTTTGTTTGCCTTTGCTCTAATTTTCGTTCATTTCTTTGTTGGGTTTATGTACATGAGTGCGGATCTGAGCCGTTTCGTCGATCATCCAGGGTTTGCCAGAGTCGCTCGCCTTCTTTCCTGGCGTATACAACTGGTGCGGCTTGCTGTATTTGTGCTCTTTATGACCACATTTACTTAGATTATTTAATCAGTCAGGTGGAGGTTGCCGTTGCGCTTGATAGAGGACCGAACCAGGTTTAACATTCTCCCTCCCTCAGCATGCTGAATCGGAATAAAAAAAGGTTCTTTGATGTGTTTCTAAGACTCTGCTTCTGAGCGGGCTGGTACCGGTAGTGACAGACAGTGAAAGCGGAGAGACATTGTGCTTTTTCCAGTTGATGATCGCGAGGCATTTTGCCTTGTTCGTGTTTTACGCGACCATGGTGTCTGGGCATCTAGTTTTTCATTTAGTTCAGGGATACTTCGTTTCACCAGAGCGTGACGATATTTTCCTGCTTGCAGCTGCTGGGGACGTAGCGAGGCTGAAGAGCGTCCTCACGGAACTATCAAAACTCACTGTCGATGTCAATCATCGCCGAGAAAACGGGCATGCGCCCTTGCACGTCGCTGCGCGATACAACATTATGCATGGTTTCTTGTTGCCACAATGATAGACTTAATTTCCTCTGGGTAAGAAGGCGACAAAAAAGGTAATTTTCTTTCTGCAGGTCTCGAAAAGCCCAGAAATACTTGTACAAATTACCAACACTGCTTGGCTTGTTTAAGTTCGTTGAACATCTAAAAGAACGATTGAATGCATCAACGTGCTTCTGGTGTACGGAAAGGCAAACATCAACCTCCCGACATCGAGGGGTAAAACAGCCCTGCACATCGCCGCTGAGGAGGGCAAGCTTGCGACCGTCCGCTTTCTTGTGGAGTGCAATGCTACTTTGAACAGTCAAGACTGTGAGGGAAATACTCCTCTCCACCTTGCGGCCGCGAAGCACTACCACGAGGTCGTCAAGTATCTCATCGGGACTGCCGGTGTGACAACCGATATTCTGAATTTATGAAATTTAGTGTCGAGGGTAAGAATGTCCTGTGAATTTAGAAGTAGCTGGACGAGGCAATTTTCATCCAGCGAAAGTAGTCATTATAGTGACGAATTAGTCAGTAGAAATTTGTCTTACTGCAGCACCAACCGACGACCTTTCTAAGATGTTACGAAGGAGCGCTATGGTATGATCTCATTGACGTAGTGGATTCGCAGGATATTGACGGGATGCGCCACATGATGATCCATTCTGCTACGATGGTACTACTACTAGTTACTTGTGTCTGTGCTAGATCTTTGGACCTTGTGGCAGTCTGCACAGATCTTTAAGCGAAATTCATTGTATTGTATTGCATTGCATTGCATTGCGTGCTTCTTCTAAGAGCACCCTGTGCTGTGAAAGTCATGCAACTGCCTCACTTTTGTAGTATGGCGCATCTGAACCTGAAGCTGCAATCAACAGGTGCCTGGTGTTCGTGGAAATTCTTCCTCCGCGTCGTATTCATCAAGACGACTGGCTCGAGGATTATACGGCTATAAAGCCGTAGGTCCTTCTACGACTTCTGGTCTGACAGGCACGGCGAGCACGGTAGCCACGACCGGTAGGGGAACTGTTAATGTAGCGCGAAACGCAGGGAGTTGCGCGTCCTCTAGAGGACATCTGCAGGCGTTTTCCCAGTCAGTATCGCAAACGCAGCTAAAGCGATCCATTGTCGATGCTTCCGGGATTACGCTCTACTCAACACGCGAGACTCAGAGTCGTGAAAGTGACTTGTCCTTTTGTAATGCTACAGATGGGCGCAGATGGACGTCCGATGGCTACGAAGTGGACATGAACTTTCCTCCTCCTGGCGCGAGCCTTAGCCGTGCGACTACCGGTGGAGCACCCTCGAATCCAGGTTCTTTGCTGGAACTCAGCGAGATGACAATGCCATCCACCTCATCGGGGCTCAATTATAGTACGAGACAAAGGAGCGGCGTCGGCGGTCCCCCCGGCGGCGGCTCCTCTTCCTCGTCAAGTAATCCACCCAATTATAATATGGCGGTAGAAAAGAACAAACGCTACAGCGCTGTTGTGAGGCAGTCAGTAAGAACTGCGTCTGGAACGAGCCTAGGCAGTGTGCCTGAGGAACCTGGACGAGGACAAGGACACCTGAGCGAAGACAACTTGGAGAATCGCGTTGGAGACCGTGAAAATCAGGATCCAAAGCAGCAGAGGCGCCTCCTGTTGTCCTGTTCGAACGGCAAAAAACGAGGCAAGTCAATGGGAACCACACTGCCACGCATACGTAGTCAGGAGACCGAGCTTTACAGTATGGACGGTGGAGAGACGAGCCCCGACGACTCATCTTCCAAGTTCAAGCAGGAGACCACTTTAGTAAAAGATCATCCTGGTGAGGATCAATTGCAGGGAAGTAGGTCCGGCCGCGAGGATGGACTTTTAGATAAATCCACCCCACCGAAAGGGACGCAGGAAGTGAGGTGGAGCAACTCAGGAGGAAGCGCGCGACTCAAAAATCGAGGCGGCTGTTCTGGACGTAGCCCTGAGTGTTCACGAAAGTCAGCCGTGTCCCCAGACAGTGTGGATGCAGTGAGCTCAGCTAAGTTTGGGTCAGGGAAGAAAAACGGAAGACTTTCGAAGAACCTGGCATCCAGCAGCCCTGAAGCGGCTTCGGGACCCCCTGAATCTCTAGACTTGCATGCGGATTCCAATGCTGGCAGTACAGTGGTCGCAGTCGGTTCGGCAAGTTTTGGTGCGACAGGATATGCCTCTCCTGGTGGCGACGCGGATTCTACAATGCCTTGCGCGGCGGGTAAGCCTCTAGTATGCGGAGGTATAACCGCTGCACGAGTAAATAACGGGTCGTCGACATCGACACCACACAAAATGCCGATACCAAAGCTCGGACAGGGACTCCATCTGAGTCGAACCTTGTCAGGGAATCAGATGCACGCAGGAAACAGGATGAACTTGGGTAACGGTAGCGCCAACGAGTGTTGGAGGGGCGACCTTCGTAGTGGAAGTCCTACGCGTCCTGCGGTATCCAGCGGAAGTCACCGCGACAATCCCGGCACGAGCGGTAGTACGTCTGGGGCTCTCGCGCTCGGTTCCGGCGGACGCTCCTTGAGACCCAGTCTGATGCCGGCTTCATCGGATGGAACCAATAGCCAACCGTGGGAGCTTGCGAATCTGTCCGACTTGGAACTGTACAACGCGATGCACAGCGGTCACCAGCCTTACAATACTATGTTGCAGCAACAACACAGCCGCACTTACACGGAAACGGAGGAGCCGGGACGGACAATATCAGAGAGACTCGTTCGTGTCGAGCCTGCAGCACAAGACCCTTTCTTCGAACGCGGCACGTTCGGAAAACCTAGACTGCTCTACAATACGGGGGCAGGAAATCACAGTGGTGAACACGGTGTGGACGATGCTGCGGACCTCCGGGATCTCGAAAATGCGCCAGCGCGACAGGACTTTTACTTTTTCTACCCGTACTACAGTGTGGATCCTGCACGGGACAACATGGCTGGTCACGTGCTGCGACCCTGCGGCCTCTCGAGTCTCATCTTCTCGACCGCCACGCCCTACATTTTTGGTCGTTTTTTCCTTCGCACTGTGGATGAGGAGCGACGCGTGCTTGATCCCGAATACAACGCGAAGCGTGAGGCCGGGAAGCGAGCGATTCGCGCCTACCGAGGGGAGGGAAGCACGTTTGCTGAGGACCAGCCAGGTTATGGCAACCAGCAGTACCTGGAACTACAGCAGCGTCAGTCTGCTAGTAGCGCGGGGCGAGGGGGACACGCGTGTACGTCTCTGTTTAGTAACGGGGCCGCTAATCGAGGATTTGGCAAGGAAATGCCAGGACCTCACGACAGACGGTCTTCGCTTCTTGCGCCTTCGTCCCGAGCATCCAGTGGCCTCGCAGCGGACCAGCGTCACAGCATGCGTTCGTCAGTTCGCGGCAGTACGCTACTGCATCATCAGCGTCTGGCGCGGCGACCGCCGAAGAGGCGAGACCCACTACAGAATCTGGACTGGAATAAGCTCGGTCCTCAGGACTTCACAGTCCTTCAGCAGCTAGGCCGTGGGACATTCGGAACTGTGATGAAAGTTTGCCTGAAGGACGACCCAGATGTGATTCTAGCACTCAAATTGCTTTCCAAGAAGCAGTACAAAGTGCAGAACATCGTGTGCAGGTACTACCTCTGAAGGCTTTTGGAGTTTTGAATATCTTCGACTCCCTTGATGTAATTGTTCTTGGTAAGAAGTACCCTGGTTGCGGTTGCCTTCATCGATCTACAAAGAGATGATCCTCTTGATTTTTGCATAGAAGCAATTTGGAGACTGATAGCATTTGGTCTACTCGGTCTCGTGTGCCTTTTTCTAATTGCATCTAATCCTCAACAGGTATTACGCTGAGGAGCATGTTTTGAGAACGGTAAAGCATCCGTTCATCGTGCTGCTTTACGCAACTTTTTCTACGCCTTTGCACTGGATGCTGTTGATGGAGTTCTGTCCTGGAGGCGACCTCCACGATTTACTAGTCTCGCAAGGCACTCCAGGCCTTAGCCAGATCGTGGTGTTGAAGGCTGCGACCGAAATTCTTTTAGCCCTCGAATTTTTACATGCTCGCGGCATCGTTTTTCGCGACTTGAAGTGCGAGAATGTCATCTTGTCTGCGAGTCGCACTTGCCGTCTTACGGACTTCGGTTTAGCAAAAGAGGATCTGGACGCCGCTCGGACGGACGGCGTCTACTCCTTCTGCGGCTCTTACGGATACTGTGCACCAGAAGTTTTGCAGTTAAAGCAGGCAAAGAAGCAAGCAGCGATGGAGGGACGAAGATCAGGTTTGCAACCTTTTACGAGTCAAGGATCAATGAATATGCTAAGGACCGTGGCATGGTGTTCATCAGCGTCTCACAGGTTGATTACTTATGTATGATAAGCTCAAATAAAAAGACTGGAATTCCAAGTCAAAAACAAATTGGAATTTTTCTTTGTTTTAGGTGGTGGGCTAGGGGGCAAGCCGAAGGCTCGAGGATACGGACACGCAGTGGACGTCTATTCTTTCGGTGTGGTCCTGTTTATGCTCGTCACTGGTGGCCAACGTACCTGGTCGAAAACGGGTAACAACAAGCGGGAGAACAATAATTACAAGAACAAGAGCGTCGGGAATCAAGCGAACCAAGCGGCCGCTAATGCGGTTGGGGAGGCTTCAAGGAATCCAATGAAGGATCAGTTCGCAGTGAATCCTGGCGATGCAAACGCAGGTGTGCAGCACGCAGGGGCAAAAGGAGACAATTACCAAAGTTCGAGGAATGTTAATAGGGGCGATCAACTTCCTGTTTCGAATCAACATGGCAACAACAACAACCAGAAAACCTCCGATCAAACTGGGAAGGAGAATTCCCGTGGCACTAGCAGTACCGCGGGAAGCTCTAAGGGGCAAGAGAATCGATTCCCTCCGGCTTGCCACGAGGACCTCCGCAGTGAGCTTGACAGCGTTTTGCGGTGGAAGCAGAGAGACGCCGTTTCGTTTCGGCTACCGCAAAATAGACAGCAGTATGTGTCCATGCGCGAGAAGTCGCAAAGGTGGCAGCAGCATCCTTACCTTCTGGAGCTCGTAGGCGTGATGGTGAACGAGAGCGCGGATAAGCGCGGGACATGCGAGACGATGCGCGGACATCAATATTTTCTTTTAGGGCTCATGCATGTAGTTCCTAATTGATTCATCATTTGATTGTTTCTATGTATCTATATGTTACAATGACATTACGTGACATTGATACATTGTCGTTCTAATTTATCATGTCGATTTTTCCGCGGCCTTGAATAACAGCAACAGGCATTTTCGTGATGTCCAGAGAAGGCTTGACGAGATGGCGATAGCAAAACCACCAGCGAATAATACCTCAACGAGCAGTTGCGCGTCTCTGCCTAAGGCTTCGAGCTTAGCTGCGGCGCCACTGACAAGACCGTTGACATCAGGTGGAGGTGAAAAACTTGACGCTCTCGTAGGGAGCCCCACCACCGGAGCCGTTGGTCGATCGGAGGAGGACACTGATGGAGAAAAACATGACCAAATAACTGAAAATGCTCGGGGGGAGGATGCCGAAAATGGTAATGAATGGGTAGCTGCGTCCTCGTCGCAAAAGGGAGACAAAAACGAGAATTTGGCGGGTCAACATCCAGAGGAGCCACCCCACAGAAGAACTAGCACAGCGACTAACTTCGACTCGGGAACCGCAGCCCGAGTGACTGTGCTGTCGACCGAAGCATCGACGCGCATCGAGACTCCAGACGGTGATGGGTTCTTGCGTGTTTCTTCGACAGCGAATTCTGGTTCCGCTCAGGTGATTTCGGGCAGAAGCACCGCCTTACTATCGTCTAGAAGAGCAAGCACGACCACGACTGGTACCACAAATGTTCTAGCACTCTGTAGTTCATCAGGTAGACGGGCTACCATAACTCAAGAACGTCAATCTTCTTCTAGTTCATCATCCTGTACTTCTAGACGCGACGACAAGACAGGAGGCGAAGAGTCGATTAAGTGTGTTGTACGTGAAGAAGTAGACGATGTCGTAATTAGTGAAGCAGATGGAGAAGGAGGTGACGAAGAGCTAGGGAGGACAAAACTAGATGAAGTAAATGCGGGAGCTGAAGCAAGTGCGAAATTAAGCAGAGAGAGTAAAATCAAGTTCAAAGAAACTGACGATACTTGCACTGTGCTAGAAGAAGGTGACACGACAGAAGAGATAGCGGAGACCACTGACACCTACAGGAGTTTGACAAAGCAGGACTTTCTTCGGGTGTCCTCAGTAACTTGGAGCTCGCGCATAAAGGCCAGGGCTACTGCGAGCACGCGGATCGGGTCGCCGTTCTCTTCCGATGGTAGCAGTGTGCAATTATGGAAATATTCAAACACTTCTGAAAAAAACAATTGGAAGAATTACTCCAGAGTACGTCTAACAGTAAAGACTCTGAGTTTGTAACTTGTTCTTGCTGTTCATCTTCTTCTGACGCATAGCGAGTCAGCATGGCTGACCTGGGCTTGAGCTGCCTTCTTCCTGTCTTCTAATATACGGTTCTCCGCTCTCAGACGATATCGGAAGGCTTACGTGCGTGCAAGAGAAACCGATGACGCCTGTAACAGAGGCAACCGAAGACGGATCTTCGGAAGCGCACGGAGGAGAGCAGTAGCTGTGCTATCGATTCAAATCTTGTCAAATTAACTTCCACTGGAATTCAAAGATGATGATAGGCCTAGGTTTTAACATTGCACTTCTCGGATCGAAATTCTGACTGCGTGTGAATTCCAAGTTTTCAAAAAATCGAAGACTCAACTGCACATTTTTACAGTGCTGGCATTCTTGGCCGTATTGGAGCGTCTTCCTTTAGCACTTCTGGACTCTCTCCAATATCTAATAGGCAAACTTCTAGCAGAGTACGCAGAAATTCTAAAGGCGGAAAGATTTGCCCTCAGAGTTGTATGTAGAATCAAGAGCTGGAGGGACTTTGTTGAAGTGTCGGTATAATGTCTTTTTTGCGCATTAGTAATACATTCTTGCGACTCAGCATCGCGCATATTTTCCGCCTCAGATGGCTAAGCCTAAGATACACCTTTTTCCATTGATTGATTGACAGACGGTCAGCCTGATAGACTGCATTCATACAATAAGAAGCGGCAGAAAAGTAACAGAACACCTTTCAAACGAACAAGACGAGATGACTGTGTGTGTGTGTGTGTCCTCCTGTAACAAGTAAGTATCTGCGTACCTAAGTACTTGACAGCTTTTTTTAGGTTTTTTCGGATGCAGCGCGGGGCACTCGGAATGTCTTTTGCTTCGACGATGCATCCGAAAAAACAGTACAAATCACTATTTAACGAGCCACAGACAAAGGAAAACGACACGTGGTACTAGTTTCGACCCTTATAGCATTGAATGCTCCTGGTGTTGATATTAATGAAGGAATATTATATATAACAACGCAGTGGAGGTGACCAGAGCGTGTAGTTATACCTATGATGTAAGAACGCAGCGCAAGCGCAACGCACGTTGAAGAAAACCTCCGACGCCCAGATCCTTGCCCATCTGCAAATGCAGACGTTTCTAGTATGGAGCTTCTTTTATTTCTATCGATTGAAGATTTCATGGCAGCGCATTGTGATGAAAACAAGCGTATAATTTTTCTTGCAAATGATAGTTTGGCAGTTCGAGTTTCTTAGTTTAAGTCATGATGTTGCACAGGATACGCGTTTCCGCTAATTGTGCCTGTCCATCCAACGCAAGGTCGTTTGGCTGAAGGCGCAGAGATTCCAGTCTAGGAGGTGGACGAAGATAAGCTTCTAATTTCATTCTGTTCTTGGATGTGGGGAGTTGGAGTTGCACTGTGGCGCAGAGTGTACGAGAGTAGATATGGTCCTCAATTTTTGTGTCGAATACGCTCCTCTTGATGAGAATCAACGACGATCTTTGGGCTCGTTCGATGGATTTGGCTCAGACTCTCTTCCGTTCGACAGCTCCCCAATCCTCAAACGCCGTCTTATCTTTGTTTGATCTTACGACGACGACGACGACGATTTCTTCCAATTCCATGAGAGGATGGAAAAAAAAGATCGTGGTATGAAATAAAGGAGGATTGAATAAAACGGCTGTGTTCCAAGTACAAGCACTTGGCGCTCGAATGGAGTTAGTTATACATGAATATTGCCAAGCATCGCGATAGGGATGAAACTTCTGATATCTTAATAAACTTCAGTCTTCTGCTATCTGTGTCTTCGATCATTCAGAAGTTTTGTCTGACGTCCACACCCGCTATTATGTTGGATGAGCACTCGTATTTTTTCGCAAAACGATTTGAAGTACTCCTGTAGTAAGACTCGGATAGTCTTGAGGACTCAGACCTTCGTTGCCTAGTCAGCGACGTCATCGATGCTCGTGCAGTGATGGTTTTTTTTTTGAATTGGCAATGAGTAAGACCAGGGGATGCAGCTTCCCCAATCAAGTTGCCAGGAAACCACTCATTTTGGCATAAGGAGACAAGTCTCTATGCTTCTAAGGCCTACTTGATTGGCAATGAGTAAGACGGTTTGGAGTTTTATTAAGACATTGCCAGAGCTAACTTCTAGTTGTGCAGCTGCAATATCTAATACTATGTCGCATTAGATGGTATGTAGCATGATGATGCTGGCGAGAACACGTGAGGAGGTGGGGAGCTCAATACAAACTACTGTCCGACGGAAGAGAGAACTACGGCTACGTCAACACAATGGCGGCGCTGGGGCAGCAGCAGGGGAGCAAGAAAGAGGGTACCAAGAACAAGCGAGCAAGTTCTACTAACAACACAGGCAAAACGTCGCCGGATTCGTCCGATAAAAGGGATGCTTTACTGTCCCAGACGTTTCTGCGGCTATGCGGTCTTTCCGGAGACGTTGTGGAGCTGCCACTTCCACAGATACAGCACTGTACAACGGTTGGAGAACTCCGCTTCTTTGTAGCTCAGCATGTGTGGCCACGAAGGCCGCCACCTTCGCTCGTTATATTGCAAGCACTGCGGCCTCTGCCAGGAATATCGGACAAACGGCACGACAAGGATGCTCCACCGGCAAGCAATGATGACGACGGTGGCGACGATGAAGCTGGCTATTTCGAAGAGGTCGAACTCGATGACGATCAACCATTTGATGCAACAGCCTTCATCGTACCTAGCGCTCATCTGCCACGAGTTAACAAGAATAGAGGGATTAGTGGGCAGACTTGTGCAGATGAAAGAACCGCAACGCAAGAAAGCGACGAACCCCATCTTCGCGTTTTGATTCGACAACCCGCACCCGAAATACTAGCGGTTTTCCAGAACGAGGATAACAACATTAGCTGTTGTACAACAGCCTCTTTTGACAAAGACTACACTGAACAGGACCCTCGAGGTGTTATTGACGATGGACAGGAGGACTTCGACTACTTTGACTATGAAGGCGTTCCTCGTGACCATGATTCGGAGCGGGCGATGGCTCCGAGTCCGGGTTCTTCGTGGCGCTGGGTCGTTTCGCAGTTGATCCGTATGGCGAGTGGTGCTTTGCCGGATGACTCCGACGCTGGATGGACCCACAGTTTTCAGCGGTGTCGTGAATTTGTGTACTGGCATGAACAACATCTGTGTTCTGAACATCCAGAAGTGCTCCTTTTTTTGGCCGAGAACGCCAATGCCTCAACTGGTGGAACGGCGGGAGGCCAACGCCGAGGAAATGGTGGCGCGGCGACGCACCTGGACATACCGTGGAGCATCATGCTGCTGGCTGTGGTAGAAAGAATAGCCGACAAAATGGGCTTCAACGAGCAGGGAGTATCGTCTTCAGGTAATTCTTGCAAGCTGTCAGTCAAAGTGGACACGGCAGCTGCAAAGACTGATGACAATGACGGAGCGGAGCATGTATCTGTGATGAACGAATCGAAGATTGAAGGAACTATATGGCACAATATCAGCGAGCAGAAAGCAGTTTGCCTGACAAACAACTCTTTTAACGGGCGCGCGGGTGCTGCGCTAAGTGCGTTCTTTCGAACTGATGGCCTGCAGGCGGCAGGTGGAGAGGTCGCACTGGTGAGCGTTTTTCACGCCGTTCTGCGTGGCTTGCTTTGTTTTAAGAAGGAACCGACTTCGCTAGAGCCTGCAAAGGTGCGGCCGATGACAAATGACGGTGTTGCTGCTCCTGTTCGTGACAACAACGCTAGCGGATCAAGCTCCAGTGCATCGATCGTCCGACTATGCCATGCCATTCTCTGTAGCATGCTGTCTGTTGCGCCCGGCCGCGTTCTCAATGTCTCCGGTGCTTACATACGTGGCACGCACCTTTTTGTCGACAGCGAAATGGACGAAAATCAAAATTTGATGTCAAATTCTGATCTCCACGCAGCCTCAAATATGACGCCAACATCGGGGAACAGTGCTGGAACGCCTTCGTCTGCTGGTGCAGATAGAAGTAGAACGATTCTGGGACTCAGGTTGCGAACTCCGGGATGCGCCGTAACGAAGGAGTGGAGCAACGTGATTCCAACGCTTTTTCTAGACCCCGACTGCGCCGCCGCTGTCCTGCGCAACCCCGAATTGGATACGCAGACGACGCTGCTACAAATCGCCGCCGGTGGAGCTGAGCGCTCGCGAACCTGTTTGCTGTCCGCCGCTGTGACCGCACAGCTGCCAACGTGTCTGGAAATCGTGCGTCGACTGCAATTGCGTGGCGGGAAGATGACTTCATCTCATACAAACGTCGACTGCACCAGCAGCGGGCACGAAAAAGACGAGCCTACATTGAAACAGGGCCAGCCAATAGGTTCTGCTCAGATGAATCACGCGATCCCGAAGCAGCTCGTGCGCAAGTACTTGCGTGTACGATACACGACCTTACCGGAACCAGCTAATTTTTGTTTTCGAAAATTTCCTATGCAACCGCTTTCCCAATTGTTTGGAAAAAATGCGGCAGAAATATGCGAGTACAATATGAGCAGATGCGGTCATCAGGCGGACGAGTGGCTTCAATTGTTCCAGTGTCTCATAAAGCTGGAGCGAGAAGCATGACCTGCAACACCGAGCCCTCCTTATAGCAACATATCATTTACACCTTTCATGATGCTGATTTACATCCAACGATCTTTTGGTCCCATGCCCTTCACAATTAAGCGTTGGTGACTTAATGTTTTACTGTTGCCTGTAATTTTGTTTTGAATGTTATTCCCTAGGAGGTGTTCCCATTTTTGATGCGCTTTACAGAGGACAGGACGAATTCAAATTCAATAGCTTCTAACTAGGGTTTTCAGTCCAAAAATCGATGGAAGCAGCAGAGTAGAGGTCAGGAATCGCGATACTATGAATGATACTAACAACGGAAAAATAGCTCTTTCTCTTGCAGCTTGGGTTGAATTCTGTTCGTAATCATATCCAACATATGATGAAAGGGAGTTGCTGATGATCCCTTCTCTCTTTGATCGTCGATTCATTTTCAAACGCAGTGATGACTAGGATCCAAGAGGTATGTGAAGATTCGTTACAATTTAGAGCATGCCGCAGGTCAATGAGGGAAGTCACATGGGAATGCTTATCTTTTGATACACCAGTCTTGAGAAGTTGATAACAGAGAATTGTTTGAGCTCACAATGTACGTAACTGCCTTGGACTTGGTAACGTACTTCTAGGTACATCCGTGGAAAGAGATCATGATAACCTCTAGTGTGCATCCGGAGACGGGAAAGCGAGAGTACCGCGTAGAAAGCCTTGCGGATACTGGTCCTTATGTCTGGACTAAAGCTCGTCGTGATCTGGAGCAGGGGAATTCACAGAATCGGCTCTTTCGTGGAGGCGGTGCGTCCATCAGGGCAGGTGTGAATGAAGACGGAGACACCTCCTCGACTGTCCACCTCGGTGGGCATCTGCCGCAGGGATGCCGCTATTGTCCCGAGCCAAAGATCCGTAACACCCCAGTGTGTGAGGAAGATTTGGTCGAGGAGATCAGCGTCTTGCGCTTACCTGAAGCACTAGCCATTGAACTGGAGGAGGCTTTCGCGGCCGAAAACGAGCAGGAACAAGATACTGGTGGTCTTCCTTCTAGTACCAATGGAGGAGAAGGTCACATGAATAACAGAGGTACCTCTTCTATAAGGTCTATTTGCGCCACAGCCACCGGCGCGACGGGTGGTGTATTTTTTCAGAAGGAGCAAGAAGGCGGCACTTCTTCCTCGTCAACTTCCAAGGCGCAACGCAGGAAACCTAAACCTTTTTCAGAACGTGGTGATGTTCTATCTTTCGAGGCGGACCACATAGTTTTGAATGGTCGCAGGTATCCACACTCAGTGCAGCAATTGCCCTACCCGGTGGAAGCGTTCAACGAGGATCATAAGGTCGCCGATGTACCTTTCCTCATCACTGTTGACGGAAGTCGCGAATTGGAGCTAGACGAGGCAACAGGTAGGCTCCTGGGCGAACGCAGTCTCCACGCAGACGGCAGCATTGCCAAAGCAGAGGACCAGGGTGGAACAACGAAGAAGGGAGGCCTCCCGAACAGTAACATCAATGAAGACGTTCTCGGGGACGGCACTAACGGAATGAAGGTCATAGACGAAGGAAGTGAGGATTCCGATGCTTTATTAGCAGCCTTGGGTCTCGAGAAACCTGCACCGCTTTCAGGCACCGCAACTGGTGCTGGGGCTTTTGATGTTGACGAGGGGACGTCTGGTGCGACAGCCAGTGCTGGTCCTCCACGACAGGTGCCTTCGTTTGTGAAGCCGCATTCCATGGGTTTGACTAATGTACGTCGCTCTAAAAGCGTCGCTGGGGACCCAGGTGACGTGCCCTTCACCGAACAGCAGATACAAGAGGCGTGGGTCACCTTGCTCGAACTGGCGGAGAGGGGCAGTTACACCTATTGCGAAGACGTCCAGGAAATCAACCAGGCTCAGTTCCTGGAGCTCAAGCGGAGATTCCGTACACAAGAATGGAAGCCGGGCGACAGCGTTGTCTCGGGTCACAGTAACAATCAGATTGCAGGGGGGAGCAAACAGGGTGGCCCGCCTTCATCTGGAGGGTCCCAGCCTGGAGCACGGCCGAAAAGCAGTACAGCGAGGAACAGGTCTAGCGCACGGGCAGGCAGCGCAACAAGCACAAGACAAAAACGTGCACTCCTAGCCTCAAAAGGCCTCTAGTAGTGAAAACATTCGTGCCTCAACTGATGATTTTCCACCATAAGAAAACCCCTTCAGCAGAATGAAATCGGACTCCTCATCGTCGGAGTCCACACACGATACTCGTACCTCGTTTAGTGTCCCACCAATCCAAAAAAGTTCACAAGAAGCAAAGCTCCATAAAAAGATGCTGAATTTTTAAGGCCATAACTTCCGGCTCTGTACTTTGTATGATCACGCTTTTAATTTATTAGAGTCTGAAAGAAAACGGTAACGGTCCGCAACAAGAAATCTGAATGGAAATATATTATTCCTCTTCACCACAACAACAAAAATGTGCGTCGGGCTCTCGCTCTCCGCGTCCGTCTCTCTAAAAAAGACCTCTATCTGAAAAGCAAAAAGAGGAGTGATCAAGCAATCCATGGATCTGAAACCATCGTTCTTCACAGATCTTCAAACGTGGTCAACCTGAAAAAACAAGTCTAACGAGGCGAAGTTTATTCGGTCGTGGGGCAATTCGGTACGGTCTAGTTCGGTACAGGATGAATGACAACGAGAAAATGGATCTTTGTGCGTCAGAATAGGACGATGAAATAGACGAGATGAATAGGAACGGTAATTTTCAGTTAAAATTTTGTTTTCGATGAATTTAGTCGAAGCAAGCGGTCAACACGCTGATCAAGCCATGTGATATTTCCCTGCACGAAGTACTGCGTGCAGTTTGGTTGCTACAATATACTATATTGAGCGGGACAATGAAGACAGAAGCAGAAACAGAATCATTTTGATTAGAGAACTGATAAATTTCCGATTGCAAAAATTACATCCTTCTAGTCATGCATGTTTGTCTGTCTCGTTAAGATCGAACGTGATCAATCATATTCACAACTAAGACAGGCGACAAGGAATGAGTGTCTTTTTCTCTTTTCATTTACTAGCGACGTTTTTTTTATTGATGCCGAAGTTTCCCGCAGAGGCAAATCTCGCCCGTGTCCCCCCATGGTCATTTTTGTTGTTGCTTCATTGAGATGTTTATTGTGTACAGGAGCGAAAAATGTCCTCCGCGCGAAACAGTTTATGACTACTCTTTGATTGAAGCCACGTGAAGACATCCCAAGTATTTGAAGAGATATGATCTGCATTCTGCAACTACCGATTTAACAAAAGATGTAGTTTTTTTTGTGTCGGGATGCGTGACGATTTTCATCTAGTCGTTGCCGGTGTGGACTAGGTGGAATCTCGAGAGTATCGATAAGAACTAGAAATTGTGACCATTTTTTATTGATAGATGCTTCAATTTGTGCAAGTAGATTCACTAGAAGGTAGACAATCGTAACGGATTCATCTTTGATAGATCATTTGCAGGCGAAGCTCTTCACTTACCGACTAGTTCGACGTTATTTTCTAGCGCTTTTTGGCGCTCGAAGCAGCACTCCCAAAAAAATGCCGCCAAAAAAGAAGCCAGCGGCCGCTAAGGCCAAGGCTGGCGCTGCCAAGAAGGCAGCTGACAAGAAGGCGCCGGCCATGAAGCAGGCTGCGATGAAGTCTGCCGTTGCGAAGGGGAAAGAAGAGAAAAGCTCGAAAGCAGGAAGGGCTGCCGCGAGTTCATCTTCTTCGAGCAAGCCGGTGATGAAATCAGTAGCCGCAAAAGGAAAATCAAAGCCAGCAGTGAAGGGTGCTGCCGCAACGAATTCCGCGAAGAGTTCAAAAGCGAAGGCAAAGAAAGAAGCAACTCCACTAGAGAATGATGACGAAGAAGAGGAAGAAGACGAGGACGAAGAGGAAGACGCAGAAGAGGACGAGGTAAGAAAAATTACGAAGGGTGCTGACATCTAAGCATGTTCTTTAAATCTGATAGTGAAAGACTTTGCTTGTCGTATTCAGTTGCTTCATCGTCGATCCCTATGCCTATCATAGTCTTGCACAAGCACAGTGAATCACCCTTTCTTTTATGACGAACGACCCTAATATGTATCTTCAGGACGAGGACGACGAGGCTGAAGACGAAGAGGCCGCAGAGGAGGATGAGGAAGAAGCGGCGGAAGAGGATGAAGATGAGGAAGAGGCTGCGCAGGAGGAGAGCGAGGAGGCAGCCGAAGAGGAAGCTGCGGAGGAAGAGGCAGTGGAGGAGGACGAAGAGGCAGCAAGTAGTGGTACCATGTAGCTGTTTGTGCTTTCTAGAAAGCATCCCGTTTTCTTACAAGATGACTGGAAAAGGTTTCTCAATACGAAAAGTGCTAACTACGTTTATCTTGGTGGAAAAGACTGCAATTTCGTTTTGATTTTTGTGGAAGAAAATGCATAGCAGCAGGAGCCCAAAAGGCATCATGATCATGTAAGAAAGTTGCTTAAACAAGAAATATATTCATATTCTCCTCCTCCTCGCACAGCTGCAATGGATGTTGATTCGCCTGTGGAAGAAGACGCAGCGGAAGAAGAGACCGGAAAAAAGGCAAAGAACGGTGGTGGAAAAATGAAGTCAAAGAAGAAGGTAGAGTCCTCTGGCTCGGACGACGATGAACCAATAGTGCCAGCATCGAAAAAGCGGAAGGAAAACGTACGTTGGCATCTGGCCATATTTCCCATCGCTACCTATCCTAAGAAAGCCAGAAAATGAACTGATAGATAAAACTACCTCTACCTCTAGTAAATCATTTGCTCTCCTTAACTCAGGCTCCATCACCAGATGAGAAGAAAGACCGACCGCAGTACAGATTGCGTGACTTCGAGGTGGACGATATGTCAGTAGTGTATGGTGAAGACGGCTTAGACGAGTTTGATGGGCACTACGGTCTTGTTGAGGACGTCGTCGCTGGTGCTGAAAAGGCCGCGGTGCGAGCAGGACACGAGGAAGAGTTCAACCCAGAACTGAAAAGGCTTCGAGAGGAGCACGAAAATATGCGTGCTGGTCTGGTCGAAAACGAGGAGGTTCGGAAGGCTCTGCAAGAAAAGTACTGCGTTATAATGCTTGATCTAGTCGTTAGATTTTCTTATTTTGTTGCGTTGTAAGAGCCAATGCCTCTCATCCTGTAGTTGAACGACATCAATGGTTTTTTTCACATACGCTTTACGTATTTCGATGAATCTCACAGAGCCGAACGCCGATTGCCGCAGCGTGACGCGGATAAGAAGGAGGATGACGACGAGGATCACGGGCACGAGGATTTGAACCAAGCCTATACGTACATTTTTGTCGGCGATGTTAGCAAACAAGTGTACAAGTACGATCAGGTGAACCGATACTGGCGTATCCGTACCGATCAGGCCCCGTTGACGATCCATGACACCGAGGGGGAGAACACGAGAGTAATTCACGGCATGACTCGTGAGGAGTACTTGGAAGACTTGTATCAGAAGCGGGAAGACCGGAGACAACAAGCTGCATTCGAAAAGCGACAAGCACAAAGGGAAAGGCAAGAGCGGCAGCGCGAAAAGCGCGACTCGACGATGCTTACGGGCGCCGAGAGGGCAGAGCGCAAAGCCAGAAAAAAGAGAGAACGCGAACAACGCCCTGGTGCTTTTACTTTTTATACCGACATCTCGATCTTGAGCGTCAAGCTTTCTCTAAGGCATAATCACAGATGTTGCTGCTGCATTTCCTTGGGCTTCAATATCCACCCACCTAATTCTTGTTCTATCTAGTGCTTGAAGACTCTTGTTCAAAAGTTCGCAAGTGCTGGAGGATGACCTTGTATGTACTCTTCATCTCAGGTGCGCAGCAGTTTTTGGAGAGCGAGAGCGAACTGGAGGAAGATGCCGAGATGCAATTAGAGGAAGGACGCGCTGAACTAGAAGCTGTGAACCCAGACCCTGCGTTGCGGGAGCTGCGAAAGCTTGCAGAGGTTAGCCGCAAGATAGCCGAATCGGATCAGGGGGACCCCGATATCATTGCTTTCACAGACAAGTACGGATTTGGTTATCGAATGTGGCGGTGGAAGCTGATTCATCCCTTAAGGCTCAGGATAGAAAATAGATTTAAAAAATTGATTTTCCCAGAAGTAGCAGTAGATAATTGAATCTAAAAGTTGAAGTTTAGTTTTTTTTCTCAATATTTGTCGATCGATATCCTACAAGAATTAGAACAATTTTGAGAGAACAACTTAGGAACTGCTACTACTGCGCGCCGGGAATGCATGAATGCAATGAAAAGCTTTGCCTCTAATCAGGACTACTTCTGCGAAGACGGAAGAGGCACAACGCAAACCTCCAAAGAAGATCGAGCTGTCCAAGGAAGACGCTGTGACCAAGGAAGCGAGAGAAAAGCTCGGATTTCACTACCGTCCGAAAGGGGATGATAAGCATGTACCAGACAAATACCTCATTGAATTTCGACGCATCGACGAGGAAACCGGCTACTGGAGACCAGAAGATGGCGAAGAGGAGGATTGGAAGATCGTTTACCGTGAAAAAGTCGATGTTATGGATATCATTTTTTTGACCAGGGGAATACAGAAGAATTCAATCGATGTTAATAAATGTGAGTATTTGAGTAATAAGTATGTTTCTTACTAGTCAGTGTGAAATGAGAGTTTGGTAAATGAGTCTGTGGTCTTTTATCATCATACATAGGAAGATACAACCTCATCTTTGTACGAACCACTTCATTTTGGAGACGACCGAGGAAGTGCGGCAAGGCACTGCTGCGCGTAAAGTCAGCGATTCGTTAGCACAAGCGGACGAGAAGCTTGTCACGAGGCTGAGGCTAGAGGCGGCGGATGCCGCTGGCTCGGGCAATAGGCAAGATCGGCAGCTGGTACAAAGGAAACAGCACAAGCTGTTTTTCAAGCAGTGGAAGGACTTGATCGCGGGAAAGACTCGACCTAACCACGAGCATTCGGAGCGACCGGAAGCGTACTGGTTTTTCCTGCGCCACGGGTCCATGTCGCGGAGGGACTTGTATGCACCTCCGCACAACTTCGAGACGGGCTTCCAAGGTCGGTCCGGAATCCGCTTTGTCGCCCATGACCGTTTTCGAGAACAGCAGAACAAGGTATTCTTGGGACGCTTACTACAGCAACGCACGCTTCCGATCAGCAACAGCATGAAGCCGCTGGCCTACAAGAACGAACAAGCGGATGCTGCAACGGCCGCCAAGCAAAAGGGCTCCGCCAAGGTCCCCGCTGAGGCCACCTATGCTGGTGTGGAGGCCGACCAGTACGACGCTGGTGCGGATGCTAATTTATTGGATGGAGGGGATCGCAGTGCTGTCCCTTATGCGATGGGGCCCGACTATGACCAAGGTGAACTCTACGACGAAAATGCTCCTTGGGACGCACACGAAGCCGATGCGTTCGGCAATATCTCTGCGGCGCCAAACCAAGACGACTACAACTATGGTGCCTATTAATCAGAGTAATTCGAGTAGTCATGCGACCGTGATCAAGAATGTTCAGCTGAGACGCGTTGATGATGATGCGATCGTTGACGAGGAACACGCAGTAGATGAAATCCCATACACTTTTTTTCAGAAGTTTTCCTCTTGGCACGTCGAGGAACTGTGAATTTATAAAAAATGAATGAAACAAGTTGAAATCGATTCCAGATTTTCTTCACCGAAAGTAACAGATTAAATCCACATAGTAAATACATCTGTGCTACGTACCAGCACTGGCAACCCAAAATTATACTTTTTCGATTTTTGATGCAGTTGATTCTAGCTAAAAACTGGCTATGAAAATAACTGGAAAAAATCATGATGAAAAACCTCCAATTGATAGGGACAAGATTGTTGTACTCTCAGTCATCAAATAGTACATGCCCATCAGGATCATGCTGTGCCGATATAAGCGCAGTGTGATTTCTGTGCTCATTTCGAAAATGAAGATGTGTTATCGAGCTTACTTCTTTCGTCGTCTCTTTCATAATCTCGATTCTGTCGTGTCTGTTGTAGAGAGGAGGCGAAGTCGCACAAGTCGAAAGATGCGAATCACATCAAGAAATATCGGATGATTTATACGATTTTGTATCGGCATCTACTTTCTGTGGTTCAATCTCACTGGATGAGTCCGTCTCTCGGTTCGAGCAGAGAGCTGTAGCAATTAAGGAGTTATTGTGGATGCACGTCTTGCGCCAAAAAAAGCAAATCGAGCCTTGGAAAAGCAAGAAAATATGTATTAAATAGGGAGTTGTTGTCAGGCTCGACAGAGTCAATACTTTCAAGTTTTTTTCGTCTGAGCGTAGGTACGATGAAGTAGGTCGAAGTAAAACTCATTTTATGTAGTTAGTCGCACGTCCAGCCGTCGAATCGAAGTGAGCATACGAGAAGATAAAACTCGGGAACTTAAAAAGGAAAAGCATACTTTAGACTAACATCAGTGATAGCTAGACCAAGGACCACGGTGCTCATATAAGTAAGTGATTAAGCTGCAAGACCCGAACACTTGGGCCGCGCATCAAAATGGCCGACGAGGGCCCCGACCCGGGGGATGACGGCCTCCCCGTCGACGAGGAGGAGGAGAGCGAAATCCCGCTGCTAAAACAGGACCACCCGCTGCTTGCGCGCGTCCAGCGCGCGCTGCTTGAGCAGCTCACTGCGCAGAAAGACCGCTTACGACTCCAGCTAGCCGAGAAACAGGAAGAACTGAAGAAACTTGTCGGGCATAGAGAAAACATAGGTACTGGTGTTCTTCGCGATAACTAAGTAGCTAAACTTTCGATATCTTTATCATAGAAGAAGAATGAAGGCCCAATCTATGTTGTAACACGATAATATCTTGTTTCCAAGTTACTCACATTTTTTCTCTGCGTATTGTAGATCTATCATCCGGCTTGCCACCAGGTGTGACCCTCTACCACGCGCAGCAGCAACTAGCGAAATTGCAGCTGAACCAGGAGGAAATACAAGACAAGTTTTCGACGATAGTCCAATCCAAGGAGGATGAAAACCAGAAGCTCGAGTCAATAACAGGGGAGTACTAGAAGTTATACATCAGCATACGTCGAGTATCTATACACTGTTTAGTCTCACAATATCGCTTCTTATTTATTACTGTTTCAGCTGAGCAGAAAAGATGTAACAAAAAACATCAGAGTCTTATCCTCCAAAATCACCCAAGAATAGCAATATTGTAGTAGTTTGATTGCAGCGAGTTTTTTTTGTTACTTTCGCTTCACTCAGCTATGATCGTGCGAAGCGGGAGGTGGATCAGCAGCTGAGGCAAGTGAATAAAGCCCAGGACGAGTTGAACCAGCTGAATACCACGCTGCGGCAAGTCGAAGAATACAATGAGCAGATGAAAGGTGAAATAGGTATCACGCGGCGAGCCACTTACAAAGCCGAAGACGTCATAAAGAAGAAAGAGAAGGTGAAGAAGCAACAGGATCTCGTCATCGACAAGTATCATCTAACATTTGCATTGGATTTGTGATTGGTTCTTCTGCTTTTCGCGACCTAATGTACTGAAGGGGAAATACACGATTGCTTGGCAATCGCTGCATAGATATTAAAGCGAAGTTCGGTGACTGAATGAAGGCGCATCTTTACTACCTACATAATGTTGTTACTGTCCTTGATGTCCAAAATAATTTACTCTCCTACGTCTCTCGCTTTTCCCAGGATGAATCAGGAGATTCGAAAGCTGAATGACTCAAAAGCTGTGTACGAGGCGCAAATAGTAGCACAGAAGGCAGAAACGGCAGCGGCATTGAAGACGCTGCAGGAGGCCGCCAAAGAAATAGAAGCAGTTGCTTTCGAGAAAAATCAGCTTTCTCTTCAATGGCGTTCATGCCTCATCGGCATCCAGAAGAGAGACGAAGCGTACTTCCTCACCCATAAATCTCTGCACATTCATCGTCTGGAAATTCGTGTTCGAATTATTTTCTTATCTCTCGCGCTCCTCCCTCCACCTGACGTTCTACTGTGATCCCTGTTTGAATGCGTTGTGATTTTCAGCACCCTAATCCTAGGCTGACGCCTAACCACCCTATAATGCCTTCGGAGACGCCGCCTCATCAAACGCCGCCTCAAATTGACACTTTCACAGCGCGCAAGAAGTGATGGCAGCTACCAATGCAGTGGAACAGAGGCAGAGTGAAATTCAAAATGAAATTCGTGGTGTCCAGAATAGTATTCGAGAGGAGCAGGAGCAGAACGAAAAGCTGTCCACGATGCAGGAACGGAATATGAAGGAAGTCCAATTTCTTCAATCCCAGATGACAGTGGTATGTGCCGCTATATCTCTGATAATAGAGCAACGCTTGTCTCTGTCGAAGACATCGATCATCATGCACCTTGAAAAATTATGTTTGCCGCTAGAGGGGTCGGGTGGTTCGCGTCCAAATTCGTTTATTTGCTTGCCACTTTAAGGGTCGTCCTCACGAATCAATCTTTGTTACATCTTCAGGTGCGCGCCGAACGCGAACGGCTGGCGGGGCATTATAGCATGCTGAAAAAATCCTTAGATCATTCAGAGGTGGAGACCGCACATTTCGAGACAGCAATAGCTACGTGTCAGAACGAAATTGACATATTAGACCAGAAGGTCACGCGAGTCACGCGGCAGATAACCGAGACCTACAACAAAATAGACCTCTTCGTCTCCGACCAAGTGACGAGTAAGCGAAACGAAGCCGGCGCCTTGAAGAATATCAAGAAGGTACAACTTCATTGAAACTGAATCATGTGCTATGTAGAATACATCGATCAGTGCTACCGCCGAATCATAATCTCTAAAATATCATCGTCTCTTTTGTCAGACTGAATTTCTAATCTTTTTCGTAGGTCGCTATGGAGGTTACGAAGAAGGAGGACGAGGCAGTCAAAGTGAAGAATGATGTCGCGAAAACGAAGATGGACACCCTGAACACGAGGAGCAAACTGAGCGGACTTGCTTCTCGGATAAAGGAGCTAGAGGGCGACATCGAGCAGAGAAGTAAAACCATAGCAGGTCATGAGCTCGAGATCAAGCAGCGGCATCTTCAAATAGAAAAGAAGCAGCTCTTCGTGGATCGGTTGAACCGGGAGTACGACGACAAAAAACGAAGGCTAGAAGAGGAGCTCGGGGAAGCCGTCGAAGCCTCAGGGCCATTAGAGGCCAAAATAAAACAGCTCAGAAAACAGATAGCGGAAAGAGGTACCTATCTTTTTTTATTCTTTCTTCATGTGATAGAGTTTAGTAATTTGTTACGCGTGGTAAGTACCGGAAAAACGACACTCTGAGAGGGATTCTAGACAGCTTGACCAATTTCCATCAAACGCCATCCCAATAGCCAACGCCTGCGGCTTTCAGCAGAAGGAGTGGCTGAAGAGGCAGCACAAAATATTAGAAGAACAGCAAATAGCGGACAAGTTAAAGCAAACGATTAGTGACGTCAAGCAGAAAAAGATTATCTTGGAGCAAAAGAAAGTAATTCTATAAGTTTTCCATTCTATTCTCATTTCATTCTACTGGCAAAGCTCTACTTCATTCCTAATCAATTTCAATCTAGATCCCTCTGATACCCTATTATTCTCATAAAAAGATGATGTTTTACTCATAATTCTCTCCTACAAGAACTACAACTTGGATCGAAACCCGTAGACCCGCAGCGACCGAGAAGTAGAGGTCGCGATGAAAGAGGTGAAGCAGTTGGAGGCATCGGTGAAGGAACTGAAACACGATATGGACCGTATGAATGCTGGCATGGCAAAGTACGACGAACAGGCTGCGAAGCTCCAAAACGATGCTGAAGTTGCGGAAATGGAGTTCGTTGCAAAACTGAAGGGCATCGAATCAAGCTGCACCAAGATGGAATCCCACATAGAAGCCATAAAGATGGAAAAAGAGCAGATGGCGGAAGAAACGATAGAAGCTGAAAAACAGGTACTTCCACTTAGGCTTAGCAGGTTTCCCATGACGATTTTATTCTTAGATAGCTGTCAAAAAGGTGAAGATCGAATCTTCCTTAGTTGATCAGAAAAATTTGTTTTTGATTTACAAAATTTTCAATCAATGTTGAAATGAAGTCATCATTCATCGTCGTTACTTTCGTACAATTACTACGACGGACAGATCATGCTGTGGCAACGGAAGATTCATTTGGAGCAGGAGATGCAACAGGCGTTAGATCCATCAGTTGGCGAGGTCGAGACCACTGCAATGAAAAAGGAGATTCATAGGATGAGCCTTCGATTAGACCAGCTGAAGCGCCGGCAAGAACAGATAATCACGGAGATGGAGAGGACAGTGCAAAAGCGGGATGTTTATGACTCCAGTTTTCAGTTACATTTCTTTATGTACTACGTTGCATAGGCTTGAGTGATTCTTTTAGTACTATTAGGTTAAGAACATAGAAGCAGAGCAACCACACAGGAGACACCAAATCAGTTATATTGATGTTTGATGTGGTAGTCGTCCCTAGACCAACCTACGTGCATGTTATTCGCACATTTGTGTAGAGTCCTGCTTCATGTTTCGATCCAGCTGAAATTTGAGCCGAAAGCCAAGAAGGGCGCGAAGCTTGATCGAAAGCGGGAGGTGGAAAACCTGAAGCGCGCCTTGAAATCCGCAACGGAGGCGCGCACAAGTGTGGAGGAACAGATCGCAAAAAAGGAGAAGCACCTGGAAGAGTTGCAGACCACGGTGACCGACGCACAGCGTGAGGCAGGCAAGCTAGAGCAAATGACCAGCGATCTCGCAGCCAATATCGCAGTAACCAATATTGTCACGGAAATCAACAAAACTAAGCTTGGCACACATCGCGAAATCAAATCGGTGCCGCCAGATGCACGTACTTCTGCCAAACAGTTACCTAAGTCAACATGTATGTATTTGATTTGGAGTAGTTCATCATATCTGGCTTTTTCTGACGGTTGAATGTGATTTTACTCTAGGCTCCATGGACGTAGATATCTTTCATTCCTTGTGTCGTATGTTCTGCGAAAATATGAATGGCCCGCAATCTATGTTATCTTACTTCTTGTTCTTTCTTGATCTTTCTACAGCCGCACCTGAAGGGGAGCTCGAGAGAGAAACGGCGCTGCGGGAAAAATTGGAGAGGCTAGTCGGACACTTCCGTGAACGCTATCCTAATCTCGAGATTTTCCATCCGCAGCTCTGGGCGAGTTTCTACGAAAATTAGTCGCAGCACTTTCTTCGTGAAGATGTAGTGCGCGGAGCTCACGGGTCTTGCCCTCCGGAGCCTGGAGATGAGAGAGCTCTCGCATCGTCATCTTGATGTGCTGCTGGAGCAATAATGCTATTTGTTTTTTGATGTGCACAACTCGACAAGCTGAATGTCGACATAGTTTTGTCTCACATGGATAACATTTCTTGCGAATACTTAGATACGTTGTTTTCATGGATGGCTCATTGCACAATGAGACGCCATGTATCTTGCAACTGTTACAACGGTTTCTAGTTCCTGTTCCTTCGTTGTGATTTCGATTATCTTCAAAACACCACTAAGAAATACTTAAGACTAAACTTACGCAACTGTAACTAATTGATAAATGCTCCTGTAAGAATTGAAAATTTAGACGGCTGTTTGTTGCTCGAAAATGGTGATTTCTTAAATACAAGCAACGCCGCAACAAAATGAACGGCCACATTTACATGGAGGGAATAACGACCCTTGCATTTTTGACTGTCATAGGTATACTTGATTCACATGGTGGCTGGGCGAGCGCCGCGATACTTCTCTAGTTCTTGCGATACTAACTGGACAGACGCGGGTGGGGCGGTCGTCTCTAGGGATAGGCGGGTTTGGAGCGTCGCCGAAGGCTCTGCTGGAACTCTGCCGCCAAGAAAGTTCTTCTCTTTCACGTTGTTTTCTTACGCTTAATCGTGATCATCAATCTTCAATGTTTTGAATTGTTACTAGGAAGTCAATCTATTGATTCCATTTCACTATGTTGATTCGCCGAACTGAAAGCGCGCGCCTAAGGGCACGCCATGCGCCGAGCTGGGAATGAATACGCAGAACACGTACGCTTTTTCCCAAGACAAACATGATAATGCACAAATGTTAAGACGTTGACGCAAGTGGTACACATTTTTACGCTATGCCTGACAGTCGGCTGAGAGACGACTACCAAGGGCCGACTCGAGCAGCGAAGAAAAATATGCGGTGTTCACGGTTGAAAACTTCACACCTAATTAGCATTGAGGGTTAGCATGTGATGATAGATCGCGCGCCCACGCAAACAACTTTGTTGTAGTTTCAATTTTGATTCGGGTAGGCATCTTATTTCCAGACATTTTTTCTTGAGTCGTTCCTTCCTTGATGGATCCTCATCTGAGCAAAAGGGCATAATAGCTAGGTCGTTGCCTTAGAGGTGTGCTGCATATCTTGATTGGCTCCTTCCTTTTTTATAAGGTCGGCGGGGTTTAGGTCCAGCGACGCTTAAAGCACTAAGTAGAGAAGCCGGTTAGTTTTCACCTCTATACTCTAGGTCTATCCCTTCATGCAATAGCTAGGTCGTTTTCGCTGAGGAATTGAAAATCAAGGTCTTCATGATGGAAGAATGACAAAGGCTGCGTCTGCTGTTGAAAAGCAAAACTAACGGTTACTCCAAAGAAGCAATATTGCCAACGAAATATCGAGCAGCGGCGGAGACTAATATCTCGCGTGATGTGTGTCCGGCGCTTAGGCCTTCTTTTGGGCGTGTTGATTTCTGTTGTAGAACTACTGGTCCTATCGGCTGCAAAAAAAGGGAACAAGAGACCCACTTATTACACCCAGCATCAGCAGCCAGCTAAACGACGGGAATGTACATCTTTTATTCGCGCATTTGATTAGACTATTGAGTTAGAAGTTAGATTTTGCATCGAAATCGGGAAAACTCACTTGCTAACGACTGTCAAGACCCTTGGACGACGGGTTGCTGGTGCAGCTACAAAAATCAATGGTGCCACCACAGGTTCGCGGGCACCCCCCTGTAACGAGATTCATCCCGACGAGAGTGAAGATTGCGTTGATAAATGTGTAAGTCCATTTTGTCACCAGCAGGTCTACGGTGGAGACGCTGCCCTTGAACCAGGGGAAGTCGACCCTCAAAAGCGATCGCAGTACAATACTTGTGTGCTCGAAAGGACCAATGCAAATGAAGAACTCTGACGTTGCAGTGTCATCGGGATAGCAAAATTTTTGAATTGCAGCAGACCCACGACTCTTCAATTTTCCGACTAGCGGTACCGACTTACGCAGATCTCTCACTGCCCTGTCCAAAATTTAAAGAAGAAAGGCAGCGAGCCATTCCAATACAGCGCTTTGTTTATGTCGATGACTCGAATCGGTTTCGGTGTTATGTGACTGTTCTAGCTGCACGTTAGTGGTCATGGAGTGAATCGGTGTAGTGCTGTTGAAGTCTGGTGTGCATGGAGTGAGTCATGTTATGATTCGCTGCGATGCAGCTGTGCAAGTCTGTGCAATGGAAAAACAAAGTACGAGTTTAAGCCACACCACTCAGCAACGTGCCCTATTCTGTCGCCCAGTGGTCGCGACTTCTGATTATCGTCCAAGAATAGTAACGTCCAGAAGAACTTCAATTCATCAATAAAAACTAGACCGTAACCTGCTCTGTTGCTGGTTTCTGATTACTGAACAGGATAGAAGCCACCACCTCGTCTTTACGGTGCCTTTACAAGCTACATGAGAGACGCAGGTCATGACATTTGCTCTAGTGAAGGTTGTGCGCCCTTTTTTTTGTTAGCAACTAGAAGATCCTCTAACACCTCTGATGCCGCCCCGCTCCTTCTCTTACTTCAAGAACAGGGTTAGCACACTTGTGCCTCATTTCATTTGTTAGCGAACTATACGCAAGAACCAGTCATATTTCTTATCTCACTTCTCTTGTGATGTCAAAAAAGATGCCGACCTTGATGTCTATGCTGATTCAGCGTGGGAGCTGGCTCATAGATGGTCATGACAGTGACCAGAATGGCCAGTGCAAACTGCACGAGTGCGACAACATGGCAATACCCTTGTCATCTACCTACCATTGCATGGGAAGAGGTTGCATTTCTACAGCAGAAACAACAACAGCAACGCAGCAGACAATTCATCTCTATCATAAATCTCTGGGAAAGAGATGTAGAGTCAAGTCCTCTTTCGCATCGGGCGGGACAGAGGATGACTACTACTGGTACTACTATCCTCCAGATGCGAACAACGAGCGATCAAACCTGGACGAGCGTGTTCCTTTGTTTTCAGAGATCGACAACCTGGGTGTTGTTCCAGGAACGTTGAAGCAAATAGCGAACGAACAAGTTAAGGCTAGTTTCTCATTGTGCTGAACCTTTCTTGATACAAGTTCAGCCATTGATCGTTAGGCAGAATACTTATACTATAGGATGGGGGTGTCATTCTAAGCAATACCATGAAGGGACTGTCGTCCTGAGTACGTGAGTGGGTACTGTACATCGCTAGACCTCGGATCATCAAGCTTCAAATTTATAATTTAGAAATGTGAAAAACTCGCTTTCTAAGCAAGGCATGTTCCAAGAGCTTGGGGGACAGTGGACCACGTGTTTTCGACGGCCTTTGAAACAGAAACGTCCTAAAGCAGGACACCCACCAGTTTACCCGGACTTTCGCCAAGTTTGGGCTTCGGGTTTCGAATCGAATCCTAGTAGTGCGAAAGTCCGATGGCTCCTGCTCGCTGGTGCAGAACCGACTGGATTAGACTCGCAATTATGATGACCAAGCAGAGGGTGCTGTGTAAGTAAAAAGAGTAAAGCGCACGATCAACATATACATAGTCTTTTTTTAGCTTGAAGGTCACCGTGTTGTGATGGCGACGCCGAGGCACCCTATCCTATCCTATACTATCCTATCTCTTCCTCGCCTATCCTATCCTCCTTTTAGTCTAAGAGTTCCATTGATATTGAAATCCGCTTCACAGTGGCGATTTCTAATAGAACGGGCGATCGGTGCCAGATTTAATGAGGGCGATAGCGAGAACCCGGACTGGATTTGGTGTCTGTGGAACAAGAAGTATAAGGATGGTGTGAAAACAAGCGACTTCATCAAAAAAGATACTCCTGGGCTCTGGATACTCTAGGGACAGCACGAGACTCATCGATAACAATGCGCACCGAAAAAAATACGAGAATTTGAATGTTACGAGAGACTGGTGCAGTTTTTTCTTACGACTCACTGAATACTTTTGATGTCTGAGTAGAGGTTGAATTCAAGATGTTGCCTGCAATGGCACGCGGAGACTTCTGTAGTCATGATTCAATGGAACTTGCGTGTTCTACTTATATATATAAAGAATCGCTTTACTGCCTTTGAGTGACATTTATTTCTATCTTGTCGAGTCTCTGATTAGCGGCTTAAGTTTATGTGCACGAGAGAACTACTACTACCCGAGCGACACTGGCGAAGCGAGTTGGAGAATCGACTGCACCAATATTATGAAGAAAGTGAGTTTTGATAAGCCGCATGTAGAATGATATGTTTTTAGGTAGTTCTTGCCAAGACCATGAAAGTTATTCATAAAAAATGTCGAGAATACTTACGACATGAAGAGCGAATGACTTTTTCGAGGTTCGGTAAAGAAAAGCAGGTACAACATAGATACACCGGATCTACATCTAGCAAGGAGCTCTTATCCATATGCTGGCCTCTTGTGTTTCGTCGTGCGTTTGTGCTTAAGGTCAAAGAGAGTAATAATTGAATTTGAATGCATCGTGACGGTTTTTTCCTCAGCAAAACTCCTTAACGTGGTATTGATAAAAAACCTATACTAGATTTCTTTCTCAAGATCAAAATGATGCACATACGTCTGTTGAATTGATGATTCGCAATAACATCCTCTGGTAGAACTTAGTAAGGTGTTTTTCTGATATTGAATATGATGCCAGTGCTTTTCCCGTGGTGAAACGCCACCGCTGGTGGTGCACGTGCATGTGATTGATTTCACCCTTACTTCGAGCTGTAAGAGATGGAGTACGAAGAGCCGCCGCCGCAAGCGAGGGCTGCACTTTCCTCGCGCAAAATGGAGCTCAGTCACTCCGTAAGAGCGTTCCGTCTCACTGGTGACACTAGCACCGTCGTCTCTCCTTCGTTTTCATCTTCACCCTCTGCTGCGTGCAGTCGTCTCGAAGATGATGAAGATGAAGAGTTTTTACGTCGTGCCCGTCCGCTTTCTGGAGATGACTTCGAATCGAAGGGGGCGAGAAATGACCGCCTTGTCATGGGGGGAAGCTCCGCTTCGAGGACATCAAAAGGACTTGCTCTGTCTCAAAGTCAAGGTCCGTCTATCCTCGTACATGATAAAGCCTTAGAGGAAGGCTCACATTACATGGTGCCAGAGCCGATGACCTTGACACCAGAAGGACAAGGACCGGAGAAGGAAGCTCAGAAGGAGGAAGGAAGAGGCGAAAAGAGTGCTCGACTGCCACGACAATACTGGTTGGACTGGTGCCGCACCCAATCGGTGTGGAACGTGGTGTGTGGACACGTGTGGTGGACGGTCAGTGATGTTATGCAGAAAAGGAAAAACTCGTTTGATTTTTGTTCTTCGTCATGATTTCAGGTGCAAGGGTGTAGTAGTTTATCAAACTCGTATTCTTAATAAGAATTTATTCGTTCTCTTCGCTTGTTGGGGCTTACTGGAAGTTTTTCTTCACCTTGCTTCATACTCAAAACGCAATATCGAGAAAGCGGAAACGAGCGATACTCATTGCCAGATATCGGAAACAATAAGGTGAACGTGGTGGCAAAGGATGAAATAGCGGACCGCGTATACCGTAACAATCAGTTGTTTTCCAACGTGTTCCTCGTTTTTACAAATATGTCTCCGGAGAAAGCGCGCGCTAGGGAAAACAGCAATATGTGGGAATACATCGTCGAGCAGGGCACATTGCACACAATACTTAAGGCTACATGATACCTCAATCGTCTCCGAACAAGTAGAGCATGCTTAGTAATCCAAAAGTACAACAGTACCGACGACTACAACTAGCTTTATATATGTGTGTAATCCTAATCTTCAACATTCATGCCCTAGGTCTATACTTTGTCGACGCATCCATCTTCCAATGTAATTATAATTTTTGTTTTCCGTAGCTGGGGCTTTTTGAGTGATCACCTCATTGCTTTCGTGATCATTCCTACGACCTCTAATGTAGCGTTGTTCTTTCTGTTGTCTGGGTATATCTCGGCACTCGGTAGCGCGCGGCACGGACAAAAGACAGACGCGAGCAAACATGCGTCGGAAAAACTGGAAGCATATTTGGGAGACGGAGCAGAGCCAGGGCAATCAACAAAGGGGTCTTCAGGAGAACCACGAGTTCAAAAATGGAAGAGCACGATTATAGACGGCTTGGCGACTGCGTTCCTGAACCCTGCACGTGGTGTTTCAACACCTAGCCCTGAAGGACAGGAATCCTCGATGGAAACTAGTTCCGTCGGTGAGGCCTTTTTCCCCACCTTTACGTGGCGCCGGTTTCAGAGACTGATTTTTCCTTTTATCTTCGGGACAGTTTGCTGCGTGATTCCACGAGCCTTGATGTTGAATGACCTGGGTGCGCTCACGGTGGTGCAATCAGAGATGTATTTTTATGGCTACTTATACTAAAAAGTATCGTCCTGTCAACTTGATGATCACTTTTTTTCCTGACGCAGCACGATGAACGTGGTCTTTGGGTCGGTAGGTCCCGAGTAAGAGGATCCTTCTGCGTTCATACTGCGTGGCAGGCACTGAGACTCACTGACTAAGAAAGTCAATGGATCGACGTACAAAAGCGCTAATTTTCCCTGTACACGCTGTGGGGCTTCGCATCAATGAACTACGCGTGGTGTCAGTATGGTCAATACTACAAAGCGCTCTTTGAGCTTCTTTTTGTGCAGAATTTAGCGAAGGGAGAACAACCCAGTGGAGGGGAACAGGGTATTTCTTGGTTTGACGACGTCTAAAATGTCATAGTCTTGAGTATATTAACGTCTTGTGGTAGATATGGTTTGATTCAGATCAAAGTGAAGTTTCGACGGCTTTCTTGAGTGATGATGTGCTTCCCTAATAACATTTCAGTATTGACAAATCGTAGGTTCTCTCGAGTCTGCCGCTTACGTAAATGCTAGGACAGCTTTCCTCGCAAAATGGTGCTGCATATACGGACTCGTGGCGATCATGATCAATTGGAGCATTCCGTTTCTTTGTAGCGCTATTTTCAGTGACGACGATTTGCAGTCCTGGTGGTATCTTTCTCTGGGTCTCACCTGTACTCTATGCATGATGCTACAGGGCGTGGCGCTCATTCTGCTGCGGTCTCAACTGAGTGCCAGTGCTTCAAGTAGGGCCTCTCCTGCTTCTGGAAGCTCTTCTGCGGCAGTATCATCTTCGGAAACTGCGAAGAAGGGCCAAGAACCAGATCAGAAAACAAGAAAGGTGTCGTCAGTAGAGAAGAAATTGCCATCGACCGGCGTTCTTGTTGCACAGGGATGCCTTTTTTCTTCGGTCATGCTGTTTATACCTATGACGTTCGTCCTCGCAGATCCTAAGTTGAAAGTCGATGACGAATGGGAGTGGCTCAGTTGCAACATGTGGCTCGTTTTCATGCTCTTCGAGTTTCTTTACATGTTTGGCTATTTTTTAGGCCTTTTTCAAAGTCACATCGCTTTTCTGCGACGTACGCTGTTTCCGCCACATACGTTTGGAGTAGTACTGCTTCTGGCGAGTGCGGTATGGCCAATCTTTACCTACTGGGGTGCCAGGACAGCCAGACGCATCGGTCCGTGGATATCCTTCTACGACGAGCAACAGCGGCTCCTCGGACTTATGCGTGCTTGGGCATGGATGGGCGCACTTGCAGGTAAGATACCGTACTCGATACTGTACTTTTTGCTAATGTAGTGAGACGTGATGTGCATGATGTGACAACCCGAGATTGAACATCCATATTCTTGTACTTCTTCTCGGCAAGAATGTCACCTGGAAGTGCTGTGCTACGTGACAACCCCAATCAGCAACAACTCATTGCGCACTTTCACGTTCAACCACTACACCCTCATCCTCAAGTAGAGCAGTCTGGGAAACCAGAAAGAGAAAAGTCAAAGTTTTCTTCAGAAAAAGAATTTCCTTATACACTGCACTGTTTCCTTTTTACACCTTTTTTTCTCAAGCCTTAGTCCCTCTGGCACGACTTATCTCACGCTTTACTCGTCATTAATATGCCAGGTTTCGCTTATTTTTTCTGCAATGGTCCGGTGCATCCATGGATTCATAGACACTTGACGCAGTCTGCGATGATTGTATACATGTTTCATCGGCTGCTGGAGCACCTCTGGCTTGAAGTCTTGCTTGGGCATGGTGAGGAGCGCGGTGCGGTAACCTGGTCATGCATTACCCTGGTACTGCTTTCCTGCTTCGCTATTTACGCCATACTGAACACAAACTTTGTCACTCGAAAAATGTTCGGAATTGATAGCGTCAAGTAAGGACAGACAACTTGTAGCTGGCTTTAGGCCGTAGAGACGGAGGTATGATAGCCACTGCTCCTAGCTGGATTGCGGATATTTTGCGACTGCGGATGGAGCACGTTCAGTGATTTGTTACGAGAGTTCGTCCATTCTATAGTCAATCGAAAAGCACGACGTTAGATGGTACTCCTTATAGAAGAGAACTTACAGGAAGTTTTGACCAATCTGTCATCCTCTAGATGATTCTTTCATCTTTTTGATGATGTCAAACGCACCAACATTATAAATATATATAATACACCTTCTCGATTTTTTACCTCCATCTCTATCTCTATCATTAATTTAATATCCGTTTTTGCCATTTCCTTGAGTGGAAGACGTGCAAATTGTGCTGGAAGACCCCCGCGTACTGGAGTTGGTAGTTTCAAGAACCTCAAGCATATGTACATTACGAAGATATTCTCTCACGGGAGATAGATTTCGGTTTAGATAGTATAACAAATTATCGAGAAAGACGAGGGCATTCAGGCGGCACTTTCAGGGACGCTCACATGAGATCATTATTTAGACGAGCCCGACAGCCATGACGGCCCAACCCACGATGAAAATTTGTTCACAGATCCACTGCGCGAAACCAAGAGAGAAACACGCTATAAGTATAATGTTTTTTACACTTATCACGCGCAGGTGGAGTTGGAGACATCTTTATCCAATCACTTTCGTTGCTTCAGTAATTTCCGCGTGATTTGGTGTTCTCTAGAATGCGGTGGACGTACTTGTTCGATGGTGAAGTTGTAGCGATCCGAATGAAGATCGATGCCAATCCACGAGTAATGATCGCACGCAACACAACTCTTATCAAATTACGGTATTAGAGACGAGAATCCAGCGAACCCGAACACTAGCTTCAAAAAGAAACACAAAATTGTTGAATAAATAATTCAAGAAGAACTAAGAATATTCAAGAATAAAATGAAGTAAGACATGCGCCAGACACAGCGGCAGCTATATTGCATTTGCGAACATCAAAGTCCCGTTTTTAATGCCCGCGAAGTTCCCACTTTTGCTTTTTCAGATGTGAAGCGAAATTCCGATCGTGTGTGTGTCTGCTGCTTGGATTGCTGAAATCCTTAATCCGCAAAGAAATACTTTCGACACGCAGTGACTAACATCTTTGTCTTTGGTTCGCGTTGATTTAGACGAGATTGATCCACGGCAGGTCGTTGTGTCATGTGTTTATCGACTAGGTAAGGAGAACAAAGAAAAATTGTGACAGGAATTATCGACTTTGAAACGCGATTCCTGTCAATTTCTCTATCATAACTAATCATGGTTTCTATTCGTTTTCCTGGCCAGACAGTAGAGCGAAAGCTCGAGCTGCCACAGTGGATACCGGACCTGAGCGACGAACAGGTGCTGAAAATCCAGAACGCGAAGGAATTGCAGATCCTTTTCGACGAGTTGGCGAACAAAATCGAAAAATTGGAGGATAGCAACCAGCAGCTCAAAGATTTTATCCGCGAAGAACGCGAGGAGCAAGCCGCTGCTCAAGCAGAGACAACTGCACCGACCGACTCGTCTGCAACATCCTTTACTGCATCTGCTACTGCAGTGGAGGCAGCTTCTGATCTACATTCTGCAGAACAAAATGCTATTCTTGGTACTAGTAGGAGCACAGCGTCGACAGCGGAGAGCACGCCGGATATTTCTGGGGCGGAGAACCTGAGTGAGCGGCAAGAGGGTGAGTGGACTCTACTTCTTGATGGAACAGCGGCAGCAAATAACGCCACAACTTCAGGAGGAAACTTGCTAGAGGACGGTCGAGAACAGGAACAACATGACCAGGCTCCTGCCGCGCTTTCTGTGGTCAACGCGCCTTCCGGTCTGAGTCAGGAGCATTTTGAACTAGTTTCCGCGATTTTCGAAAACAACCACATTTTGATTCAAATGAAAAAGCGAATGGACCTCCTGAAAACGCGAATTGATAAGCTCACTCTATCTCAAGGAATGGCACTCTAAGTCTAACTTGACACAAACAAAGAAGCAAATAACCTCACTTAGTGTCTCAAGATAATGGCCCGTATTTCGCACAACATCGAAGTACGTGAAAGTTATGTCCCCTACAACTTCTTACCAAACGTCCCTGATTCGACCAAAACTCACTCCATGAAACTACTGAAGGCCCAAAGCACTATCGAGTGGCTTTTATTTTTCTTTTGGTATGGTGTTCATTCTTAGCCCTAGTCAAGAGGGTTGGAGCTATGCCCTCTGCGCATTTAGTAGGACCTTCTAGAAACGGGACAGAAGACTCAAAGCAGCCATAGTCGCTCCGTCGCCGAAAGTCCTCGAAACGTGCAATCAGATCACGAGGCACACAGTACTGCACGAAGTCTATGAATGACCATCAGCAAGTTGTTGGACCCTGTCTGACTACCATCCATCCCAGGTTTTGAATTATTCGATCCTGCCCATTTGCATTTGCATTTCCCGGTTTCTTTGTGTTGTGTATGATTGATTGCAGACAATTGATTCGAAAAGAAGAACACAAGCAGATAACATCTTCCAACTTTGTTCTAGACACCAACAGACCGACTTACAGAAGCAAAGAAAGATGTCGTCCCGTTTGTTCAGTCGTCCCCACTCTGGAACGAGCGATGCCGCTGCTGGGCAGGGCACGACAATGGTTGGTGCGAAGGCCTATCCTTGCCAAGGCAGTTATGTGGAGCCCGATGGAGACTATGCCAGCTCGCGACCTCCGTTGATTGAAACAGTGTCTACTTACACTTACCTGAAGAGCGAGCAACGAAAACGACTACAACCGGTAAACAGTTCAGCCGCGAAGGCGACTGATAATAGTTGTAGCAGCTTCACCCCGAGTTCATTTCTTGAAGAAAATGCTCCCGTGCTTTCTGCGAATCAGTTCGAAGTTGATAAAGTATCAGGCGAGCAGCATGCCTTCGTAGAAGATGATGCTTGCGTTCCTGCTGTAGTCGCGCAGGTCTTGAAGTATCCATGCACGCAGAGAACGACCACGACGCTTCCGCGACCAATAGATCTGAGTCTCTATCGCGGTCTACGCTTGCTCGCAAAAGACGCCTCCAGTGCGACTGCGACCATGATAATGGCGGGAATGGATTTTGGCCCTACATTTCCGTCAACGAAAGCAGTCTTCTTCGAGCTGAATGCGGAGCTTGTCGGTGTCTTAGGAATACCTGAGATAGGCGACCACTTGTTGGTACATGAGGAGGTGATCGGCAATGGGGAGGACCATGATGATTTTCTTAAGATTTAGTAGCAGCATATAAAAATATTTTTGATGGTTACTTAATACACACTCAGAGATACAACATAGCAGGACGAGGATGTTTGATCCGTTTGAAACTACCTTCATGTGCTTACTAGAATCTGGTCTAATGGGGGCCTTTTGCGATCTCGTTTCGTTGCAACGGCCTTGGTGCTCAGGCTGTTGCGCGTGTTTGAGGCTGCAGCGGAGGAGCAAGCGGCGTTGCGACCACCTGGAAAAGATACGAAGGGCAAAAAGGGAAAAGGCAAGGGTAAAGTGGTCAAAGGAGAGAATGGAGAGTTCTTGATATCTACGAAAGGGAAAGATAACCGGCCCCACTGGCACTCAAAAGATGGAGAGAAATCGCACCACAGCTATGGGCCCACGTACCACAAGCAGTCGTCGACGTCGCTTTTTTCTTCCTCAACATCAATTGCAGTAGACGATAATGGCCTCCCTCTAGAGGATACTCCGAGCGCACGCAAAATGCTTTATGCTGCCGCATTGAACTTCTCCTATCGCGCTTGCCGCATACTCATCGAGAAGGACCACAAAGAAGAACAACAGGGAACATCCGATATTACCCGCGACAATTTTGATTATGAAATTACACGTGATGCACTTGCTTAATTGAAAATGTCCTCGCGACACCCCCAACGTCAAGCGCATAATGTGAATAAGATCCTACCAGGCACCTGGTGATCCTTTCAGAGCAGGTCTTATTCAGATGTTCGGACATGGGTACAAGAACGAAGTTTTTATGTATTTGATAAACAAGACAGCATAGGGGAATAACCACCATCGGCGCACTTTCTTACGGCTCGTCTAATGTGCGCAGCGACTACACGAACATAACTTGTCCCAGTTACATCGAAGTTTACGTTCTCTTGACCATTTTTTGGGCAAAATGTCCCTCTTGAGGGTAGTGGATAGCGCTCTCGCGCAAGGTCCGATCAGTGGCAAGACATCACCCGCGTCAATTCGATGGTCGCAATTCGGCATGTGGCACCTTCTCGCACCGCATATGATGAGCCCTCTACCAAGAAGACCTGGGGGAGACGCTAATGAAAGGAAAGATCTAGAGTTTATCGTGTTGACACCTCGCTTTTTCTTGGTGGATTTAGCCTGTAGTGCCGATTCCTCACCGTTCAGCATTGAGAAGCAGATGCCGCTTGTGGTGGACGACCGGGGGCGCGTTTTCATCGGTCAATGGGATAAATTCGACGATCGAGAGTACCATGACGGTATGCGACAAGGCTATCATTTTGAGTCACAGATATTGGCAGACCACGAAGGAACTCCTGGTGCACGCACTCATTTGCTAACAACACTGACTTTTCCGCAAAGTGGAGTGCGGTGTGTCTATTCTTGCGCGCCTGATTTCGCGATCAAGGAAAAGCTGGATGAACTTGGCAATTCACATCCTGGCCAGGGAAAAGCTGACAGCTTGGAGAGTTTCTCATACTGGTGTGCTGTTTCGAGAGAGCGGGAGCAAGTTTCCGATGCGGATATGTCCATGAAACGAAAAGAGATGCTTGATTGGGTAAAAACAGGCCTTGTTTCAAACAGAAAAGATTTCGATAGGACCGAAAGGACAGCCTCGAGCAGTTCCGCGACGTCGGCAACAATTGACAATACCATCGATAGCACGTATCAGAAGGACGAGAAGCATGACGTCCGCATGGAAATTGGAGGGTCTGGGACAGCTTCATCGTTTACAGCAGGCGGTATACAGAATACCACTCGCAGCACTGTCAATGTGTGGAGGCGAAACGCCGATAACAGCGGAACGGCTACTGCCCAGCATTTACCAAGTGGTGTATTTGGGGAACTCAAGAAAACTACACACTTATTTGGCCGCGGAGGAGCGATCAAGAAGCTAAAGTTCTGGCTACAAGCCTACCTGTTAAGGCTTTCGCGGAGGTGGTTAATTTGGTGATCATCGTTTCCTGAGCAGTATATCCATGTACACATTGCTCTTCAATAAGAACCAAGAATGGGAATAAACTGCGTCTTGTTCTTCTCATCCTTCTCAGCATGCGTTCTGATGAAATTCAGTTGAGTACTTAACTACAAAAATTGAAATTCAAATTGAACTATCCTCAATATCCGAAGAGTAACTGTAGTCTAAGCTTGGGTGGCATCGACGTCGTCGCAGTTGGGCTAAACGACCGAAACAGAGCAGATGTGGTATCGGAACTCTCGTGCTTCCGAACCGAGGAATTGGTTGAAGATGGAACGAAAAAGCGCACCTTGGCTCGGTTAGAGGACATGCTGATTTAAGGCTTTCCAATTTCAAGAAGTTTTTGACGTTCACGTCTTCTAAGCCGCTTGATATTTGTTTCTCCGCTTCCTATACGAATACTTACTTGCATAGTTCGTTTTATTCATTCTATGACAACTAGCAGGGTGGGACGATGGTGGAAGGATTCCACCAATGGCATACTTTGTTTTCAAGGACACCTTGAGAAAGGGACAGGTTGTATGCATACTTATGTAACTTCTAGGAAAGTACAGGGCAAGAATTGAAATCCTTTAATTTACGTGGCTGAAGGAACAACTTTTGCGGCATAAGGAGCATGCTGTAAGTGGAGGCGTCTACACCTTCAAAGTACTAAAAGACGGAAATTTCGCCAGGGAAGTGCGTTTAGAGCTCCACTATCACATAAATGAAGCTGTGCCATCTTTCATTCGGAATGTTTTCCTGGACAAGAATGCGACCACCTAGTAGTAGAGTTACGTTCCTACAGCTCGTGCTCGACCTTAAGAGTTCACTAGTTACCTCACGAATAGCTGTATCAATCGGATTTGCGTGGTAGTTATAGCAAAAGTTGAAATGAACCCTAGTCAAACTACGCGTTTAGGTTTACTTTTCTACTCGATCCTCCCAGGCCCCAGATTGAAACTTCGACTTGAGCTTTCCTGGTAGTTTCCTGAAACCAACACAGAGAGCCAAGACTATTTTGTGATTTCAAGAAAATGAAACTCCTGTGAGGATGATCCCCAATTGAAAAGTTACTCGGTTTCCCCGATTGTACACCACCCTGATGAGCACCTACAGATGACAGAGGATGCGTCGTGATCGGTTCTATCGGTCGCTGCAGAATCTTCGTGTACAGTGAATCGGATTTTCGTCGAAGGTCGGAAAGAAAATGATTATGTAGAATTTTCGGAGAGGCCAAAGGTTGCATTGTAGTAACTTATGCGGTGGAGCCGCTTTCCTTTTCTTGAGAGAATGACAAAGAACGTATGGAAACCTGTTATAGTGAAAATCGGCACACCATAGACGCTTGTGACAAACTCGCAATAAAGAGTAGCACCGAGACCCCAGTACACCGCAAAGAGGCAAAGGGTCTTAAAAAGTCGGCTTCCGATAATCGCTATCATTCGTTTGTCAAAAAGATGAAATTTGCAAAAAGTGACTAAGTCGACCATTGTTAGTAACTGATAAAGAAACATAGAGACCTTGACATTTTATACAGTCTGGAATAAGTCTTGTCCTCGTACAGATTGTTGTCATTAGTGCTCCCCGCTGTGCTCTTTTCCCTAGCAGATTTGTTTGGCGTGGTTGATTACTCTCACTTCTAGAAGTACGTGGTTGATCTTCCTTGGCGTGGTTGATCTTGTTCTCTCACTTCTAGAAGTACAAAAGGCACCAAGAGCCACGAAAAAAACATGTTCAACTGTCGCATGTGTACCGGGTCTCTATGGGGAGAACCGGAAAAAGCAAGGGAGGAGCCGGCGAAAAAGCCCCTCGCAAAGAACACAAGTACTAAAACTATTCATGGTCTCATATGCTGACCCAGTGGTCTTATTTTGCATTTAGAGAATCAATGCTTCATGTCTTCCTGCTTTTCTCTCTCTTTCATTCTTGTGCTATACAAAATTTTTAGAGCACGTAGTTTTTTTCCTTATGAGTTTCTTCGCATCTTTCAGTCCTAGTATATGCATTTCGCATCTCTTTCTCAGAAATCATAAAGCGGACAGAAGCCGAAATTAACGCAGATCTAGCGAAATGGAGCGATTTCATCCACCCAAGAGCAGCCGACTTCTTTCCAGACCGAGATAGAGTTCAGAAGGTACAACATAATCTTCTCGTATGTCTGTAGTAAGTTGTAACATATAAGTACACATAGTTGACTACTACAACCAACACCTGCAATTACATTTAGTGCCAACATTACTGTAATAGCTGCGTGACGACTCTTCCCATTAAACTCATCTGGAACTTCTCGCCTACAGGTTTTACGAGAGATTTTAAGAAATGTGGCCAAGGGTGACGATCCTATCCTGGGCTCAGACGCAAAGTGTGTGATTTGGCATGGTGACGCCACAAAAGAGTCCAAAAATGGAGCAGAGCCCCAGGCAGTCGTGCGAATACTGAAGCCTGGTACAAAATTGAAAACACTTTCTAATTTAGAGCCACAGAATAACCAACTCATTGAGTCATAGTTTTTGTTAACTTGTTCTAATACTAGCTTGATGTTGTTGATACTAGGTAAACGTAGACCACTCTGTTTGAACTCGGGGAAAAGAAGCAGGTTGTTCCTGATATTATTGGAACATTGGCTCAGTTGGATTATAATTGACGCACGTGATATCACCAGTCATAGCGTGGTTTAAAATACGGAAAATCAACTTTCTATCGTAATCATGAATCGCAATCATCATGACGATTCGTGCCTCTTATAGGTGAGAGGCTAGAAAGCGTAACGTTTGTGAACCGGGTGCTTCCGTTTATTTTTGCTGACGACGAGTCCTTTGAAGAATTGATGCAACTTCCCAAGGAGCCATTTGGTACTGATTAAACATGGAGTGAGATAGAGATGACCGAAAGCTAGCGGTATTAAAAGAATCAATGTTTTTATTTACGTTCGTTTTCCCTCGTCTGACTCCCTTCATCCAACTTATGTACAACTTGAGCCTTTTTCAACGCGGTTCTTGCTGTATGTTTTAATACTGAGATCTTCATGTCGCTTTCAATGATTTTAATTCCATTTTACGACATGAATATCTCAATGTTGTAACCTTCTTCAGCTATGTGCTGCGGAAACCAGCTGTGCGTGAATATGAGCCATATTAGCTTTCAAAAAAGACGCAGTGCGAAGGCTCCTGCTGCAGAAGATGCAGGCGCAGGAGGGGCGAAGCAGCCAGAATGATCACGGTTAAGGAATCTTGCTGGACTCATTTTCTCGTTAAGGGAACCGCTAGTCCCAAGATGTACTTACTAGAATTACTAGTGTGCGAACTTGTAGTTTTGCAGATTCATGATCTTTGTTCTTATAGTTCTTCAGTTTTCAAGGTTGGTCCGCAAGTTCTTGTCCTATCGATATGTAAGCATCCACATCAAGTACATTTTCTTCTCGTTGTTTCTTATGCTTACGAAGTAACTAGAGTCATTTTTTCTATGGGAGATAATCTATGTATATTGTAAATATAATTTTGATTATGAAATAAAGTTTCGATATTCATCATCCAAGAGTACTTTTTTTCTTTTCATGTCAATCCATTGATAGAGGTCTATAGCTGTGTATGGAGTTGAGCCTCTTGTTTGCACTCGTCCTCTCAAGATGAGAAGTAATAGCTGAGCTTCTCGCTAGATTAGATGCATAAACATGCTAGCTGGGCCCCACTCGCAAGACAGGAACATGTAATTTGATATTTGCTTAAAACTGTCAATAAAGTAGATTTTTCTGCTCCTAATTAGATTTTTGTGGTCGATGTTGGCGCCTCCTGTTCTCGTTGGGTTTTGTGTTTGTTCGTCGTGCCCTCCCTGTTTTTTCCTTCTCAATCAATAACGGGCTAGGAAGGGTGAGTGGGCAGTTGAATTTTTGATCTTGGTTTCTTCATCTAGAGAAAAATGGCAGTAGCAGCTGCGTCTGCAGCATTTCAACTAATATTTTTGTGGTCGGTGGAATTCTCATCGGTGCAGCTCTGCCAACTCCTTAAAAAATTACTAGCATTGATTTCAAACAGCTTTGAAAGTGACTACTTGTTTCTCAGTATAATTGAATAAGAAGATATCCGAGGAAGTCGCTCGTTGTGAGCCATTTTTCACAATTGGGAACAGCACGAGTGTGGCCAATAAGCCAATAGGACTACAAGAACTCTAGTAACGATGGAAAGCAGTGGTGCAGGAAACTCGTGAACAATCATCTTTTATCCAGGCCTGCGCCTGTCAAGGAAGAAATATTTAGCACGGTATAGTTTCCGCATCGCTGTGACACTTAAAAAGTCCCATGATATGAAGTAGTCCAGTTTAATGGAAATCATTATTCTGTTTTCAATCCAAGAAAAGTCGTGCTTGTACCATCTAAGTATTTTTTTTTAGGGAGAATGAAGAACCTACCTCACCTACCTACGAAAAGTGCGTTGCTTATTTTGCTCATCTTAATGAAACATGAAAGGACGCCGCAACTGCAGAGCTCCCGCTCCTCTCAAATGCCCTCAGAGTCTGTAAGATGTTTTCAATATAGACCGTCTATCAATCCCTACGATTCAGATCGTAAAAATGAGATCACCCACCGGCAACCAGGGAACGATATCCATTGGTTGCGCGCGTCGACGTATGTTGAAGAAGTATGTGGCACTCTACTCGTCCCGGAAGAAGGGCGATCGGTATGTCCTAAGATTGATCACGCGAGATGGATCATCGTAGAATGCTTCGGTCCGTAGCAAGTAGAGGCCTTAGTCCCCGCTTGCCGCTTGCTTGCGAACTTGATAGAGATCGTCGGGAGACTCATCTTCCATTCCTCAAGGTCAGGAGATTCTTTCAATCTCCCCGTCCTTACAAAAAAAAGGACCCCCGCCAGAAGTCTCTCAGTCTGAATGAGTGCAGTTACTTGAATAATGTTCATGTTGATGTTTATGGGGAGCGCATTAATTCGGCTGGAGATTAAAATGATCAATCTAGTTAAATTATTAGCAAGTAGAGTAGTGCCACCAGCTTTAAAAGGACGTACTTAGTTTGTTTTTTTGGCTTTTCAGTAGCCAACCATGTCTGCTAGTAAACCTGGTAGACCAACGCCTAACCTACCTTAGTCGCGTGCTATGTGCAGTTACATTAACATTTATTTTTAGTAGAGAAGAAAGATGATTGAACAAGTCGCCTTCTCGTCAGCTACGTACAATTCGTCTCCTCGTACGATAAGCGTGAGGGAACTCTTGGGCATATTGCCGCGTAGATTCGAATCAGCAAGACGATCTTCATCAGCATCCAAGATGAACTTCGAAATCAGAAAGCATTTCTTTGGCGCGGATTTGGGTTCTTTCGACCTTTCCTCAGCTGATGTTCCTGGTATCGGTCTCTGGGAGAGCCAATAAGCATGGCGGCGAGATTGGACGGGTTAGAATAACGCCTTTTTCGACAGCTCCCTTTGGCTACAGTTGGACGCGCAAGCCGAGCGGCGAGACTGGTAAGACGACCGCTTCATCGATGAAGCAGGACGGCGACGGCATATCTTCATTAATGCATGGACATCTGGATCCCCTCCGGGTGCTGTCGCATATAGACCAGAACTCCTTAACTACACCTGCTGGGGTTCCTTTGTCCTCTTCGCCGAAGGCAGACGAGGTCTCGATTCCGCCCGTCCGTCATCCTCCTCGCAGCGATCTCATTGGAGGTGTCTTTGTCAGAAATTTTCGCTGTGTGCGTGAGTTTCTCACCAAGCTGGCGGCTGTCGACATGCGGGAGACAGGTGGGTCGTATCCTGGGCACCTGCTGTGCGCGGACGGAACAATTGCACGGGTCCACTGGACAGACATCGTGAAGGGATTTTTCGTTTGCGATGCAGGGTTTCCGTTCGTGGCAACCGTTTGCCATCGGGAGTACCAGATCTATTTTTGGCGTCTCTTGCCGGAGGAAAACAAGACGAAGAAGACGACCTCTGCAGGACCACAGACGTTTTTTCCAGTAGCGGCTACGCAGGAGCTGTTTCACGCCTTGTCCCTTTACCTCCAAAATCAAGGCAGTGGACGGGAGTGTTTGTGTGCCTCAGGTATCGGAGGATTGTGCTTTCTTGGAAGTCGATGAGTGCAGCACTGAGGAGTTGCATGAGTTTTTGTGTTTCGCCCTCAAGACAAGGGGCCGGGTAGAGGACGACCGCTTCACACGGAGAGAAGCCTCCGCCGTGTCCTAGGTGACCACTGTGACCTGGCCCGCGCCTTCGACGGAGGCACTGATCCTCTCTCTCGACGTCAACCATGAGGGGTCGAGGTGGAAAGAGGGGGAGAACAAGCGGCTGCCTCTTCTTCTTCTACAACAAGTCAAACGTCCGCTACTTGCAGCACGAGATGAAGGACACACCGACCACGAAATCGTATCCAGCAGATGCGAGGACTGTGCCCACAGTTGTGAAGAAGCAGGCAGGCTGCATGCCCGTGCTAATGGCGCTGTGACGAGCGTGGAGGTGGGCTTTGTTCCGGAGACCACTTCGAACACAAGTTGCTCTTGGAAGAACGGGGCGGCGCACTTGTGGCCATTTGTAATCCATCCACGACAAGGTAGTAGACCAGCCCCGCAGGAGCCCTTGCAACAAAACGAAAAGCTCTTGTTAGTTTTCATCTTGCACCCCGTAGTGCTAGTGAAGGCGGTGGCAGATTTTGGCGCGTTGCAAATCTTTGGTGCAGATGACACGTTGCAACCGTTGGTATTCGCTGCGATTTTCCGAACCGGTGTTTCGACAGATTCGGGGCGTGATCTTCTGCAAAATCGAATTGCGCTTTGTCGTTCAGGAGCAAATTCTAGTAATACTACGTTTTACAAACCAACTTCAACAAGAAGTAGTCAAGCAGGAGGTGATCACCACGCTCATGAAGACACGACGCTGCTTTCAACCGATGTGTTGAAGATCATGTTCGCGCGCAAGCAAATGAACCCGCCGGCATCGCTGCGGCTTTTCTTCTCGATGGTGCGCCATGATCAGAACCAGGTGGCGCGGCAGGAGCGCATGTGGACCCTTCGTCATTTTCACGAACAGCTACAACGTGGAAAGCTATTTTCGAGACAGGTTGGTCCCAATCATCCGACAGCAGGCGAATCAGGAGGGAGTGGGTTTTTTGGAATTGTCTAATCTCGGCGATGCAGCGCCAGGACGCGTGCTTGCCACAGGAGGCTACACAGCAGGCTGCGAGGTCTGTTTTCATGTCGGTGCAGTTTTGCTACCTGCAGCAGCTGAACTATGCGGTAATCGAGCCGTTGCGGGGGGCCGCCTTGGAGTGGTCACAATGAAGTAGGCGCAGAGGCAGGCGGTTGTCCCTCGCCGGCGCCAGGGTCGTGAGGGGAGATCCTCAGAACGAGCGGGGTCCAGCTCACCTTGAACTCGAGCACGAGCTGCTGCTTTTGCGCGCGCGACATGTCTGCCTCCTAATCCAATTCTTGTCGACCCAGATCAAGATATGCGACCTCTTCGAAAATACTGCAGCAGTGCCTGCCCAACATCCCACGAACAGACTAGTCGCTCTCACCGCACTCCGCCCGTTGCTGGAGCTGTTTTTTGCGGCGCCCCCGACTGCACCATTTTGCGCACTCCCGTCGTTCCCGTCTTCGGTGGCACATGTAGCGACGACAGTCGCCGCTTGCAGCTGTTGGTTCTTCGTCTAGAAATGTATATTTTCGTACAAGTTCCATTAATATAGTATAGATATATTTAATATATTGCTACGATTCGATTCCCGTAATTTAGACCCACAGGAAAGGAGGTAAGAGCAAGTTTCTATTCCGTAATACTTCTGCAAAATCGATTGTGATCGATTCACAACTTCGTTGCTTCATTCTCTACCCTTTCCGCATCTTGTCACGGATCATACGTAAAACTATATTGTGGCTCTTCAGTGGTAATCGAGCAAGCAACTTTCTTCGTCACATCGTTGTTATATTTCTCAGGGTCGTTTAATTTAATTTCTTTTTTGAGGGGGCAGCGCATCGTATAGTCGAGGTCCTGGTATGCTCGCCGGTGATAGACTTCGTGGCATCGGATGGTTGTGCAGGGGACGCATATTCAACCGTCTATGGCCTCTCTGTGTCCTGCGGACGACGTGGCAAAGATTGTAAGTGTATCCTGCAGATACAAATCATTCCCATCTCGCTCAAGTGTATTAGCTCTGGCACTTTTTTCACGCTTGTTACGAAGTTATTTTTGCGAACGAGATTCTTCACGAACCTTTGTGAGTGCATGAATACTAAAACTTAGCCGTGGTAGTCGGGGATTGTTTCTGTTTCTCTGACTGCGTGCGCAGGAACAACCATCTTCATACCAAATATTTTTGGTATTCCAACGCGAACGGTCTCAAGATGAATAAGATAGACCACACACGCGCGCACGTCGTGCAAGTCGGAGATAATAATGTACAGCTTATTTCGTAGTCTTTGTTTTATAGGATGAACAATATGTTGTTAGAAGTTAGGGACAGTTTTGTGAACGCTTTTGATTGAGGCGCATCTGAGAAACACAAATGTGCGGGCGAGTAGCATTTTCCTTTTTCGAGGTGTACGACAGTTGTCACCCATGATTCATTAGGTCAACTGCATGCACTACTAGTACCTAGATGACAGACGTCGTTCTTGATACATCGCGAAGCGAGTATCCATGAGCTTCAGTTTTTCATCTTCCTCTTTTCCACCACCACCTTCTTCTATTCCTATCCACGACCTCGTTGTTGGTGAAAACCGAAAGTTTTTGACAGCTCCTGTGACTTACAATTAGGGCGATCATCATAGAGGTAGAGCAGGGCAAAAATCCCAGATCCACGCACTCCTTGCTTCTTCGTGTTTTGGTTTTCCTTGGTGCTCAGTGAGAGCTAATTCTACCAGTTCAGTGCACAAGGAAGACGCACTCCTCTTGTCGAGTTATATCGTGGTGTGTTGGGGGAATACGATACCGAGAATCGAAAGTGGAGAAACGAAGCTCGTCTGTAACTTATGAGGTTTTCTCTCTGACTCCGTCGTGAGTTGCACAGTCGCATTGACCTGGACCGTTTTTGAAATATGAGGATATTGTTATTGAATCACTTATATTTATAAGAGGATTGAGCGAAAAGCAATAGAGGTCCTTAATTATACACAAACTGAGACATGTTAGCTTTTGCCCGATGATCAGAGGTACGTGACAAAGTGGTCGTAGAGCGCAGAGTGTGAATTGCAGCTCGTCTGTCGTCTTGACCTTTCTGTCAGTGAGAAAGTGTTTCGTGTCTTGAGGGGTGCTAGAAGTCCAACTGCTCTACCTTCGAAGGATCTGCATCGGTATGTTGAGACATCTTATCGGTTCGGCCTCTTGAGAGATATTGGTCATGTATTGTGAAGCGAGTATCAACAAGTTTCAAATTCCGTGTTGAGAGATCTTGGCTCTGTATCGTCGAGATATTGGTTCTGTGTCTTGTTGAGAGATGTAGCCTATGCGAGTGCCTGGCGACGTCGGTACTCTGAACAGTGGTCTTCTGCGGTTTCATAATCAAACCTGAAGATGACGTCTTTCTAGACTCACGAAACTTGCTTTAATCATGTCTGCTCTTCCCATTCTAACATAATCAGCCTCTTACGCGAATGTTCCGTTTGTGTAGGGAGTTTTTTTTAATACGAACTTTCTCCCCTTTCCCGATGCACATTTCAAATAACTGTATTCAACAAATACTTATCCCTACATCTTCCCATTCATACGTAAAATTTTCTAAGTCCTATGCAAAGCCCTTGATCAGTTCTGCATATTTCCATTTCAGTGCTCAAAAATAACATGATAGCTGATATTGTCGGAGCTCTTATTCTTATTATTCAAGAGTGATTGTTATCGTATTTTTTTTGGTTTTAGGCAAAAATGTTGTCGTCGAGGTCGATAGTGCTTCTACTTGTCGGCTCAGCCGCGCAGGTTCGTGCGATGGAAGCCGAAAGTGGACATGCTGTCGCAGCGCCTGCACCTGCGAAGGCCATAGCCGGAAAGGCACCTGGCAAAGCTCGCGCAAAGGAAGAGGTTGTCTCTTCGCAGTACGAACAAGAAGTGAAGCAATCACATCAGGCCCCATTCAACGTACAACTTATTACTCTTCTATCAATCTTCTAGTCTTCAAGCAGCGCAATCCTTCTTTCCATCTAATCATGTCAAGGACTCATAGATAGGCTATTATCTACCATATCACGAAATAAAGACCCTCGCATCTTCACCAGCATCATTACCCTCTCCCACACACTACAACTATTACAAAAACAGATGCATTTCGACGCTCCCGGTTTCATTGCACTTTACGCCTATACGGGGGGACTGATCTTGATTACTTTGCTGTATAGAGTACTTGTCTGGGGAGTCTGCAAGAAGGACACAGTGCGAGCCCGCGTGGCCGAGAATCAGCGAGAAGAGTTGCTGAAGTCCATGGATCGACCGGATTTCTACGGCACACTCGCCACAAGCTACGCAGCAACCGAGGCCAAGGTACTATCGTTCTCTCTTTTTTATGTGGAGCAATTTGATTTTATGTAGTGCATGTTCAACAGTTGCGTATATATCTGAGTAGATTCCTCGCAGCCTTACTGTTACCAAGAAAAGTGACATCCTGCGGTAATGATATAGAATAATCGTTAATAAGTACCTTGTTCCTGCAGCTGGTGCTCTATCATGACCATGATACTCCCCACAACTTCAACTGCAGCTGTTTTTGATTTCTGCTGGTCAATGTGATTAAAACGACGTACGACCTTCTACCACTTACTTACGACCCAACTCTATCTACTAACCCAATCTGTAACTACTAAAACTACAGGTATCGTCCGAGGTAATCGATTGCGGTGGCCGCTCTGGTGTGATACGGAAGCGTGACGTGTACCAATACGGTTACGGGTACACCTTTTTCGGTTCTGTGCTTTTCGGCGCGTACGTTTTGTGGTTGCTCGGAATTTCGCTGATGCTTCCCTTGTGCCTTCTCGCGGTCTGCTTTCCAATCAAGTTTTTGTGGTTGACCAACACTTTGTTCCGACTGGACGTTTGCCCCGAAGCGGTGTGGAACAACCTCGAAAAGTACGGCACCAGCACGACCACGTGCAGATTGGGGCTCACCAACGAGGCGTTCCTTAAGTCCAACGTTGGCGGCGTTTTCCTCGTGTTCTTCCTGATCTCTTTCTTGATGTGGCTCGTGTACGCGAAGCAAGCAAACAAATTGTACAATTTCTTCATGCGGCAGATGTCCTTGCGTGAAGCGGAGTACATCTCCATCGAAGAACGCATCGTGGAGGTCCAACAAGACGATGAAAACGCGCAGAGGTGGGATGATGCTGGTACTTTTTACAACTTATAAACTTATATATATACATCAGAAAAGTTGTTCTTCAATATAAGAACTAAGTGGAAATCGTACCATGCAGTTAGAACTACAGCAATACCGATTACTTATATAACTAGATGATATTCATCTTGACCATGAGAATTTGACTGGTAATATTCTCGTCGTCCACATCAACTTGCAGAGGCGAGCGGCAGTGAGTCTGCTAGCAGCACCTCCGCTTCTTCGTTCGCGGCTGGCGGTAAAAATGGGTTTTCGTCCTTGTCTGGGAGAGCATATCAAGGGACGGAGACCGAGATCAGTCGCGACGTCGTTGAGAATGCTACAGTTATGGTCGAAGATATCAACGGTGTCACGTATCGCTACGTCACCTTTCAATCGACCCGTCTTACGTACGACCACACCGCGAAGATCTTCGCCGAGCCGAAGAACGAAGTAGTTGGGCGCAACACTCTGAACGCCTTACATCTGTACAAGGAGGAGCCACTCACGGTGGACGCAGTGAGTGTAGACGTTTTATTAAGGGGCAGGAACAAGATCGACGTGCACGTCCCTTCTTTCTTCTATTTCGTGGCGCAGGAAATGACCACCGTGGTGAACATGTGGCAGATCTTTCAAGCCGTCACGCTCGCCTTCTTCTGGCAAGTGGTCGCCGGGGGCGTGCTGCTCCTCATCTTTCTCGTTCAGCTCTACATCGCAGCTATGGCGCGAAAACGCGTCATGGAGACCGTCCAACAGTCCGCGAAGATCAAAGGTAATCAACAAACACTTAGACGAAGGCTCGATCTAGCATTTTTTACGTTTTATCACACACTGATGACACTATTACCATGTTGCGCGGCTATTCTTTATAGTAGGAGTTCCAAAGCATGGCTTTTCTGAGGTCGCAAATACTAGTACTCTTGTTGCAGCAAACGAACAGGTATTCAGTAACAAGTTAGTAGTGAGAGTAGACATCTACTTCAACTCTCTAGTATTCTCCTTCTTCAGGTATCCGCGTTCTGGTCTACCGTGATGAGCGTCGGGATAAGTATCTGGAGTTTGGTAAAGCTGTGGATATGAGTCGCATGGACCTCAATCGCCGCGTCCACGAACGCGACCGGCGCCAGCCGACATTGTCGAAGATCGTCGAAGCAGATGACGAGGAGTCGGAGTCCGACGGCAGCTCGATGTCCGATAACCATCACTCATCTGCATCCAACGCTAAAAATCCTGGCTTTACTTACTTCAAGGGCGATTTCGCGCAAGGCGCACGGGTAACTAATATAGACTATTGCTAGATTTTATTTTGATGACTAGATAAAGATATTTTCATCTTTTCAATGCGACATTAACCTATCAAATTAATGGTAGCCGACAAATGAACCCATCGACGAGTGTTTTTCTTCTTGGTGCCAACTTGGCGCAAAATAACAGAAGATGCTTTTTTTGAGCTTTCCACAACAACTGCCATGCTAATATCAAAACGGTTTGAATCTTCTCCTTTACAACAGGGCGGCGCCGGAACAGCCGGAAATGAGCTGGCTTTGCGAAATCGGCAGTATTCCAATGGTGTAAACACCTCCAATCTTGGTCTTGCGGATTCGTCGACCACGTCCGACAGTGACGAAATGCAATCGCACGCGGGTGGGCCCCTATCTTCTCTGCGCACAATCCAGAGTCTCAATTCGCGGACCAAATTGAGAAACGGAACCTTCCGCAGTGTTTGGTCAATGGAGTTAGTCCCGGGTGACTTGATCGAGATCCCGGAGGGTGTCGTCATGCCCTGTGACTGCGTGCTTTTGGAAGGTATAACTCTTTACCGTTTTCGATCAATTAGTTGGTAAATGCTGATGTACCATCCGCAGACTACGTTTATGTACTACAACATACGAGCTAGAAGGTGAAGATATCAAGGCCTCCTCGAAGATGTAAGTACTAGAGAATACACTTACTTCTAAAGACTCAGTCACATACCAGAAAATAATTTCTCCTACCCGCCAGGACACGCTTTGGTGAACGAGGCGGATTTAACGGGTGAACCCATGCCAGTGACCAAGTACCCCATCGAAAAGCGCGGACGCTCCGCACAGGAGGAGAAGCTCGACGTCACGGTGCATGGCAAGAAACACTACCTGCACTGCGGCACCACGGTGCTCCAGTCGCAGGGTCCGACTCGTTCCAAGCGCAACCTGAAGGCGCTTGGCCTGGTCGTGCACACGGGTACAGCCACGATGAAGGGGAACATGATCCGAAAGATCCTCTACCCGAGTCCTGTGTACTACTGCTTCAACGATCAGCTGGGACCATTCATCTTCTCCATTGTCTTGATTCTGCAATTGGCCAGCACGATTCCGGTCGTGCTCTACGGCTTCATTGGCGCGGAGCAGCTCTCCGGTAAAGGGTACTACTTCCAGATCATCATCATGGCGTGCTTCGAAGCGATCACACTTGCGACGCAAGTTGTGAGCCCGCTCATGCTGTTAGGTCTGACAAAGGCACAGAACCACGCGGCCGATCGTTTGCGCGATTCTCCCTCCGGTACCGTGACCCTGTCTCCGGAGCGCATCACGATGGCCGGCGAGATCAAGGTGCAGTGCCTGGATAAGACCGGAACGATCACTGAGGAGGGATTGCACCTGCACGGTATCCGACCAGTGTGTCCCGTGACGACGCAGGATGTGCAGAAAAACCGCGCTGAGGAGCACAAGAAGAGTGCGCTGTCAGTCTCCTTGTCGAACTTGGAGAAAACGGGTACGCTGGCACTGGCTGCGGCGAAGCAGACCTTCGCAGAAGACGCAGACAAGATGTCTCAGACGGTCGCCTCGGTGCAGACGCTGATCATGGACGAGGGGGGCAACAAGTCCTTGGAAGCCTCCGCGAACCCATCCAGCAGCGCGGAATCGTCGGCGCCGGACAATCACAGTGAGGGCACGGGGTCCACCGCTGGCTCCTCCAGTTCCACTACCGCCGGTGGTAATCGTCCGCGTGGAGAGAAGGACAGTTTCGGCACGCCTGGGAAGATGAGTGGCAACATCTTTGGTTCCAAGAAGGACCAACAGAGCGCGGAAGAGTACCAGGCCATGCTGAATCGTGTCAAGTTCGGTCCTCTGGTGAACGTGCGTGACACCCCGGATCAGCCACTGGATAAGAGTAACCTTCTCGAGGTGGCGATCGCGACGTGCCACACTGTCACAAAAATGGACGGAAAGCTTTACGGAAACAGCGTCGAGCGTGAGATGGTTCGCATCATGAATGTCGATTTCGCAGCTCGCATCGGCGAGGGCGTCGAGTACTACCGTCCCAAGCGACACGCCGGTGGCGGCGAACTCCTCTTCAAGACGGTGCGGCAGTTCGAGTTCGATCAGGGCGCGCAGATGCAGTCCGTCGTAGTGGATTTGCGTGGGGAGACCACCAGTCGTACGGGCGGTTCTGGCTCACTGGGGCGCTCCAAGCGGAGCGGCACCTCGTCAGGAAACACGAGCGACTCATCCCAAGGGTCTAGTCGAAGTCGCGGCGAGTCGTCAGTGGGAAGACTGAACTCCAGCGGCGCGCTCCCATTTTCACACGTGCTTTTCTCCAAGGGGTCCTTCGAGGCGATCTCTAAGCGGTGCGTCCCCGGCTCGTTGCCGGTCGACGCGAAAGAGCTGACGAAATCGCTCGCCGTCGAGGGCTACTACGTCATTGCGGTCGCGTACCGCGTCGTCGACGGCGATCAGCACACGCTTGGAAGCCTCAACAACACGATGAATTGCGGCGGGAACCAGAAGCCGGTACGATGGCACACTAGCTCTCGCGTCGATCTAGAGACGGACCTCATGTTCTTGGGGCTTATCTACTTCACCAACGACCTGAAGCCGGACTCGGCCGCTGCCATCGCGGAACTGCGGCACGGCAATGTGGATCCAGTGATGATTACAGGAGACAACGTGTGGACTGGTGTGCACGTTGCGGAGAAGGCTGGCATGCTGCCGAAAAACGCAGTCATTTTGGGCGCCGACGTGGATCTCGGTGGCGAGCGTAAGAACCATGGCCGTAATCATGGGGACACCATTGCCCACATGGACCAGCCAAGCGCCTCTTTTCCGGACGAGTTGCACTGGCAGTTCTTGCGGGAGGCGGACAAGATGCACGTGCCGATTTGGACAAGCCTGCTCACAGAAGCGCGTGCCCGGTATGCAGCTCGCATCTCCTTCTTCGGAACAGAGGTCACTGGTCCAAAGGCCGCACAGGCTCGAAAGAAAACCACAAACGCTTCCTACTTTCGCGCTGGGCCCACGCATGCGCAGCCTGGTTTGTCGCTTTCGCACGCGAAAGGTCAGATCATGCCGCACAGCAAGACGAGTCCACGAGTGCCGCCGCTGTACGGTTTGTCTCCCCGCCATGCCCGCGCTGGTCGCGATCCCAGGGCTGGATCCTTGCTGTCACGCGTAATGTCTTTCGGAAGCAACCGCGGGGAACGCACCGGCGGATCGCCTTCGCGCGAGTCTGATCTTAATCGATTCTTCGGCAATGGCGCCGGAAACAATGACGTCGAGACGCCGCGCGACGACGGCAACAGCCCCTACAGCAAGGAGAGGGTCGCAGGCATAGGCCAACTGAATCGCGAACACGTGTCGTCGCTGTATCCGATCCAGGGTGGAGAACCGATGCAGCCGGTCCTGCGAGATAATTTTGATTTGGGCCAAGAGGTAGAGTTCTTTGACGGCGTCTTGGCTCTGAGTCCCTCCCCGAATTTCAAACCGCTTGACCGTCAACTGTTGTTCCAGCACTTTCATTTCGACCAGACCGTCGACGACCGAAGGCTTTTACGCCTTATATCACGGATCGACGAGATGGTACACGAAGAGGAAGAGGCTCGGCAAGAGCAGGCGCGCCAGGTGACTGACATGGCCCTCGACGAGGCAGAGGAAGACATGCGCCGCAGCTCGTGGCGCGCATTCCAAGAGTACCAAATGTCTGCACGGCGCCACCTCGAGCTCGCAGGTCTGTCCGACGCGGACGACACAATCTCCGAGGCGTGTTCGGAGGAACGCAATCGCCTGCTCTCGGACGTCGATGATGCCGCTTCCTGTATGGATCCCTCCTCAGTGCGGAAACGCGGAGGAAGCAAGGTCCTTGATGCGAGTGCACTGGCCCGTGCGAATGGCACGCCTCCGACCGGGCGCTGCCCTCGCCGCATGTCTTTCGGAGACAGTGCTGCCACGATTAACGCCGAGGGCGAGGCGGCTCCGCCTACGGACGACAAGGACCACGATGACGAGGATGCGCTCTTCCCGACGACACCACGAGATTACGAGCAGGTGACAACCAGTATCCACGTAGAGAGCCGCGGGTCCACCGCCATTGTCCGCACATCGACGATGAGCAGCAAACGACCGAAGTACTACTTTGCGCTGACCGAGGCTGCCTACCGCTTCCTTGCGCACCACGATCCGAAGTTGTTGGAAAAGATCTTTCCACGTGTTCTTGTCTTTGGTCGCATGACGCCGAGTGGCAAGGTTGACGTGATCCGCCGTCTGCAGGCTTCGGGCCAGGTTGTCGGCATGTGCGGTGATGGTGGTAACGATTGCGCGGCCCTCCGCGCCGCACACGCCGGGGTTGCTCTTGCGGACGGGGATGCCAGCATCGTTGCACCCTTTTCGAGCAGCTCCAAGTCGCTCTTCTCGGTGGTCGAGACGATCCGCCAGGGTCGGTGCTGCCTGCGCGTTTCCACCGCGCTAGTCGAGTACCACGTGATCGTCGGCATTGCGACGGCCATTTTCAAGGTCTGCATAGTGTCGCAGCGTGCTTACCCGAGTGAGGCGCTGTATTTGGTGAAGGATTCTCTAATTCCCCTCATGGTCGTGCAGGCACTGGTCGCGGCCACACCACCGATGCACAGTGGCTTCAAGCAGTCGGAGGGTTTCTGCGGCTGCCTTCGACGCGAGCAGTGGGGCGCAAAAACGGGCTTGTGGAGTATGCTGAATCCGGAACAGCCGACGGGAAGCCTAATCGCCAAGCCACGTCTCTTCATGATTATGATGGCCGGCATTGTTTTCGCTGGTTTTGTCTACGGCATGATCGCGTTTGTAACCTACCTGAATGCGTGGTACACACCGCTGGACCTGTTCGTGGTCAACGCCGAGGCCGCCTTGGTCAAGCCCTGGAGCAGCAACGTGCTATCTACGATACTTGTTGCCTGCGTGATGCTCTTCAACTACTTCATCTACTGTGCTGTCTCGGTTGACGGCAAGTTTCGAAATCGTCTGATGAACAGTTGCTGGCTCTACGTGCTCACTGTCGGCATCTTCTTGCCAATCGTGGTGCTCTACTTCATGTGCAACTCTCCGGTGCACGCTTTCATGCGTATCAATGTAGATACGCTGACCAGCTGGGGAAACCACGGTGGCATCGTTAAGGTCTCGCATGCACTCGGGTTCTCAGGTGCCGACGTCATGTCTCCAAATTTCTGGTTCACGCGTCCGAATTCGATGCTGTTTAAGGGCCACGAGGACACGGAGACCTACTCTATGGCGGCCACCGCGACACTCCCGACAGCACTCGGTAAGGCAGAAGCCTTCCCCTTCATCCCAGAGCATCTGCGTGTGTCCTGGACTGCGGCACACGGCGTGAGTTCGCCACGGCCGACCGTCTCGGTGCAGCAGGCAACGCGCGTCGTGAACGGCGTGCGCAAACCCGTGAAGCTGGATGATGTGGGACTGTGGACTCTACAGGTCGATCAGGCCGTAAGTTTCATGCATAAGGAATTGCCTGCTGCACTTACTCACTGGCGCAACCGCGTTCTCACCAGCCTGCGTGGTGATTCTTCCGTCGACGTTTCTGACTTGATTTTGCAGACCAACTTTCAAGTGATCTTCCCATCGCATCCAGGAGTGATGGGAACCATGATCGCCGTTGACACCAAGGCGCTCTTTAAGGGTGAGGGGATTTCCGATCTGCTGCAGGCGAAGCAGGTGATGGCTGGCAGCAAACAGGCACCGCGCTCCCTCTCCAAGAGTGAAATGACCGCAGATCTCAGCATGCACATGTGCCAGAGCCTGTGCCAAGCCTCCTGGGAAGCCGGACGCACCGCCGAGGCGGTCGCAGCTCGTCCAGAGTCGCGCTTCTACTGCTGGTGGGTGGCCGTGTCTAGCGATCGCTGTATGCTGATGCCGCGAACCGACGTGACCAAGTCCCGCGCACTAGGACCGGACTATGCTCCCTACGTGCACTACGAGTTGCTCCCGAAGCACACGGGAGTGAAATATAATGCACAAAGTGTTCTCTGGAACACTCCAGGCACGGTGACTTATATCCCAAGCAGCTCTGCGACGAGTCCCACGGGTACACAAGCCACTCCCGCAGAGGTTGCAGCCATCCAGGGTGACAATTTAGTCGTGGCGAACGCGGTCCTTTTCCCGGGAACAGCAGTTTCTGACGAGACGGAGGACAACGCGTTTTCGCCGGCCGAGTCGAGGGGACGCGGCAAAGGTGGCCGTCATCGTTCTTCGATGCTGCAACTCAACAAGGAAGGTTCGAAGCCGTTAGACGTGAAGAAGAATGGCGAGTCTGCGGTCGACCTCATGGGCACCTTTTCCGGCGAGGAGTACCAAATCATGCAACTGAACCGACACAACGTGCTGTCGTGGCGCGGCATGAATTACCAGAACGAAGGTGGGTACGATCGCCCGATTCAGGACAACTTTCCGTCGTTCTATCCGCGTGATGACTACTACTTGCCGCGAGCGGGCTTCACCGATGAGCAGTCCAAGTGGTTCCCGGAACTTTACGAGAACCATCCGTCCAAATTTGTGCCGACGTTCAGTTTCATGTTTTTGGCTTTTGGCTCCTTCCTGAGTGCTGCCATTATCGCCGTCGTGTACAGCACCTTGAAGTTCTGGAGCATCGGTTACGAGCCGTCGCATCAGCACAACCGCTACCAGCGAGAAGTGGTCGCAGTAGATGACGCGGATGGAAACAAGGAGAATCAGGACAAGGACCAAGTCAGCGCTAGCACTGGGTCCTCATCCGGACTAACTAGGAGGAACCTCCAGAACGGCAGTTCTAGTGAAGGTGGCAGGTCTGGAGCGAGTGGGGCGTTCGCAGGACAAGGACGCCTCCTCAACCAGTAAACAGCGGGATGCTAGCATCAAGAACATTTGACGACTTAGAAGAGGATGATTAATCGTAGAAATTGATGCAGTGTAGGAGGACGCTGTTTGCTTAAGACTCAAGATGTTGAGAGTCTTACAGGAGAAACGATAAGGCGGCTGGTGTGGTAGCGACTACTTTGGCGCAGCATTATCGTTGAAAATTATTTTGCAAAATTAAAAATGAGCGATTGAGCTTCGATTCAAGAAGGTGATCTTCACGATGATAGTTATCATTTATACTTCAGTACTTTCACTCCGTATTGCAAAATCAATCATTATGTTTGAGAATGAGTAACAACTTGACAACCGTAGGAAAAACTCAGTAGTACTCTTGGAAGTCTAAAATCTGAACTTAATAGCATAGTATGCTAATATGAAAACAGTTACCAATTTTCAACATCTTCAAAGTGCAGGAATGAGAAAGAAGCGCTCGTTAGTACATATTTGATCGATTTAATCACAACGTACGAATAAACTAATGGTTTTGCAAAACAACTAGTATTAGAAATGGTGTTAAGATCGATATAATTCCATCTTAAATGATTCAGATTTGTCGGAGACGCAATGATCACAAGGTTACGCAAACGCATAGGGTGGGAGTAGTTCTCTATTAGATTAAGGGGGGATTTCCAAGTCAAAGTGAAGTAGTAAAAGAGAGCTAGTTTCTGCGAAAGCACAGTAAATGAAAAGTAGTGCAACAAGTAGACGCAGTAGACAGTATACATAGTCTTAGTGCTAAGTGATCGAAGTGATCGTGAAATTAGATTTAGAATTTTGTCGATTGGTGGGAGCTAACGCGGCATGGTGAAGATTCTAGTAGATGAGATGCCAGAGCATCAAGGAGCGTCGACGCGGGGGCGTGATCGCGGACGTGCTTCTCCTACCGGGCATCTCTATATGTGCGTTCCTCCCATTTCGACAGGTGCGCGTTGATTCTAAAACTCGAAGCGCATCGAGCAACTGAGCAAAGAGGGCCTCGGAGGAGGATCACCGGAACCGTATGGTGTGGTTCCGCAAATACTAGTAGGAGCTCGGCGGAGTCGCAATTTTGTATATTCTTTGGTTGATTTAATATTTGTAGCATAGATATTGGCGAACAAAAGAAAAACTCTGTTGATTGTAGATATCTATGTCTGTTTTTGGATCCAACTGATTCTGCACTACAGCTAATCACTAATACTACCTACCTAGTAGCAATAGCCTGTTCCATCTTCGTAAGGTATGCAGAGTGCATCAAAGTGGTACTCAACATGTACTCACGTAGCTACTACCGTAACTCATCGTACTGAACGGGACAAAATCGCTGAGCCTGGTCATACCTGTACTACACGATACATACGTGACCGACGCGCATAAACCGCAGGTTGACCTACGAAGTAGATGAGGTTGGTCCAAAATCTTCTTGTAGAAATTAAGTACGAAAAGAAAAAGTGTAGAACTCGAAGTTGCACGCGCACGGAAACGGTTCAGCATGCGCAGAAAGTGTTCTCCATCAGCTCATGGCTTTTACCGCGATCATCGGAGCCCAGGAGCGCATATCTACAGTTTGTGAGGAGAAAAGTACGTCTGTCCGTGTCCGAAACACGTTCTAGTTTTCGTCGAGTAGATGAAAGAGCAATTATGGTTCATCGAGTGGAGGAGAGGTAAGAAGTGTCTTGCTTGATGCTAAATGTGTAGACATATGGGAAGGAAATTGAAATGTTTATTTGACACGAGGACGACTCATGAAATAACATGGTCGCACACGACGAAGACGAGTTAAAGGAGTTCAAAGGATGAGAATGTCGCAACATCTTGAAGATGCGTCATTGTGTGCCTAGAAATGGGCGGGTGTGTTTCAACTACCACACCCGCACCAGGTGGAAGTACGTCCTCGAACGCTAGTGCCACTGCTCCGCTCAAGGATACAATGTTTTTCGGGTCATCTTCATCTAGGCCTGACTCTGGGGTTGTACCTGTACCACACGAATACGGTTTCGGTGCGACCGAGGCTTCAGGTTCAGCGCCGGGAAAAGGACAAGGTGGAAAAGTACGACAAGGCACCGATGATGCTGTGGTTACTGCCGGAACCAAGGCTACAGCGGGTGCGCTGCTGCTCTCAACCGCTGACGACTCAACTCGTGCGAAACAAGATCTTGTGTCGAATCACAGCGCACGCCGAGACTCATCTAAGACCTCCAGCTCGACTGCACTGTCGGGTAGCACGCAGCAGTCGTCAATGCAGAATAGGCTGTTTAAAGGCAGAGGGCAGGATGAAAGAAAGTCTGGAGGCGGGAACGACAATAGGCGCGGGAGCAAGATATCGCAGCTTTTTGACCAAGTAAAAGAGTCGCTACGCCTCAGACGCTCCAGTTTTCTTGGTGGAGGTACTAGGATGAATAGCACGAAATAATGCAAACGAATCCAGGAATGTAGTCAAAGACGTGAAGGAAAAACAACCACAAGCGATTTATCATTGACATTGATTCATATAGATGCCGTCGCTGCACATCAGCACAGTTTTTTGCTTTGTTTCCAAGTTATTAAATTTGCGCGTTACATCAGGTGACGCTGTCCATCACCATCGGCACCAGGATGAGTTCGAAGAGATTACTTTAGCTCCCCTATCGCGTTGTGCCACTACTCTTGCGGATTGCACTGTGGTAAAGTACCAAGCGTTTGCCTTCCTCATTCCCTACTACGCAGCCCCGCCACAGACTCGACGGCGCAGCAGCGCAGGACTCATCACAAATTCCGGAAACAGCAATGAGCATCACATTATGCACGGAGCTGAACAACAACAGCGATAATAAGATCACATCTTGCTCATGGTCATACCTTTTGTGAGGGTTGGAACAACAGCCACAAGGTCGATTGCCCATGAAACTTGACATACAACTTTTGGAATTTTATTCCCTCTTAGTGTTCTTGACTCAGGCGCGCACGTGCAAGATTTGAAAACTCTAAAGAAAGCAGTGGCTCAGGCGGATTTGGAGGGCGTTCAGGATTGGATTCGGAGCTCCCGGAGCTCAATCGACGGACGCTGCAACTAGACAAAGAGCGCAACCTTTTTCAAGTCGCGGCACTGCGACAGTGCCTTTTTGGGTACTATGAATACGAGATGCGCTTACTCGTTTTTGAGAAGAAGCGGTGGCTTTAAGGCTAGAAGTTACTTATTAAATGAACTCACCTGGCCCTGATCTTCATCCTTGGTAAGTTGTTCCTCTCCTCGTTTCATTTTTTAGATTCATCATTCACTCAAAGTACAATTAATTTATCACTGGCTTCCTGCTTTTAGTGTTAGAGTTTACTCTGTTACCTCAAATAGTGCATACTGTTATTACTCAGCGCAAACTCATCTTTTTCTTTTCCGGATCTAATGTTAGTTGCGGTTTCTTATAGTGAGGAAATTTTTGCTGTTAGGAAGGAAGCTGATGAAAGTGTTGATGAAGCTTCATTATAGTTTGTTACCAGTCACTGCCTGTCGAGTTCGAGTTCCCCTTCTAATGTCTAGCGTTGACTGCGCCGAAGCCAAGCGACGCAACAGACAACGCGCTTCTGGAAGCGGTAGTGACACTGCGCCGCGTCGAAAGGCATCGACAGATCCTTCTTATTGAGGGTGTGCGTGGCAAGGAGTTAATTCTCTGTGTGGAGATGGATCCGAAGGACGAGAGACTTGTCTTCGCGGAAGACCGAATGCGAAACCCGTTGCCGTGGTTTGCCTGGCACCATGAAGACGAGGAGGAAGTGAGCGAAGATGCACGCTTGGACAGGGCAGCTGAAGAAGCGGGTGCGATTGAGCTAGCGCGGCCGCCGTCGAAAAATAGGGGGCCGCCGTCGACGCGTCCGGGACAGGGTTCGTCGACATCTGCTAGTGCTGTTGTTGCTGGTCCTCCTGAAACCGTAGTAAGCGGCACCTCATTTCCTGCACCAGCATCCGGTCGTACATCTGTGCCTTCCACCGTAGTTGCGCCATTGTCACCGACCTCACGTCATCGTCGTCAGATCAAGCGGGAGTGTCCGATCAGACTGCCAAGCAGACTGCAGCCCCCAACGTCGGGTACGAACTCCAGTGGGTTGAACCACGACACTAGATCGAAACAGCGGAGCTCCCTTGGAGGCGGCGGCGGTCCCCAGGGTGCGGCGGGCGCCCAACATAGTCTAAGTTCACTGGACCCGGTACAGCAAATGAGGCGGCGCAGCACAACGGGCCTCGACCGCAATTTCTACGAAACACTCGCGCCCGATGCAGAGAGGAGTCTTTTGGCTGGGAGTCGAAGGTGAACAGGAGGAGTCCGTTAAAAATGTATACGCTATCGGGCGGGATGTTACATCGCGTAAATACGAGCAATTCATATTCAGTTTATCGATGTCTTGAATTCTTCCGGTAGCTGGTCTCAGTACTCGCAGCTTCTGTAAGTGATCTATGTTTAAGATGCCTCTCAGGGACCGTAGACATCGTGCAATAAGATTGATTTCCCGAGGTGTACGTAGGTATGATATCATCACTATGCGTGTCGATTACCAGGTGTATGCACGCCTTGTCTTTTTCCATAAGATTCAATCAAATCTCCTGTTGAAAGTCAATACTCGACAGCTTGTTTTATTTAGTGCCAAAATGAAAGTGTGCAGTGCAGTGCAATGGCAGAGGCAGTTAGTAACTGTAAATTTCAACAGTAGTTGTGATTGTTGGACCTGGATTTGCTCACTAGCAATGCAATAGATAGTGGTATTTGTAGTATTTGTAGTTGCATGAGGGCGAGCATCTTACTGCATGGTGCTTTGAGATGCGGATCTTCCCGCGTCGATTTTTCCACGTGTTCACCTCCTCTTCACGGTTTGCAAGTAGCATGCGGAGACCTGAAGCCAATTGCATGGTAAAGCGCGAAAATATTTTGCAGCTTTGTTTGTGGTCCATATAAAAATGGGTAGACAAAACGACGAAGAAATTCAATTCGAGCGAGCAGCCAGATGGAGTGAATCCGCTGTTTGTAGAAGTGGTTGCCTCCAGCTCCGACATGATGTCTTTAGCGTTGACAGATCCGGCCATACCTGTCGCTTCGCGCTCGCCGTGTGAGGAATTCGCGCAACTTTCTATCGCCTATTCCAAGCGCAAAGACATCCGCGCTATCGAAGGCTTGCGGGAAGTTCTGCGAGCACGTTACGGGATTTTCGACGACGATGAAGAAGTAGAAGGAGCTTCTGTGCTCCAGGGACATGGACATTCATCCTCTTCATCTGGAGGACGTCCATCTGGATTCTCATTTCAGTCTGCAGTGGATGCTCCGGAAGAAACGCTGGACGTGGCTGAGGCGCACCTTCTGTACGCTGCAGTCAGTTCTTCTGTCGGGAAGAGTGGTGCGCATGCTGCGACGCAGGCGATTGTGTTGACGGACTTCCTTCTTGAAATCTGCCGCCGGATCAACCGTGCGAAGGGACAAGCCGATGAAATCAAACTCCAAGTCGGAGGAGGGGGAGGATCGTCCTCGTCGAGCCTAATTAAGAGTCCCGGTTGGGGGCAACATCGAAAGACGACAACGTCCTCAGTAATAGGAAAAGGTCAGACACAACATCAAACGGGAGGAAGATCTCCAACGAGAACTCTGCATGATGACCGACGTGCTTTTCGTGTGGTGAACGATGTCGATTGTGCGTGGTACGATAAGATCGTGCACATCTCGTGTTCCGCGCGTGCAGTGTTGGCACTCGAGGAGATACGAGGTGTGAAGGGCGTTTTCGCTGCGAATGCTCTGAAGGCAACATGCAACTTCCGTGTGACGATGACGCAGCAATTCGAAGCCGCATTTATTGCATTCGAAAAAGGTGAGTCGGACAAGGCGAGCAAGACGCTAACAGCCAAAGTCCGCAAGAAGTGGGGAAAAGGCATGAAAATCGTAAAGACCGCAGCTGCAAAGATAGCGGAGTCTACTGCTGATCATGAAGGTCAAGAAGTCGTAGCGGCAGCACAAACGAATGCTTCTCAAGTAGAGAGTGCCGGACAGGATGGAGCAGGCGATGCACAACTAATCGGGGATCACACTCAAAGTTCTGCAGTCGCGGCAGGGGATGCTACACTCGAAGAAGCGACTTATTCCGGACCAGGGTTGCCTAGACCGGGCAAGACTGGTTCCGACATACCCGCTTGGAGAAGTCGCGAGGGTGACGAAACGGAGGACACGAAAAAACAGAAAGCAAGAGCCTTACTTGCGACGGCGATGGAGTCTATTTCTGCCGTGATGGCCATGAAAAGAAAAATGCAGCCCGAAGCGAAACCTAGTATATTATTTATTTATCTTGTTCGTTCAACTATCTATATTTCTCTTTCTAGTATAGCTCTACCTATTTGAAATAGGTGCCGATCTCAAGAGAAAATCTTGTTGTATTTGTTGTCACACTTTAGGTCATGCCGAAGATCCACTCCTGCCTGTCCTGTTGGGTGCAGATGACGCCAGGGCCGCAGATATCGACGAAAAGGATGTGCCTGAAGAGGCACCGGTGGACGATGCCACTGCTGGAGCCGAGACCGCCAGCCTGTCGGAGTCGAAGAAGCTCGAGAAGCTAAGGCGAGAATTGCTTCCCCTGGCAGATGGAGAGCACGGCGACTGGCTGGCGGAAGTCATGATGAACAGTGGAGAAGAGCTTGTAGATGCGGAAATTTCCGTGCGGGACCGTATCAGCATGGTAGCGGAAAGGGCTGAAGCGGAGGAGGCCGAAGGACGGAAGCAGAAAAAGAAGAAGAAGAAAAACAAGAAGTCCTCGAGTGGTGATAAAAGTGAATCACCAGGAGGAGAGGAAAGTGTGAGTACGAAAAATGCGGAAATGGCAGGAGAAAATGGCGTTCAAAGCGGCGAAGAGGAAAGCGATCAAGAAGAAGACGGGGATCTAGAGGATGTAGATTTCGACGATATCCTCGCAGCAGAGGGTCTTGCGTCCTTATTTAACGATATTCGTGGCGCCAACGGCCACAGTGCTACGGATTTCCCCGATGAGCTTTTTTTAGACTTGGTTCGAAAAGCGAATCTTGACGAAGACTCGGACAGCAGCGATGATGAGGGAAGTAAAGGCGAAAGTGCGAAAGCGGCACAGCTTGTCCGCGGTCAGCGTTCCCGAAATGGCTCAGGAGACGACGAGCAAGATCGGACTTGGGAGTTAATTCTACCTTATTTTGACCTTGCTGGCGTAGGCGATCCCCGACAGAATCTCGATCGTTTAAAAGAGCAGCTAGAAAGGGAACAAGAAATGATTGCGACTACATTGGAGCGCGCGCATAATCTGGGTGAGCAGGTCGAAGCCATTGCGGAACCCTGGTTCCAGACGCCGTGGCGATCCTCGAATGAAAGCGTCACGGTTACATCAGCTGCCTCACCGTCATCGAACTCGTCGAGGCGAGTAGCACAGCAACGAAAGCGTGATGATTCGAACTTTTCTCCAACACGTCTACCGACAAAGTGCAGCGCTGCGAGCCCTTCTGCTGCGGCTCTGGCGAGCACCATCTGTGGGAACACCCCACCAGTAGCGCAGCGCAGAAGCGTGCTCGGTCGTTGCCACGCAGTAGGATACAAGGGAGCGAAGCAGCTAGCGCACGTGCATCGGAAGCACGTGTCACGCATAACTGATCTCGTGCAGGTAGAAACGCAGATACTGCCGAAAATTTTCGAGAAGAGAGTGGCAACTACGCAAAAGGAGCTTACGTCCGCCGCACGTTCTTTTGCAAAAACTATAGAGAAATTTTGCCAAGTGAAAAGTGAAGTCGTCAAGTATGACTAGAAAGAATCCTCTGAAACATTCTAAAATAGTTTCTGAATAGATATGCAAGCAGTTTCCTAGTATAGAAAGTTTGGAATGAGTACAACTAGCCGAAATAGAGATTATTTGTTTGGCATTGCATTTGCAAGTAAGTAGAAAGAGACGAGGCTTCGTGGAAGTTCAACAGACGTTTCATAGCTATCCACTTTTGGATTTCGATACTTTGGACCTCCTGGAAAAGACACTTAGCCCACAGAACCTGGTAAGGTAGGACTCACATCAGGCACAGGGAAGCCCTCTTTTAGAGGATTGAATGAGATCCATACTCATACTTCGAGCTCGGTGTTTGGCCTATACCACATGTTTAGACAACAGCGGCAAGGCGCTTTTCTGTAATATGGATCATCAATTTTGATAAGAGCAGGCAGAACAAGCTAACTGATCATCAGGGTTCGCTGAGACCAACAGTTTTTTCTGAGGCTTTCTCGGTTGCTGAAGTCGCTGGCTGATCTTGTACCTGGTGAAGAGCAGGAGAAGAACTATCAGCATTACGACTACTTACATCTGATCCACAACTACTAAGAGCTACAGTTGTTGAGTCTACTTTCCCTTTCCCATTCCCGGCCTCTCCTAGCATAAAAATTTGAGCGGCGCGAACGAAAAAGGTGAAGATGCATTGGACTTTTCGTTTTGTCTTTGCTGCGACAGCAACCGTGTTGTGCGCGGCGAGTCCGGAAGCAGCAGGAGCATGCGTAACTCTTCCGTCATCGGGCACGACTTCGTATTTCATCTTTGATCATGCTACTTTCTGTTCCTCGTTTCTAATAAATCGCGTGTTGTGCTTACATGACTCGGGTATCGATGCTTCCTCTTCTACGGGTAGAATATTCTTGCCTTTCTTTGCTTTGCAACCTGCTTGACTCGATATATGAAGTTGGTTCCATGTTTTCAGGCATGATTCCTCGATAACTACCGAAGGAGGGCTTGGTGGCTTTCCACCACGTGGAATGTCAGCGGAATCAGAAGGTAATTTTGCGCTTGACGAAACGTCAACCCAGGATACATTGGGTGCACCATTGAATCCGGCTCGTAGGCGCTGCAACTTTCTGTCCAGACGCTTGTTGCGTTACTGATCTTTCAGAAATTTTCAAGCTGGGTAAACGAAATGACGGAATCCATATTGAGAAGAAAGCTGTAGTGGAATGTGAAGCATATGTGGAACCAGGAGCAAGATCATAAGTATCACATATCGAAGACGATGAAAGATAGTGAAAGAGAACAAAGAATGGCCTGCTATCCTGCTTCTAGGCGGATGAAAATGTTGGGCTTGGCATTGTGTTCAACGTCTCTCAGTTCTTTGAGAACAGAGTTTCCCGACCATCTTGCCAGAAGAAGATGAATCTGTGTGAATCTAAGCGAGCGACTACATCCAACGATCGACTTCTAGATGATGCCGTTGGTAGTTTTCATGTGCGACGATGGTCAACACTTATGAGTTTCCAATCATGTGTGCTGTACATCTACATGTTCCTTCTTGTTCGTAGGACTGTAAAAAAGGCGATCTTCTCATCTGTGTCACCGGATCCATGCTCGTACTTCTTGCGAAGTACTACTGCCTGATGATGATGCTTTGCCTCTACTACTACCTGTAACAACAACAACAACAAGGGAAATATTGTAGTTGTAGAGATCTATTATAGGCAGAATAGTGCAGTTTATGCGCCTAACCGACCTGGGTATCTCATAGGTCGATTACTTCGTCTTGCAGCACGGATCGATAAGAACAAAAACAATAGCAGCCATGATCGAACTCGTTTTCTGCGATTAGATGCGCTTTGGTAATTTTTGGTAACTCTGAAGTTGAAGATGAAGTGTTGTTTCTCCAAGTGTGTTCCCGTTGAACGAAGTTTGAAGTGATGAAACTTTGAATTTCTTCATGCAAATGTTTCGGGGGATTCAATCCTATTGTTCCGATTTTTCGTAACATTGTAAAAGATTCGTTTCCCAATCCCACTCAACATTGTAAGTAAGCTTTTTTAGGAACAACTAAAAAATGGACGGAAGTGCATTACACGCGAAAGCGTCCTCTGCCAGTGGGCCTCCGCCGCAGGCTGCTTCAGAGTCAAGCGTCCCACCTATGGCCAGTGACGCCGTGCCAGCCACCACAGGGGCTGCAGTTTCAAGTGCAGCTAATGTCGAAGATGGTACCAAAAGGGTTCCCCCTGGAGGTGAGGCATTATCTTCAATACCAGGCGAAGCTGGAACAATGCTCAGTGGAGAAAATGGCACATTTGGAACAGCAACAGGGTCAGCAGGAGTCGCGCCGAGTCGTGATCTTCCTCCTCCTGCAGCCTCCGATATAGCACCTCCAATCGATCCTAGAATTCCTCTCGAGCCACCGCCAGACCTCCCGAACGGAGGTGGCTTGGGTGGTATGGACGTCGAAGGCTCACATGTAGACTCAGTCTTTGATGCCTTGAACGCCATAGGGGCACCAGGCGACGACGCAGGACAAGCAGGTTACGCAGGAATGGAAAATCATGTAATAATAGTGACTCTTCTTGGGCGTGAGTAATCAGATCTGCTTTTGTATGCAGCGCCTAGACGAAGGACAAAGGACGAAGCATTTTCTAGTCTCTGCGCTAAGGACTACTGTCACGCTCATGAAATCACGCCACTTATTGCGTCATGCAAGATAGAACGATTAGTTTAATGCCCAACTTCTAACGAATTATCATGTATGAAGAGACATTCAGAATTTTTACGTCTTCAAGATAGAAAAAGCGACTACAACTGACCCATTCAGGTCCAGCAAGACTATGCACGAAGAAGTATGCATCCTATGAAGGTGTCATTCTACGAGCTCGTTATTCGACAGTTGATGGACGATGAATTCTTAGATGAAGCACTGTCTCTGAAGAACCGATCGGGAATGCGGGAGGCTGGTCACGTCGAACCGAACTGTCTTTACAAAATGTACTTAATCTATATCAAATATATCAAATTGCTACTGCGATGGGTTCACAACTATCAACATGATAGTGCACTCAAAACATGTGGAATATCATCAAAAATTCAGACTAGCTAGGTACCACGGTATATCGTCAAAAGAAATCGCACCTTTTTTTGAAGTTGTTGGAAGTAAAATGCAGACAAAGTTGATTTATATATTATAGTTTCCCGTATCACATCAGGTATGAAGAGAATTTTGGAAAGCTGTTTTCGGACCAAAATAAGTGGACGGCGATGAACATAGCACCAATACCGCCAATAGAGAGCAACGAGCGACACTTAGACCTGGACTATTCCCGGTTCGACTTAGAGGGGGCCGACAAAATAAGCTACACCGATAGCTACAGGCACGTCATGGCGGATGACGATCCGGAGTCACTAGCGAAAGGCGAAGGAAAAGGCGGCAAAGGTAGGAGGTTCTTTACCACCTTTATAATATCACACCATAATTATAGACAACTATCATAGTTGTACTTGTAGACGTATAATATCACACCACATGATCAATACATTTAGTAGGCTATTATAATTGTACTTGTAGTCCTCATTGTGTATTTGCGAAGACAAAAACCTTTTCTACTTGCCGCCAGATCGCGACGACAAGAATAAAGACGGAGATGCACCTGCGCCGAAGGCGAGGCCATTACACCGGAAAAAAGCGAACATCTTTAATAAAGTCCACTACAATACTTCACACAAGCAGATGGTTCGCACCGTTGCCTTCAGTCCTGATGGAAGGTATTCATACCAATGCCTGATCCATTGTAGGTGAACTTAGTCTTGAGAAAGCCACAGAGGAAAGATACCACGACTTCTTCTAGGAGCGCCTTTGCTTGATGCTATGATACGGGCTCCATTGTATTGCAATTACAGCCGTTGAAGATACAAGGGGTGCTTCAACCGCTGCTCTAGTTAAATTTCGCTTCTCTTTCTAATGTAAAACCCAGGTTTGCGGCATCGGGTTCGCATGATACAACCGTAAAAGTGCTGGACGTAAATAAGATGTATCATTACGGGACGCAGCACAATGATCGACGCGAGCATCAAACAGAAATTCGACCCGTCCTCCGAACCCTATACGACCACACGGGACCCGTGAATTCACTGCAATTTCACCCCCACCTAGCCTATCTTTTCACCGCCTCGGCGGACAAGACTGTCAAAGTTTTTGACCTTACGAAGCCCTCCACCCAGCTCAAAGCCCTCAGCAGTATCCCCGACAGCAGCGTCGTGCAGAGCATGGCGGTACTGCTTCCGTGTTTTGACTAAAAAGATGTTTCTGCATTTTTACTGTGATTCTCACACTAGTCATTGTTAGAAGTTGTGCGCCCTGATTTTTGATGATGTTGATGACACATCCTCTTCTAATACTAAAATTTGCCCAAGAGAAATCCCATGACGCAGGACAGGTGCATCCCTCTGGCGACTTTTTGTTCGTTGGTACGCAGCATCCGACAATACGACTCTATGACTTGACACGCTTGGAATGCTTTGCAGGACCGGACCCCAAAGACGTATATTTCTCATGCTTGATTTGTTTACTCGGAGCAGTACAGGGAGTAGACCGCAGTGATAATATTTTCACAAGTTGAACAAGATTGGGTTGTAGTACTTGCCATAAGGTGAGGGTGAGCAGAACTATACGATTTGTTTTCTTACAGTATGCTTCTACCTTTCATGTTGACGAGTGATTAACAACCCGCCCCGCCTCGTCTCAACAGTATCACACGGGTTCAATAACGGATCTGAGCGTGACATCAGACGGGAAGATTTTAGCATCGACTTCGACAGACGGAGAGGTAAGGCTCTGGGACGTAGTTTCGCATAAAGCAGTGAATACGCTAACAAGGCCACACCAGGGCAACGCCGTGTGCTCCGTAAAATGGAGCAGGAATCTTAGGTATTGGAGATCATTCGCGTTTGCATGATCATATTTGTCAACATCAATGATCAGTCGTCCGTTTAAATTCCTGGATATCCGCCAATCTAATCATCAGGCTTTCTTGCTGCATCATGTGTCATAATACACAAAAATATATGTCTCCACTCGTGTCTGCTGTAGGTATTTTCTGACAGCGGGCTGCGACGGAAAAGCAAAGTTGTGGGACGTCAGGAAAGGCGGAGACGAGCCTGTCTTTAACATGAACATCTGTTCTGGACGGAACTTAGAGTACGCCAGAGCAGCATTTGTCGGGCAAGAGCGTTTTATCGCAGTCGCTTCAGGTGGAAACGATCTCTGTATCCTTGATGCGCAGACGGGCGACTATCTCCAAGGAGGTACTTACTTGTTTTGCAATTGGTGGATATCGTGTTCATATGTGATCGTGTGGGACTATTACTTATGCTGCAGTGCTAAGTAGTGGTCATCATGTTGTAGTGCGTGTTCTTGTGTTTGATCGTTCCATTTCCCAGTTGTACTGGATCTTACTTACTTTTAAAAAGCCAGTATCACCGAATCAATTGAATTACGTTCTTTTTAAAATGTTTACGATCAGCTGTCGCGCGCGGTGGTGGCTATCATCACGGGCACCATAACCAGCATTCCAACCCGGTGTTTTGTATCGCTTCGCATCCTATGGACACGAAGTTTCTAACCGGCAGCGATGATCACAAAGTAAGGTATTGTGAAATCCAGAACAGACCTGAGGACTGGGTACATTACAGGGACCGACAGCACAAGCGAGATCGAGGCGGTCATCATGTCAAACACGAGCAAGAGCGCGACTGGTGTTATGAAACAAAGCGTCTCAACTCTTGGTCACTTAAAGAAGTTTTTCTTCTCCTCTACTTTCATAAAGCAACCCAGACCACAAACACAATAGACCTACCATATGAAGACAGTGAATACATAGTCTCTCTCCGTACCTAGAGATTTGCAAAACTCCTTATTGGTTGCGGGCTTCTTCATCGAGCTTGAAGATCTATGTAATTCTATCTCACCACGTGCACTTATGAGCAGGAGTTCTAATATCTGCAGTCGGGAGATGGTTACCACGCTGATGGGCAGAATTACCCACCAGACACAGCACGCAACAAGGACGCTGGTAGTAATGCTGCTGGAAAGAACGATCTTCAAGTGCAGGTGGACCAACCCTGGTGGGCACAGGGCGGAGGCGCCGAACCGAGGTCAGGAAGCACGAGCATTCAGGGCTCACCGGCAACCGGGCCGAACGTTGCGGGTCTAGGCGCTCCACCACCACCACTGGGAGTAATGCCTCCCGGTGTAGACCTAGATGAAGACCCGGAGGCAGCGCCCCTGCCTGGAGCGGAGGAGCTTGATGATTATGGTTGCTCATTGTCAGTGTCGTGATAGATAAGAATCACTGCCGCGCATGTGCCTCAATGCTACTGCATAGTCGAAATATCAAAGATGAAGATTCGATATTTCGATTTTAGGTTCTCAATGCCTGGCTGCTCTGTTCTCAATACATAGTACACGACGGCACTGTACTACAAACACAAATACACTCACATCGTGATTAAGAAGTCAATGTTTATTAGAAGGCCATTTTCTAAGCTGCTGGAACCGGGCACGATCATGATATGATGAACATGGATGACCACGGAGGAGATGAGCACCTGCAGGCGGATGGGGATCTAGACATGACCGGAGCTGGCGGCATGGATCCAAACTACGGGTAAGCGCTTTGCGGTCTTCGGAGTACATATGATACCCCTTGAAAACTTTTCGATTCGATGAGTACCTTTCGCCCAAGATACAGCATCGACAAAGAACTGCTTACATATTTAACTGATGTTCCCTGCCTCGATTTTTTCGATTGGAGTCTCGCTATACCAGGGTCTTTGCTTAGGAGCATCCATCGGATCGCCGAAGAGAAAATTACGCGCGCCACACGTTCGAAAAATAGTGAAAACCGGAACGAACACGTGTTTAGTTTCAGAAAAGTACAGCAACAACTCCGATTCCAATTTTTGTTCAACTCTCTGCCAGATGGTTTTGTCATTTATCGTGCTTGCTAGCACTCTTCATATGCGTGAGTCTCGCGTGCTCACTTACCAGACCTGTAAGGCGGCGTTGCTTCCAGCGAAGCTACGACTTTTTTTTCGCCTACTAGCGAGTGGTCCAATATGGCCGCCACTTTCGTGCCTCGTCTGCATCTGTGGAGATACTGCTACTGGCCCCTAGGAGAGTATGTTGTCGCTGTGAACAAAGTAGCAAAACTCGACCTCGGCTTCGTTTCACCCTTGTGGCTCGGTGCATGATCGTCGACATCGCTTGGTGCTCGAGAAGATCAGCTAATAAATATGACTTTGAGAGTTCTTGGAGAGCGGCTAATATGTTGAACATGAAAGTGAGTTGAGAGATGCTGAGAGTGACGCAGTGAGTCTGCTTGGACGAGAGAAGTGTCTCAGCATCGGTCAATGTTCTGCCCGAATTTACAGCCAACATTCCTATCCCAATTAGAGACGTTCCCCTTGATGTCCCCTCTACCTTGCTCGTGGACCTCACATAAATATACCCAGACGAGAGTTGACTTGTTTTCAATTCAACCACATCGACTAAGGAAGAGATATGAGTGTTTGATTCCTGAAGTAGAGCGATTCCCAGCGAACGTCGATTGAGCTCTTTCGTGTTCCTTCTGAGAATGTCGTAGAGAGTTATTTGTTTTGCGCACAGCATGAGCATCAATAGGTTTAGGAATATATCGAATGAATTACTCCTATATCGCATGAGTCGTTGATATTTTTGATGGTCAATTGAAGAAGAAATATACCAGTGACTCCAAGGTGTAGTGAATATAATTAGAATATCAACTTCATCTAGGAAAGTGCATTTTGTGAGTAGGGGCTGCGGATGCTAGTTCTTGTAGTAGTAAGGTCTACATAAAAATTCTTGTTAGTAGTTCGAGATATGAAATCAATGTGGAGCAGAATGATATTCTCAAGAGATTCGTTAAAGAATGGGTGAGGGTGAGGAGACACTCGCGAGCATCTAGAAGCTGCGCGACGGCCTCGGCTGCCGAGTCTTACTTTCAGCACGTGCCGACAGGTAAGATCGAAAAATTGGCACTGGCATACTGCACTCAGGAAAGGACTTCTCAGCAGTAGCTTGCAAGTAGAGTAGTACACACGAGAAGGTACATCTAGTATCAAGAAGTTACATGTTGGCAGACAAGACGTCACAATAAGTAGCAGTAGTAGACCAACGTTTATTCAGGAAGTAGAATTACTGACGGAGGTCCTTCATTACCGATCACTTCGGTAGTAGCTGTCGGCATAACGAGCAAGAGGCGTTTGATTCTCGGTCCGACTACCAAGCTTGGCAGACAAAAACTCTTGGCCGGAAGCACAGCGAAGTAGAAGAATATCTTCAGCCGAGGTCGACAGCCTCCTAGTCCACTTCTGCTATTCATTTCGACTGAGGAAGTCGAAGTAAACACTAGTGCTGCCAGCAGTTCTTAGTAGATTTGGTTGAATAACCTAAACCTTGTGCTTCTGTATCTGTAATCTTTTCAAGCCCCTGACTCGTCAAGATGTTGGAGTTCAAGCCGAGGACGCACTCCGATCCGGACTTGCCGCAGCTGCTTCCGCTGCCGGTGAGGCCGCACTCGTCATATCAGGCAAAATTACAGTTCAAAGATCAAGCGCAATTCGAGGAGAGAATTGTGCATGCTATGGCACAAAAGCTCGGAATCGATCTGATCAAGGTACTTAAAAACACCTGGAAATTGAACTGGAAACACTGCAGCTCGCTAGGCAGGACATTCAGTGATTACTCAGACGGGGAAGTAGTTAGACAACCATCCCACACGCCGCACGACTCTACTTTATTTTGTGGCTTGTCCATACTTCAGAACTCATATTAATGATGATGATCGTTTTTCTATCATTCAGCACGCAAATACATTGTAGTCTTCAATTATGAACAAACCAAAACTAGGAAGGAGAGCTTCGATGGGTCGTGCGAGATTGCCTTTTGGCATTGAAGGAGGAGGGTTGGACATGCCAGTTGAAGGGGGCCACAGATTTAGCATATCTGCATACAGCTACGGAGGAATCAAGAAGTTTTCATCCCGCGGTGGAGATGCATAGGCAACTTGCCGAGAGGCTTATTCTTCATAAAACACATCTCTCGGGAAAAAAAACCGATAGATTTTGGCGTGTGCAGCAGGCTGTGTACGAGGCGATCATGGGAGAGAGGGACGTTAGAGGGGTACATCATGCTAAGTAGCCCAAACAAAACTAACCTACTTACTATTTACTTTCCTCCTAAGTGCTTGATTATGAGGCTGCCGGCGGCAACGAAAACCAAGTGAGTATTCATGTATGTTTATCCATGTCGAAGTGTGTTCTTTTTTGCATATTTATTCTGACACTAGTACAACAGGCGGCTATCCAGATTTTTTCATGATATACAGGTCACAAATCCGAATTTGATGGAAGACGTGATTCAGTGTCTGGGTATTGACGTCCAGGACGAGCCTTACTTAATAAGGAGAGTGAAAAACGCAGTTGAGGATAGCTACTTTCGGATGAAGCATGAGGGAGCACGGTTTATCACCATAGACAACGTGATAAACGTGCAGACACTAATCGTGCAACTGGAACTCGATAGAGTCAAGTTTCTTAGAAAAATATCGCCGTCGGGCCTACTCTACTGCATCGAATGCGAGACGGCTCTAGCTGACGTAATTCCTATAGATACATAGAATTTTTGTACATATTTCTTGTGATGATGCACCACGAACAGGTTTAGGGTGTCAAATTTGATTGATATGGCTGCACTAGATTGTGAGTTTGTTCTCAGAATGATCTGTTGCAATTATGTCAGCACCGCATCATGGTACCTATAATACTTTCATAACACTTGTTGCCTGCTTCTCCGAGATTTCTCCTTCTATGTACCCACTTCAGGTTGCCTGCGCCGCTTGCCATGATGTGTTTTGCAACAATTGCATGGTAGCGACGCACTCAACAGGGCATCGTATGGATCATCCAGCGGTGTTTATCGAGCAATGTGTCTGCTCAGAATGCGAGCAACGTGCTGCCCTAGTCCGGTGTCAAGACTGCGTAGATCTCTTCTGCTACGACTGCTTCAAAAACACACACCGGTACGGTAAACGAAGCAAGCACTGCGTTAGAATACCATACACGACCTTCTGCTACGAGTGCGACGAAAAAGAAGCACAGTAATGAATACTTATGTACAACTATTTTGATTTTTTAGCATTATTCATGTATGTGTCTGTTTCGTCTCTGAATGAAATATTGTTCTTTGTACCTGGCGAGGTCACGGAAAAACTGCAGCGGGGAACTACAATGTAGCTAGGGACACATTCTCAGCTCTTGTGTTTTCACACTGGTTTCTTCATACTGAGAATTCAGTTCAAATCAAAATGAATCTCAAACTCAACTTCAGCTACATCTGCATGGAGTGCGAGGATATGCTGTGTTTGACGTGCAATACGCGTATGCATTCAAAGGGCGCGAGACAGAATCACTCGCTCTACGGCTTACGCAAAGCTGCCTATAGTAAAAAGCTCTTCGCAAATAACCTGGACCGGGTTATGATGATAGTGCAGAAAGACCGAGACATGGCTCTGCCTTTGAGCCCATGGTTCATATTCTACGATGAGGCGAAGGCACCCTATTGGTACCTAAGTACTTCTAGGATGAGTTTATACTATTTATACCTACATATTTCCACTATACACCAACTCGCTGAAGAAGTTTCAACTTTGTTTCATATGGTCATGGAAAACTAATTTGCTACCACTGGTATCTTTACTTCCCAAACAGGTATAACTTCCAGACCAGAGAGCGAGTACGGGCGAACCCGTCGAACTTGATAGATCCACCAGAGAGCACGGATCCAGCGACAGCGTCGGCTGATCAGCAGACCGATATGAAGCTGCCAGGTGCGACAGACTTGCTGTCGACGCATAGCGCCATCAAAGCCTCTGAAGGGGCGATATTCGACGTGCCACCGCCACTACACATCAAATTCGCGTCGCCGTCCGTGGTGCAACCCAACAAATTCCAGAACACCGCAGTGGAAGAATTCAAATACGAAATTCAAAGGAGTATGGGTGGACTCTAGAAGTAGTGGGTTTGGTGATAAAACGTCTTTGTTGTTACAATTACTACATCTTCTTCTTCCACCACTAGTCATGGTGCAGCAACTGCAGGCAAGAACAACAAAACGTTTTCCCGTGGAGGCGGAAACTGTCGTTGGGCGAGCTGCCTCTACTTCATTTCCGGCGGTGATATAGAAGTAGATGAAGATAGCGATAATGATTTGTAGTCGGATCATCATCATCTGCACCAGTGCTCTGCAGCAAAAACAAAGACATTGAAATTAAGTTTAGCACATCAATTCTGATTGGTAGGTGCATCTTAAAGCTGAAGGTGTACCCATCATTCTAGTTGATGCTGCATTATGCCTACGTGGAATGGAATAGCTACCGCAACCAATTCTAAATCGTTTGAGATACTTAAGTGATTTATCCATTTTATACTATCCTTAATTCACAACGTTCGAAACTTAGTGAAGATTCTATATCATGATATCTGTCGTAGGCGTTAGTTAGCGTTCTCGTACTAGATCGAAGATTACCGTATCGCTTCAGCAATGAATTTGTTAGATTGTGTGTTGGAAGATGATTCGCAGATAGGAGGGGAACCATGCTGGTCTGTACCCGGCTCTCGTGATGGGGTGTGCTGTGAGTCTTTACTTGTTATGCAATTTGGCAAGGGTCGAAATCGCTAATGTAAATGTCAATGCGATGCAGACCAGCGTGGTTGCTTCGTAGGGGAAGGTATAGGTCCTATCCTCTATTCCACTGACATTGTAATTTGAGAATATACTAAAAGCTGATGATCTATCACAAAAAGAATGTAGTTAGTTGTACTTAGCAACGAAAATCATTTCCAATTCCATACAAGAGAAACTTGACGGTACTGCTGTTTTCCTAATAGATTCGTAATGGAGGTCTCCCTCGCATGCAGCTCTTGTGGCGGTGTATGCATGCTGTATGCTATGATCGTCGGTGCTTTTATCCACTATGAAGTTGATTAAAGATGAACAGTGCATGATATGTCAGCAACGAAATACAATGAACTAGTGAACTAGAATTGGAGGAATTCATTTTCTACGCTAGCAAAGAGATAATGAAGCTGCACTTGGTGGAGATTGATTCTATAGCCGACGTACATCCAAAAAATGAATGCTGATTAGAAAAAACGTGACTATAAAAGTTGGCTGACGAACAAGAGATACTCATGATCTACAAGAAGCTGCGCCGATTGCAGTACTGGAGTCAAGCGAAGACAGAGGGTGTGGTTGATTTATTCTGGTCGAGCGATCGAGTCGGACTCGGACTTTTAGCATGATACCCACATTATCGAAGAACGACCGAGATAGTTACGCAGGTACATGCATTCGTTCCTTCTCGTCGGTCTTCTCGGTAGAGAAACGTTTTCGCGTCCAGAGAAACAGTAGTTTAACGAACTACCATTTCTGGTGAGTGAATCCATCGGAGAAAGTAGTGAGTCCTCTGAACATGAGGTGTCCGTGGTTCCCGCCGACACACAAAAAACACATGAAAATTGTTCTTAGTAGCATATTCTTCTTGTTTTTCTCGGTAGATGAGTATAAGTCCAACTTAAACTTCTACAGCATCAGAAACTGAAGGAAATTCGTGTTATAATCTTCCTTTATAGCACTCATATGTAGCTAGAAGAAATGCAGCCTCATATGAACTTTAACGGTGCTGCTCCCGGCAGCATTGATTTTATCCCTAACGTTGCTGGTGGCGTACAACCCGGGCTCGGGCCTGGTGCATCTACTAGCGGACTTCCAGCTAGGTTTGCTGGATTAAACGGAGGAGCTGTTCCCAGTCAGCCGCCAGCGGCTGCAGCTGCATTTCCGGGCGGTGGAGTACTATCGCAAGCAGGCGGGCTCCCAGCCGGCTTGTTGCAAGCTTCTGGTGGTGGCCTCGTTCCACCAGCATCCGGAGGAGGTCTAGCAAGACCTGCTGAACCAGGTAGACCTCCGATAAATTATCAACACCTTTATGGCAGTGGAGGTGCTGCGGGAGGTCGAGGAGCAGGAGCTGGCGTTGGACTCGTTGGAGTCCCTACAGGCTTGACAGCGCCAAGTGGCTTAGTCGGAGGTGTGCCAGCGGCTGGGCTTCTAGGTTCTGCCGGACTAATACCGGGAATGATGACGGGAAGAAACAACGGCCTCGCACCAACAGGATTGGAGTCTATGGCAGACCCAGCAATAAACCCAGGACTCTACGAAAACCACCAGTTGCTCAGCAGCGCACGGCAAATCAGCTTTGCGGCAACGGAGCTCACATTTTATCAAAATCTTCACTCGATGGTGCAAGGTGCAGATCCAATTTCGGGAGAAATTCAGGTTCATCCTATTCCAGATTTACATTTTGTTTATACTTACTTGATAGATGCTGGTGGCACGTGGAAAAATTGCAATCTTCGCTGTTGGCCCTCACTTTTAACTGAATACTATTCCATGATCATCATCGAGATCGTACTCAACCACTATCCTCATGATTTATTTCAAATCTAGGGTGGTGATGGCGCCGCATTCCTTGCAAAGAGTGGCCTGCCAAAAAGTATGTTGCATCAGATCTGGCAACTAGCCGATATCAACGAAACAGGGAAGCTGAATGTAGAAGAATTCTACATCGCTTTGAGGCTAGTGGCTCATGCACAGAACCTCGGTTTGGTGCACCCAGAATTGATTCATACGGTACCTGATTAAAGATATACTATATGGGATGAAAGAAAAAATGCTATTTATACTTTGTCCGCGACATTTTGGTTGCTTGCGGTACTATGATGGTGGGATGAAGACCGCCTTTCTTCGCCTTCGTTTTTCTATTCGATGCATAATTCAAACCTGGCAGAACTACAAGGTTCCTTATTACGTGGCTTATGCAACAACAACGAGTGATTCTTCTTGTTGAGGCCGAAAAATTATCTTGGTCTCCAAATCTCACAGGAGCCGCAAACACTTCCGAGCTTCGAAGGTCTAGGCCCACGGAGGTCTGTGTCGGAGTGCTCAGGTATATTATCATGATCATTTAATTTTCGAAATAAATGATGATGCTAATTACAATTCTTGTTTGTTTGTATTGATGCGCTCCAGGCAACGCGCACGATCTCGCCGGATTTCTTTGCGCTAATCGCAATTCTTACGTCAGCTGCAATCGTTCTTCGGCAGCATGTATTTCGAACTTCTTTAAGTCTATCTTTTTTCAATCTCATCGATCCTGTGACTGTGTGACCACATGACGACTTCTAGGCCGTGCTAATTCAACAACAGACCCCGACACAGCGAATACTAGTGTAGTCGCCGCTGGCGAGGGCGAACTAGATGTGCTGGGGACGAACATCGATCCTCAAAAAATTCTTGAGAGTAGCGCGAGGCGTGAGGAGCAGCACGACTTTCTCGCAAAGGCACAGCACAGCATGAATTTTAACGTTACTGAGCAGACGTTGTACCAGAAAATATTCGAAACTCTGGACCCAGAGAATGGAGAGATCACCGGCAGCAACAAAAAGGTATCCGAGTTCTTGGAGTCGAGTGGAATTCCAAGGCACATTCTTCACGAACTCTGGGCCACAGCGGACGAGGAAGGGACGGGCAAGCTGAATAGGCTGCAGACCTTCATCTTGTTGCGGCTCATTGCCCATTCGCAGGCTGTGGAGAATGGCATGGTCGATTTTCTTGAGTTTCGTCTTTGTTTAGCAATCTAATATCGGATGGTATAAGCTGTTCACCATGTAAGTTATACGAGTGCTGTTCTAAACGTGCGTGTATTTAGTCGTCTCTATAAGTATAATCTATCTTCAATTTGTCTCCGCCGGTGCAATTCTACACACAAATCATACTCATAGCTGTATCACAAATACCCCCACAGCCGTCACCGGATGTGCAGTTTGTGGAGCCCCCGTCGTTGCCGCTATTCGATCCTAGCACTGTCCTGGGACTAGGGACAGCAATATCGGCACCGAGTTTGCAACGCGCTGGAGCTTTTTCTAAGGCCAGAGTATTTTTAGTATGTGAAGCTTCGGACGAAGAAATAGATATAGAGAGTGCGAGGAGAACTACAATAAAACATTCAGTTTCATTTTGATGGTCCTCATCAGGATACATTAGGTAAGGAAAATTCACTTATGCTAACATAGGTTTGATTTAGTTTTTGGTTTGGCTTGCCTCTAGCTCTAACTTTGACTGTGAACCGATGACAAAGAAAGATAAGAAGAAATATGCAGCCATCTTCGCAAAGACTGACGAGAACAGCGATGGTTTTGTCGAGGGTGACGAAGCAAAGCTGCTTATGCAAAGATCAAAACTTCCGAACGAATTTCTAGCGTTGACATGGCAGCTCTCTGACCACGACAACGATGGAAGGTACTATCATGGTGTAGAAATCGAGGCGCGTTTTGTTTCATCCAATTCAAATGGATTTCCTTTCCGTGCTCCTGCTCCTCGCGTTACTGTTAGTGAACTGAAAGTCGTTTGCAGTGTCGAGTAGAATTGTGAGGTCCTGTTTTTCGTTTCTCATTCTCCCTCAGCGCGTGATGCACCTCACCGAGTTCATGTAAGTACAAGACAACTAGGAGATCTCCTCATTAACCCGGACTTCTCCAGATTGAACTTGGCAGAATTTCTCGTGGCGATGCATTTGATCACGCGATGTAAAAAGGGAGACTTTCGGCCAGAGGAATTGGCCGACTTGCCTTCAATTGAAGATGTCATGCCCGCGCACTTGGAGACTATATTAACAACTGACAGTGATGTAATCGCCAGCGAGATTTTCGGCAAGAATCTGGACACGGAGCAGGTGACTCCATCGTCATCGGTCGCGGTGAACCAGCCCTCACTTGACGGGGCGGCGCTGCCGACAACGCCAGGCGCATTAACTCCGCAGCTGGAGTCCCTCGTAGCTCGGAGTCCAGAGATATCCTACTTGCAGGCTGCCGCGGCAAACGCTGGCACGGTTCCCACACCCCAGAATCAGCGGTCTGCGGCCCAAGGTTTGCCTACGACTTCGAATCCAGCGGTCGTGGCAGGTGTAGCAGGCTCAGCGGCATCTGCGAGTGCGTCCGCACCTTTTTCGAACATCATAGCTGGTGTCGGACCGGCGTCTTCGAGCAGAGCGTCACCGAAGGGAAGCAGCAGGGTCGCTTTTCTAGGCTCCTCTGGTGCGGCAGCCTCGGCGAAGCAAGTGACTCCACCGTCATTTGTGGACCAGAGAGCGCCTCCTTCTGGCATAGCGTCAGCGGCTGGCCTCCCACCGGAAACGGGGAAAGATCCTAACCTGCCAAGCAGCATCGCTTCAACCGGCGCCCGCTCAGCAGGCCTCGAACGATTACCGCGCTTCGGTGCAGGCACAGGACCAGAGGAAACGGTGTCTGCCACCTACTTAGAGGACATTGCCGAAGCGGACAAACGGCTGGCGCGACGGGCACAACAGGAGGTTGACGCAATGTTACGGCCATTACTTATTTTACTTAGAGTTCTAGCCTTACTCACGTCGGGGATTATCCGACTTTGCTCGTGAGGCAGTTGTAAAAGATCATGATCGTGTAGCTAATGCCTAAGAAATTTTCTTTTCCATGTTGCATTCAAAGGACTCTAGGTCTCGACTCACTAATCAGTGAAGAAACGTTGCGAACTTTGAACGATAAATTCGAGATGTTGGAGAGGGACGTGCGAAGTGCGCAACGCGAGATCGAACGCAAATCAGAGCAGATAGCAGAGCGAGAACGCGAAAAGGGCTTTCTGAAGCAACGTCTCAACACCCTTGTGGAAGAAAGAAGAGCCCTGACAGTGTCAGCATTCAGCGCGAGTAGCACTAGCAGAAAGGTAATCGTTGTTCAGATATAAAATTTCGATCTGAGATTCTTAGATCTAAGCCCTTCTGAACCCGTAAAGGTAAAGGATCTCCTGGGTACAAGACAGCATTATTTTTATACGAAAGTGTGGAGGCGAGCAAGAGTAGTACGAATGTTTATGCGTTGATTTTGTCATCAGTCATGCATTGCCATTCTCGCTGTCATGGCAGGGTTATTTCGCGGACGAAACCGCTTACCTGGAGGAAGCCATTCAAGGGCAGGTGTACTATTTAGAGAATGCAAAGGAGGCCAATGTCATGCTTGAGAAGCAGTTTCACCAGGCAGATGCGCACTTAGAGCAGTTGGAGAGGCAGCGGCGGGAACTCGAGAAGGAATCCACAATGGAGAAGGAAGCGCTAAAAAGAGAAGAGCGTGAAAACAGTACGTTGAAGATAACGTTGGACACTCTCCAGCGGAAAATTAGTGTAGTGAATACCAATTTGGCCCTGCAGCAAGCTGAAGGCAGCGGAGCGGGGGCGATTCTGACGACAGTGCCGAACTTGGGCGCGCAGCGTTTTCCCGTTCCGTCGTCTTCTGGTAATATAGGAAGCGGCGGATTTTCTTCGGGGGAATTCGAAGCCTCTAGAGCTGCGGCCGCAGGCTTTGGTGCAGAGAGTGCCGCAAGCATTAGACCTCCTCCTTCTACGTCTGCAGCAGGCGGGGTCGGATCTGGTGCGGACTTCGGACCAGGCGCAGGGAGTAGTCGGAAAGAGGCTTCCGAAGAACTCGCTGCGATGGGCGGGCACTCTTGGTCAGGCTTTCTCATCGGAGACAAGACTGAATCAGGGGTTAAGGAGCAGCCCACAACTGGTGCAGCAAAGCCACGGTCGGTGCTACCGCGTGTATTCGAGCGCGAAGGTGTTTGATGAAATGTCTACAAAACTCTCCACAAGTTCATAGTTTTTCCAATCGCATTATATTTATAATACGACCTTTCCATCAAGAACAAGTTGATACTTTCGAATCGTACACATGTTGGCGGCAACGCCGCCGACCAAGGGAATCACAAGCATGTTTAAGAAAAGAATTCTTAGAAGGCTTAGCTATAATTTGTTTTTTTTTTGAATTTGATCCCCTTTGTTTCGTTGAGTAGAGAGCAAAATAACGCGAATAGATACACTATGTTTAATAATGGAAACACTTTATTATGAACTAGTCGGAAGGATAGATACTACGCTTCAGATCATTCTTGATATCGTAGTTGAAGATATTGTCAAATATTGCAAGGTCAGCGTAAACGTAATGAACAAAAAACGACAGAGTCGCTAAATTTTTGTATTCTTTTTTGCGACACGTCAACGCAAAGAAAGTGCGAATGAAGCTCTGTTGAGGCTTCTGCTAGTATATCTCCACAGTCAATAGTCCGCATTGAATGCGACGAGTTTGGAGTGTAAACATTCAAATCTACATAGTCGAGAGTGTGACCACGCTAATGCGAGAGTCTGTCGTCAGGTAAAAGACCGATGGTCTGTAGGCTGAGAGTAGTACAATATAGTCTGATACTAGGAGCACGTACAGAGACTTGACGAGACATTGCCATTGAACTGAGATCTGTCGGAGACAAAAAAAGTCTGTTCAAGAGACCACTGGAGAGCAAGTGAATCGCCATCGCATATTCTGTGGAGAAGTCATGGGTCTGTGAATACTGAGTCTGGTTGTTGAGAGGAGAGTCGTCTCCATGCGTCGAATATGAAATTATAACATTTGTCGAATTTAGCACAACGCTTTCCCTATCATCTCCGTCGATTCATCCCGTGATTCTGGAAGAACGTGCTGTTCATGCATTGATTGATGAATAAAATTAAACTTTCTCAACATGATACAGGACCCTTTTTCTTTCCGCTTATATATGTATTGTTCCCCCTCAATTATCTCCATGTCATCCAAGCACGCCCCCATACATATGATATTTCTGGTGACAAATGTTCATATTGTGACTTTTTTAGCTGTGTAGGGTCCTATCCATGTCAAACTTATTCTCATTTTCATTTTCGATTCGGAACATAAAGATACGAAGCTGATTATCCTATCAATCGTTGAGCACTCAAATAGATACAAATGGTAGCATGCTAGAATGATTTCTACTAGTCTGCTTATTCGTCCATCGTTGTAGTTGCATCATCTGTATTCCTTCGTCTCTGCTAGTTGGTTGGCAGAAGAGCAAGCGCGTCTTCCTAGAGGTCATCTTCGTACTATAAGGTTATTTAGGTTTGATGTTGTATTAGGAAGAAAACAACCGAGAAGATGAAGGTGAGACAAGGGAGGAGCGGCATCGTCCACAAGGACCCATGTGCCATGTGTGGCGAGCCCCTCAAAGACAAGACAGAGGAGAAGCTAGTCTCCAGGACGAACAACATTCTCATGGGAATCCTTCGCTATTACAGCAGGTTATACTATGGGGTCGACGATTGCACAAACATGAGTGAAGGTATTTCTACGGATATTCTTTTGATAATATCTAACATATCAAGTTAGAAGTACTGGAGGAAGCCTTATGAAATGCGATACTGCTTTATGGTTCTCGTCGTGCATTGACTTGATTCTAGTACTAGTTCACCAACAAATCTTGCAAAAATCTTCATCGATGTTGATTTCCGTCGATTCCATCAGAGTTAGTTACAACAAACCACTTCAGTTACTATCGAATTGAAGTCGAATGCCTCATCAAGTGACGATGACGAGGACCGAAAAGAGTTCCAGGAGTATGTCGACTCCGATGATGGAAAGGAAGGCTGGAAAGAACCTCTGGGAAAGGAAGGATACCGATACTGGAAGATGTTCCTCATATTCGCCTGCACCTGCTTTGGCATTGGAGCAACAATGCTAGCCTTAGACGTACTCTTACAAAAATACCACGTAGCTTCATTGATTTCCTTTTATTTTTGATGAAACCTAGATTAGAAGAGGTTGACCCGAGATGAACAACTAATTTCTTTAAACGTAGGTTCAACAGATGTGTAGCAAGTACAATTGTACGAGGGAAGGAGGTTTGTATCTGAATCTCAATGCATGTAATGATTGTGAGTAATTCACATTATTTTGAAAATTCAGCTATCAAAAGCGATACCGGACAAGACCGGCGGAGGAGGTGGTGGTGGTGGCGGCGGCGGAGAAGCAGCACCAGCAGCGGCAAAAGCAGCAGCATCGTTTGTAGAAACGGCATTGCCAAGCAATAGCGGAACCGCGAAAGAGCAGGCCGAAAAAGAGCAAGTGGTGGTCTAACTCATTACGAGAAAACTAGGGTAAGATTAGTTTTGTCGGAGAAGAAGATAACGTCGAATGAAAACGAATCGTTGTATCTTCTTCTACTTCAAATCATGAGTTCTCGTCGGAAAAATTAGCGCCGCCACCGCATTGCTTCGGTGGTACATGATAATGCAAACAACACAGTGAATCAGCACGACGCTTTTAGCCAGTTCTGTATTCAAAATTGAAAAATTACAATTGAGTTGAGACGTCTGCCTGCAGAATGTCAATGTCTATTTTGATAGCATAAGCATATAATTAACACATTCATACATACTAGAATCCACTTACATTCTTCATATTCGAATCTACTCCATGTTGAATAGCAATCATTTATGTACTAATGGAAAGCACAGCACTCATTGAGCCGAAATTACTATACAACCAGGCTGGTCTAGATAGGATTACATACATGCTAGCAAAAGGCAATTCGTCTGAAATTGAATCATATATAGGCCGTGCGTAGCACGTCGTGTTGCTAATGCCTTATTGGAATTGAAATCGTATATTCTATCGATGAGATGAACATGAAAGCTGACATCTATGTTCTTGAAATATTCGATCTGTTACCGATGAATCGTGACCATGAATATCATGGCATGCTTGTGTATAGTCCTATCTTCTTAAGCTACTCAGAGGTACTCGACATACTAGTAGAACGCGCAAGATCTTGGATGAGGATGAGCGGCTTCACCAGCCGAGGGCGTGCTGTAATGTGCCGAGCAAGAACATTAAAGAATGCAATAGTCCCCGTGATCCACCTGTACATAACAAGGGAAAGCATTTCTTCTTCGTATGGCCGTCCAAAATACAGTCGTCTAAAAGGCAAAAAGAATATCGATATGTGACAAAATAAATTAATGGACCACGACACGGATGAATCAAAATGCATGAGTGAATGAACAAGCAGGCATAATGACAGATCGAGTTTTCTTGTGTCTTGCTCGAGGTACGAGATTGGTGCTCAAGTAATCCGGTAAAAAAATCTAAAAGAAGAGGTGTTCAAGATTAGTTGGCAGAAGTCGTCAGGGAAATCGAAATCGGAAGCACCCTTTCCAATCGATTCAAATCATCACAGAGCGAATGTGAATCCGTATCCGAAAAACGAGCGTTTACTTCTGATCCGCCAATGAGATGTGTTGAAATTCCTGCGAAAAACAATCGAACTTGATCCACGATCATGGCCTTTTCTTGCATGCAGGTGGAAGGTCTTTTTGTTTTATACCGACTCTGATTTACGAATCATGAATTAACATTATATGTAGATGGTTGCATGGTCAAGAGGGACTTGAGCTTGCTTCCCTATTGAAGAAAATCGGAGAACAGGGGGTGCCGGAGAACGGCAAGTTGAGCTAAAGGAATCTACAATCAGGTTCTCCTTAAAAATGAACTGGAAGGAGTACTGCACTGGAAATCAACATGATGGTGCAGAAGGTGAAGAATAAGAACAATAGAAATGATCATTGTGGGCAACACGCTTGCTGAAGATCTACGCTTTTCGGCCTCATTCCGCTCATCATAATTTCTATAATCCCAACAGGTAGAGAACATTCGTTGGATGTCACAAGGCATGATTTCAATAGTTCACATTTTTGTCCGGAGAAGACAGAAGTTAGAAATAGCAGAGGGCGCTCCTCTCCAACACACATGATGAGGACAGCTTTCTGAGGTTTTCTCAGACGCTGTAATGACTAGGTAGGATTGTAACGAAAGAGTTGAAAACAGGCGTAACTACCTAAGCGACTTCTGAGTATGAGAACAAGCAATTATCATGTACACAAGCTATTCTGTGTTTCGTACTACTACGTACTAGAGAAAAGCGAAATCATTCTTGTTCCCTATGTACTCGCTGCCTGGACTTGGAGGTCGTTGTTTCTTCGTCTTCGCACTGGCCGCTGCTAAGACAGTAATCTGCCGCCACTCCACGAACTTGAGTCTGTATCGTGGTCGGTCGTTCACTACGAGAGATACTATCGAGCAGGATGACGAGTCGCAGCAGTGGTGGTAGCGCCGCGGAGACGGCTAAAAACGGGTCAAGAAGCGGCAGTGGGGGAGCAAACAAGGAGTATCGGATCCTCGACCATTTCTCACAGAAGCTTCCGATTCCGAACACTGCACCAGCAGGAGCGACAGTGGGTGGAGCAGCAGATTCCGGCACAGTGAGCACTGCAGCGTCGGGTGGTGGGGCTTCGGCCGCGTCCTCAACAGGTGCTGCTCTTGCACCTGCGGAGGAGGGACAACAGCAGACTCGCCAAGACCAGAGCAAGAATGAAGGAAGTAATCTGGCTGCGGAAGCACGCGACAGGCTACAACACTTTGACGAGCAAGTGAAGAGACTTACCCAGACTGGAGATTTCCTAGCGAGATTTGAAGACTTTGGTCTCGGTGCAGCGGACCACATAAAATGGATTGAGGAGGAACTCTTGAAGGGCTCGCCATTTTTTGGACTGGACTGCAGCTCAACGGGAGCTGGGAAAAGTGGCACGACTAGTACTAGCGGAAAACGCAGCACACAGAGCAAGTGGAGGGACTATCCTCCAAGTGAACAGAAAGACCTACCGCCAGACTATCTCGACGCCAAATCTCTAAACCTGTCGGGGCATCCGTTTCACATGCTCACACAGCGCCTATTCAAAACTTCCGCTTTCACGTGGAATCCCCACTGCGTCGAGGTAGTGGATTGGTACGTGCAGCACTACCATCTGTTTGCTATCGCGGATGAGGAGCATGGTGATATGACTGTGAGTGGGCCAGTAGGACGCGGAGCCGGAGGAGATAAAGTAGAGCAAGGCGTAGCAAAACGCAAGAGCAGTAGGAATTTCCGCTCACCGCAAGACAGTCGGGGCCAAACCTTGCTTTTCTTTGCGTGTCGTCACGCCTCCCTAGCTGTAGTGCGGCTCCTCATAGAGAAATACGGCGCGCGATTGGACGAGTGGGATACGCAGTGGGTTTTGCTGCCTCTTGGAACTCACGCAAGGTTACGGGTAGTCGCTCATTAGCTCGTGTCGAGTATGCTTAGTGGATCCCCTTCCTTTTTTTTAACGTGAGAAACAGAAAGGAAATCCACCCAGCCACGAATAATGATCGACTAGTTTTAAGCATGGTTCCCTTTGACAGAAATCCGATACACTACGCATTTCGAAACTCTGAATTCGGAGCACGTCTCATCCCATACTTACTGTCTCGTGCAGTGGAGCATAAAAAGCGGACTGGAGTAAACCTCCTCTATTTATGGCAGACTTGGGCATGCCTTTCTTTAAAACGCAGTTCATCAGAGATCATCATTTTGACTAGCGCCCTTCATTGAGAGGTTCAAGTCATCGTCATGAGCTAGGTATCTAAGTACTTAATTCTAGCTGATGTTGATGATCATGGCATCCTTGGGTTTTCCTTAGTTCTAGATCTAGACCTACCGATCACACTAGCTGTCGCCTATTTATTGTCCTCGCTTTCATTTTGCGATAGTTCGGGAGAGATGAGCTTCTTCCTTCTTGCGCTGGCAGAGGGGGACAACTTGCTGGACCACGTTGGGAATAAAAAAGGCCCGCAACTTAGCAGGTTTCCAGATTTTTACAGCCTGTTGCATTTCTTCGGGCGTTTTTCTGTCGTACCCACGTCCTCAATTGGTGCCGCGAGTGCTCCTGCGGATCATCCAACAAAGAGGTTGTTGGATGCCGAGCAGGCCAACTTCCGAAAACTTGCGGGAATACTGTCTGAACAAGAGGCACCATCTTCCATCGGATATAGCGCCAGCACCGTTAGTAAAGCAGGGAATAGCGTCGCAAAAGGGTCAGCCGTGGACAGTGGTGCCGCGTCAGGGGTTGCTTCTCCAGAAGAGGCTTCCTCGGGAAAGCAGAATAAACAGCAAAACGCATCTTCCCGATCAAGCAGCAAGACCACGGCTGCAGCAAAAGCTAAAGCGAGGGCTGCTGCGGCAAAAGCGAAAGCAGCTGCAGCGAAGAGCAAGGCCGCAGCGAGCAAAGCGAAGGCAAAGCAGCCCGTTCGCAAAAACCGCGGGGACAGTAAAGTGGCCGGTAAGAGCGGAGATGGACCGATTTCCAGCAGAAAGGCTTCATCACACTCCTCTATAGACCTTGATGACCAAGATGACGAGAGTGCAATCATGGATGTGGATGTTGACTCAGCAGTCGAAGCAGACGAGGATGAAGATGGCGCTGTAAGGGTTGACGAAGCATTTCTTAGGTTGGAAGAACGTTATGAGGAAGCTCGTGTTGAGCAAGAGGGGGACATCTTTTTTGAGGAATTGCTGCGGCCCATGATTGAGCGGGACCTGCAACAAATTCTGCAACGGCTTCGCGAAATTGCAGTACGGGGATCCTTTCCAGGCGGCACCATAAGCGCCACGGTGCAACACTTACTGAACGGCGCTGGCGCTGGTACGATTACCTCGGGGGGACCAGGAGCTTCTCCTCCTCTTTCCTCAGCCTCAGCCTCCCCCTGTCCCCGACCCGCTCTCGAGGCTGCACATTTGCGAGTGCTTTTCTCTATGCTTATCCAGGCAGAGGTTGCGCCACCTGCTAGAGGGGACAAGACTCGTCTTTTCTACCCTGAGCATGATTTTGATGCGGATAATGAGGAGCAGAATTCGTCGATCAGGCAATATGGCGGCCGCGCCACTAGTCGCGGAGGCACAACCCCTAGTGGTACAACAACTGCGACTGCTTCCCCACCTGCTTCTTATACTGCGTACCCTTCGCTTTATTACGAACCGTTTGCTGAAGAAGCAAAGAAGCTCTGGAGGCAAATTACTCACCCCACTCGCTCCTTGGGTGGTGGGTTCGTGCAACACTGCGCCGTAGACCCTGCCGAACTTGCTAAGCTCGACGCTGTTTGTGCGGCGCGGGTGTCCGTGTTTCGCGCCAGCGCGCGTCAGATCAGGATGTCTGCTCGTGGTGCAGAAACCAAAGACACAACAACTGCAGATAATGCATCAACAGGAGAAGGTGTAGTGAACAATATGGTGTCTTCAGCAAGAGCTAGGACAGGTGCTAGTAAGAAGACTGAGCCAGGCCCAAACCATACGAATACAACTTCTACTAGTACCAAACATCTTCATCAAACATCTTCATCAGGGGCAACTGCAACAATTGCACCACGCACGGGAACCTACGTGAGGCAAGCTGCGCCATCATTGGAAATCCCCGTTTCTTGCGTGGAAAGCGTTGCCGGGCGAGGACAGCCCCTCATGCCGAAAGGCAGGTTTCAGTGGACCAACAAGTTTTTCCTGGACACGCACTACACGTCCAGCACACGTCATTTGATCAGTTTTATCTGTCGCCGACTTCTGCAGAAGTTTGGCGTCACCAAAGACACTGTCATCGACATCTTTCCAAAGGAGGAACGTCCGGAAAACGGGGCGAGTCTAAATGTCTTGGCTGAATTTACTCGCGTGCGTTATGCCATGTACGATTTTCGCTATTCCACTACACAATCTACAACTTCCGCGAATCATGACGACTCGACGACTGCTGGCGCAAGTCGGGTGGTCGGTAGTTCGTCAAAATCAGCACCAGACGCTGGAGGTCCTGCTGGAGCATCTCCTGGGATAGATGCTAGTGGACTCGTCGGAACAAACTCTTCATCTGTTTGTACTGTGCAAAAGCAGATGCTGAATGCAGTAGACATGGCCACATCAGGTGCCACGACAACGGGGACAAGACCAAGCAGCGGAGCCTTAGCTGGGTTACGTAGTGCTGTAAAGCGTCGAGGAGTGGAACTATTCATCCACCACCCAGAGCAAGAGTGGTATCGAAACGTTCAGAAGGCCAGATTTTCTGCATTTCGATTTCCCGAATATGCTTCTCAAGGCTTAGGGTTCTCACTCGCGGATCCGCGCGATAAAGATCACCAAATAAAGGAAAGTCAGCGCTGGGACCGCTATCAAAAGCTCAAACTCGGTACTATAACTGCAAAGCCAAACCTCTTTTCTGATCTGGTAGAAACCATTCCACGAGTCGGGGGGATTGGATACTACAACTTGTAACCTCGTCACCACTCGGCTCACTTAAGTTCAGTTTTATTAAGTACCACCTCCTAGCTCTTCTTCTTTTTTGTTAATGGTATTGAGGGGGGTTGACTGCGTAGTCGTGGTTTTTTGTCAACATCATTACCTTACTTGATCAGAATTAGTGCTAGTCGTCTTCCTTCAAAGATTTGTACTTGTACGTCAAACAAATGTAATTTTGCATATGAATATATTCTTGCATAGAAATTATAATATCCGGAGTAGTGAAGTCAGACGTCTACAAATGAATTGTCTTCGCCCTCTACTTATTCAGATTATAATGCAGCCTTATACAAGCTGCCGTGTCTGTTCGTGTGTCGCTGGCAGCATCTTCATTGGATCATGGCGCATTTTCCTAGTCTGGATCCCGAATTCGAGTTCGGACTACCTCCATTTGCTCCGGATACTTCCAAATTGCGATTCACGGCTCTGCATTGGACAGCTTATTGCGCACTGGGGCGGCTGGATCCCGAGAAGTACATTGCGACAGCGGACCATCCGCAGTATTTGACGAGTTCAGCCGCAGCTAGTGCAGCCGCAGTAGCACAAGCACAACCTCCCGCTTCAACAAGCACCTCTAAAGCTGCCAGTACTGCAGTTGCAGCAGGATTAACTCAGGGAAACATCACAACTGCTTTACCTGACGTAGTTGCGTCTTCTACATTTGCTTCGCCTGTACTCGGCCCTGCTGGTGCACCTCGAGTGGCCGCTGGTGCCGCTGCTCCTTCCACTTTGGCTGCAGCCGCGTCGATGCGTCAAGCGCATCACCAGTCTCAGTCGCGGTCCGCAGAGCAGTTATATGCGCAGCACGCACATTTGCCTAAGCTGCAAGCGTTAGCTAGTGTGATGCATCCAGACACGCGGCAGTTATCTCTAGGTGGCGTTCGCGGTACCGCTTTAGGTTCGGCGATTAAACAAGCGAGCATGTACGACGAGGCGAGTCAAACAACTCCTCTCGCGGGTGGTTCGCCGGTTACGGCTTACCCTCCGTACAGCGCGATCGTGGCGTCTGTTGCTTACTTGCTGAGCCACTGCGGGGCGAACTGGGTTCTCCCGCTTACCGCTACATCGGGTACGCTCGCTGCCAAAGAACAGCTAGTGCCCTCTTTGAAAAACAGAGTCTATCAAGGGATTTTTGAGACGCTCTTTACGACTGACCTACCTAAGCGAGTCGAGAGGGTCAGAGGGGTCATGAACGCCTGGTTTCGCAGAGACGTGACGCAGCATTTGATCGCGGCTAGAACGCAACCGCCCGAGCTGCAAGAAGAAGACAAAAACTCGATGAAGCAAGAAGAGAAGGACATGCAACCGGAAGCGGAACCAATGCAAGTCGAGACACTTGAGGCCACTAGCAATAATTATGGTTCATCTACTTCCACATTAGACGCTGGCATTCTTGACGGCGCGGACGCGGCTATGATCTCAGTTGCGCCTCTTGCGGAGAGAATTGAGCATGCCCGTAAGCTTCTGGACACAGTTGTGGAGGAGCGACCTCTGGCACTGTCCAGAGCAAAGGGCACCTCTAGTGCCGCAGCGACATCGTCGACCACAGGAGGCAGAGGGGAAGCAGTCTTGGATGCGGCAGAGGTGGAGCGTGATCTGCGGAAGGGTTGGGAAGAGTGTGAAAAGGAGTTAAAGGCAACTGTGCGCAGCGTCTCACAAACGGATCCCGCTTTGCCAAAGACCGATGTTACGACGCTAGCGCGTATTGTCATCCCCGAGGACTCGTCCAATCTGCTCCACCTAGCTCTACGCTTGTGCGCTCGCGCGAGGGACGAACAGGTGGCTACGTTGTCGCAGAAAGTAGAAGGGCTTCTTCCGCTTCGTCAACAGCAACAGCAGGGCAACGCCGGGGAAGGTGCACTAGGAGCTCCAGCAGCTGATGGCGCAGGCTCGTCAGGAGGCAGCGAGCAACAGAGCGACATCATACTTCGAGAGGACGTTGCAACAACTCGGAGTTTGTTGAAGACCAAACTCGAAATCATCCGGGAAAACGCAGACAAGCGCTGCGCACACCTGCTTCGCTGGTTGATGTTTTCCCAAGATGTGGAAGTTTTTCGTTTGGAGCAGAACTTTTTCAAAAGTGCGTTTCACTTGGCCGCTGAATTTGGCCTACGACATTCACTGGAAGTACTGTGGCAGTTTGCGGGCACCGAAAAGGGCGCTCGGCAATTTTTGAGACTGCGATCCTGCGTTCCTCCCTTCCCACTCAGCATTCCTCTCCAAATGGTCAGCATGTTGTCCTCCAAGTCCTCGAACAGGGTGGCTGGAAGTGCTTCTTCGACTACTTTGGCACCAACAGACGCGATAGGTCCTCCAGGTGGCACCAGTGTGGGCGTTTCACATTTAGACCAAGGGGGTTCTGGAGGAGCAGGAGCACGCGTTGAGGATGCAAGACCCAAGAATGGTCTTGTACCCGCACTTGGCGGAGGTTCGGCCGTTCCCGTGTCGATGGTTAGCTCTCCATTGGGCAGTCCTCGTCCGCCTGCAGAGTCGACCAACCGGAAGAGCGGTCGCGGAGGAGAGACGAAGGGCCAACCACGAGCAACTCTGTCCCTACCGGGTTTGCGGGTACAAACCGCACAGCAGGCGCAGCTGTCATGGAAGGATACCAGAATAAGGGTCCTCAGCAAAACGCTGTCAGAGCTGCTGCAGAAAAACGCAACTTCTTCGGTTAGCACAGCGATAGAAAATGAGACGGAACTTCGCAGTCAAAATGATGGCCTCGGCGCGAAAGACCAGCACCAGTCAAAAATACCATCAACCGCCGCGAGCTCTTCTTCGGCATCACCCACCGCTGCACAGCGCTGGCTCGTAGACTTGGTCTACCGCAAAGGTGGCGCACCGTCGCAACAAAGCAACGTGTTCGATACTACCAGAGTGACGGCTTTGATTCTGGCCATCGAAAACAACCACGTGGAGTTGGTGCGTTTCCTGGTGGAAGCGTGCGGCGCAACGCTTCCAGGCGGAACGCCGGGCATGGTGTGGCCGCAAATTCTAGAGGACGCAGAGTTCGAGCTTGAAGCGATTCGGCAACGTACGCTCGTGGCAGCGAACTGCATCCTTCCTTCATACGTTGCGCGCGATACAGCAAGTTCAGGGCTACACCAATCACAACCGCTAGCAGTGCAAACCGGGAGCAGGTTCTCGGGAAATCGGAAGGGAGGTAAAGGAGGTTCACTTCTGGGCCGCGCAGCCACGGCAATTTCTACGGCTGTCGTGAGTAGTGGCGGTAGACAAAGAGGGGCACCAGGTGCCGCAGGCGGGAGTGGTGATCTTGCAAATTACGGCACAACGACAGCAAGCGGAGCGAGCCAGACCAGCGCGCTCGCGTCCGGATCCGCAGTTCGTGGGGGAAGTACTGTTAGCGGTGGAAGTGCGCGAAGCAAAAAGCAGCCTAAGGCAAAGAGTAAGAAGCGACCCCAGTCAGGGGTAGAGCCATTGACGAAACGAGCACGATTGTCTGCGCCGCCAGGTGAATCTACGCCGCCAGTCGCTGCGGGACCTGCTCCGACAGGACCTGCTCTGCACATGTTTGCACCACCGACATCCGGCGGCGGTGGTGGGTCGGCTGTTCCTCCAGTGGCAGTCGGTCCGCAACCTTTGTTGAAAATACCGCTACGTGCGGAGCGTAAACCAATCATTTTGCCGAACACAATCTTTCAGGCACTACAAACAGACGGGTCTGTGGAATGGTGGGCGAGAGATCAGGCAGGTCAGTACTATGTTCTGGATTCGAAAACGAAAAAGCCAACGAAGCTCGTAGCTTCCTCGGCCCCGGGTAATATCATAACCGCACCACCTGTCAAAAACTTTCCTATGTATGGTGCTGCAGGAGGAATGGCAGGTGGCGGTGCACTCGGGGGTAGCACACTAGTCGAACAAGCGGCGAACGCGGCCGGCGTGAATGAAAAATACCCGCTTCAGGCATCGCAACCGAAAAATTTGACCGCCGGGGAGCTGCTGACCCCAACGTCGGCATCTTCTTTGGCGCAACTCGCGTCCCATGCAGTGGCTGGACAACACCTCTTCGGGTTCGGGCAGCAGCTTTTCGATGCCGCGTCCGCGGCTCAGCAACGGGGTCCAGGCAAGAAGCTAAAATCGCAGACCCAGATGACACCGCAACGCCAACATCTCTTTCCCGATGGTGGTACCGGGCATCTTATCGGTGGCGATGTTCCGCCCATAGTAGACGTGTCGCAGATTGGAGGTTATTACCCGCTTTCGACGAAGCAAACGGACGCCTTAGAATGGACCGTGCGATTGGCCGAAGTCGTGGATGACCGCGAGGAGGACGCAGCACAACTAGATGGAGCAGTCGCATCAACTTCTTCTAGCACAACCTATGGAACCACATCTTCGACAACTAAACTAATAAGTGACAGAATGGCTCCAGGCTACAAACAGTATCAGATTGAATTTGTCGACCCCATGGACGACACAGTCGTTCTCCCGTACGGCAGCACTGAGTACGACAAGCTTTTGAATCACCTCGCAGAAAACTGCGACTGGCTCAATCTCTCGTGGCCAGCTGAGGCAGGCTACTCCAGCTCCGAGGAGGAGGAGGAAGACGGCCTTTTGGACAAGTTTGTCGACGAGAAGGATAGCGGTACAGGCAAAGACTTACTGGATCCTCTGACAAGTCTTGCAAAGGACAAAATGCTTCAGCATCACCTTTTACCCAAAACGACTGAGCACGAGCTTTCATCCGCAGATGCAGCGATACTTAATAAGCAGGGAGCTGGCGAAGGAGCGGATGCGGACCTGGACGTCTCAATGGAAGACACTTCGTGATTGATGAAGGGACGTTGGTTTTGAGGAACCTCTAGTCTAGTAGATCTTTGACCATTCATATCAAATTGCATGTTAATCAACTGATTCCAGCTGTACAACTACGTATTGGATGTAAGTAGACACAACTATAGCTGCAGCCACACAAGGACCAAGATATTTATTATATCTGACGATAATGAAAATGTGCTAGCTCTGCTTACATGAATTGATTGCTATTGCTTCTGCTTGGTACTAAAGAGTGCAATGAAACACACACACACACACACAAAGAGGCTGAGGCTTGATGCCTCAAAGAAATGTCCATGTAATTTCACATTTGTTTACTCCCGATTATTTACTCCCGCAAGACATCCATTATGAAGAACATGTCGCAAACCACATCGAACATATGATATTATTGTGTCAAGTTGTTGTTGTGCATGGCATCAGCGCATCGAAATCGTTGATTCACGCTTGCTACAACATCGACTGATCTTTGTCAGTACTAGCCTGAAAACGCAACAAACAGGTGGATTCATTCTGCGGAATGGAGCGCAACCGATCGGGCTGATGTTAGATGAAGGATTTCGCTGACCGCTCGGTGGCACGACAGACATCAAATTTGAAATTCAGAATCTGAGGATGGATATGCAGGAACTACGAGTCGGCCTCGGTACCAGGACTAGATTGTTGCGTATCTACACTCTTTTCTTGTGTAGTCGGTGATATACACCGTGCTACACTTTTTTACACAATGAATTTTACATGATCTGATGAGGGCTTACTTCAGTTGTCCGCGAAGAATTTTTTTGATTGATGATTGACGGAGAAATTCCTAGACCGAGATCGGTTCTCTTCTTATCGGCTCACAGCTCCTTCATCAACATGGATCGGTTTCATCGGTGACCTTTCAGCACAGACATCCTTGCGGATCCTCCGTATCTGCCCAACACTGTATCGCCATTTTTCCCTCTCTTCACTACTCTTAAACTTTTCGACTGTTCTTATGACGACTTCAGCAAAGTTTTAGAGGAAAATTCATTGTTATAGATGATTAAATTATCTAGGATCTTCAACATCGTTATTTCCAAAGAAATACTACAACGACTACAACTATTACCAGTAAGACTGACTAGTTCCTAAACTAACAGCTTGAACAACACTAGGATGGACGAGCTTCGACCAAGTGCAATGGAGGAGTATCCTCTTTTCGGACGAGAGGTTCGGGATCTGGAGGCCCCGCCCGATACTGCCTTCGAGATTACCGAGGAAGATCTGCGTGGTCTCACGTCAGTTACGAGGAGAGAATTTCTATTCGTCCTGCATGTCTTACATTTAAAGAAATTTCAATTTGACCAGTTTCAGTTATTTCTACTTCGTTTTTATCAATTAGATGAACTTCCCTCGTTTTATTCCCTTCAATAGAACATGCTTATCATTATTGTCATCGTTGTCCTGATGATCCTATGAAAATGTGGATGGGATTTATTTGATCATTATTTGCAGGTCGATTTGAAAAATGAAGATCAAGATTGAGATTGAGCATACTCATGCTGATGTACAACGAAGTTACTTAAGTATGTGAGCCTAAACTCTAAGGCCGCGGATCTGCGTGAAATCGATAACTTCGATTTCACGGAAGAGGATCTCCGTGCTATCAATGGTGGAAGCGCGGTTCCACTCCTCCTGAATCCACGTCGATCTGCAATAGCACAGCCTGGAACAACTGTTGACGTATCTTCAGTAGATCCCAAGAGAGCATCCTTTTCACAGACGAATGTAGCGCAAGAGGCGTCCGCCGCGCGTAGATCATCGCGCCCTCCGTCAACAAGAATCTCGACAGCGGCGGCTCCACGCATAAGTGAAGGAGCGAGGCAAGTACTAGCGTCGAACGAGCCTGCTGCATCACAACCGCGGGCTAAAAGTACGATAATCACCACGTCGTCACCACCGAAACAGCGAGAGGTCGCCCATCATCTGCCTTGTGCAGTCTGTGGAGAGCCGATTAAGGGGGCCGACGCCAACGAGGCTGCGCTCATCGCGCGAACAAGCGATGTACTTGTCGGTGTTCTCCAGTATTTCTCCCGCGTCTACTTCGGTGCTACGGATGTCACGGATATCGCACGAAAAGGCACGATGGACCAAGGTACCACTTACTTTCTTCATCATCTATCACTTTTTTTATTGATGCAAGAGGTGTTAGTAGTTTTCTTCATCGATCTATATTCTTAGCAGAGCAATCTCAGCAAGGGCATGTTGCATGTATCAGGGCGATAATCCGCGAGTACTCATCTTTAGGAAAAGATGTGACAACCAAGTCCTATACTTCCTTTGTTTTTCGACGGTCCTTAGCCTATGGAGATCAAGACTTTTCATTTTTGTTTCAGATGCATAGATTCTATGTTCACAATGTCCACCTGGAACGTATGACAACATGTTAAGGGATTTTCGACGACTAATTCTCAAATTACAGTGCAGTTAGAGTTCTCGGATTATGAAAGCGACGATGATGACGCGGAAGAACGAGACGATTTTCTTCATTACATCGATAGTGACGACGGCAAAGATGGCTGGAAACCCCCATTGGCGAGACAAAATTACAGTTGGTACACACTAGCGGGGGTGATGACCGGCACGGTCTTGCTTTTCGCAGTCACGTGGATCATCCTGGAGGTAATTACAATAATCATATACAACGTTGATCAAATTACTTCTAATATCAATCACTAATTCCAAATCCAATCTTTTTCCTTTTAGTAGGCGAATCAATAGGCTGTTGTTCAGGAGGTATTCACTCTTTTACTAAAAAAAAGTAGAGTGACAGTATCTATAGGTGCTAGAAGTTGCTTGGTTCATGAATTTATAAATATTGTATTGAATATAGAGAGAAGAACTAGAGCACAGACAACGTATATCTTTATCTTCACTCAGATGTCCAGCGTTTTGCCCGACTCGAATGTCTCAGACGGAACCGTAAAAGACGACGGAGCGTCAAGAAGTTCCCCTGCGGACCAATTAAATTAAGGCTCGACACATTTCATTTCTACTAGTCATTTCGCACGTAATCCGTTTCAGGATTGGATGAAATGCGGGCAGGAAATGAATTGCTTTGAGCTCTAAGCAATTACCGAAGCAGGAGCTTCCAACGCGGTCGCGGCAGGAGGGTCGGGGACTCAGAGCGGATTCCTCTCGGTGCGAGATTTCCTGGCCGCACAATTCTTTTTCCATCAAGAGATGTAAAGAATACGTTCACGATAAAACTAAATACTTGATATAGTAGGTTCTTGTCGAAAATAGTTGCGCATATCCGTTTACATAGAATTCCAAATTTCCATTTCATATCCGATTTTCTTGTTCCATGAACTACATCTACCTACGTAGAACAACAGCATCTGAATTGACTCCGATTCACACATCTAATGCTCCATATTGATTTATTAATTCAAAACTAACAATAATCTTTTGCATGATCAACATATCGGACATATTGCTCGTCGCAACACACACCCCTTACTAGCCACATTCACTCACAGCTCATTCGTGATAGTAAATCCCAGCAAATAGCTTTCTTGTATTATACCAGATTCCCCTATCTTGCTTCAAGAAGCCGTGGTAGAAGCCCAAAATCATGAAGAGACAACATGAACACTCTTCCATAGCCATATTATTGTATGACAAGTTATCTTCTACCTTTTACTTAGACCTAACTTACTCTCAACATTCATCATGAAGTACTTCCTTGTCTGTCTTTGATTGTATTCAAAATTTGTCTTGGACCATGCTGGAGACCATGAATCGTGCTATTGTACTTTACCTAATCCATAATGCCTTGCTCGCAAGTGTATATGAATGTTGTTACTTGTCGCAGAAAAATGCAATTCACCATCCTCATCTCGCACATTCAGACTCACTACATTTACACGATACACGCACAGTATTGCTGGAGAGATATACTCGCTCCCGCCCTACTTGTGCAAGGTTCTCCTGACTTTCCCGCCTGGTATGCTTTGATATGTCCACCCTATGCACAATTTGTGCCCTATCTGATTTGTTCCAATCAATATCCTAAGTAGTGCCAATTCTTCTTGTAGATTAATAGGATCTTGTCATCTTCATAAGTAGCTGTATGGAGAGTCACTTTCTCCCAGACTCCGATCAATACACTTCCTCCCTCAAGATGGTGAACAAAGACCCAACCAACCTTGTTGCCAAAATATGGAGCGACTCACCTCTCAAATAAACCCGAACATGACATATAATGTCAGATGCACATATTCACCCGAGGATGCAGGTCAAACTGTGGACGGTGAATCAAATCCTATCCTATCCTACGCCGTGTTATTATGTTTTAGATAGTTTCCTGACACTTTGATGATTCGATAATAATGAGCTTGCTACATTCATCACAGGTAAAGACTATTTCTTGTTTCTGTCAGTCAAATGACCAGATGATCCGACCGCATATATGATCCAGGGCTTGGGGTTACGGTACGCCCCCCCCCCTAGCGTAGGGGGGTGGTACCGTAGCCCCGGACCCCTTTTGGAGGCGTCTGCCGGGGGTGGAAGGCCTCAAAAGGAGGCCAAGTGGCCGCCTCCGCTCCCTTGCAGGTGCTTGGCTGTCTCCTAGAGGCCCCCGACGTAGGAGGAAGGCCGCAAGAGGAGGCCAAGCGGCCTCCTCCGCTCCCTTCCCGCTGCCTGGCTGTCCCCTAGAGGCCTCCAAGCCCTGGGTCATATATAGGTAGCATGACGCATGTCAAGTGTCGAAGATCTATCCCAAGAAGTGTGAGCGTGACAGCATTTTAGCGTGATTAACTTCAAAGCGGGTAGAAGTCGTCAGGGAAATCTTAGGCAGATTGCCGAGTAGATTCGCGCCGTCAACTTTAATGCTAGGCAGTCAGATAGAAGCCAAAAAAACGAAGACTAAACTGGGCGAAGGATGACTAAACCCGTCGAAGCGATCTTGTATCCACCTGGAAATGGAGACGATGACTGGGCGCCACAAAATGGCACAGAGGCAGCGCGGAAACGTGCTATTATTATAGGATACATAGGGCGGGCGTTGCAAGAGGAAGATGGAAATGCTAATGCAAACGAGCACCAGGTCTGAGAAGAGAGCAATAGTATGGACAAGAGGAAGCGAAGCAAAAGGCAAAAGGACGTTCTTAACATCATTCAGAGAAAAGATCTTGGACGTCGCCAGCATGGAGCAAAGCCGTCCAGCAGAGCCGAGGAATGCTCAAAGACACATGTGTGCTTCTCTGCCCCATCGCTCCGGACGCTATCGGCTGTCGAGAAGGCGTTACTGGCTGTGCCTTGGCCTGAACGATTTCAGATTCCACAGTACACTATGACACGGAACTGCATCTTCCTCTTTGAAGACGAGGATTTTGGAGGTGAGGAACATAGTTTTTGCTCAATTAAAGTGAGAGAGGAACTCGTCGACTTTCTTTGGGACAAGGTAGTAAAAGGGCACGGTCGTTTGCGATCAGTGGCCAACGCGGATACATGCAAATGGAAAAAAACGGTAACATCCAAAGATAACATGGATTGGAACTACCATTACACGCATTTCGACGTGATTGAAGCTGATCACCCGGATTTCGAGGAGCAGGTGGCTGAAAAGCGGCAAGCGCAGAAGATGAATGCTAGAAGTTGTAGCAAGGAAATGGGTGTCGATGTGGGAGAAGGTGTTCAATCTGGAGCAGGTGCCTCTGGCGGTATAATACACTCCAACTTGCTGAGAGGAGGAAGCAGGATTGTGCTTGAGCTACACCCAACGCTACAGAGGAAAGTCAGAGAGCTGCGTAAGTACGAAATAATTGGATAGGAGCAAACCCCTCTGGCGGGCCTACTTTCTACGCGTGACCCGAAGCGATGAGATGCTGACCGCAACTGCTATCTAACAAGCGCGTAGTCACGAGCTGCGCCTTTTTTCGCTTTCACCACGCGGTCGCAGATGCCATAAACATGTTGGAAATTTTCGATGATTTCGTGAATGACCTTGACGAGCCGTCCTCTGTCTTTGAGAATAAAGCTACGGAGTTCTGTTCGGTCCTCGCATTGAGTACTACAATTCCGACTTTGTTCGGTTCGCTACCGAGCAAGAATATCTCAGGAGGACGAGATCATAGCGTCACTACGAGGAAATATCAGATCATTGTTGAATTCCTTGAGTGATCTTGATTGAATCTCCAGATCATCGTGTGTGCTCTTGGTTGACTGGTCGTACTTGCGTGCCATCCTTAGCTGTTGAATTATCCGTATTTTTGTCGGTGGTCGTTGTCTTGAGGATTGACTGAAAGCTTCCTGTTGCAGAAAGAGCGAGAGTGTGCATCTGTGGTCATGAGAGTGTGGTGGCAAGGCGGAAGACTTGATTGGATAGGTGTCTGAAGCAAGTGGAACCCCTGCTCTTAACTGTTCCTGGACTCTGCATCTGTGTAGAGGGATGACCCGTGTCCGGTTTTGTGTAATAATAGATTGAGAGAAGAGCCATGACTAAGTTCTGTAGGAGATTCATGATGATCTGCGTGTGGAGTATCTTACAAGCATGCTGATATGAGCTGTCATCGACGCTGACTCTGTTCTTCTTTTCAAATTCTGTGCCGTAACAAAAAAGCGAGCATCCCATGTTGAGCGCAATTTCCAGCCATCGCCATCCTTCAGAAGAGTGAGGCACGTGTTAGTAAATCGGTCCAGCAATCGTCTGAGCTCAAGCTGCAACAGCCTGGAGGCTACGTGATCAAAGTCTACTTCTCCAACTCGTACACACTCCAGTTCATATTCCCTCCGACAATTTTTCCCCAATAAGTTCGCAGGTTTTCCTATCCCAGTATTTTACGTCGTGGCGTTTTGTTTTCAGAAGAAATTGAAACAAATCCATTGTTGCGGTGCTTGAAAATACTTGTCTATACTCGTTAGTTTAGATTCGGTATTGACACGCACTTATCTGTGCTGAAGAAATATACAACTCGAACTCTTCCTTCTTTCAATAATAGAACAGCAAAAATAGTTTCGGGATTCAACTGACGAAGTTATCCCTTGTCGTTCATCCTGATACGGAAGAATACCTCTAGTCAGGCACATCAACCAATCTTAGTTTTGATATCGAAGTGTCTTCAAAAAGATGGAGACTGGCAGCACACCTGGTCGCACCGGACAGTACTGCGCCTTATCTTTGAGTTTTCTGCAATGAAAGACATGAACATATACATATTCCGAACAATTTCTTCTAGGCATGCTAGTTTCCTAGAAGAAATTGTTTAGTCCCCAAAATAGTATGTGTATCTGTTCGACTATGTGAGACTCATGCCATGCCATGAACAATTAGCTTAGCTACTACAATCATGATCATCATCATCACCACCGTCGTCGTCATTCAGTCATCTTCCATCAAGTTTTTCGCGTTCGTACTGATTAATACCTATGGAGCTCCTCTTCACTTCTAGTTCTACAAAGATGGAAATTGCGACTCTGATGTATGCAAAAGTTACAGAAAATGAAAAGTGTAAGTAATCTTATTAATTGTTCTTGACATGGGATTTCAAGTAAGGAAGATACTTTACACGACTGACTCTACTCTGCTTCACCCATACACTTATATATCTATCATCATCATGATCAACATCAGGTCCGGACGTGGGCAACAGGTCGGTGGAGTGCGTAAGACTGGCGCGGCAGGACACGGACAGTGTCAAATTTGCAATCAGTTTGTGGACGAGAACGAGGACCGAGAAACAGTGGAAAAGAGCACTCGTGTCATCCTAGGTCTCCTTGCGCACTACTCATCAACGGTCCTCAACGTGATCAAACACGGAGCGCCACAGCACAATTCCAAGACCATGAAGAAATACGGAGATGAGGATGATGAAGGTACTTATAGATATATTTTCTACACAAAATATTTCTTGTTCAAGAGCAACCAGCACTTCTATATGATAGGATGTTGAATCGGACGCCAACCACAACTGGTGGGTTACACAGCGTCTCTATCATTTTTTTTGCCCGTTGGAGCCATTCACTCCCATAATTGATTTCTCAGCGTCTGGACTTCTATTATTCGAAAATTACTACAGATGACGAAGAGCAGACTATGTGGACACCATGCTACATAACGACGTTTGTGCTGATGCTGGTCTTTCTAGCGGCTGCCATCGGTGGTTTCGCTTATGCCTTGCGACTTCGCAGTCAACAACGTTAACCTATGCGCAAGGAAGACAGATAGAGTAGAAGAATTTCTGGAACGGTTGGAGGACGTCTGCCTTCTGCAAGACGTTTGTATTGACTTCAGGAGTGCTATTGGTTGTTCAAGACTTCATAGGAGCACAAGCACCAGTTGTATGTAGAAAAGCATAAACGTGACAAATTTCTAAGTCTCAACGTCGTAGTCGTTGTAGTGAAAGTGCATATAATTAGCTCCATACATTATATGCATGAGCATGACCGAGCAGGAGGAATACTTCAACTAGAAACATGAAAAATGGAACATACTAACTAGTGCACAGACATGATCGGATATCATGAAACTATTTTCTTCAAACAGAGGACTCTTTGCTGCCTAATCCGGACGTTGAATAAGAATCATACATATCATCTACTTATCAAACGATCAACATCACATAGTAGAATTAGCATGACACAATCTAGCATATCAAGCTATCGGATGACTAAAAATGATTGGCTGACATCATCTGAAATTAGTTTTTACCATAGCACGTAGTGAGTATTCCTGTTGCAACAACTTAAAAAAAGAAGGTAGGGGCGCTGCCAGGTGACTTGAAGAAGTCGTGGTGCCGCAGAAAAAGAATTCGATTCAATGGAGACAACAAAAATGAAAATGAGTAGTGTAAGAATTATGGGGACCATGAGTTTTCTGTAGTTCTCTTGTACAAAGATGAAAGTGGAGTTGCATGTAGAAACTACTTGTACATTGTTGATTTGGAGGTATTATCATTGAAAACTCGAAGGGACTACGACTACGCAGCGCAACATCAAGTACGAATCAAAACAATAATTAGTTTTATGCTCTTCCGAATTTTCGAAGCCGAATATTATAAATATATGCTGATGTCCACTTAGTACTTCTAGCGGAATGAATTTATTGTTATTCCGCTTGGATGGTATTGGAACCTTCGGCAGACTCCTTGTAGCAGCTCACGTCGCATCCGGGCATCGTAATGCGGTAGCTGCAGTTCGAGTTTGCATGAGTGATTGAAGATGATGAACGCCCCAGGAAACGAGAGAACGCAGACAGAACAGACACCGCTAATATGCAGCAGTTGACAGTAGCAGCAGCGGCGTGGCAGCGAATCAAGCTTTCCCCTAGAAGCAGCGACAGGTGATGTTCAGCATGTAAGAGAAGTCGGTACACGTGATTGGATCAAACAGATCTACCCGAAGTTCCTGCACGAGCTAGATGGTCCTGTTCATGTTTCATTTATTAAGCAGAATATGCTCTTGCTCTTCCTCTTGGTCATGATGAATATCATGATACTTATAGATACATATTTCTGACCAAACTTTGACTTTCTGAACACATGAATTCGCTCTATCAACATCCTAGCCGAGAATGTACTTGAACGAAAACTTGAATGAAAACAGGATGTTCCCGGCTGAAGCTGAAGAGTCCTTTGGCCTAAGGCTAAGGGCGGCCAACAGAACTGGTCCGCACGTGCTGTCTGCATACGCAGAGCCGAAGGCATGGGACGGAATTCGTATCCACGCAACTGTGAACGACGAGGCAACGAAGCTTCATTTTATGACAGGACAGATGTATGAACATGACGGATGAGGAGACCGCAAGAAAAGATACAGAAGGCTACTGTGTGCTTCCTTGGAATTCAATTTTTAGAATTGAAGACACTTCTGGCTCTGCTACTCGTGGCGGGTATGCGTTGTAGTTGTACCCAACCTATCAGATTGGTGGTTGGGGTCCTTGCGCCGTTTTAGATTTGGCTTTGATCATTTTGATCTAAGTTTTGCGTCGGTTTGTTGGAGCCGCGGCGACCGAAGCAGGATGAAGTCTATGACCAGGGCTCGTCAGGTGAATGCTCACGGAGAGAGAGGAACGTATTCGGAGCACAAGAGGCTCTACAGTATCAAGATGCAAGTAGAAAATCCACGACAAGGCGTGCAGATGCAAATCCGATGGATGAGAGTAACCGCTCACATAATAGGAGTCAGATGAGCGAGCAGCGAGAGAATGAACGACTAGGAACGAGAGAACGAGAAGTAGATTTGGTTGTGCTAGAACAAAGCGACCAGATGGAGGAACAGGAAGCCGCATCTGACGACGGAGACACTGAAAATGGTCGGTCCACGGAAAGCCAGCGACAGCAGGAAGTCGAAAAAGAAGCTGTAGTTTCAAAAACACGGGAACTACGTGTACGCGAAGCAGATGGAAGTCGCCTCGTGCCCGCACCTCTAAATGTCTGCACCGTTTCCCTTGAACAGCTCGAAGTCAAGACGCAATATTACATTTGGTGTCTCGCTTCGAAGAAACGTTTTGACGTTTCGAGCAGCCTGGTACTGTCCCAACTCTCAGAGGTTTTTCCTGAACCAAAACAAGATCGTCCTAATTTTTTGCCTAGCGTACAGGGGGAGCAGGAGACGGCGTCATTTCCACGACCGCGACGATCTGTGAGTGCCACAGACAGTGACGGCGCTGCTCCTCTCGATGAGATGTTTGGACCTGGTAGAAGAGTCAATACAACTCCGCCGTCTGAAATAAATGCAGGTCTTCTGCTGGCTGACGAGATAAGTAAGCTTTACCTCGTTTAGAGATACAAATACAACGCTTACTACCAGAGCGATTTTGTGTACAACGACCATATCTTCAGGTTTACGATTACGGGTAGCCTTTCGTCGTTTGTTGATGTGAGGAATCCTGAAGAGGAATTTCTCTTTGCTTTCAAAGGAGATGCAAGAGATATACTCTGGGAATCACTCAATGAAGTAGGACAGAAAACTGCCGCTAATATTCACGCACCGCACGCGCCCGACGCCACGCGTGAAACAAAGAGAACTGCACCACGCGACGCTGAAGAAGAAATAGAAGATTCTGGTGGATCGCGATGGTATAGTGCCACCAACTACATGATCGTACAACCCTCATCTTCAGGTTCAGCAGCGCGACCGTTCAAGGATGACAAGAGTGGTGGAATCGGTGTCTTGGATCGCGTCACCGGAAAGCCGCCTCTTACGCTTGACGTGGCAGCAAATCAGATACACCGTGTTATAGGTTTCGAGAGCCTTGCTGTCGTCATCCTAATTCTGCAGTACACATGCTACACAATCTGGCGGCAGAAGAAGACGACGCGGAAAATGAAAATCAAAAATGCTGATAGAAGTACGACAGCCAAGAAATACAGGAACAGGGAGCAGCAGGAGGTCGGATCTTTCTCAAGAAGAGCTTCTGCTTCTACCTCGTCATCATCATGCAGTTGCACATCTTCTTCTGTCGAGATATTACGAGCTCAACCTGAAGGTGGAGGTTGCAGCGGTGCTCCGACGAGACCACATCAAGACGGACGATGCTGGAGATGTTTTGCAAGCTGTGGTAAAATGCTATCCTTGTTTTTACCGCAGGTTCGCATGCACCAGACTGGTTTCGCGATGCTGGTCGGTGCGTTGTACTCCATCGTCTTATATTTCGTTTTCCACGTTCACGTAGAATTTTAGGGCAGCTGTAACTCTTTGGCGTTTTCTTTTGGTTGCAATCAACTAATGACGTCGGGGGACCCCCGGGGTTGAGGTTTATTTTCATTCTGCCTCATTACATATGATATGTTGGAGTTGTTTGTCCAAAACTTTAGATCTCGCTAATACTTCGAGTACACACTGCTCTGCTACGTGCTGCTCCCGGTGATAATTTTTCATGAGGGTTTTTCGCTCCAGAAGCGCGGATTTTTTTCCAATTTGCACTGGATTGCCCTTTTCGGATTGGTTGGTACCATGATAGCCTTCCTTCTCTTTCTCGCGGTCGGTGTTGTTGCTGTCACCTGCTTCCCTGCGGCCTCTCGGTTGACGATGATGAACCTTGTCATCTTGGCTGCTACACTCTGCAGCTCCGATACCGTTGCGCCGCTGACATTTTTGAAAATGCGAGTTTCATCGGGAGGCGAAAAAGACGCTGGGGAGAGAATGACTTCCACTTCGTCCTCCGGGAGAAATAGCAGCTCCCGTTCTACGTCAAGACCAATGTCTACTTCGGCGCACGATGACCGGAGCACGGCGTTTCGGGAACACGCGTCGGATGACACGGTAAACCCGAAAAGCACGACCACCACTCAGCAGGTGCAGGTCAAAAGTAAAGAGCGCGTTTTCGCTGTGGTATTTGGCGAGGGTGTGTTCAATGACGTGGTTTCTGTGCTTCTCGTTTCCGCGGCAAACAGTATGCCGACAGGTAGCATGTCTGCTGACAGTGAAGTTGGGAGTATGCTCTCCATGTTGGCGACCCTCGTTTGGTTCCTCGGCAGCTCCACTGCAGTAGGCCTACTCTTCGGTGTGGGTATTTCCTTCGTATCACGTAAACTCATGCAGTACCCAAAAGACGATGCCGCAGTCGCACGTGCAGGCGTCGAGGAAACGAACGCGACATCAGCCGATCATGATATACTGGAGCATGTTACAACAGAAGCTGCACAGAGCGGTGAACAAGATGATAGTGGAGGAGGTACTTCCAGTGCTGCGCATGAAGTTGCGATTTTGATGCTCGGTGCCAATTACACCTGCTACGCTGTCGCAGAGCTACTTGACGTAAGCTCGATTTTTATGGCACCAAAGAAATTTGTATCTATACATGATTCTTGAGATTCTCATTTATTTTTCAGAAGTTGTAAGATTGTCTCCCAAGAAGTACGTCAAAACTCGTCGATCACTGATGTTGAAACCTCCGGATAAAGTGATGTAGTTGTCGTGCTGCTTGTTTCATCCCCACTAAATAAAGTTAGTGGCAAGGTTTATTCAAGTTGTCTTCAAGCTAAAAAAGGTAAGGTGCTTAACTAAAAGTAGGTCATTGAGACTTGAATGGTCAGCGGAACAGAGTTTTTCTAACGCTTTGGCGTTGTTTGTGTGCGCGGTGACATGCGGGCACTACGGGAAGTACAACATGAGTGAGCAGGCACGGGTCTGTTGTGAGCATGTATACCCCACCTTAGCTCATGCTGCGGAAGGCGCACTTTTTTAAGGGCCGAAACGTTTCATATCTCTTTGCACGTTTCGTTGAGCACCACAATGTTTTCACTCTAAGAAGAAAATACTACGTGCCGCTAGGAAGGTTTGGAAAAAGATACGCACTACGTTCCCGCCAATTAGCCTATGGGAATCTGTCACATATGAATCCTCGTTTTAATCTCTAACCTTTTGGGTATTTCGGTTTATGCTTCTGCACGTACTTAGTGAAGAAGCCGGCCGAGGCCGTGCCACGAGGCGCGGGACAGAGGCTGGTCTTGACGCTTGTGCTGCTTTATGGCCTTTCGCTTGTGGTGATTCGCTTATTTGTCGTGTTTTCGTTGGCTGCTATTGCGCGTCTCGTCGACAAGGCGTTCGCCCCTTGTAGTCGGGAAAAAAATTAAGAAAAGATTTCCGAAACAATGTGTCAATGTTGTCTAAGTCTAAAATATTTATATTAACGATCCTTGCTGTTCTTCACAGTAGCAGGACCATCAATGATATTAAGTACGTTGAGTTGCAGCGAGGTGCGCAGGTTTTGGTTTCATAAGCAAACTCAATTCATCGATCCTGCGCAATGACTCATCTAAGTAAGAGGCACGGAAATGAAGAATAGAGCACATCAGTGGAAGCCGAAGGAGTTGCGTGAAGCAGATGCATCGGGCGGACAAAGCAAGACAAGTCCATCAGGATTGCGAGAACAACAACGAGAAAAAGGTTCTAGAACAAGGTCTCCTACGTCCTCTCACATTGCCTCGGATTCGTCTCCTGTTTCCATTTCCAGAAAGGCTGGAGTCGCGATCGCTGCGACGCCGTTGGATGAAAGCGGTCTTGAAGATGTTTGCATTTGCATCAGGAGTGGAGATACAGACGATATTACGGAAGACGTGATGCTTGACCTGCACCTGCGCCCTGCATCAAGTTCGACGTCAAGAATATCGTCGATTTCAGTCGTTGGCGACGTCGAGGCGTCACATTTGACGAGCCAGGCACTGTCAAGCGTGACACCAAGCGACACGAGCTTGTTGCGAGAAGACGACAAAAATTGTTCAACTTTTTCTTTATCAAAAATACCGAACAGAGCTTCTACAACAAGCGCTCACGTTGCTGGTCTATCTCCTGAACATGATGAAGTTTCCCGAACATCTTCTAGTGTAGTTCTCGAGGGTCAGGCGAATTTGGGGTCCTTCTTACCTGACGAGGAGAAAGAGTCTGCGTCCTCTTCTGCCCAAGAGCACCAGTCCCGTAATAGAATTTGTAAGGTGAAGGACGAAGATCATAGTGCAGCAAATATAAAAGACAGCAACAGGAACGCACGCACGCATTGTACAACTCCAGAGAGATCCGGACCGGACGGAGGTGGAGCTCGTAGTTCTACACAGACGTCGACCTCCACCCTTTCTTCGCAGGATCTCCTTATAATCGCAACTGCGGGAATGATGCGTGGCACGATAGCGTTCGCGTTGGTCATCAAGGCAACACCTTATGTGGACCAAGTTCTGCTTAATGATATTTATTAGAAGGAATTATCGTAATAGTATCTACATCGTGATCTTTTTTCATCCTGTATTGAAACTGATGAGTAAATGTAGAAGTAGTTTGCTCATACGTGGTCTTATCACTGTTCTTTCTGCTTCAAAGCTTATTCTTCATCCTGCCTAGAAGATGGCTGTTCAGAGATGGCAAATTTGGAAGTCGAAATTCATCACTGGGTCGGACGTCCTGGACATCGTGATATGAAACTCAACTGCTTCTACATCTACGAGACTAGATCTCTGGCGCATCCTCTAAACGCCAGTCGAGACGGTGAAGAACGCAGCGATTGTCCAGAGCACTGTGTTGCTCATTGTGCTTGGAAATTGCTGTGTGATTGGTATCCTATTTCCCGTACTTTTGCGGTGCTTATATAGGGAAGAAGGCATAGGCGAAGAAGAAGACACAGCAGTTTTATGCATTTTTAGTGTAGTTTGTCGACCATCCCGCTGTTGAGACAACGATGATCCTGGCCCTTTTTTCGAGAGAAAAAAGTGGAGGGAAAAAGCAGTCTGCCGCGAGAGTGTAAGTAAAAGACAAGACCCCCTTCATAAAGATATGGTAGTGGTAGTGCTCTTGCAGCAAGTGCAAGTTTTGGTGCTCGCTCGGCAAGAAGATACGACAACAGTGAGGGGCTGCAACAACTGCCTACTTCGGATAGTCACCACCAACGCGACGAGCTAGTTCGTTGTGCTCGAGGCTCAAGCTCCTCGATAGAGGACGGTCGGCGAATGACAGACGGCACGCTTTCAATAACAGACGCGGGATCTCGATCCATATCCATGACCGAAGCTGTTCATCTTCGGAGTCGAACTCCCGCTCGGCCAAATCGGTTTCACAGGGCTTGGTTGCGTTTTGACGAGCGGGTCCTCAAGCCCTATTTAGGAGGCCAGCCGCGAGCGCGTGCACGTCCGGAATGATAGCAGCGGAATTACAAAACATGATACGAATAGATCGCCTCTTTGGGCGTCTGCACAGGTATCCTGGGCAAGACTCATACTACTGGATGTATTTTTTCCATTGGGTGTATGTTGCGATGTGGTAATATTTATAGATACCTTTCGTATACATTCATAGCTGTAATTTGAATTTGTTTTCTTTACGCATGATGATGATGATGAACTACTTGGCAGGCGCAGGTCAGATTGGAGACATCATATGACATGAATACTTGGTAGGCGCAGTACCTCGTTGTGCCTAATTTGTAGATATTGTCCCTCTCCCTCTTTTCTCTGGGCTTTTTTCCTAGATTGATTTTCTTTGCTGATGCGTGTTGTCATGCAAGGAGCAAAAAGATTATTGTCGTTAGAAATGCTAAGGTTTGTCGAATAAATATCAAGAGAACTTTTTAGTTTGGTCTTCTTGTATCCGCATCGCGTTATTGTCATTCAATGGCACTTTACCGATTCTTGGGTTCGCGCGCATTGACACTTCATTTATATATGTAATATATCAAAGACTACAAAAATGGATTACTTCTCAATCTACATCATATGTAATAATGTGTGTGCAAGTGCCCATGCGGTCAAAAACGCAAAGAACAGACACGCGCGTACCTAGTGATGTTAGTTCTACTAGATGATAGACACCTTTTCATAGAAAGCTGCAGCAATCAGACCACATTGTCCCTCAGGATGAAACCTATCGTCACGTGTTTTCGTTCTTGACGTCTCGCGCAGCACATCAGCGCTCTCTCAGGTCGGTCATGCCAGAGGACGTGTGCTACATAGTTCTAGTTGGCGTTGAAAATATCGGTCAATCACGTTCTTGTGACCGTGAATAAGAGCGCATCGGTCGGTCTATCAGTATCGTCCAAGATGCAAGGACTGTCATATCCGAAGAATATCGGTCGTTGTCATGTAGCAGAGCTGCAGTATCGGTTTTGCGCGGTATATTAATTTTCCTGGGTAGTTGATGCTGAAGACAGTATCAATAGCCAAAGCCCAATAGGCATAGCCAAAGCTTGGTCTTCCTCTCTCCGAAAGAAATGCATCTTGATCATACGTTGTAGTCGCGGTGGATCATATCGTGAAAATTTAGATTTTTAGGAGTAGGTTGAAGTACGGAAACAACCGAAGGATGACTCTGGGGTGACTTCTTCTCGTGAGAAACATGCTTGCATGATCTTCTGTGGTAGATTATTTAGTAAAAGCAGTGGACACAAAAAGAAAGAGCATGTTGATGATAACTAGGTGGGAGACGAGGTTCTTGAACCTAAAACCTTAATAAGAGAGAAGGTGCAGTTAGTCATCCTCGTCGTTTTTTGCAAGTACGTCGCAGAAGCTCGCCATTCTCGTCCAGAAGCAGGACCGCGAGGGCCTGAAATCCGCGGATGCTGACTTTGCATCAAGCAGATGGGCATCCTGAACAACGCGGACGTACAGTCGTAGTAGACCTACATTTCACGCTCTATCGTGATATTTTTAGGCTCTACTGTATGGAGTTGTTCGGACCACTGACTATGGCCGACTTCCCTTACCCGGAGCAACTTCATTCTTTCCTGCGAAACGTTTTGCCTCTCTCGTTTTCGAGCAAGAAGAAGAGACACTAGTACCTAGAACCGTCCTGGGATTATACTTCGTGATAAGTGTGATTCATTGCGATTACTTGTTCTCTCAGTCTCGTACTGCTTCAAGAATCGGGGTCAACACCTAGTACAACAACTACAACGTCAACGAACAAGTGTTTTGAAAATGGCGAGCTTTGGATCTCCTCACGATCCCAGCGGGCATTGCCGAGTATGCAATGCTTTAATCGAAAACGATTCCCGAGAAAGTGCCGAGCAAATAGAAAAAAGCACAAGGGTACTTCATTCTATGATGTAAGTATGCACGTATTTTTGATGTGTACAGTAGTCTTCTACTCCTATTTTCATTCGATCAATACTCAATCAGTCAATCATCAATCAACAGCAAGCATCATGTTATTTGGTCAACAGGAGCAAGTTTAGTATGGTATTTGGGCTTTGCTAAGACTAGGTCTGACAAAGCAAAACCTGAAATCGGGCACATTCATTCATTCACTCATTCATTCATTCGTTCATGCATCACCCGCAGATAATACTCGGACTTCTGAGCCATTATAGCGGAACGCTTCTGAATGTCATAAAGAAGGGGCCGCCACCTCAAAGCAGGGGAGTAAGCATGCAGAATTTCGGTGGATACGATAGCGATGATGAAGGTACTTGTTTTTTTTTGAGCACGACAAGCAACGATCCGTCGTGAATGATAACGAATAAGACTACTTGTAGCATCGGAATGAACAAAAGCAAAGTAAGTAGACAAGAAATAAAACGTGTTTCTCATCCTGGAGCACTAGTTGTAGAGCGTATAAGCGAAGATGCAATGGAGCTTAACCGCGTGTCAACAAATAGAAGTAGCTTCGACAACATCATGACTAGAAAGCACCTTTTATAGCTTTAAGTCCTTAATACGTCGGAGCTTCTGATTGCTTGGTAGGAGCATCAATGAAGATCCATGTACAACTTTTCCAATCAGATGCAGAGGAGGAGAAAGTGACAATCTGCAACAAAACGTGCCTGCTACTTTCGATTGCAAGCGTAGTCATCGTTGGGGCGTTGATTGGGATGATTGTTCTCGTAGTAAGAGTGCGATCAACTACGCTAATTAATGGTACAACTGGTGCTAACGGAGCTCCATCTGGTAAATCTCCACTCCAAAAGGGGAACGGATAACTTCAATTCTGAAGACAAAGAAAGAGAAGTTCTACCCCAGCTTTGTCACAAATACGGTCCCACACCATAGTACCCTCTCCTGTCCATCTCTTCACATGAAGATTCCCACTCATCTCACGACCCCGTGGCATGCGCATAGTACTTCTAAAGTTAGTTGTAGGCAAAAACACTTCCATACATTTCTTATTCCCGCATAAGCTTTATTTGTAAGTTCTATCGTACGACACAGCAATTTATTGCCATTTCCATCCCACATTCATCCCCACATGAATTTTCGATGCATCATCTATCATGTTAGAAGCACACAAGGTCCGCAGAAGATCAGGAACATACACATTTGTTTGACGTAGCTACAACATCATGCATGTTGGCGCATGCAGTAGATCACAGGGCAACACAGTGATCATAGGAAAGTATTTCCTATGCGTCGGGACATCAACACAAAAGTGGTCTAGTTGTTGTGTCGACGCCTTATAGGCAGTGCCTCGTTGCGCCTCATCAATACGTCGGCTTCTTTGAGGTTCTTGCAGATCAAGATGAAAGCGTCACGTTGTATTAACTTTCGACCAGTGCGTGTTGGACTTGGAGCAGATAAAAGAGGGGCAAGCCCAAGGCTGTCGCTGCTGAGCGTCTATTTTCACCTTTTCTAACGAATCTCCATCTCGATGATTAAGTAGGCGGGTGCTAGTGGTAGATGTAGATCAGAAGATCTTGCAAGGACCTTGGTAGGCCTATCTCTATCATACGTTTTATTGCGTAGTAACAGCATCCCAGCACCAGCTGTCTAGAGTTGTGTCTCAATGTTTCATGACACCTTCAAGAAACATTTTACAAGAAACTAAAGAAGAGTGATTGAAACTAAGTATGCCTTCATTGTCGGGTTTGCCTGAACCTTCGTTATAACGTGCTTACAGCGTCTGCGTCCAGCCGCACAACTCATTGCAGGATGACAACCCTATTCTCGTTGTAAAATGAAGGAGCTGATAAAGGCGCTAGTCGTGTACCAGCAAAAAACATCTTGATTCCTGGCAACTCGTTCTTGAGCAGGCCGAGCAGGTGTCCTTCACACAGTTCAGCCGAAGTCGTTGTTCTACGCTCTTTTCGTCCCAAGAAGCCTACGGTTGCAGAACGACACTAGAACTTCGGCTAGCGCAAGGAGGCTAACCTCAAGGACCGAAGTGGGAACGACGAAGAAGAATGGCCCCAGTGCGTATGTATGCGGGGCGGCGACTGTCGCGAAGGGACATGTATTGGCCACCGATGAAACGAACATCAGCAATTCCAATAGGCGGGAGCGAAGGAAAGCGGGCTTTTGTTTTTCACGGAAAAAGCGAAGAAAGCGGGCTTCTTGAACCTCAAGTCGCAGTCACACTAACAAAATCTCTGAAAAACAGACTTGTATTTATTTTTCATAGCTGTAGTTATTGTTGTTGTGGTATTGCTTATTGTCGATTACCTAGTCTGTCACGACCAGTATGTATATATGACAGAGGACTGCGACTGCCTGTACCCTTCATACACCACTATATCTTTTTTTGTTCTCAACAGTTTTCCTTGACCGCTGAGGAGCTAGGAGAAATCGAAAAACTGGCACCCAGGATAAGTGCCTATTTCGATCTCAGTGAAGACCAAGTTCGTGGCCGTGACCGGGAAGTGCAGCGTGAAAAGGAGCATCAGTATTTAAGAGTCTACTCCTTCATAAAGAAGATCATGTAATTATACTTAGTCACTCTTGCGTATGCGTTCGTTGTTTTTGGTAGAGGTTCTTTCTAGCTACATCTCCATCCGAATCACGTCGTGGTCTGGAGAGGTGGAATTTTTTTGGAACTGCAGAGGCAGTGAAAGTGATGTAGTACTACCAAGTAGGTAGAGGTGGAAATGACATGCCATGAATATGTTGATGTGCTTCTAATTTGGGACGATTTCATATCAAGAATGATGACGATACCTACGGGATTACGAGCTTGGGCAGGGACACGCTTCGAAAGTGGCCAATAGAGTCCGACGAGCCTTCGCGGGCTACTTAATTTTAATTCTGTGGTGCTACAAGAACAACACAGAGATTAAAACCAGGAGAGTTGCTGCCAACTATATGTCATCGCCGAATGTCAAGCTTAATGTTGTCTTCTTGCGCTAAATGAATTTTGCAAGCAAAAAAATGAACACAAACGAAGTACCGCGATGGATTGTCATGGAATGAATTTAACAATAAAGAACTGAACAAAAATTTGATGAAAATGTTTGCGTTCTTGGAACGAGTGTCTCTAGTAATAGGTTAGAGTCAGACAATCATCCTGCGTGAAGATGTGTTCGACTTGCTCTTGCTCTGGCCCGGTAGCGATTGCCAAACGGCGGATCCTCTCTTTGCTTTCACTCGGATCCTCGCGACATGCTCCCATTCTGCTAGATTCTGGTTCGTTTTTCTTCACTTATAAAAGTGAACAGAATTGACACCGCGTTCTTTCTCCATATATGAGAATGAAAATGAATATTCCAAGACCTGGCTCAAGTTGGAACCTAGTATTGATTTGGTTTTTATTGCGCACCCTTGCTCGTATTGTTCTAGCTCTACTAGATTTTCTTCGGAGCTACAACTACTAAGGGTATTAAGGATATATAAGGAGCGTCGAAAACGAAATAAGATTGATATGTTGGGGCTTTGAAATGCAATCAGAACGCTACTACAATAGCAATTCTTCATGTGTATCGATCCCCGTTCTTGTGGTTCTATGTAGCTCTTGGTTCTAAGAATATTAGTTTGCTTGTATCAATATCGAGAGCGGCAGCGGGCATGATCCGTGGCTGCTTTTTGGTGATACTTGATAGTATATCGCTCGGTTTGCTTGCTCTTCTTAGAAGGTACAGGCAGACTGAAATAGCCTCTCTTTCAATAAGTTACTTTGAAACACGAGGTACCATGACATGACATTGTTGCGACGCGCAAAGCAGGCCCAGAGGTTAGGTGGTCGTACGGTAAAAAACTCATATTTTTGACTAGTGCCGCGGTCGTAACTTCGTGTTTCCTCTGTTAGCCCATCACGTATATAGTTGATTACTATTCAATGAGTTTATTTGCAGGATGACAGACAGCGATGATGAGTTTTTGCAGTCGTTGCTTCAGAAGCATGACTCTGAGAAACAACCGAGTAGTATAGCCGCGAAGGCAGTAGCAGCTGGAGCATCAAAGAAAACGGGGTTCGCTATTAGGGTGACGAAGCCAGCCTCTCCTGTCTTGGCTCCTGCTGGAACGACATCGACATCGCCGACGGCGAGCACATCCGGCACCAGTACCGCTAAGGTGGCATCAAAAAGCAGCAGTGCGGTTGGAGCAAATTTGAATGCTACGAAGAAAACGAAGACCACAAGTTCAAGCGCAGTGCCACAATCAGCTTACTCGAAATTTCTGTCCTCGTTATCTACGACTTCAAGCACCACAGGGTCGAGCAATGCAGCTGCAGCAAAAGCCAATGCTGCGCCACCAGCCGTCCCGATCGGTGTGCTGGGTGCCATGCGGCGTACGGATGATACCGATCAGATCCTAATCCGCAATCCGATGCTCCCAAAATTGGCGACAGCGGAAGAGGTGCGAGCAGAACAAAAAGAGGTACTCGGCTCCAAGAATGGGCCAAAGGGAAAAGAAATAGATGCGAAATCGAAAAAAAGCCCAATCGAACCAGCCCCTCCTGGCCCATATTCGTCCTTTAATAGTATGCGCACGGGTGCTGGCGCAGCAGGAGCGTTAGCGGGGGCAACCTCCACGTCGGCTTCTGCGTCGAAACTTCCTAGCGCTGGTCCTGTTGATGACGACTTGGATTTGGGCATTCAAATACGGGTGATCCCGCAGGCAAGAGCCAGTGCTTCGAAAGCGGCAGCGCAGCTACCGAAAAGTTTTGCAGCTGCAGGTGTCATCAACAAGGTAGGAGGTGTTGTCGGAGCTGCTTCTATTTCCCAAAATTTGTCCGACGCTCCTCCACCACCTGCTGGCACCGCCACCTCGACATCATCTGTAGGAGGAGCCGTTCCGCCTCGACCACCGACGTCGTTGCCAGTCGCGAAGAGCAAAGGAGCTCCACCATCGGCTCCAGCATCGGTGAAAAGCAGTGCAGCGTTCGTTTTCAAGGCGAGTGGGCCCTCATCAACCGCGTTTGGGACAGTCGGGAAAGCTTCTGGTCAACCGTCAGGGCTTAGCTCAGCACCTCCACCTCCCCCAGGAGCTCCAGCAGGAGGTGTTGTCGTGGGTCGGATGGCAGCTGCGTCCTCGTCCTCCTCCGCATCAAGAGGCCTCGGGGGTGTCGCACCACCTCCGCCGCCCGAGGCCCCGGCGCCGCCGCCACCAGCTGAACCGCCAGAAGGACCGCCGCCCTGTGCAAATCCTGTTTGCCCCCACCGACAGAGCGGCTACAAAATGGTCAGCTACGTTTGCCGCTTCAGCAAATTCTGCAACGACTGTCGATACGTGTCTGGCGACCCTTTCAAACCAGGCCTGCGAACGCTTGGTCAGCACGTGGTTTCCAGGTCCCAGAAACAAGCAGTCTTTGAGATTCCGGTTTACGCCCTAGCAGGCGTAGACATTCCGTTCAATGCATTACAGTTGGGGCCGATGGGAATGATAGAAAAGGAGTTGGAACTACGCTGTCTGCCCGACAAACCCGTGCATTACAAGGTAAGTACATACCGATACCTCCATTTTCTTGTTGTTTTATGCAAGTTCCCTAGCTCGACCTTGTTGATGTCTGCACAGTACTTATAAATAATGGAGTAGTTTATAGACGCTGGGCTACGCTGGGTGGCTGGGCGGCCTCGCTGGGCACGCTGGGCGGCAACGCGGGGCACGCTGGGCGGCAACGCTGGGCACGCTGGGCGGGCGCTTGGATAGCGCTTAGCGGACTTGAGGGCCACACATTGGGCATGCCGAGCCTGCGCGGCCGATGGATTTACTTGCGCCGCGGGGACGCGGTGCAGCGCGTCCCGCGAGGACAAACAAAGGCGGCGCGCCGCCCTCAAGGTTCAGGGCAGCGCTGGCGCAGTGCTGCGCCAGTTTGCGCAGCAGCGGGCTGCGCGGCGCCTGCTCTGTTCAGGCTCGCACTCCGTCGCGCTGCACTGCGCTGGTCGATGCGTGCAATGCTGCGCCGCTCTTGTGCACAACGGTAAACTCGCCAGCGTCGTCGGCCTTGGCCTACGCTAGACTAGCACTGCTGGTGGGTTCTCAAGCGGGCGCCCGAAGGGCGCCCCGCAATTGGAGACGCCCAGCGTGACGCTGGGCGCAGAATTCGGAAGATCTGGCACATTTGGGTCGCCCAGCGACCCAGTGTGCCCAGCGTGCCCAGCCCAGCCATGTTGGGAACCCTTATAAACTGTTCTATTATAATATATTAGGGCTGATCTTAATTCATCTCGTCTTTGAGTGATTCATAATATTTGAACGATGACAACAAGTAAGTAACTTTTTTAGGACAGCATAGATATCGAGTATACCGGTACATGATCAGTTGTGAAATGGTCGGACTTCTCCACACCAGGACGAACTGTCGCATCGGTGGCCGGACAGCGGTGTCGTCATGTATGTGAGTGCGCCTCCGAATTTCAGTGAAAGACGTATCCTGAAGATCGACGCAGTCCATGGTGAAGACACGCTTTCTAAAGACGATAATGTGCCAACGAATATCACAAATTTTGTGAACGAGGCAGCGCGCCTCTATCCTGGGCTTCCCTTCGTACTGAAGGTCCGTGTTGTATTCAACCTGCGTGCTGGGGAAGATCCTTTCCGCCTGGGGATAGTCGAAATCGCCGGACACGTGAAGGAAAAAAACATCGTGTCAAGAATACAACGTACTTTGACTGTCTTAGAACTGTAGTATGGCCTTGAGCTTATGATTTTATTTCATGTACTTGTACATGTTCATCTTGTTTATGTAGCAACGGCTTTCGTGCTGAGCAAAGTTTTGCTTTTGAAGATGTGACGTGGTGTAAGTCAGCTAATCCCCTACAATCTAGTCCATTCCATAATCCATCTACTTACATTATATCACTACACCATCACCATCCAGGTCATAATTTCGTGCCGTACAGGCAGGATTTGCAGCGTGCAATCGCGTGGGTCGAGGCGCATGCCCCCAAAGACAATGATGACGATGGGGTGCAAATAGTGGATCCGCCGCAGATGTCGTTGATTTGCCCGATGTCAATGCTGCGCATCGGCATCGCAGCACGCGGTCGCGCCTGTGCGCATCTGCAGAGCTTCGACCTGGAGTCGTTTGTCGAGACTATGCGGCACGCACCGGCAAAGCGAAAGTGGGTGTGCCCGCTTTGTGACGTCGTGTGTCTACCCGACAGACTCGTGCTCGACTCTTTTTCGCAGAACGTGCTCGATCGCTCGGCACCTAACGTGTCCGAAGTGTTAATCACCGAGGAAGGAAAGTTTACCCCGAGTGAATTCGTCGACGACGATGAGCTGGAACTGATCTCCAGAACTACAACCGCAACCGCGACCGCGTTTCGTACTGGAGGACATCACTCACTAGCCTTTGGAGGAAGTGCGGCAGGTGGTTCTGTTTCCGCAACTGGAACAGCACCGACAGGCGCATCTGGAGCAGGTGGACAACAACTACAACAACAACAGGCTGGTAAAAAGAAGAAGAAAAACAAAGCCTTAGGGGGAGACCAAATGATCCCGGAGGTGACCATGACGGAAATCACGGGTTTTTACAATCCAAACGACAAGGATCTCGCTGCACGAAGAGCAGTGGCTGAGGAAAAGCGCGTGAAGGAAGAAAAAGAGCGGCTTCGGCGCCAAGAACTAGAAGAAGCTGCAGAACGGGAACGAAAAAAGAAAGAGGGGGAAAGGATGCAGAACCCCCGCTATGGCTGGATGGAAGAAAGTAGGATCTTTTTCTCTATTAGACGAGTCGTTACCTACTTCACGTTCATGATCATGTCGAATTCGAAGAAGCTTTGGGTTTGGCTGACGATTAGTTTCCAGTATCGCTCGGACAAGTTAGTATGTATTGATCGTGATTCTTTAACACGAGGAAGTAGAAATGATTCGATGTCGTCCTCTTCTAATTCATTCTCGATCTCATCAGGTGAAAAATGCGATGAATGTGGAAAGCAGGTTGTATTCCATGGCGGTATTATCTGTGGGCGGAAGATGAAAACCAACACAAACCGAAGTAGAGCACCAAACAGCAGACTGCGTGGCGGTTGCGGACGCATGGTCTGCTGGAGATGCCTGAGGACTGGTGAACGCGGCCCCCTCAAAACTACCAAACAGGAATTTGAGGATCTGGGAGAGGAAGCCTGGTGGATGCATCATCGCTGCATGAGCCTCAATGATGAAAGAGCGTATTATTTATCTTGAACTTTCAATCTAGTAAGGACTACCTACCTAGTACAGATTTTTTACTTTTAGGTAGCACTCAATTGTGAGGATGAATGGGTACTAAGTAACCGTTTTCTGATTGGAAAACCAATGTCAATTTCTTAGCCGAGACATGACAACTGGAATCCTTAAGTCGTGGTGAAGCTCGGTTACCGTGATCATGTCGGAGAACAGAAGGGTTGGATTCTTTTTCCTTTCGGGATCTTCTTCCCGATCGGGGGATCTCAGTGAATCGGCCTGATACTACCTCCGGAGAAGAAGCACGTCCCGCATGTCATCTCATATCTATTCACGAAGACGTGAAGCTAAGTGTTTTCGTGGAGGTGGCGCGTGTACAAAGAAAGCTAAATCAAGGATGTATGCAGTGATTGTTCCTAGTAGAGTACCGCTTTTCCATGATTTGACGCTTTTCCCTCGACATGTCAAACACAGGTATTACGGCGAGCCGGAGGTCCCTGGAGACGATGACAAAATTACGGAAACAGTATAGATACGTACTATAATTCGTTGCTTTTGCACAAGACCCAGTGACTGACTTTGAAACTATTATCCTCTAGTTGCTGAAGAACCACATATTCCGAAGCCTAGCTAGGCAAATAATTCTAAGTATAGGACGTGACAGATTACATACTCAAGCATGATGACGACCATAATCAAGTGCATATCTCTAACATTTCCGCGGGACAGTATGATCAAAATGCTGAGGATGACTTGCCACCGGCGAAGCGGCATCGTGCGGAGGAGCAGCCTGCTTATCACGTGGCCGCATCAGCTTTGAAGCAAGACGAGCAAGCAGCGGATGACGACGATGATGGACCAAAATTTTTCGCTTGGGAGTGATCTGAGGCTACTCTTTGGTGTTCAGGAGTTGGTGAAAATAATCTGCGGGAAGTTACTTTTAGGCTTGTTGAGATGATAGATCATAAACAAACCGCTGAAATACAACCTCATCAGGCTGATTCGCTAATTCTTTCTCGCTTCAACTCGCCACTTTCATTTTGGTGCTGTTGAGGTGCTCTTCTTGCCCTACTTGTCAAGAGAAGGTCAACAAGAAACATGATCCTATTTGTATTTCGTTGTATTAACCCGCGCATCCCCTATCCCCAATTGGTGAACTCGCCGCCTCCACAACTACCCAAGACCCTTTTTGTGCGGTGTTTCATATTTCCGCACAATAAATCTTGAGCGTATCATCAACAAGGCTTTGGTCACGGTATGTCAACCCTCCCAATTCACATCCAAATCTCGCAACGTGTGTTCAGTTTTTATCTGTGGATGTCGTAGGATTATTTCATAGGCACGCGCGATACAAGACAATGACATGCTCGTAAGCCATTTCATCACTTATCACAAGAATGATTAGCAAGTGACCAGAAGAGAGTAACTACCTCTTCTATGATTTACGACGTCTCTCACACAACCGCAACTGCTGTTACGACTGAGTATATAGTTTGGAAAACAAGAGAGAATATTAGGTGGTAGAGAGACGAAGGAGAGGCAGAATTAACTAGGACGACTTCGCGACTCGATCATCACCTGTCTTCTTACACTTACCCAACAATAAACTTCTCATTCTCGTTTTTATTAAAGTAAATCCATCGTTCTTGGGTCTTCCAGGACAGGCTGCAAGCTCGTAGCGCAAGCAGATTCGGCCATGCCTCCTCCGCGCTCGACAACTGGTCGTGTAAGACCAACTACGATAAGCGTGCCGTCATCACCAAAAAGTGATGCCGTGGGAGCTCCACCAAAAAAGAATGCACCAGGAGGGGTGTCTCGGTCTCCAGCAGCTACTGCCAGACAGGGTCAGTCGCGAAGTCCAGGCAGGTCACTCGCATCACCGAAACGAGCGAAAGTCGTCTCCCCGCACGGACGCCGCGGCAAGCGATCTCCATCGCCGAGAAGCAAAAGTATTTGTTGACGAGACCTTCTACTTCTTACAGCTCCCACATTCTAAGTATAATATCTTTGATTGAGTGTCAAGAATTCGAATTGATCACGGGGATCATTCGATAAATAAATATAGATACGATCATGCCTTTTCTTGCACATGCATCACTATCATGGCCAAATCAGTACTCCAAAAGCGCTCAGATGAAGTGAAAACACCAACACGAACACTAACTCAAGGTGCTGGTGGGAATCGGAGAGGTGTGGTTTCTTCTCCGGGTGGAGGGAGTCAAAATCGAAAATCCCCGAAGAATGGACGGTCTCCGAAGAATGGAAGATCACCTAAGAATGCGCGCTTAAAGGGTGCCCGTAGGATGGCTTCACCAAAGGGCAGCAGTCGCTCACCGACGGAGCGACGACAAGAAGTCGCGGACCGTCGCGAATTCATCCTGGCGGGGGGTGGTGCTCTAAGACTCGACAATGTAAAGCTGGCAAACCTAGCGGAGATACAAATCGCTAAGCTCGAATCGGAAAGTACTTCATAATGCATAGGCTAGGTTCTAGCGTTTTTTTGTGTCACTTCTCCTTCTGTTCGCCATGATGCCATAATTTCACTAGGATTTTACTATGATTTCAATTTCACTAGCCTGTGGTCCCCTAAGTACTTGGTGGTATATTGTTTTTGCGGAGAAGATAATGCGTCATGCGCACAAACAAGATGAATGGTGAAAAATGCGTGAAAATGTTTAAAGAAACACCCTTTACTACAACGCGCATCACGATAGTCGAGCGTCAGCGGGCACTTATAACATCGCTGACGGACGATGTCGAAAAGGGGAAGCGTGAGCTCGCAGACAGCGAAGCGAGGGCGAGACAAACTGCGGTGTACTATGAAGAGCAGATTGCCCTGCGAAGGTTATGATTCTTGTACTAGAAAGCGACTAGTAGCACGAGAAGTTGGAAGCGTTCGAGTTCTTGGTGCTGTCCATCTTCACGATTTTCTCTAAATCATGGTTTCTTGCTTGCTGCACTTCCACGAAAAATGGATCACAAGAATGAACTGCACTACATTCAATAGTCATAGAGGGTCAACATTCATCAGTTGAAGATATTTTTCAGTTGTACTTGCATGTATGAAAAGTTGTAAAGTTCGAAAGAATCTTGAGCAATTTTACATTTCTTTCACGTATTGTATCGAGGACTGAATCTTTTTCGGTGCAGAAATGTTTAGATAAACAGATCACGAATCTTCAATGTGAGCTGTCAAAAATGTTGTTCGGGAGAATGTAGTAGTATCTCCGCATAACTCATCATTTATCATATGCAATATTATAAATTGTACTAAGTTCTTGTAACTAATAAAAAGTTAGATACCCCGCTAGCCTTAGCTACTGGGCACGGCGCTTGGAACTTGTTCCAACTGCTGTTTTCATCATCAATAATTGAACAAGCACGAGAGATGAGCGAACATTAAAAAATTAAGCTTGTTAGTAAGGAAGAAAACAATAAGCTCTAGAATGCACACGTATGGCGAGTGTTCAACAAAAGAAGCCTCAATTTGTTATAAAGAACAACATGTGTCGGTTGTTTTTCTTGTTGTTGAAACCCCTCTGCATGCAATCGGAAGATGAGAGTATCGGACCCTTCCTCTGCCAAAAATCCACCATAATCCCACAATGTTAAGGCTTTAGACTAGGAAAATGGCGAACAAGAAAGAGGTCGCAGCAACCCAGATACTAACGTATCTGGGTTGCAGAAAACCTGTATTCTTTTTTAGTACAAGTACAGGTAAAAGGATAAGTGTCTTCAAGGTGTTGCTTGCCGATCGATCGACTGCGACGGTGACACTCGAGGTGGACGACACGAACAAGGGACTGGCGCTTACTTCTGTACGACCTCAACGCGAAGACGACAGCAGCAACGTCTTCTTCTTGATGTTGAAAACCACGCTGAACAAGTTGAAGGAGGGCGAGACTGTAGTAGTGAAGTACGCTGATGAAGAAGTAGAAGTATTGGAGACCGAATCCAAGGCATCAAGAACAACAAAGCACACGAAAAAACCCAGAGAAACGACGCTCGAGGTGGCTTCCGAGCAGGCAACATGGACGATCGAAACAGTAGACTCGTTTGTAAGCAGATGTTTAGCTTTAGCCGGATTTGCACAGCAGGAGACGACGACTGGAGAATTGCCTCTGATACTCAAAAAGGAAGAGGAGAAGAAAGAAGAAGAAGCAGGAACAGGAGGAACATAAAGAGGTAGGTTAAAAGCTTGACAGTGCCTTGTCGTGAGGGAGCACTCCTCTTACTCACTTCTTCGGTTCACTTGAAAGCGGGTCGGTTGTGCTTAGCTTTTTTTAGGCCGGTGGTGCTGGGGGTGGAACTGTTGTGAAGCCTTCAGTTTAAATCACTCGCTTGATTAAGGACGGGCGCAATGGTCCTGAGTCTCCAGGGATGCCTGCTAGAAATAGTAGATAGTAGATAGAAAAGAGTAACAGTTCCATAACCTATTGGAACTTACTTAGTGCAGGTTATCTTACTGTAGCTCTAAACCAGTTCTGGTGCGCGATCGCGACCGGGGAATCTTGGGGGCCGGACTGGGAGACTAGCTCCTGGTCTTAGGTCTTGCTCGACAAAAGACCCTCCAACTAATAAACTTGATAGTAGGGACCGTTGAGATGGTTGGTTTTTTCATGAATGAAGATGATTGATGTGCGTCTGTTGTAAGTTTCATGTTCTTCATGGCTTCATACAGATACTCAGTCTACCCGAATTCGTTTAAGAACTGTGTGCCGTTTTGATAGTCTTACTATTATCTCGTATGGTGCAGTTGCTGTGATGCCCACTCCGCATTCAACTGTATCCGTCACCTAACCTATGCTGGTTGCTCAAGATCACGAGCAGCAGAGCAAAGCAGGGGACCTCTACATTGAGAATGTGTCTAATGCTCGCGGAGGCTAAAGAATTGCTCGCGAAGAAGGAGAGGCTTCAGGCTTCGCATGCGGAGGCCCTACGAGACGATCGGCAGCAAGCGGAGGCCAGGGTCGCGTCATGGTACGAATCGCGAGTGACGGCGTTGACTAGTGAGGTCGAGAGCTTGCGCGACCTGGAGGGGAAGAACGTCGAGCTCGAAGTGTTGAATAGAGATTTAAAAGACCGACTGCAAGCGGCAGAGAAGAAACACACAGAAATTGAAGACGCGTGGCAACGGAAATTTTCTGAGACCCTTCAGATGATGAAACATAAGATTCAACAGCATACGTCGGTGGCCTTTAACATGATGGATGGAAGTGGGTCCAACGTTTTCGCCGGGGAAAATGATAAAGCGATTTCCATCGGAGCAGGGGGCTCCTCAGCAAGCGCATTGAGCATGATGAAGTTACATGGCAGTGGCGCCGCGGGTCCAGAACACTTTGCGGCCGCTGTTGATCTGGGCTCAGGTGCTGGCGGAGGAGGAGGTGGAGCGTCACTAGGTAGTCGTCGTAGTGCATGGTCACCGGGAAATCGTCGCATGCCACGACGCTGCTTCACGTCTGGGGCTTTGGAAGACGCCTCTTCACGGCTAGAAAGCGATGAAGGGGAGGAGGCCGCGTTGTTGCGATCTAGCACGATTATGCTTCATGATCATGCTCCAGCTTCTCACAGTGTCAGCATAAGCAAACCCATTCCTGTCAGCTTTTCTACTCCACAAGACTAGGGAAAAAGATTTCCGCGTTTATTGCATAATTTATAATGGAGAAAATTCAACTAAGGACTGCAAAAATCCGGACAAAATTCAATCTTTCCGGGCATG